AATCAGGATCAACTAGGACAGAAATAAAGCATTGGGTCGAACTCTTCTTTGGTGTCAAGGTAATAGCTATGAATAGTCTTCGACTCCCCGGAAAGGTTAAAAGAATGGGACCGATTCGAATCCTACTGAGAGGTCCACTAGGGATCAGAAATTGTTGAAGAAAGAACAAGATGTTTCTTTTGTCCCTTCCAGGCGATCGGAAAATAAAGAAATAGTTAATATATTCAAGATAATTACGTATTTACAAAATACCGTCTCAATTCATCCTATTTCATCAGATCTGGGATGTGATATGGTTCCGAAGGATGAACTGGATATGTACAGTTCCAATAAGATTTCATTCTTGAACAAAAATCCATTTTTTTATTTATTTCATCTATTCCATGAATGGAAGAGGGGGGGATACACGTTACGCCACGATTTTGAGTCAGAAGAGAGATTTCAAGAAATGGCAGATCTATTCACTCTATCAATAACCGAGCCGGATCTGGTGTATCATAAGGGATTTGCCTTTTCTATTGATTCCTACGGATTGGATCAAAGACAATTCTTGAAGGAGGTTTTCAACTCCAGGGATGAATCGAAAAAGAAATCTTTATTGGTTCTACCTCCTATTTTTTATGAAGAAAATGAATCTTTTTATCGAAGGATCCGAAAAAATTGGGTCCGGATCTCCTGCGGGAATTATTTGGAAGATCCAAAACCAAAAAGAGTGGTATTTGCTAGCAACAACATAATGGAGGCAGTCAATCAATATAGATTGATCCGAAATCAGATTCAAATCCAATTCCAATATAGTCCCTATGGGTACATAAGAAATGTATTGAATCGATTCTTTTTAATGAAGAGACCTGATCGCAACTTCGGATATGTAATTCAAAGGGATCTAATAGGAAATGATACTCTGAATCATAGAACTATAATGAAAGATACGATCAACCAACATTTATCGAATTTGAAAAAGAGTCAGAAGAAATGGTTCGATCCTCTTATTTTTCTTTCTCGAACCGAGAGATCCATAAATCGGGATCCTAATGCATATAGATACAAATGGTCCAATGGGAGTAATAATTTCCAGGAGTATTTGAAACATTTCGTTTCTGAGCGGAAGAGCCGTTTTCAATTAGTGTTCGATCGATTACGTATTAATCAATATTCAATTGATTGGTCTGAGGTTATTGATAAAAAAGATTTGTCTAAGTCACTTCGTTTCTTTTTGTCCAAGTTACTTCGTTTCTTTTTGTCCAAGTTACTTCTTTTTTTGTCCAAGTTACTTCTCTTTTTGTCTAACTCACTTCCTTTTTTCTTTGTGAGTTTCGAGAATATCCCCATTCATAGGTCTGAGATCCACATCTATGAATTGAAAGGTCCGAACGATCAACTCTGCAATCAGTTGTTAGAATCAATAGGTCTTCAAATCGTTCATTTGAAAAAATTGAAACCCTTTTTATTGGATGATCATAATACTTCTCAAAAATCAAAATTCTTGATCAATGGAGGAACAATATCACCATTTTTATTCAATAAGATACCAAAGTGGATGATTGACTCATTCCATACTAGAAAGAATCGCAGGAAATCTTTTGATAACACGGATTCCTATTTCTCAATCGTATCCCACGATCAAGACAATTGGCTGAATCCCGTTAAACCATTTCAGAGAAGTTCATTGATATCTTCTTTTTCTAAAGCAAATCGACTTCGATTCTTGAATAATCCACATCACTTCTGCTTCTATTGTAACAAAAGATTCCCCTTTTATGTGGAAAAGGCCCGTCTCAATAATTCTGATTTTACGTATGGACAATTCCTCACTATCTTGTTCATTCACAACAAAATATTTTCTTCGTGCGGTGGTAAAAAAAAACATGCTTTTTTGGAGAGAGATACTATTTCACCTTCGTCAACCGAGTCACATGTATCTAACATATTCATATCTAATGGTTTTCCACAAAGTGGTGACGAAAGGTATAACTTGTACAAATCTTTCCATTTTCCAATTCGATCCGATCCATTAGTTCGTAGAGCTATTTACTCGATTGCAGACATTTCTGGAACACCTCTAATAGAGGGACAAAGAGTCAATTTTGAAAGAACGTATTGTCAAACTCTTTCAGATATGAATCTACCCGATTCAGAAGAGAAGAGCTTGCATCAGTATCTCAATTTCAATTCAAACATGGGTTTGATTCACACTCCATGTTCTGAGAAATATTTACAGAGGAAAAAACGGAGTCTTTGCCTAAAATAATGCGTTGACAAAGGGCAGATGGATATAACCTTTCAACGAGATAGTGCTTTTTCAACTCTCTCAAAATGGAATCTATTCCAAACATATATGCCATGGTTCTTTACTTCGACAGGGTACAAATATCTAAATTTGATATTTTTAGATACTTTTTCAGACCTATTGCGGATACTAAGTAGCAGTAAAAAATTTGTATCCATTTTTCATGATATTATGCATGGATTAGATATATCATGGCGAATTCTTCAGAAAAAATTATGTCTTCCACAAAGGAATCTGATAAGTGAGATTTCTAGTAAGTCTTTACATAATCTTCTTCTGTCCGAAGAAATGATTCATCGAAATAATGAGTCATCATTGATATCGACACATCTGAGATCGCCAAATGTTCGTGAGGTCCTCTATTCAACCCTTTTCCTTCTTCTTGTTGCTGGATATATCGTTCGTACACATCTTCTCTTTGTTTCCCGAGCCTATAGTGAGTTACAGACAGAGTTCGAAAAGATCAAATCTTTGATGATTCCATCATACACGATTGAGTTGCGAAAACTTCTGGATAGATATCCTACATCTGAACTGAATTCTTTCTGGTTAAAGAATCTTTTTCTAGTTGCTCTGGAACAATTAGGAGATTGTCTAGAAGAAATACGGGGTTCTGGCGTCAACATGCTATGGGGTGGTGATCCCGCTTATGGGGTCAAATCAATACGTTCTAAGAAGAAAGGTTTGAAAATAAATTTCATCGATATCATCGATCTCATAAGTATCATACCAAATCCCATCAATCGAATCACTTTTTCGAGAAATACGAGACATCTAAGTCATACAAGTAAAGAGATCTATTCATTGATAAGAAAAAGAAAAAATGTGAGCGGTGATTGGATTGATGATAAAATAGAATCCTGGGTCGCGAACAGTGATTCGATTGATGATAAAGAAAAAGAATTCTTGGTTCAGTTCTCCACCTTAAGGGCAGAAAAAAGGATTGATCAAATTCTATTGAGTCTAACTCATAGTGATCATTTATCAAAGAATGACTCTGGTTATCAAATGATTGAACAACCGGGAACAATTTACTTACGATACTTAGTTGACATTCATAAAAAGTATCTAATGAATTATGAGTTCAATACATCCTGTTTAGCAGAAAGACGGATATTCCTTGCTCATTATCAGACAATCACTTATTCACAAACTTCGTGTGGGGCTAATAGTTTTCATTTCCCGTCTCATGGAAAACCCTTTTCGCTACGCTTAGCCCTATCCCCCTCTAGGAGTATTTTAGTGATAGGTTCTATAGGAACCGGACGATCCTATTTGGTCAAATACCTAGCGACAAACTCCTATGTTCCTTTCATTACAGTATTTCTGAACAAGTTCCTGGATAACAAGCCGAAAGGTTTTTTTATTGATGATATCGATATTGATGATAGTGACGATATTGATGCTAGTAACGATATTGATCGTGAACTTGATACGGAGCTGGAGCTTCTAACTATGATGAATGCGCTAACTATGGATATGATGTCGGAAATAGACCGATTTTATATCACCCTTCAATTCGAATTAGCAAAAGCAATGTCTCCTTGCATAATATGGATTCCAAACATTCATGATCTTGATGTGAATGAGTCGAATTACTTAGCCCTCGGTCTATTGGTGAACTCTCTCTCCAGGGATTGTGAAAGATGTTCCACTAGAAATATTCTTGTTATTGCTTCGACTCATATTCCCCAAAAAGTGGATCCCGCTCTAATAGCCCCGAATAAATTAAATACATGCATTAAAATAAGAAGGCTTCTTATTCCACAACAACGAAAGCACTTTTTCACTCTTTCTTATACTAGGGGATTTCACTTGGAAAAGAAAATGTTCCATACTAATGGATTCGAGTCCATAACCATGGGTTCCAGTGCACGAGATCTTGTAGCACTTACCAATGAGGCCCTATCAATTAGTATTACACAGAAGAAATCAATTATAGACACTAATACAATTAGATCTGCTCTTTATAGACAAACTTGAGATTTGCGATCCCAGGTAAGATCGGTTCAGGATCATGGGATCATTTTCTATCAGATAGGAAGGGCTGTTGCACAAAATGTACTTATAAGTAATTGCCCCATAGATCCTATATCTATCTATATGAAGAAGAAATCATGTAACGAAGGGGATTCTTATTTGTACAAATGGTACTTCGAACTTGGAACGAGCATGAAAAAATTCACGATACTTTTTTATCTTTTGAGTTGTTCTGCCGGATCGGTCGCTCAAGACCTTTGGTCTCTACCCGGACCCGATGAAAAAAATAGGATCACTTCTTATGGATTCATTGAGAATGATTCGGATCTATTTCATGGCCTATTAGAAGTGCAAGGCGCTTTGGTGGGATCCTCACGGACAAAAAAAGATTGCAGTCAGTTTGATAATGATCGAGTGATATTGCTTTTTCGCTCCGAACCAAAGGATCCCTTATATATGATGCAAAATAGATCTTGTTCTATCATTGATCAGAGATTTCTCTATGAAAAATACGAATCGGAGTTTGAAGAAGGGGAAGGAGTCCTCGACTCCTTGTAGGGAAGTTGATAGGCATTTTCTATCTTCCTGAGCATACGCTCATTCTTTCTCTTATATACGCTAATTCTTTCAAAGGCCTTTATTTAAAAATAACGTAATATCATCATTTGAATGTAGTTTTTGTTAGAGTTAGAATATTCTAACAAATTCTTATTTTCTTTTATATATATTTTTTTATATTTTATTACTTTTTTTTATTTATTTAGCTAAATGGAGCAGAATAATTTGCCAGAATGACAGAATAGATAAATAAGAACTAACATAGCAAAGAATTAAAGAGTTATTTCAGATAAGTAGCATCATCCATCCAAACACAAAGCAAAGGAACACACCAAGTGGGTCGCTGCTATTAACGCAAACACGAAGCCCCACATACCTAATCAGGTTTTTATTTATAAAACATAATATATATATATATATATATATATATCCTGATAGAAAAGAGTTGCCAGAATCGATAGTAGCAGCAGCATTAAGCCTCCTTCTCCCCTGTGAGGAGATCCATTACCACGCCTTTAATGCTTCCATTGTTCTTCTTCAGCAGCCTCTTGTTCGTCACATCATCACAGAAGCCCTGCAAATTTCACATTTTTAGCATCCCAGTCCGTAATCAATAAAATTCATACTAAATTACAAAGTGTACACACACATACCATTTCCTGAAGCTCCTCCAGGATGGGATCCCACTCGCTAACTCCACAAAGAGCGTCAACAGACTGCTCCAAGTTGTACTCGTTGTCCCTCAGGATCTCCTTGTTCAAATCTATCTCCTTGAAACCCATTTCCTCGAGCTCCTTAAGCATCGTTAGCTCAACCTCATTCTTTTCTATATCCTCTTGACGAGGCACTGGGATGTCCTTTGTAGTTGGAGATGAAGAACCACCACCACTCAAGGCCTCAGCAGTAGGCATATTTGGGAGATCGATTATGTTGTATGATGAAGAAGATGAAGATGGGCTATGAGTGCGAGGAATAGCAGGATCAACTTCACCAACCAGCAGGTCATCTTTTTCCGGGATTTGTGATTCATCAGCTTCTCCTTCTACATCTGCACCTTCCACTGTTATAGGATTAACACTGGAGCTGCCAGCTTGAGCTGGCTCATGATTCACATTGATCCCTGTGAATTCTCTTGATAAATGTTCATCAGGGAAGGCATTCAAGTTCAGTCCATGATACTCATTCACAACAGAACCCTTCAAGGATGCATCAACCTGACCACGCAGACAAAAATAGAAGGTATAAAAAAATCACATTTCACAGAGAGAAACAAAGATTCAAGGGAAAAAGCAGCAAAGATGTAGAAAAAGTACATGTATCAACACCCAAACACGTTGCCCAAACTTGGCACCACTAGAGGAAGCCATCCTCCAATATGAAATGTAACGACCAGGTAACTCTGGTGCAACAAAATCAACTTTTACGTCAAGCTCACTATTGATAGTCACACCCTCCGCTGGAATCTGCCATGAGACCAATAAAAAACTAGCATTATATATATATAAACAAGTATTGCCACTTGGCAGAGAAGAAGCTAACTCAACCCATTGTGTAATTCAAACAACATAACTGATCTGTTAGTGGAACTTAAGGTTAGGAATCGAGTAAAAAAAGAGGCAAAACTAAGTAAATAATTTCTAACCTGTAAATCAACTGACAGTGAGTTGCTGAATCTGTCTCCACCGATCCAGACTATCTGTGTGCCACGCCGCCACACCAAAGAACCATTGTTCCTCATTTTCCAAATCTTAGTGAATGGAGCAGATGGAGCAACAACTGTTCCATCAAGTACGTTCACATCGAGGACAAAGCGACTGTCTAGTTTAGGCCGTGTACATCTGAAATGTAGACCTCCATGGGGTGGCCGCGGCACAGGGTGGCTCAACCAAGGGTTCGAAAACTATATGAAAAAAGAATGGATAAGATTTCCATGTAGATAGAGAAAGAGACGACCTAGAAGAAATAAAGGAAACCTTAAAACATAGCAGAAGAGCAATACCGGTGTAAGTTGCCCTCTAAAGGGATGTATATGTTGAAATGATACAGGCTTATCCATTCTTGTGTACTCGGTTTCATTACCCATAACCGAAAAGCAGATGTTGCAAAGATCATAGTCTTCTTTGCTGCAAAGTATTCACAAGAGACACAAATAAGTAAAATAAGTTCTAAGATATCTATAGTTTCTATACTTGCGAGTAAAAGATCTCCTTACACTTTAGACTTAAATCTAGGCCCAGTTATAGGAACAACTCCACATCCATCACAACGGATACCCTTATGGAAGACTCCCAGTGAGGTCCAGTAATCACCATTACTGCTCTTTTTCAAGTGACATGCACGACGGGCATGCTTGCTGAGGTTAGCTGGATTCGGACTGGAGTCATTCACGGTACTGCCACTGAAGGGACACTCGTTGAAACTAGCACCCGGTGCCCAGGAGGTTGGTACATGACCAGAAGTCTTCGGATCAGCAGGTTCATTCAGATTAGCAGGTTTTTTCCCGGTCTGGGTCCTCTCAGAGGCATCCTTTTTTTCACCAGCGGAAGGAACCTCCCTGCTCAGGGAAGGACCTGAAGAAGAAGGACCACTTTCCTGAGGAATTGCGAACTGCCCTAGCTTGGAGACGCAATCGAGCAGCTCACCAACCACAGGGCTAGAACATGCTGCTTTAGAGGTAAGGTCAATATAGACCTTGGATATGGTGTCACGCATTGGGTTCGGTACAGCCATCAGAACATCGTTTATACCCTTTTGGATTTTGGAAACCGGGTTTTGGCTGTTAGGCGTGCCCGTAGCTGTTGAACTCCCACCACTCTCTGGAGCAACAGGGCTTGTGGGCATACCAGTGTTCGACTGCACATTAATTTTCAAGAACTTAAGGCGCTGATTCGTGACATCGAACAGGTCGTTGTCATCAACAAGAGCCACCACATCCCCATCTTCATCAGAGTAAGTCAGAGAAAAATCAGCATCCACGGAGAGATTAAAGAGAGCAGCGATCTTTCCCCTTAGACCAGCCATGTCGAGATCAAGCTGCCCATTAGCTTTAACAGGTACCCTGAAGCGTCTAAGCACACCTCCATGGCTCACCTGCATGATCACAAGAAATATATATGAAATAACTCGAATGAAACACACAAACTTAATTCTGAACAAGTAAATTGCAACCCAAATAACAAATGTTTGAAGAAAGAACAAAACAAGTTCTAACAAGCTTTGCGAGCTCGATTCGATCAAAGCACTTTACTACCTCGTTTACAAAACCAACATATGATTTTGAATAAGATAATTAACTTCTACTTTTAATCTTTGAAAGGGTTTATAGATTCAAGCAAATCCAGCCAAGTATGTGAGGGAAAATTCGAATCCCCGCTTCAATTTCCCGACAGATAAGACAGTCGATCCATGGCGAGATTAAAAAACGAAAGGACCGATTACATGCAACAATAAATCTCATAAACCTAGAGCAAAGACACCAAATACATACGAAAAATCGACAGAAACGACACGATCGCCTCGAAAACCCAGGATAACCGACAACTAACTTGCAGAACTGAGGATAAAAAACACTTGACAAACCAAGAAAGAACTCTAACCTTGACGACGAGTGCAGTAGTAGAATCCATCGCTCGCGGACTCAAGAGAAGGGAGAAAGGGAAGCGAAGAAACCCTAATTGGGAATCGCGAGAGAGGTAATCTCAAAAAGGCTTAAAAGAGAGAATCGGGAATCGGAAATTATCGTGTGGGAAGCGTACCCGTAATCCGCTTATATCGTGAACAACCCAAGAAGATAGACGGTCGCGTTTATATATCGCACGATGCTTAATTTAATTTTTGATTTTTTTGACTTAGCCAATAAGATATTTGACTTTTCTGGTTATTGGCTTATCCAGAAAGACACAACCAAACAAAACAACGCTAAGTAATGCCCAAAAAAAATCTACGAGAATAAAAATAACATTAATTATTCGTATTTCGTGATATTTAATAGACATACGTCACGTACCCCAACTAGAAACTGTAATATTTAATGATTTTGATATTGTCATTTGTGATGTTTAATACACAACAAGATATCTTTACCTTGTAGAGTTTTTCTCTGTTTTACAAAATTTAGGAACTTTATTCATTTCATTCTTAAATACCTATAAAATATTACACTGGGTATTCATTCTAATCGAATCGAGAAGAAGATCACATTAACCGTTTTTCTGTCAGACAGTCGTTTGTCTCAGCTTCTATGAAGAAGAAGAATGAAAAATGAATAAGAAAGTAGGGTTCCCACACTCTGAGAAGAAAGGAAAAACAAAGCAATGAAACCAGTAGGTAACAAAGCAAAGGCTTAACAACAAAACAGGTGCCAGCAAATGTATACAACAAAACGCTAAAGTTGAGAGATGCATATTCAAATAAGTGACGGAAATACATAAAACCCACGACGACCAAAGACTATCGATTATCTGCCAATACATCCTCAGATGCTACTCCTTTGACATGCTGTGCCATACGAAATAGCTTCCTCAATGGACATATCTCCAAATGCAATAAGCCTCTGCGTCGCAGCTCTTACTACCTAATAACAAAAGGGACAATTTTTAGTTTCTCTCATCTGTTAATCCATGACCCGTGTTTCTCCCAGCACCACCACCCCTTTGCTGTTGGTACAACTTTTGTCCACCATGCCTTTGTTGTCCCTGTCCCGTCTCCCTGTATCTTGGACCTTCTGTCTGAGAACTGTCTTTCACTTGTTCACGAACGTCATTAGCATGTGACCCAACAGGCTTGTATTCGTAATGCACATTTTGCTTCTGTCTATCTCTGTTGGAAGCTGGCCTCTGATGCTGATGGTGCACATTCTCTTGCACTGATGTACCCCAACCTCCTTGTGACTCCTGCCCTCTCCCAACCCGTCGACTTTGGCCTGTGTTCTTTTGGAACATACTATTCGGATTTTGCTCCACCTGGACCTCCTTACTGGTCGATCGGTTTTGAGACTGGGCTGGTGTATCAGCTGATGCCATTTTCTGATCTGAAGTAAACCCTCGATGTTCGTATCCAGCAACATCCCTTTTCTGAGATACATAAGCTTTGTCCCTCGTATTTTCACGACCACCATACTTACCTGCCCTATTAACATTAGCGGCAACTGCTGTGTGCGACACATGATCCCCAGGGACACGACTTTCTTTCGAAGCAACAGGGAGATCTGGTTGACCTAACCCATGGCCAGACTGCTGCATATGAGCTTTACTAGAATCCCTCTTATTCGCTTTTTTAGGGTCGCCATAGTTACTGCCTCCATCTTTGTTGCTTCTGGAAGCATGCTGCTTACCGTGAATGCCCATTCCCTGATCTTTTCCAGCAACAACGGCTCCAGGAGCACTTTCTTCAACAGCAGAGTAATGCGTTTCAGGAGTCATATACCAGCCATCGTTCCATCCATCAGCATTAAATGTGGTTTGATCCTTAGAAGCGGCTACGGCTATTTTTTCAGTTTGATTACTTGTCTGGTAGTTCACTGTTCCTCGGATGGGCTGGTTTGAGGTTACAAATTGTCCTTCCTCCAAAGCTTTAGTAGATGCTGCAGAACCTCGCTGGTGCCATGATCCATGATCCCTACCATGCTTGCCCTGCCTACCATTCCCATGTCTTGACTTTGAAGGTGACCCAAATTTCCCCGCGGTTGAAGCAGAAGGTTGGAGAATTCCTGTACCTTCACCTCCACAATTTTCTTTCTGCAAAACATTCTCTACCTTTTCAGGAACAGCGGGAATTGGATTTTTACTGACGGTTTGCTCAGCCATTTCCTTTACTATGGGCTTTGCTACATATCTCTCAATCTCCACTCTTTTGGTTTTAGAATTAGTATGCCCTTGATGCAGACTCTTCGAAGAGGTGCCAGACTCAGGAACAGTATTCTGACTCCCTACATTTGTGGAAATGTCAGCTTTCTGCTGTGAATGTACCGGAGCCCAAACAACAGCACTGCTGCCAGGGAATTTTTCTGCAGGCTTATTTACCACTGAGTTTCTTTGAGTCCTACGCAAATGTTGAGGTTTCCAGTTGTTTTTTGCTCTGCTTTGGGACTCTCCATCAGCCAAGGAACTGATTTGTTCAGACGAATTACCAGACACTTTGTTATCCAAGCTTGGACCTGAAACAGACCCCAACTCTGTTTCTGCAACCCTTGCCCTACCAATCTCAATTGACTCATCTCCTGATTTTGTTTCTTTTCCAACGGCAACTCTTGTCGTGTTCATTGTTGTTGTCTCCTCAACCTTGTGCTTTTTCTTACCATTCCTGTTATTCTTCCTTTTTGGGAAAGTTGACTCTGTTGAAACACTTGACGTTGCAGGCATGTCTGAGTTATGACTTAAAACACCGGCATTTGACACCTCAGGAGATGGAACAACATCGAACACCTCTGTAGTAGCAACGGAGAAAGAGTTCCCGGCCATTTTTTTCTCAAATGCGATATTTTGCTTCTGCCTATAACCCAAGTGCTTCTGTTTCGAGGCGGCGCCATCACGATCGCGTGGAAGATTATCCTGTTGAGTAGGACCTACATTATTTGCATATTCGTTTGAATTCATCGCGTCTTGCATTGAGGTTTTTCCTGATTCTCCAGTAGATTCTATAGACTTTGCAGCTGCAACAGTGATCTTCTTTTCAACAGATGAACGGACACGTACATCATCTGAGTTTGATGCCAAAAGTGCAGGTGAAAGAGACCGAGTATCTTCTGGGATGTCAGGGATAGAAGCATTAGATGCACCTTCCAAGTTTTTGACTGAACCCTCCCCAGCTACTTGGGAACGTCTATTCAACTCTTCTAGTTTTGCAAGAGCCTTAGCCCGCTGATCTCTTGCTCTTTCTTCCTCCTCTTTCTGCCTCTGCTGAGCACGCTGCCTGGCTAACTCTCTCATCGTAGTACGCTTTGAGAGAACATGTCAAACACTCAGTCAAACAATAAAGGATGACAACAATTTAAGTAAACATAACAATGAGAATCATATGAACTAGTTTATACCTGGTTGTCATTTGGGTCTACAGATATTCCAGACCCAGGCTTCCCCATGGAATCGGTATCCAAAGAGTCGCCTACATTTACCTCGGCAAAGCTTTCTGAGTTTGCAGCTACAGTTGCAGGGGAGGAGCCTGCCATAACGATTGTCTTCCGCCAGCCATCATTGCCTTCACTGTTCACTCTTTGATTTGTCTGATAATCTGCTCTGCCTTGAGTCTGTTGTGTAGATCTCCTGTAGGTACAACATCAAAATTTTCCCAACATAAAGGATAGCATAACTGGCTGAAACGCTATTGACGAATGATAACTGACCTGGATATGGCAGTTCCACTAATAGCTGCCAGCTCAGTATTTCTGTTTGTGGCTGGATCACCTTGTTTATAGTGTAATGAGTTCTTAGTATCACTTGCATGACCAGTTCGAGGCATTCTTGCTGAAACTGAATTCACAGAGTTCCCAGAATTGACTGTACGTGTTTTGCTTTCCTGCTGGTCTCTATTGACGACGGATGAAGCATTTTGCCAACCATCATTAGTTCTAATCTTTGCATTTAAGCCCTCTATTTTTTTAATCAAACTGGGATCTTCAGGGGCAGCATATTCTGCCTTAATTGGTTGTACGTCACCACTTGCCTCATTGCTGTTTTCTCTCCTGTTTTTCGAAGTTTGCATCTGTTGAGCTATCTTCTCTGTATTCGGGAGTCTATTTGCTGGAAATTCTTCTCGCTTTGCTTCATCTTTCCCAAACCTCCCATCTTGGGGCTTTAAGAGAACCCTGTATGGCCTTTGTGTTTCCTGAGAATGTGATGGCTCATTCTGTTCCAAAGCCACTGAGTTTCCAGACGTATCATATCCACCTTGACCAGAGTGCTTGTTATAAGCATGAGGACCAGCAGGCCTACCTGCAAAAGGTAGTTCTCTGTGGCTGGGACTGCCGTACCCCATGGGAGGACCATAGTAGCCTTCATGTGGCACTGGTCCAGGATAAAACCCAGGCCCAGTCTGCATTCTTGGGTGGACATAAGAGTCAAGCATTGGAGGTCTAAACATCTTTCCATCAGTAGGGTGATTACCCCTAGGACCAGCCCCATGTCCGGGAACAGGTGGAACATGCGTCGGATAAAATGGAAAAGGATCCATGTGAAAACTCCCAGGGCCCATTGGGGCACCATATGGGTGGTTCTCTCTGTACCAGCCACCACCTTGATGATTATTTACTGGAGGACCACGATAAGCATCATACTGATGAGGAAAACTAGCATTAGGATAAGATTGTGAACCACGGGAGTCAAATTTCCCTTCTTCTCTGCAATGTCTAGGTGCATCTTCATTGTATGACTGATTATCTCTTCTCCAGGCATTGGCATCTCCAATCCGTACATTAGCTTCTGCGGATAGAAGACAAGATATAGTCAGATATAGTGCACGAGAACATCCACTAAAAAGGTGTACGGTGAATAAAGCAGTAAAAAGATTTCACATGAAAGCCTGTGAGAATAATTCTTGAAATGAGATGCCAACATCTGTGGTGTACCCACATAACAAAGAAAAAGAGGTTTGGAAATAAGAACCTTCTGCGGAATCCACACCTCGGTCTTCCACAGATCTTCCAGACGAAGATGCAGGACGCGCGCGAGGTCCAGCATCTGCAGAATCGTAATTTCTCAGAGCCATGTCTAACGTATCCACTTCATAAAATCATATCACATAATATCTAGGTAATCCTAAAACCCTCAAGGGGCACATATTAGGAGGCCATCTAAGATCTCAGAAGTGTTCAACCAACACCAAGACAAAAAAGCTAGTCCCAGAGAGTTTTAACAGAATCGCATTTAGAAGTTCCAATTTGCAAAATGAACCTGTCTTTGCTAGCGTCACTCTCTAGAAGGCAAGTACAACAACTATAAGATAGAATTTGGTACAAACTGGAACATTTTATTTCTTCTTCTTTACATAGAAATTGCTGATTGTATTTTTTTGAATGACAATAAATTTTACTGTTTAGAGACGATACCTTGTGGCATTGTGCTCTTCTCGGAACTTGCTGTTTCAGCACCAAGGGAAGGAAAATCTCCAGAAGTCAAAGAAAACCCATCAGTTTTTGTTGGAGCAACTCCCTGTGGAAGACGGTGGGAAGTCTCGAAGAGTTAATATACATTTCATCATACATAATGCAAAGTTGGGTAAATTGTCACAACTAGCCTACAAGAAAACCTTGCAGACACGGAGTTTATCAAACCATCATGAAACCCCTTCCATAAAATTCCATTTGCCAAACCAGAACCCAGACTTGGTTATTAGAGAACATACGCCACTAAGTTGCCAGATCATCTTTCGCACTACAAACCATTATCTAAGAGAAAAAATAAGTGCCTAAAATTGATAAACTCAGCATCCTAATTTCGTTCCCACAGCAAACACGAATTATATATCCCAGCAAATAAAATTCTACTCAGACTGGAGATCGATCATTAATCTAACAAAACTATTACTATTCACTGTTTCACAAAAATAAGAACTCGCTGTGCGTTTATTGCAACAAATCACAAGTGAAGTAAGAGGACAGTAACATGGAGCTCAACAGATGTAAGGATACACAAACGGATAATGCTGATGCAATTATGCAAAGTCGAGTCAGATAAATAATAGAGACTATATTTAAAGGGAAGAACCGTACATGTTGACCCCATGTAGCAGAAGTCTCTGACACGGCTTCGGCAAATCGGGATAACTGGGAACTTCCAGGTCTTGTGTCTGCACTATGCGGACGCTGTAGTGCAACTGACGCCTGATTAGATGGAAACACCCCGGATGCTGATGAAGGCCGGGAGTTCGATGCAATAGAAGAAGAATCATGCCCTTTGTCACTATCAGCGGTTGAAGGTCGAGTGACACTTCCACCAGAAGAAGGGCGATTACTAAGGTGGCTTGGTGAACCAGGGCCACTTTCAGTTCGTGGTGACAATGATGATGTCCCCCACGCATTCAGAGATGATTTACTGCCCCAACTAAGGGTTCCCCTACAATAGATGTCCAGAAGAAAAATTGAACTCTCTAAAATTTGAGGACGAAAGAGGAATCTGAAATAGGCACAAACTTACTTTGGAACAATTTCCACATTGGGGTCAAGGCCTTGATTCTCTAACCTTGGATTCAGAAGACAAGTGCTCAGGAACAAGATTATATATATATTTAGACTAAATATGATCATGCACTCATCAACTACCTTTGGCTTGGTAAGTTAATCGGTTTTGGAACAGCAACCTTTCCCAATATAGTCATGCCACTTCTTCTTGTAGTACCCCATCTGCTAATTAATCCAGCAAATGTAATTTGTTATCAAAGCAATGATTCTATACCCGTAATGCTATTTTACCATACGGCAAATTGAGAACAAGTGATTCGTCTTAAGAAAAAGCCACATCGAAGTAAAGTGATATATCACGAAAATGGGGCCAAAATTTTCTACTGTGTTTTTTACACACTAAATAATATAACCCAGTATTAAAACACAGAAAAGTTAAAGACAAAAGAAAAGAATAGAAACCTTCGATCTCCTGTCGTGCTAGAGGTCATTATTAAGCAGCTACAGGATCCAACTACCCCTTTTGAAGCCTGTAAGGCACGGTGCAAGATTAGGTTCACCAATGAAATTTAAAGCTGAAATCCGAAAGAATCCAACTGACTCTGAAGAACTATTGATATGATAAAAGGAATCGACTTGACCAATTTACACAAGAAAGCAAACAAATTCAACTTAGATATCAAACTGAGCTGAATGCAGAGATGGAAGAATTCGGACTATGAACTGTTGAGAAGGATATATCGGCTACAGAATCAGACTGCCTTTACAAGTTCCCCCAAACACGAACTCATAGTCTAACTACCAGCAGCTAATAGAACCCGGAGCTATAAATCTCAAAAGTCAAAAACTTTCTAAAAATTACCACCATAAAAGAGAGAATACAAAAACTTCAAGCAAAGTAAACTGTAGACACCCATCAATTGCTAGAAACAGAAAATGTTCGACAATCAAATTGCTGCAGAAACCCTAAAACTATCAACGATGGCCTAACTGCGTAATCAAAATTCGTGCGAGACTATATGACCGCATTCCTAAAAACCAAGTTACGTGCTCCCAAAATTTAAGGAATTTCGCCAGTATTCAATCAATCAACGACCTTCTAAGCACAGAAATGCATCCAGCAATGTCAATCAAGCTCTAAAAGAGGACCCAATTACTTGAACAAGGGACACATAATTTTCAGTCGATAATTTCTAAAAACTCGTCACTCGTCGCCTTCAATATGGCACGAGATTGCTCTAGAAGATAAAAACGAGGAAAGGGAAGGGAGCGATGAAGAGAAATAACTGACCAAAGGGAAAAAATAGAATATCTCCTTAGAGGGGCTCCTCGCAAACCCTAGAAATCGTGAGAACCCAACAGGAGGGGCAGATCGGATGTTCTGCTGGGTGATTGATGAAATCGAAGAAGGAAGGCGAAGGAAGAAACGAAGGATCTGTGGAGAAAAAACGAATACAAGTGATGAAGCTTACGTTCAACGGATTGGTTGAAAGACGAGAAAGCGTCGAAGTTCAGGGCTGCACGGTTTACTCAGTTTTTTTTTTTTCTTTTGTGTTTTGTTTATTTTGCTGTAATTTGTAACCATTGGTTTGCTCCTGATAAAAAAGTAAAAGAAAAAAAATAAGAATAAGATGAAAAAGCCAATTAACTCTGCTGGCAAAATAAAGGATTAATACTATAGGTTGATTAGTTCTCTGTTAATAATACCAGTCGTTTGAAAATTTATAAATAATTAATCCCATATTAAGATGTGCTTAGCATCTAATCAATTAATCCAGATCTCTTTTAAAGTTTTGTACTAAGTTTTTACTTTATCATTTAATGTATTAAACTAATGAATGCCTAAAAAAGGGTTTTATGATATTGTAGAGCTAACATGAGTTAGAAAGACTAGAAATTGATGCGCGCCTTGCGCGTATTTATTTGTTAATTCATATAATTATTATGTTTTTTATTTTATTTTATTTTATTTTATTATTTTTATTTTATATATTATTTTAGTTTTTAATTATCATAAATATGTAAATTTATTGTGAAATATTTTCTCTAATATAAATTGTGATATTTTAATTGTTATTAAAAACTTTCACTTATAGTTATACGTTAACATAAGTATTTATGTCTTCATATTAAATATTTTTATTTAACTAACTTATTTATGTAGTTTATTTCCAGCATGATCAGTAAAATGATTTCACAATCGATCACACACTCTTTTTTATTTTTTATTCGAAATAATTTTTTATTTTGTAGAGAATTTGTAGTTGTGTGATTTGTAGAATAAGTTTTCTTTTTTACTTTTAAATTAATGTTTATGGGAAGACTCAATTTATTGTCTCTTTTCTGTATAATTTAAAGTCGTTTAGGTATTTATTTTTTTTTCATGAGGATATATGCATATATTTTTTTTACCGATAACATTGTTGATAAGTTTTAATGTTTTGATCTGCGCGTTGTGCAAACTTATCTATTAGTTTAATTTTAGTTTTTTTATATTATTATTATGTATATGTTTATTTCTTTTTCAATATAGATTATTATGTATTATATTAATTATTAAAAAGTCTCTCGTATATTTATACTCTGCAGTAAGTGTTATATGTGTCCTAACTTATTAATTGTATTCAATTAGTTTTTGATTTTTTTTACAGTTCATTTTCACTGATAAAGTAAAATGATTATCGACCATTCCCTACTCTAAACTAAATGTTCTCTTAATTTTTTTTATCAGATTTTTTAAAAATCTAACTCATTTTTTATCATTCATTTTATTTTTTTTCCTTTTCCTAATTTTCTTAGTCCTATTATTCTGATTACAATCATTGATATTTTCTTTTATTTCATGCAAGCTTTCGTCTCATTCAATTTTGTGATTAGTTGTAACTCTAAATGAGGAGAATTGTAAATAAAGTTGGCGAGACAGAGCAAGAGATCTGTTCATATATTACATAAGTTTGATATGTTTTTATATATAAAAATTATGCTTACTTGAGAAAACTTTGATTTTAATTGATTTCGAACATTTGTCTTTTTTTGAAAAAAAATTCCGATGTGTTCATCCATCTGATGATGATGAACTACTTGACTATATTTGTGAATGTCTGTGAAAATATTCTTATCTATTTTCATGTCATGTGGAGGTAAAAAATTTGACTCTGTTAGCAAATATAATCAACTAGTATTATTCCCGATGCATAGCACCGGAAAAAACATCATTTGCCTGTATTTTTCTTCAAAAAAAAAAGAAATAGTGAGATATATAAAATTTAAAATAAACAAACTCAACTCAACAAAGATTAAGATTTGAATTTGTTTTTATTTTTTTCTTAGATATTAAGAGCTGATAGAAGCAGAATAATATACATATAGTATTTTACGTGTAAATAGAAACATGAAGTTGCCATCAAAATTAAGAATTTCAATAAAAAGTTAAATTTCTCAAGAAAACAAAAAGAAAACGTGAAATTCCAAAACATACTCAAACTCTATTGAACTCATATACTTTTCGATCTATGCAGTGTTTAAAAAAAACAACATATCAAGATTGGATTTTCTAACAGCACATCAGCACATATCTTATGAATGTAAATCGAAAACCGTCCCAAATTATCAAAGTAGATTGAATTTTCTAACAGCACATCAGCACATATCTTATTTCATGATTGTTAAATAGTTAATAACCATTCCTGAAAGCTATGAATGAGTTTTACTTTCACAGAATGAATAGCACCAAAAGATATTAAGAAGAAATCAGATAAAAAGAAAAAAAAAACAGAATTTCAAATTACAGGTTTACAAACACAGAGGTAATAACATAGAAAAGAACACATATATCGGTCATCTATTTGAGATTGAGAAGGTAACTGTTATCTCTAATTTTTTGGTAATAGATTTACTTTGGATTAGATGATTCTAAGATATATATGACTTGAAGATAGTGAATGGTGAAACTATAAAAGTGAGAAGTTGAAAGAATCGTGGGTAGAGATAAACAAAATAAACATTAGATTTTTTTATTTTTGTTTTGGTATTTTAATTTAAAAAATGGAATTTTGACCAAATAAAATAAAATAAAAATTGATTACGAAAATATAAAGGACACATGTCAAACCCACAATTGGCAACTGACTTGTGCTTTATAAATATAAAGATAATCTTATTATAATTTATTTATATACTTCATATTAAAATTTATAAATTATCCGGTTGATGAGTAAACTTATCGAATATCAATTTTCTATTGCCATCATTGAGAAAAAATAGTTGATGTATTTGCCATTTTTTTCTATTTCGTATCAATCAAACTTATTTATATCCTATATAATTAAACATTTTAGTTTTTCATTTATAAAAAATATTTATTTATTTTACATAGTAAAGTAGATATGAATGATTTTTATTTTTTTATGCATTAATCTTTTTGAGAATTTTTTTTAAAAAGTTTGATAACTATTATCTGCAAGTTTTTATATCGTCTTTCGTAATTGTTTACCTTCCAACTCTTTTTCACTCTCTAATTATTTATATTCAAAATAACTCTTTTCATATTCTATTTATTTATATTCAAAATAACATTTTGAATTTTTTATTTAATAGAAAATTTATGTTTCATGATTTGTAAAATAAGTATTTATTTTATATGAATGATTTTACTTTAGTTTTATACATAAATCTTTCTAAGGTTTTTTTTATAAAATGTTTTGAGAATTATTTTCTGTAATTTATTCATCTATCTTTTGTATGTGTTTGACTTTCAAATTCTTTTTCATAAACAAAAAATATAAGTTTGTAATTTTATGACTTGTAAAAAGAAGTATTTGTTTTTAATTTCAAATTTATCATATTAAAAGCCCAAAAATAATAACCCAAAATATAAAAACTTAAAAACAAAATCCAAAATATTTAGAAGCCCATTTTGAAATAAAAATTATGCTGATGTGGACACCTTAGATGGAGAGAAGATTTTCTCATTATATATACTAGGAGAATACCCGCGCATACGTGCAGATTTTTAATTTTTTAAAAAATTGATGTTAAACCGATTTTACATTTTATATATTATATATTATATATTTTTCAGCTTAAAAATTGGATTTTAAATTAGTTGCATTAAATATTTTATAAATAAATATATTAGGATTTTGATATTTTATTAATTTAAAAATTATTAATGGATCAAGTTTGAATAAAATAAATTATTAAATAACTATTATTTTATAAAGAAATTATTTAAAAATTTATATCATATTGTAAAAAAATTTGTTCTAACTTTTTAAAATTCAAAATATCAAATAATTGTTATTTTTATATTTGTATAAATGTTTTTATAATAATAACTTATAATACTAATAAGAAATAAGAAAACACTCTTAAATAAGAAACATAAATTGTTTTAATGATTTTAAAAATTACCAAAAATATATACTCAGTATTTTGTTTTTGGATATTAAGTATTTAATGTTGTTAAAATATTTTATCTAATATTTCATATTCTTCATATTTTTTTAGTATTATGATTAATTATACATTAATTTATGTATTAACTGTATTTCATATAATTTGTATTATTAAATTTTAAAAAATAAACCAAAATGATGAGGTGTCACTCAACTGGAGAGAGTTGGTCATCTTTTATAGTATAGATTATGGTCTATATTATGTATTAAGATTTAAGAGGTTAAGTTATAATTTTGTTTTTAATATAAATTAGATAAGATTTAAAATCATGGGAATAAATTAAAGAAATGTAAACTCAAACTAAAAAATATTTTGTATTTTGATTATTTGTAAGTGTAATTATCTAATTTGCTAAGAAATCTATATTTCAGCTAGTTATGCATTTTTATGAGTTACTTATCCTATATTGATTATGTTTAATTTTGGGTTAGACATTTTATTCAAAACCTTATTTGGAGAATGATCTAGTTTAGAAAATGGTGTGTTTATATTAAAGTTATTATCTTTATTTAAAATATAAGGTTAGAACTTTGTATCTATTTATATTTAGTGTCTTTGAAAATATCTATCTTGTTTTACAGTTTTGATATAAAAAAATTTGTATAATATTATTTTGTATAATACAGTTCTTCGATATAATACAATTCTTCTATATAAGTATAGGGTTTGATCCATGCTACTAATAATTATTTTAAATATTTTAAATATAATATCTTACTTATATAATAATTGTTTGAATGTAATGTTATAAATTTATAAGATAATTTTTATAAATTGCTTATGATGCATTTGAGATTGGTGTTATTTTATATGAAATATTATGTAATTATCTATTTTTTGTATGGTCTTTGTGAGTTGTTTCTTTTATATTTTAAACAGTAAGGGAATTATAATTATGTTTTATGTATTTTTTGTTTGTTGTGTGTGTAGAAGTTATAAGTAGTTGTTTTTCTTTTGTGTTGTAATAGAAAATAGAAGCAAATGAGTGATAATTTGTTTATTTGTTTGTATTTTGTTCTTATTTCATTTCGTAATTAGAAGTTTGAACACAAATTTAAATGCAAAACTTGATAAAATAGACATAATCTTTATGAATCCTTCTTTTGTCTTTCTCAATTGCTTATTTTTATCGTGAGAAGGTTATGAATTTTAAAAATCCTTTTAAAGTTCTAACCTTTGACCCGTTTACACAAAAAAGCAAACAATCCAAGCAAGCTTAGCAGGGCAAACACATATAACTTCATCGAATCTTCGACTGACAAAAAACGTCTTTCCCTGGATATTCGGTGACCTATAATTTGTGTAGATGAATAAAACGGCCAGCCTCCAAAGCCTGGATACATCTCACATAGAACAGTATGTAAGCTTACACTTGTGATCATGGTCGTATCATGGCATTTTTCTCTGACAGTTTTGGAAAGGGAAACTGGAAAAAATGTTTAGCTTTGTTATAATGATTTGATGAGCAGATTATGAAAGAGCATAACTAAAACAGGTGGTTAAATAGCAGAATTTATCTATACATGATGTAGTAAAAGGAAGAAGTTCATAACAGGGGACGCCATATCCAACATTGTCAATTATTTAAAACCGACCATTTACGAAAACATGAGCTTTCGTCAAGTTTTTTAGCTCACCCACAAAAAGACATGTTTAGTAAGTAATCCAGATTACACTATCTCTTCTACACTGTTTATTATCTTGAAATAAATGTATACTAAACGAAGATAAAACGCCATCGAATATTAAGATAGTTAAGAAAAAAATCACAAAGATATTAGAAACACAAACGGCGCAAATTTATTGAGTGAATGAAGGAACTTTAAAAGAGAGATCTCAGTTTTGTGGAAAAATTAATGATACAATTTTAAAAATGTTTTGATTCTTACTTGATCCCCTAATGCCTCATTGGGATCAGTTTTACTCAAACGATGCCTCTTCATAACAACACAAACCCAATAAACCGGATGCACAAAACAACATGATGAATTTAATATATATATGTCATACCAATTTCAGAAACTCATAATATGAAACAATGTATCTTACCTTTCAGTAGCCTTACTTCTCTTCCAGCACAAGATAATGAAACTATGTCAATATATTATCTGATGGAATTTAAAAATGAGAGTGGAAAACTGAGGAGGTGGAAAGGAGCTTAAGAAAGAGATTATGGCTTTGTGGAAGACGATGGGTTTAGTTTGGGGATGAGTCTCTGTTTTAAATAGGGTTTTGTGGCATAACGTTTTTAGGAGGAGCCGAAGAGGTGTTTTCTGAAATTGATTGCGAGAATTATACATGTTGGCGTGGAAAATCAGAGGTTACATTAGATATATTTGAAGGGTTTTAATTGTTAAGAAGCGTAAGTAGATTTTGTTGGGCTTAGACGTGTTTTAGGAAGAGCTGATTAGAAGTGATTTACAATGAGAAGGTGCTGATGTGGCATGATTTTGGAGCATTTTGTCTTTGTTGTGTCTTGTAGTCAGCATTTTCTGATTTTTTTTTTCTTCGGGTGGTTTTGTGGTCGTTTTATTCTTTCTTACGAACTCGTTTGTTGATATATGGTGTTTGTAGTTTTTGTTAAAAGGGAAGCTCTTTATTTTGTAATTCAATAATTTGTGCTAATTGCATATTATTGATTAGTGTTAATTGATTTGTTTGTTATTGAGAATCGTAAATTGGGGAGTGATATTTTGTTGTCTTCTGTGAATTTGTTAAGTAGTATTTCTCGTATCATTTTTTCTCTTATTTTTATTTGTAGTTTATTAGGAAGCTGTTTTGAAAAGTATCCAGATTTGTTTCTTCGTTTTAATGATTAAAGATTTTGTTAATCGATTGTTAACTATAGAAAACAATATTTAGCACCTTGACAGGATTGTCAGTTATTATATTGTTGGAGTGATAAAGATCATCATCACGTACATGTAAGGAGATTATAGGATGATAATAATTTTCGGTGCTGTAGGTTTTCTGCAATTTAAATTATTTAAAATATGTAATTGAGGAAGTATTCGGTCGTCTGGTTTATATAGTCAAGTGTTATGCGAAAACATATTTGTTTTGTATGCAATTTTTGTTTTACTTGTTTGAGACAGAAATGAGTTATTTTATAATGGGCTGTTACAGATGTGTTTAATTAATATAAATTATTGGTTTTTAACTTGTTGATTTTTTATTTTTATTTTTCAAGCTTTAAAAACTGATGCCATGTGGCATTGTGTAAGAGAGTTTTTTTTGCTTAGATGGATAGTCTAAAGAGCCCCAAATAGTCCATTTTATTTAGTATAGATGATTGTTATAGACTGTTTTTTTTTTTTAATGAAAAGTAAGTTGTGATTTATGTTTCATATTCTTCTGAAGAGTTATAAATTTTTTAATATTAAGATATCTACATTTCTTTTCATTTTTTAAATACTTTTAAAACTACATTAACTTTCAATGTATTAAGATATCTACATTTCTTAAAATGAATAGTACAAAATCAATTCTTCCAATTTTAAACCGATTATAGCCAAATCCTAAAAGCTTTTAGTTAGCCATGTTTTAAAAGTATGAAATTGGATTATCATTTAACAAAAAAAAGACAATAATTTTAGATGAGTATATGCATCAATTAAGTTTTAAACTGGCTTTTTTATAAATTTTTGGTTTGACATAATCTTTTTTATTTAATATTGATTAAAATTCTAAAACTCTTCTTTTTTTCCCTAGGATCCTTTAGATTGATGGGCACTTCGAACATTGTAAACTGAACACCATTAACAATCATGAAATAAGTTCAAGAAAAAAAAATAGAAAAAAAACAATCATGAAATGACATTTTTCTTATTTGTTTGATACTTAGGAAAAAGAATGATATTTTAAAATGTAAAAAAAAAAAATTGATATTTTAAGTCGGCGCATGTACACATCTAAACTATTGTTATCTTAAAACTCCGAATTACATGTGAAAATGGAGAAGTGACGTGAATCTATAAAGTATTACACACAACCATTCACAAGTCTTGTAGTAAACAGAGATCCTGAATAAGTTCAGTGTCTCACTTGGTTCATGTACTGTCGTTTCCAGCGAAAAAAAAACTGAAACTCTTCACACAAAAGGCAAAAACACAATCTCTTCTTAATGGGAACAAAGAGCTTCGACCTAATTACACATTGTTTTTTCTCAGCTTACACATAAAGCCTCCCAGAGCGATCCATTCGTCCGTGAGGGGGTTTTGGGTTTGTTCTACGACCTTATAATCCTCTGTTTCGCAATTCGACAGGTACTTTTTGTTTGTCTTTTTATGTTTTGGCAGATAGTCTTGGGTTTTAGAATATGTCTGCGAGGATTAAAAGCTTTCAGCTTTTTTTGCCACTGCCTTGTGAAGAAAGCTTTCAACTTTATCTCTTGAGATTCTTCAAGGGTTATTTTAATCTCCTTCAAATTCATAACTTCAGATTTATCAGCCAAAAAGGTTTAGTCTCGTTGGACAGCTACAAAACCCACTTGTGTTTCTTCTCTTTTTTGCGTCCTTCCATAATTTAAATATATATAAAAAAAGAGCTCTTTTTTCCAGCTACAAAGCCCACTCTGTTTCTGGGTTCTCTCCTTCGTTGAGAATTTGTTTTTGTTTTTTTTTTCTTTTTCTTTCTGGTTTTGTGTTTTAGTTTGGAGAGAAAATGGGACAGGTTCCGAGGATTCTGTCGTGGAGGAACATGTTGGTCCTCTCGTTGGCCGTAAACTTCAGCTTGATTCTTAGGATTTTGAAGGGTGGCGGTGGAAATTCCTTGGATATAATGGCGTATGTTAGCATATGGCCTGTGGTTTCCACCTCCTTGGATAGAACGGCGTATAATAGCATGTGGCCTGTAGTATCCAGAACGGCCTCCGGAACGTCTTCCTTATCTTCGTCATCTTGCAACTATAACGAGATTGAAGAAGATGATGATAGAATTATCAATCTCAAACTGTAAGCTTCTACTTTTTTTATATATCTCTCTTTTGGCGTTCTTGATTGAAAATTCTACCAAAGTTCTAGTTTTGTCACTAATTAATCACTGTGATAGAATTTTGATTGCTTGTTCATTGTTTCTTTGTGTTGTCAGACTAATAAATGTGCATTAATGGCGTATCATCTAGAATCTATAAACAAATTTATCCCTTATCACATACTTAATTATTTGCTTTGAAAGCCCACTGGTTATATAGATAGGTAGTATCTAAGATTATTATCCTGTTAAGCACGCAAGTGAATGCAAACGTCAAAAGAGGGACAATATGGTAAATCGAAAGGTTGTGGTGATCGTCTTCGTTCGTTGACTCGCCTTTATTTTCTAACAAAGTAGATTGTAAATTTTGTCTGAGTTCTGTGTATGCTTGGGTTTCTTAACGTACGCCGCTAGTTTGAATATTTGGTTCTGTTATTTGCTTTCTTATGACTCGTCAAACAAATCCTAAAGAGTATAAAACAAAAACCAAAAAGAAAATCTTTGCATATTGATTGATTGATCTTGGTGGTCCATTTTTGATTTCTTATGGGAGTTTATATTATAATGGTCATAAATGTAAATTGGAAATGGGCCATTCTTCTTGATAATGAAAGTAAAGAAGAGAGTGATTTTTATTTATTTATATATGGATTTGGTATGTGGAATGTTGTGAGAGGAAGGAAGATAGTGAGTGATGTTCCTTTTTGGATGCTCGCGATTAATTTAGTACTAGTCATATTATAACCAATGGGCTGAAAATTCGAAAATTGAGATCGAGACAAACTCTTTTGATTCACTCTTATTCCAATTTTATCTATTGTCAAAAGAGAAAATGTAGAGAAGGTCCCACGTTTTGGTGGACATGATTCTGCATACATGCATAGATTAATATTAATTTGGTGATCTGCTTGACCATGTTCTTTGCTGTTCCAGAAATAGGAACGTGATGTTTTATGTTCTCCATTAAAAAAACAGGACCTTAACGAGATCTTGTCACGATGTATACGTTCATAATACGTAAATATGCTAACCTCGATCGATGTGGTTATACGCAGTGGCGATCCAACGGTGTATGAGAGGTACTGGCAAGAAATGGGGGAGATGACAACAATGGTGATACCTGGATGGCAATCTCTCAGCTACTTCTCAGATAACAACAACAACCTTTGTTGGTTTCTTGAACCAGAGCTTGGCAAAGAGATTGTGAGGGTACATAAGGTTGTTGGGAACGCTGTAACGCAAGACCGGTTCATTGTTGTTGGCACTGGCTCTACACAGTTGTATCAGGCTGCTCTCTACGCTCTCTCCCCACACGATGATTCGGGTCCCATTGATGTCGTCTCAGCTGCACCCTTCTATAGTGTGAGTTAGGCTTTGTAAGTTATATATAGGAGACTCAAGGAGTTATAAAGAGCTAAAATTTCCTTACAAAACATAACTATAGCATATATACATCAAGTTAACGTGTATAAACGTACGTTTTGGTTGCAGTCATACCCGTTGATTACAGATTGTCTCAAATCGGGTTTATATCGATGGGGAGGAGATGCAAAGACATACAAGGGAGAAGGTCCATACATTGAACTTGTTACATCTCCAAACAACCCTGATGGGTTCTTGAGACATTCGGTAGTGAACCGTAGTAAAGGTATACTGATCCATGATTTGGCGTACTACTGGCCACAGTATACGCCGATAACATCGATAGCTGATCACGACGTAATGCTCTTCACTGCTTCAAAGAGCACTGGCCATGCAGGGATGCGCATAGGGTACATTATATATTGCTACGTTTTACTTTGTGGGAATAAAACAAAAAAGGATGTGTCTCTTAAATGTTACGTTTTGTTTTGCAGATGGGGTTTGGTGAAAGACAGAGAGACGGCGAGGAAAATGACAGAGTACATAGAACTCAACACGATTGGGGTTTCAAAGGACTCGCAGCTTCGAGCAGCCAAGGTTTTGAAAGTTGTATCAGACAGTTGTGGAAGAAGTGGTAATGAAACGAAAACTAAATCCTTCTTTGAGCACAGTTATGATGCCATGTCCGAGAGGTGGAAGCTATTGAGACAAGCAGCAAAGAATAGTAAACGTTTCACCGTTCCTGATTTCACCTCTCAACGCTGCAATTTCCTTGGCAAGGTCTTTGAGTCACAACCAGGTACGTTAGACGAAAAACGAAGTATTATAAACTTTAAGAGTTCTTTTTTTTTGTTTCTTCTAATTTGATTGTATTGGTGTATTTTGTGCAGCTTTTGCATGGTTAAAATGTGAAGAAGGGATTATAGATTGTGAAAAGTTTCTGAGAGAGAAGAAGAAGATTCTAACGAAAAGTGGAAAGTATTTTGGAGATGATCAGAGTTATGTCAGAATAAGCATGTTAGATAGAGATTCTAACTTTAATATTTTCCTTAGCAGGATTTCATCTTCCTTCAATTCAACTTTGTGAGTACATGCACATGTGATGATATAGATCTATGTCATAACATTGTAACAACTGTTCTCTCCATTTTATTGGAAATTTGAATAATGACCGATATTTCATTTGATCGAACCATCTTAGATGAATGAACATGCATTCATTCACTATTGAGCGCTTGTTTCATTGTTTAACCAACGTTCATCCCACAATATTCTCTATTGATACTTAATAGTAGCATGATGCGGTTCCTTTTTTCACTATTACAAATTAGATTTCCTTGTTAAATTAAAATTTAATCCACTAGAAACAAACATTAAATTTTACACATATTTGATCCATAATCGGGTTAGTATATAATGTTCTTTAAAGTTGTTCGAAAGAGCGTCATCTAACAATTCTATATATATATAAAAAAAAACTTCTAGAAACAAACATTAAATTTTATATACTCACAATATTATATATGGATGAGGGAGAAGAGATGAAGGGGAGAGACAACCACACAAACATTCACGTGATGTTTCTGCAAAATTCATCATCAACTTTCTCCTGACTACGCCACATCACATCTTTTTGTGGAACTATTCCATCGTCAAAACGGCCGTTCGTAATTTGTCTTTTTCCACAATCAGATCCTCCCTTCTCTATCAACTTGATCATCTACATAATAACTCTTCTTGTCTTTTTCCTTCTTCACAAATCATGGAGTTCTTTGTTGTGATGAGAGAGATTTGTTATTATTTATTTTGATACATAATTAATCCGATACTGAGGTTGAGTTTCAATTACACAAGATTCTTGAATCTTAAACATTTTTTTGCTTGTTTCCAAACCTTTTATCTCATCCTTATTCCTTACGCAAATCACCATGCTCGTTATTTTTTGTTTGACAACCAATTATGTATGCTTCACGTACACTTTCAAGCAAACCCAACAACTCAACAAGTTATAAACTGTTTTGTAATTTTGTACTAACAAGTGAAAGTAGTTATGTATAGAGAAAAAAAGGATCTAGAGTTGGAATAAACATACAAAGAGCGTCGTGCTCTTACCTCTTTTGCGAGACAACTTGCAAGACCGGTCTTAATTATAATGAATGCATAGGTTTTAAATAAGAAACGTTTTTTTGCTGGCAATCCTGCAACAACTGGTTTAAGATACATTGTAATTGGCGGGTTTAAACAACTCAAATTTAACGCGGTTGAACAGGTCCAAAACAAGACTAGACCGGTTGGTCCACAGATTTTTGGCTCACAGTAAACACTGCAACGTATATATAAATATATATAGCAAAACAAAAATCCAAAAAAAACAAAACACAAACAGTTTTATTTCAAAATCATACGAATTACAAAGATGTTATGCTATATACTTAAAACTGGATCTACAAAATTCATTGAACAATTTTGAAATCTCGAGCAACTATATAATATAAGAAATTAGAGTACATATTAGTTCTCTGTTATATGGAAATAGATAAACCATCTGGAACTATATATCCAAAACTATTAGAGCATCTCTATCGTAAGGATGTACACAATTAAAGAAAAAAAATTTAAAAGTAAGAAAAAACGCTAGAAAAGTATGAGAAAATGTGAGAAACGATTTTTTTAAGAGACATATCTCAAACTTTTTATCTAGTTGTCAAGTTATAATTGGTTTACTTTTATTTTTAACATTAAAAGGAAATTATTTATTTTAACTATATTCAACTAATAATATTAAATTCTTCAATACTCTTATTTGGGTATCTATAGGGTGTTCTAAGTGCACATGTTATTAGAACAGTAGCTTAGTACTTAAAACTACCCGACGTATACGATGTCACACATGGGCATAACATGCTCATTTCTGATAAGATTGGATATACTCTCGTGACCCAAAAAAAAAAAAAAATTGGTAGATGAATTTGGGAATAAATTATGGCCAATTTGAGTACTTAATTGTGAATTTGAAAAGGGCTGCACAAGCCATGCCGTAAATTTTGGTTTGTAACTTTGTAGAAACTAGAAACACAAGGTAATTTAACGAAAAACAATAATACCAAAACAAATTCAGTATATCATGTAGTTCATTTGGTTGAATACAAAAATATTACAGAAGTATTTATTATTAACATTCTATGAGTTGATGCCTAATTGAAGACTTTTAAAAAAAAAAATGAACAACAAAAGGCAAAATTTACGCCGGATTTATACTCTTGACACGTTATTATCTTTACGTCCCATGCGCTTGCCATTTTGCTGTGATCAGTAAGTTCCCAAAGACACTTTTGCTTTCACTACACTTCCCACTTTGATCCTTTTTTATTGGCAGAATTACTGAGTCAGACATATCTTGAACAAAACCCTAATTAAGTCCCTTCTAATCACTAATTAATCTCAAACCCACCACTGCACCACCTAATTAAAACTAACATTAATTAATGGAACAATTTTTTTTGTTTATTTACCATATATACTGTACTTTTCATTAAACCTGGATGGGTCTTTTATTTATTTTTGTTGATGAACCTATTAACTATATGGTAACTATATATATGAGAAATATGCTAAAAAAAAAGGCCCCCTTTTACTAAGCGGCAGGCTTGGGAATTTGTTGACCACAATCTCATCATCTCTCTCTCTTATCTTCACTGTTTCGACTTTTCATCGGATTAAATCAAAATATACATATTTTTCTCTTCTTTTCATTATTTGTACTCTTAACCCTCATGAATTATTGGTCTCCGGAATAGTTTTTTAAGTTACAATTCAACTGTACGGATGTCTCTTGTGATGTTAAAGAATTAAGAAACAAAGAGAGAGAGAGGAGAGAAGAAAAATGAATTTTGAGGAGCAAGAAGAAGAAATGGAGATGTCGGGCAACCCCCCTGGCGGTTACGACTCTCTGAGCGGCGAGGGAGCCACCTCGAGCGGCGGTGGTGGAGGAGGACGGAGAAAAAGCGTTGCAGGAAAGATAAGGTATAGAGAGTGCTTGAAGAATCATGCCGTTAACATCGGTGGTCACGCCGTGGACGGCTGCTGCGAGTTCATGCCATCCGGTGAAGACGGTTCGCTCGACGCTCTCAAGTGCGCAGCTTGTGGCTGCCACCGCAACTTCCACCGCAAGGAAACCGAAATTACCGGCGGCAGGGCTCACAGAGTTCCAACGTACTACAACCGTCCGCCGCAGCTGCCACCGCCAGGATATCTTCATCTAACACCTCCTCCGACGGCAGGGCAGCCTTACAGGCCACCCGCGGCCTCGGGAGACGAGGAGGACACGTCGAATCCGAGCAGCAGCGGTGGGACCACGGCTAAGAGGTTTAGAACGAAGTTCACGGCGGAGCAGAAGGAAAAGATGCTAGCCTTCGCGGAGAGGTTGGGGTGGCGGATTCAGAAGCACGACGACGTGGCGGTTGAGCAGTTCTGTGCGGAGACTGGTGTTAGGAGACAAGTGCTTAAAATCTGGATGCATAACAACAAGAACTCTCTTGGTAAGAAACCCTAATTTTGCTCCGACATATGATTTAAGCACAAGAGATCATCATTGCTTCTTTTTTTTGTTTGGTATGACTCTTTTGTAGCTGCTTGTACTTCTGGACTGGACATGATTGCTTCTTTTAGTTAATAATTTAAACAAGTACTTTGGGACGGTTTAGGACGCATTGTGATTAAACTATATCTCTTAATTAACTTTGTTTCGAATATGGTTAATTGATAAATATACTTATGGAGCAACTAAATATATAACGAACCAATAAAATGATCCAAATTTAAAGCGCACGTACGGTTGCTAGAGTTGTAAACCAATGAATTTCACCCTCAGCTGTATCTTAGGATCTGTAGCTGCTTTGTGTCTTTGTAAACAAACCAACTTTGGTAATCAAAAGAGAAAGCATTGCAATTTTGTTTTTGTTTTTTTTTTAAATAGCTCTTTCTCAAATCTACCAAATGCTTCTTTGATATCAGTTTTTATTAGTCCTAGATATAAATATCAACAAGATTAATTATCATTTCTAATTCTGACAAACATTTCTAATTCAGTCCATATCCCTAATTCAATTATAGTTCGAAAAACAAACCCCAAACTCTTGAAATTAAACCAATGATTTTGGATGGAGATGATAATATCCATCTTGATGCAGAAAATGACGAGAGAGACATGAATTCAATTTGTCACCTTCTTCTCGCTATCTTACCAAAACTCACCGCTTATCACATTAACTGGCCTCCTTCTCTCTTTTTTTCCTTTTATGTTCACTTTTTTCTATTAAGCTTCGCTTCGAAATCTCTCACTCTTTTGTCTCTTTCACATCACGACACAACCCCATTAATAGACTACCATTTAATTGCTGTAACGGTTTGACGTAAACATATCAAATCACTCTTGAGGTTCTTTTTCTCTATAATATTTTCGAGATTTAATTAATTTTCGAAAGATAAAATAAAAATTGAATCTTTTATAAAACAGTTTTTGTAGTTTAGTCATATGTTGAAGATCTTGGAAGATATGTAGAAAGTTCCATTATGAGCCAAGATCCAATAAAGTTTCAAATAAATCATGGAATCGGATACTTTGTCACACATATCATTAATTCGACCATGCTTAAAAAGCTGCGACCCTTTGTTATATTTTTCATTTCGCAAACCTTTGATAAATAACGGTTATTTCTCTAGTGAAGTGAATTACAGTTCACGGAATCACTGGTGTCGTTGCCTAGGTTTTGATCGTCAAGTGCTACCATCTTAAATTGAGTCTGTTTTTAGATTATGGCTTCATACTTTGCATGTCATAGATTTTTCCATCTCAAATCTACTATAATGTTGCAATTATGAATTGTGTGTCTTTATCATAATGCTTCTCTTTGCGACTATGTACTTGTATGATCATTTCTTCACTTTAGATCTTAGTCTTTTTTCCATTCAACACTCACGTTATTTCAAATCTATTTCTTTTATTTTTTTTAGAATCCCCATCTTTTCAATAATGGATATTAACTCGCTAAGCTAAACATATTCCAATAATTATTTGATATAAGTAAGAATTTCCAAAATATTTTAAAATTCAGAAGATCTTAGACGTTTTTGAATGTGTGTAATATAACACGCTCATAAACATTTTTTTGATAAACTGCAACATGTCGTTTAAGCAGTGACTCAAAATCTTCATGAATTTCGAAGACACCGTACTAGATTGAGGAATACCACAATATGGTACGGTAAAAAAGGAAGTAAAAAAAACTTTTAGCGATAGCTTTTAGCTTTTACATACATAACTTTTAGGGTTTGTATCGTTCCATTCAGAGAGATTAGTAATTATAAAAAGAGTCCTAATTAAAATGTACATGCCTCAATTTCGATTATCTTTTATTTTGTTATAAGTCCATCTTGTATTTCACAACAAAGCCTTTGATTATATCATGATATTTATTTCACAATTTGTTGAAAAATAATTAAGCGCTTTATATATAAAGAATTATATGTCTTTGTTGCAACTCTTTGTTCTCGTAAAACTACTGCTTTTTTACTAATAATCAAGTTCATGTTTAGCATTTATATCTTCTTTTAGCTTTATATGCTTTGCAATTTTACGTATGTAAAGTTTTTCTTTATGTTTATAAACCCGAACCAACTATAAATTAGATTGGCCATTAGATTAGTAGGAAAATATGAATAGAGCATATGTTTATTCAATAGTTAAGATAAAATATAATATATTAATAATAATAAAGTTGATTTGACAGAGAAATAAATATATCGGAGGGGTACGAGTTCTCTAGTTAAGACCACCTCTAATGGAAGTTCTGAACTATAGTATCTAAACCTTAAAAATAATAAAAATAATAAAAAAGGAAGAAAGAGATAAAAAGAAAACAAGAACCAGTGTCAAAAGCTTCTAGTTCAGAGTCGATCTCTAAACTTTTGAGGACATGTGCTTTCTTATTAGTGGTTTATTTCTTTTTATTATTAAAATTAATTATTTTATTAAATTATAATAATATAATATTTTTAATGAACCTATAAATAAGTCTCTACCGTTGGCCATGCTCTAAGATGACCAGAAACACAACTCCATATTACCTTTTATTTAAGAACAAGAAGAACCTAATAAATCACGCTCTTTAGAAAAAAAGAACCGAAATCAATCTCACTGCTGTAATCGATCGGCTGCTCCAAATGTCTCTTTACCATCTCCACACACGGTTCCACCACTTGCTTGTTCCATATCTTTCTCTGCATCTCATCTCCACCTTTGCCTTCTTTGGCTGCCCTAATGGCCTCCTTAAACGTTGATGTAGCATCCACCTTTCTGATATCCCACCCGGCAGCTCTCAACTTCTTGATCTTCTTGATTTGATCTCTCGTGAGCTGAAATGTGTTCTCCTTTATCGCTCTCACCGCCTTATCATAAGCCTTCTTCCTCACAAGGTCCCATTTCCCCATGCCACTGTACGTTTTAAGGTAGCCATCAAACTCTTGCACCCCTATAGCCTTCCATATCCCCATTGGCTCTTTCGGGGCCTTTTTAGCGCGGTGGAACTCAGCGATCTCCTCGAACATACCTGTCTTCATCATCTTATCCAAACGTAATGAAAGATACTCAAATAACACAGACCGAGCCACGTCTATCCAAATGAAACAACAATCATAACGCAGCCCTGAGCAGATTGAGCCGTTGGGAGAAAACGGATAGTTTTCAGGGTCGAAAGAATTTGCAAGAAGATCGTGAATGTAAGAGTTGGATCCACCGGCAAGGATCGGGAGCTTCTTACGGTGAGTAATCCCGGAGATGGCTTGAGCCGCAACATTGCGAAACTCTGATGCTGTGACTTCTCCCTCCTCCGGGTTTAGTTCACCGAGAAGGTGATGTGGCACTCCACGTCTTTCCGCCATGGTGGATTGGTTAGTGGTTATGTTCAAGCCATCGTAGAACTGCATTTTGTCAGAGTTGATGATCTCTGCTTGAAAATGTAAAGCAAGATCAACAGAGAGTGATGATTTGCCCGAACCAGTGGCACCCATGATCACAACGATTTTGTCTTTAGACTTCATCTTGTAATTTCAAAAACAAGAATAGTCAAACAATGTTGCTGATATCACATTTTGGTTACCCCCATACACACAATTATATATACTGAACAATAAAATACATTCATTGTAACATCAAATAAATGAAAATTTTCAAAACTTGACAATTTATTACTATATCTAATTGATATTTAGTTAGTATATACTAGGTATAAAAACACAAGACTAAATTGGGATCTTTTAGTAAATCACAAACAAACATTCATGAGCAAATCTGGTTTTTAAAAATTGACTACATATATAATTGTCAATATAAGTATAGTTATTTATGAAAATATTATTATCAATAAAAAATTTCGGATTTTTTATTTTATATAATTTGACTATTAAACTAGCCTATTGTGCATAGTATATCTAAAAAGGAATAAAATCGATTGTTAATTATACTAATAGTGGAATATTGACAAATTAAGATATCTGGTCTAATTACATCATTTCTTAAATATCTATTTATTTTATAGTTATTTACTGGCCACAAAATTAATTAATAACTTTATATAGTTTTTCATATGATTACTACCCGCACGTTTGTGCGGATAATGTTTGAAGAAATATTTAAAAAATATATTCTATAATTTATTATGGTTCTAAATATTTGAGTATCTAAAGATATTTAGTCGAAATTTGAGAAAATTTAGTTATTTTTGTTTTTTAATTTAAAATCATATAAAGCGAGATTTATGTTTATTTTTGTCCAAGGTTTTTAAAAATAATATTTTTTTTCGTTCTTTTAATATGTGAATCAAAGAAGTTACAAAACAATAAGTACTCGTACATCTAAATATGTAAATAATTTTCATTTCCATCAATAAAACAGGTAACTAATTTAATTTATTATATCAATAAAATTGTCGAATTATTTGTGATCAGTTCGATTTAACTTTGGTTTAATTTAAGTGATTTAAAATAAAGTATTTGGTAATAAAGATAGCACAAAAAAATAAATCAATAAAAAATATTTGAAAAAAGAAGATAATGACACATAAACCTATAATGCTTCCTGTTTAATATATGTTGATTTTTTTTTAAAAAAAAATACATTGATAAAAAAGTATCTGATAAATTGTATATATTTAAATAATAATGATTGCATAAATTTTTCAAGATCCCAACTTGATTGTGTATTCTATGTAAAGAACAAAGAGAAAAAAATGTCATTCAGCATCTTATAGTACGTATAAATTTATTCAAGAACAAAAATAATTGAGCCATAACTATTTTTTTATTGTTCTCGGATCCTTTTTCATGTCTAATCTATCTTCGTTGCTCTTGGCTTCTCTCGTCACGTATCATTTCATTTGAAAAAAAAAACCAGAGTCGTTTTTGGTCTAGAAACCAAATCCACATTTCATTTTGTAAGAATCATATATATACTGCAAACCTTTTATGCAAAACTTGACCACATTAGTTCTGAAATTATTTCAAAAAACTGAATTACTAATTTATCATAACACAGTTTATGTGTATATTAATATATTTGGTTTCATTTGTATAGGTGAACAAACAAACAAACAAAATCGAAACCCAACATTTTAAAATCAGACGCGACGGTGGAGGTTCTCGTCGTCGTCGTCAACGGCGTCAGCGGCTCCAGCTGCAAGATCGAGGAATTTCTCCATCTGCACATTCATCTCCTTGAGTGCGGTTGAAGCCTTGTCGCTGTTTTTCGCAATCAAAGTCGTCACGCGCCTCATGTGCTCGCTCGAAGCCCTGACGTCGTAGTTAGCCGTGTCCGGGGATTTCTTGAGCTTAAAAGTTGCGCTCTTGAGAGCAGCCGCTACGGCCAAGTAGGCCTTGTGGCACTCTGTGAACGAGGCCTTTAGCGTCGGATCTTTCTTCGCCGCCTCATCTACGAAAACCGCCGTCTTCTCGGCGTGAGATATCGCGAGCGCCATCACGGCCTCGGCCAGTGGATGCTTTTCAAGAGATACAAGAGAAAAATTATACTTTGTTTGTTTCTATGCTTTTCAAACGTCAATGTCTACGTTTGCATGTGAAGATTTTCACATTTTTTTCTTACAATAAGTTTGTCTTTGGTTTGATTTGGAAACAAAAAAACAAAACGCAAACAAAACAATCGAGAGACATAGGTTTAAAGAAGAGAATTAATACCAGGTTAATGGGAGCAGCCGTAGGGGGATTTGTAGTTAATGTTTTAACGCAGAAAGCTTGGTCATGTGCGCGATCGCAGATGGCGTCAATGTATTTCATGTGAGGGGAGGCTGATGCTGGATTCAAGAGTAGTAGTTGCAACGTGATTGCCGCCGCGGCGAAGGTTGACATAACGGAGAATGTTGCCATTTCTTTGCGTCGGAAGTTTTCTTTTTCTCAGATTTCCGGTTGTGTTTTCAGATTTGTGTTGTTTTTGGGTTTTAGTTCCAGGCGTATATATAGATGTACGTACTTAGGGCTTGATCAGGGTTGGATAATTTTAGAAAGTACTATATTATAGCTGATATTAGATAGGTTTACTAAAAGATTTGCTTATATTTGCTAAATTTGGAAGCTCGTGTTAGTAGTTCGTGGTTTGTACAAATATAGTCAAACAAAGTCTCATTATCGTCTTTCTGTGTTTAGACAACTAGCATACGTCGTGACAAATGTTAAAGATAACAGAAAAGTTAATCTAATCCCATATATCAGCCGGGGTCGAGCCTAAAAGGAGAATATCTAAAAATACAAAAGTTGGCGTTGACAAAAGAACCAAAATTTGGCGAAAACAGTTACAAATTTTATTGAATTTTTACTTGAGATACGTACAAATTCTTCATTAGAAAAACAGATTTACAAGTTTGTATAGTTATTTTTCTTTTGTTAACACAATTTTAAATTTAGTTACATTTTGCAATTCAGACGTGAGAATGTATCTTATTAGCTGAAAAAGATGTAATTTACAATTTCATATATTTGCATACCGTATGTCAGAGAAAATGATTATTTGGATTTTGGCTGAGCTAAATTCATTACAATTTGTAGTAGAGAGTTGTGCTAGAAATTAAAAAGGGGGAGGGAATACGATATGAAATTCCACATAATATGAACAAAATAGCACAATACACATTAAGGAAACGAAAAGAAGATGAAAAAAAGGAAATTGCAAAGACTCTACTACTCTTGGTAATTGTATCTACTCAAAGATTACAGGAATAGGCAAATCCCCGAAACCAAATCAGATCTTCCGACTTCTGTCCTAAAAGAGATTCCCTCCCAAGTGTTTGGAACAACTAAATCAAAGTAATAATAATAATAATAAACTCATCCCCTTCCTTCCCTTTCCGTTGCGTAGCTTCGGCTCTCCCTGACATTAGAATTAGCTACGTCTGCTGCTATATCCCAGCTCCCACTTCTTCTTCCCCAGCTTCCATGCCTTGTTTCCGTCCTTATCGTGGCTGCTCTCTCAGCAGACCCAATAATCGATTGGTCAATGTCCAAAGTGTGATGAGGTTGGTCGTTGCTGGCCTCTGCTGCATTACATCGCTGTGAGATGTTCATTAGATCGTCCCCAATGTCTAGATCGTCTTCCACTTTCTGCCGCCGGGTCCCAGTTTCATCCTCTGCTTCGGCTGATTCTTCCCTGGTGGTGGGAGTCAGAGTAACGACTCTTGGAGGTTCTTCTTTGATGAAGGCTCTAAAGTCGTTCCTCGAGGGCTTAACCTTGGAGCAAAATACCTCCAGGAAGTTGTTTGCACAGCCACGGTTATAGACAATGGTTCTGCTGCTTGGTCTGTACCGGAAATTCTCATAGGTTGTCTGTAAAACTTGCACAATATCGCTATCAGTTGACTCACAACTTGCATATGATTAATAGTGCGGACTGGTTCCAGAGGAAAGTAGCAGTGATTGCAAGTAGAAATCAAAATTCTATAACAAAAGGGAACAACTGACCTGGTTTGTACTTATGAGGTACAAGTGAAACCCTGTGAGCCCACCAACAAACCACAGGGCGATAAAGCAGTATACCATCAGCACAACCGACAAAGGTGATTCTCTCATTGCTCTCCATACAGTTCCGCGTTGATCATCCATCAGAATCTTGATGTAAAAAGCCGACATCGAAAACACATAGATGCAGAGAAGCGTTGCCGATGAAACAAACATAAAGAAATACCTATAGTTTCTCTGCCAATGGATAGAATTTTCTAAGTCAGAGTCTACCCATGTAACAAGACAAGATGACAGGAAACAAATTGAGCAATCAGCTTAAAACAGATCTTGGACTTTTCAGATAGGAGAAAGGAAACGTCATACTTTTTTTTTCCTGGTGATATCTATGAACTATATCATTTTCAAGGTCAATATGCTTTTGAAAGAGCTTACCAGTCCAATGCATTGGCCCACCCACGGGCAATGATGATCAAAGCGCTCAACACAGTTGTTGCAAATGGAACAATGAGAGCAGCGAGGAGGCCTGTAAAGCATGCACGTATCGCAGTATTTCACTCTAACAGAAACGCCGTTAACAATGACTTCTTTCGTCCTAGGGATTTGAACACTTGGTGTTTGTCTTCCATCAGCTGATACTGTTGTCTCATAGCGTAGGTCTTCCTCTGGTGGATGTGAATTTCGTGGAACAATACCAGGATCTCGTGCAGATGTGAAGCAGAGGAGGATCAATACCTGTCAAAACCAACTACTTGATTCAGCAAAGCAAAAAAAAAAAGATATCAAAATGTGAATCCTACGCAACATTTAACCACCACAAAACAGCTGATCAATGTTGTTGATAACCCGGCATCGTAGAAACTTACATAAATAGTGAAGAGAATAGCGACCACAGAGATAGCATATCCCGCATTGTTGGGCGAGAACTCATGGCGAAGATGCCTTGCTACAAATACACAGAATAAGATAACTGGGACGACGATCAGTAACACCGTAACAGGCAGTGACCTAGCATCTGGACCAAATATCAATCTCCCACCAAGGATGAACTTCTGCAAAAGAGCAAGGAAAAAGTAGCTGAATTTTTATTGGGAAGTTTAAGACAAATGTCAGGAGAAGAGGGAGAATTTCCAAAATTGAAACCGAGTCCATATGTTCCAACATTTCTTAACATATGTCAACTGTCACCAGAGAAAACGAAGCTAACAACAATCATATCCCCTTTAATCCACCAAACCAACATGCACAGCTAAATGAATCCTAGCTACTATTTCTCCAATGGAGTATTATTGAAAATCAAACCATTACACTTTCATGCTTTCTGCATCTGAAGCACACATTTTTAACAATTTCCCCACTGAAAACTACCAAACCAATATGAGAAAAACAAAAACGTACTCAAAACGATCGGCTCTGCGACATTAGTTTACCAGAACCAAAGTGAACCAAATCAATGAATTTGCGTAACTAAGACTATGCTAAGCAGTGACCTCGACAAAAACCTAATTCCATTTCCAACCCATTTTCCCTGTACACAGCTTCAGAAACACCCGCAAAAATCAACTAAAACCCAGGCATTTTCATACCAGAGAGCAGAATTCATAGAAATATCCATCTTCCACCCCCTTAACAAAATTACCAAACAAAATCGAGGCTCAATCGTTCGATGATAGAAGCCTTACATTGCTTCCTTTCCAGGTTTCGTAGACCCGTTGTGTCATGGAGAGAAGAAGAAGAAAAAGCGACAGAAATCAGAAACTCCCAGCAGAAGAATTCGAGGATGGCGTGTATATGTCTCTCCCCGTGTTCTATTCCATTTGGAAAACTCGACAAACCTCCGGGTGCTCTCTCCGGCGAAAGAAAAAAAGGGGTTTCTACAGATGAAAACGCCAGAAGAAATCGATGTCAAACCTAAACAGTACCAGAGATCGCCAGCAAAACCCCCCACACACAAAGGATTTACACAAATCAAAAGGCTCGCGAGCGACTTCTGGTCTGACCTCCCTCAACTGGTGGTATTATTGCCTCCTTCTGCGTCCTGCGACGAACGATACCCTTTTTTTTTTTTCTTTCTTTTTTCCTTTTCCGTTTTCCCCTTCCTTTTGTTGCTTTTATGACGTCATCTTTGTTTAGCTTCCTAAAACCACAATTAGTATATACAGTAGTATACCCTCGTTTTTCCTGCGCATTTTGTGTCAGATCCATTCCTCGTGCAAACCCATTCAATTTTAGTTGGTGGTTTTGGATTTTTATGATTCAAATTATTAGGCTCCGGTCCGGTCCGGTCCTTGAGAAATTCATACATTTTATTTGAGTCAATGATCTAATCTATTCTTTCAGTTTATTCAATTAGTAATCAATTGGAGATTTGACCGCTAACCGAGAAGATAAATGTTTTGATCGCCAGTGAGTTTAGCGTTAGTTGCCGCCAAATGCGATTAGGGTTTTGACTAATTCTAGTTGAACTCGATTGGAATTTTCTGGTGATGCGACACAAATCCATCCAATGACAAGAAGCCGCAAACAAAAGCTAAAGAAAGAGCAATATAGCACCAACATTACAAGACCAAACTTGTCGATGACCCTTGCTTAAAATTTAGATACTACATAATCAAAACCCAAAATGTAACGATCATGATTCATGTTCCGGGCGAATATGGCCCACGCAAGAATCCACCACCGTTCTTCTGAACGTGTAGAGCGTGTAAACAACTGTGGAGTATATAATGTTAAAGTTTATGTCGAGTTCAAGTGTTAGTTACTACTTATTCTCAATAGAATACAAAAGTGGCGGGCCACATGTGAAAACAGAATATAATACGATGCCAAAGGTTACCAGAAGAAATAGATATTGGGGCAATGGTATAGTCGCAAGAGTGATAAAGCTTTGTGTGAATCGTAATCTAAGCAGGGCCGTTCGCTTCCACCAAAGGACAAATCTCTTTCGCAACTCATTTCTGTTCATTGGTTTACTCCAAATATCAATCAAATCGGAAGAAAATAAACTAAACAAAAAAAATCCTGAATAAAGCTCCACCCTTTCTCTCTCTCTCTCTTCAATTTTCTTGTAAACATCGCTGTCTCGAAGATGGCTTCTCTCTCCGGCCTCTACTCTTCTTCTCCATCTCTCAAACCTGCCAAAACCGTTTCCGTTAAAGCATTGACGGCGCCGACCAGAGATTCCTTCTCTTTCCCGCATACCTCCAAACCAACCCACCTACCACCACCGTTGACTCTCTCCGCGCCTCGCTCCGTGGCGCGCGACATTTCTCACTCGGATTCGAAGAAAGAGCTTCTCAAGGATCCCGATGCGCTGTGGAACCGGTACCTCGATTGGCTCTACCAGGAGAAAGACCTCGGGCTGTATCTCGACGTCAGTCGGGTCGGATTCACCGATGAGTTTGTGGCCGATATGGAGCACCGGTTCAAAGCCGCGTTCAAGGCCATGGAGGATCTCGAGAAAGGCTCTATTGCGAATCCAGACGAAGGAAGGATGGTTGGGCACTACTGGCTCAGGGACTCCAAGCTCGCGCCAAAGCCGACTTTGAAGACACTGATCGAGAAAACTCTTGATTCGATCTGCAGTTTCGCCGACGACATTATCTCCGGCAAGGTCAGTATTCGATCCCACCTTGTTTGATCATTTTTTTTCCGTCAATCGATCGCATTTCTGGATATTGGAATGCAGAAGTCTTACTTAGCTCACCATTTGAATCTTGTTTGCTTGCTGTTCTCACTCAAATTTTGTATCTGCATTGCAGATAAAGCCACTATCTTCTCCTGCGGGTCGTTTTACTCAGATACTTTCTGTAGGCATTGGAGGCTCAGCTCTTGGACCTCAATTTGTCGCTGAGGCCTTGGCTCCTGATAATCCTCCGTTGAAGGTATCTCACACTGTTCTAATTGCAGTCAACATTTCACTCCCTTGCTGTTAAGACTCTTCCCCAGCCCATTTTCACAAATGAGTGTTCTTTTATCTTTGCCTCATGGAAGGTTTTTCTGATTGAAAGAGTCAATTTTTTTTTGTCTGTACTATATTTAAAGTTTTCTTATTTCGTGTGCTTTTATGACTTTTGTTTACTCTGGCTGTTGATAGATAAGATTCATCGACAACACCGACCCTGCTGGAATCGATCATCAGATCGCACAACTTGGACCAGAGCTTGCCTCAACTTTAGTAATTGTCATCTCAAAGGTGTGTCCTTTATTCATTGGCTATTTATATGATAGTTGGTCATGATATTGGCGAGCATGACTAAGTTTCTTACGTGTTTACCAGAGTGGAGGTACTCCTGAAACTAGAAATGGACTATTGGAAGTGCAGAAAGCATTCCGTGACGCTGGTCTAAACTTCGCGAAACAGGTTTTGATCTCAGGTTTTTGTTTCCGCTTTTTTGCTGAAATCCATGTCTCTACGAACATGGGAAGAATGCTGTAATATAATGGCAAATCTCAGGTTTACACAGCTTGAAAATATCTGATCCAATTAAAAAAACTGGCTTCCCATTGATCATTAGACACCTTGGGATGTATTATTGCATATGATTTAGCGTCAACTTCTGCCCAACTGTAGTTCCTCAGCAGCAAATTCGCGCTGTATGCTTATGCAGGGTGTTGCAATAACACAAGAGAACTCGTTGCTGGATAACACCGCAAGAATTGAAGGTTGGTTAGCTAGATTTCCGATGTACGACTGGGTGGGCGGAAGAACATCAGTTATGTCTGCAGTTGGTCTGCTTCCAGCAGCACTACAGGTAACTGCTACATAAGCTCAAACTTATTACGATCATTCGTTGCTTCTATGTGTATTAATGCATTGTCATCGTATAGGGGATCGATATTAGAGAGATGCTTGCTGGTGCTGCAGTAATGGATGAGGCTACTAGGACAACTTCGGTAAGTTTTTCAGCTTGTGTAGGAACTTACTTCATTCTGGTTTTGTTGAAGAATATCATATCATACGGTTGGGTTTCCTGACTCATACACTACCATGACTCACTCTAACCTTTAAATATACTTCTTCTTTCAGCTCAAGAATAACCCTGCAGCGCTCTTAGCAATGTGTTGGTACTGGGCTTCCGATGGCATTGGTTCCAAGGTCTTTTTCCTCAACTATTTCGAGAGTCTTTAGGACTAGCAAGGAGATTGAGCTCTTATTGACCTTTTTTCTCCATTTTCCTTTCTTTTACAGGATATGGTTATCCTTCCTTACAAGGATAGCTTATTACTATTTAGCCGGTATCTGCAGCAGCTGGTCATGGAATCACTAGGAAAGGAATTTGATCTTGACGGTAACACTGTAAGCATACTCTTTCTTCAGTTTCAACCGCTGTACCCCGAATGAGAGAGTTCATGAGCATTTAAAATGTCATGAAAAGTGTATAGTGGTTTTGCAACTAAAGCCCATTTAAAAACTAAAAATCTTGGTTACTTAATCATTTGTGTTTGAATTGTTACCCCCTCTTTCATGGAAGAATTGAAAAATGTGTACTGTTTCCTCAACATTGTTATTACAACTGTGAGCGGTGAATTTGAATATGCAGGTTAATCAAGGGCTAACTGTATATGGAAACAAAGGGAGCACAGATCAGCACGCGTGAGTTTCCTTTATTCATATAATTTTCCTATTCAAGACAAAGCAATAAAGGAGAGCTCTTCATGCAACAGTAATTAATTTGTTGAATTTCATTAGCTACATTCAACAGCTGAGAGAGGGAGTGCACAATTTCTTTGCAACCTTCATCGAAGTGCTACGTGACAGACCCCCAGGTCATGATTGGGAACTTGAGCCAGGTGTCACTTGTGGAGATTACCTCTTTGGAATGCTACAGGTCTGATTTAAGAATCTCGTTTCCCACGGCTTACTCGGAGATGATATTCACTCTTTACACACTCTTTGTGGACCACTGATGAGCTGGTTTTGAATTTTTTGTGCAGGGAACTAGATCTGCTTTATATGCAAACGGTAGAGAGTCCATTAGCGTTACTATCGAGGAAGTGACACCAAGATCTGTTGGGGCACTTATAGCTCTTTATGAAAGAGCGGTCGGGTTATATGCCTTTATTGTCAACATAAACGCTTACCACCAACCCGGTAGAGATATTCCGCCCGAATCTAGAAAAAACTATGTTTTGTAATTGCCTGACTGAATCTGAAATGAAACTACGATTTCAGGCGTGGAAGCCGGGAAAAAGGCAGCAGCAGAAGTTCTTGCCCTGCAAAAGCGTGTATTGTCAGTTCTTAATGAAGCCAGGTAAGAAGATCAGACCATATCTTGCTTCCTCTTTCAAATCTTGTGAGGAGAGACCACTCATATACTAAATCGTTCTTTCTCTGCCTGCAGTTGTAAAGATCCGGTAGAGCCATTGACACTGGACGAGGTAGCCGATCGTTGCCATGCTCCTCAGGAAGTAACGTCCAAACCCTTGAGGAAAAACTTTACTTTATTAACTTTTCGAGTGGACGTATCAAGAAGTGTTTTAATCTTTTGAATTTGCTGCAGATTGAGATGATATACAAGATCATAGCACACATGTCTGCAAACGACAGAGTTCTGATAGCTGAAGGAAGCTGCGGATCGCCACGTAGTGTCAAAGTGTACCTGGGCGAGTGCAATGTGGATGACCTGTACGCATCATAAAACCAACACTTTCTCCAACTCATAAAAAGAGTCTCATTCTCTGTTTTCCTTATTTATTTCTGCCATGTCTTTGATTTTGAAAGTAATAAAAAAAATTGCAATAAGGGCAGAAAACAATTTGTGGACTTGTTTGAAATAAAGATTTATTTTCAGAATGTGGAAATCGTTTATTGTAATGAAAAACATTGGGGGATTCATCAGTCAATCAAGCTCATGGGTTATATACAATCTTGTTTAGATCTATGTAACACCTCTTCCACTTGGTTTTTAGTTAGATGTTCTTTTGTTGCATCTCCACAGATAAACAAACAAAAGGTTAAGCAACTCGCATGTGAGTTAGATAAGACTGGTCACGGATGCTCAATGATAGTTATAATTAGTATTGCAACAAAAGCAAGTGAAATGTTTCCCATTTGGAGCATCTTCAACAAAAGCAAGTGAAATGTTTCCCATTTGGAGCATCTTCAACAAAATTCAATTTTTATTGCCTATCTCATACTTTTTTTTTTGTTCAAAGTCCTATCTCATACTTAAGCAGAAAGAAATACACGACATTATTTTGTTTTCTAGAGAATTTCACTTACCACTTTGAAAATTCGAATGGAGTATGTTGACAAAAAATGTTAGATCTGCCGTAAGAAAACAAGACGCAAGTCGATTTGTCCCCACCACCACCACCTATTTTGTAGCTAACATAGCAACAAACAACAAATTCTAACGTTACACTTCTTCCTTTTCCCCAAATTTGAAAACCATTTTTTGTATAAACATTGGCTGAATAATCGCTTTTCCACGTCACCACTACCCGTTGTGCACCCAGCTCCCACCATCAAGCTCCATGACGACGCCGTTTTCAGGGATAGCTTACCAACTCGGTTGCCCTTTCCTTTCTCCCCTTTCCCAAATTTGAATTTCTAATTTTTCAAAAATTAAAGAGAATTAAAAGTAACAAAAAGGTTTCCAAAAATGAAACAAAAAACAAAAGAAAAATCAATTTGAAGTGCACACACTGCACACAGATTTCGATCGTCTCTCTCTCCCTCGCTCCTCCCAGAAAGCTTTCTAATTAAGCTTTCCTGAGAACTCTCTTGTAAAGCAACTTCGAAGATTCAACTTCTAGTTACACCACCATGATCTCAGCGAATGTACCAGTCACCAGAACCCTAGTCCCTGTTTCTGACGCCACTGCTTCTGCTTCCGAAGACGATGTGAGTACCAATTCCGACGACGTCTCCCTCGATTCGTCTCCTCGGAACAGTAGAGTTTCCAGTGGCGTGGATCGTAGTTACGGAAGAAACTCGTCTTGTTATACTTACTCCGAGGTGAGCTCCTCCAGAGAGACTCTCATGGGTTCACGCGTACAGACAGAGCCCAGATTTGATAGTGATACGGAGGAGGATGAATCCACAGATTCAGCTACTAGCTCGCAATTTTCTCCTCCGCCGTCGGCTGCGAAGATTGACGGCGGTGTATCTCGGGTTGAAACTCACTTACCCAAGACGGACGGTGGAGCTGCCGTAGAGAAGGTTGTTTTTGCTTATTTATATATCATTTCCCCGTTCGTAGGGCTAGGATGACAAACCAAATGATGGATATGCAATCGCAATGGCTATATGGCGCATTGATTAACACTAGCTTTCTCATTTCTGATGATGTTTTCGTTGATTTTGTTCCTTGACTTGGGTTTTGTGATAACAATGTGGAAACATAGTCAGGAGCTTCTTTTGAGCTGATGCTATACGAGCCGTGTGTCATATCAGAAAATAATTGCTTGCCTTGGTTCAGTTTTACTTGTATAATGGTGGAACAACACGGATGTGATTTGTTTCTATATATTGATCTTCTAGTTCATATTGCAGGAGCTTGATGACAAGTTTTCTTCAGAAGAAGTAAGCGACATTCCCAGTGCCCCTCCATTTTCAGGGGCAGCAGAGGAATCTGAAGAAATTAAACCAGAAACTTCAAGCGTTCAAGTTTCAGAAGTCAAAACAGATGATTGTGTAGAGAGTAGAAAGACTGGCCACTTTACTAGGTATTCTCTTTTCTTCGATCTTCATATGAAATGAATTCTGATTTTGCTAAACCATTTTAACGTTTTGCTTCTGTTCCTATAGACCCAGTGCTGCTTCCGAGTCTTCCGGGCCATCTGATCAACATCCAGCTCGGCTGCCCACTTTTCATGCCAGGTAATGCTGATCTGATTAGATTCTTCACTGCTTCAGAAACTGAATATCGACACAGAGAGAAAAAAAAACCCGTGTTATCTTCGATCAGTTTAGTAAACAAGTTGCATTCTTCTTAATCATTCTGCCGCATTTTTTTATGTACCCGCTACAGTGCTCGTGGGCCATGGCATGCTGTCGTTTCCTATGATGCATGTGTACGGCTTTGCCTTCATGCGTGGGCAAAGGGCTGCATGGAGGCTCCCATGTTTTTAGAAAATGAATGTGCTCTTCTACGAGAAGCATTTGGGTGAGTTTATTATAGCCCCTTTCTTAGTCTTCATATGTATTCCTTAGATTGCTGTGAGCAGATATCTGTCCACATGCCTCGCTAGTAACTGTAGAATAACAGATTATTTTTTGGGTTTACTCAATAACAGGTTGCAGCAACTCCTTCTGCAATCGGAGGAGGAGCTACTGGTGAAGAGATCTTCACAAGCTCCGCACGAGGGAGTTGCACCGAAACCCTCGAAAAACATTGGCAAAATGATGGTGCAAGGTAAATCTGAATTGCACGTTCCATCTGCTTCTTTGGCTGCCCTCCTAAAATTAATAGTCGTAAATAAACTTGTATACTTTTGCAGTACGACGTGTTAAAACAGTTTTGGATGCTCCAACCGGCTGTAGTATATCATCTCTGAAGCCCTCGTTGATTAAGTTTGAGAAAATCCGGATTCGATTTTCTAATATGTCAGCACGGTTATTTTCTGGATGGCGGGCTCTAAGGAAGATCCATGTCCGTGTACCAGCCAATAGTTCTTCTATTTCACGTCAAAGCCTGGCATATGTACATGCCAGTACACAGTACTTAAAACAAGTTTCTGGTCTCCTGAAAACTGGTGTCACAAGTCTACGTAATAGTTCAACGTCTTATGATGTTGTACAAGGTATGCGAAAGTTATTAATTACTTGTCTCTTCGGGGAGAAATAACTTTACCTAGTGTGGGAGAATTTAGGAAGAAATTGTACTTCCATGCTCCCCAGTTCACTACTCTATGTCTCTGTACGATACCTTAGATAAAGATTTATTGATCCGTTTGGTTTCTGTCATTCAGAAACATACTCGTGTAGGTTAAGATTGAAAAGCATAACTGAAGATGACGCCATTACGATGCAAGCTGGATCCGGTGAAAGCCATGTTTTGTATGTACTTAATTACTTATATTTCCCACTCTTCTTTCCCCTCTCCCAAATCCACTTGGGGTAACTTTCCATAATGTGGTTTCTGATAAAGTACATGGATTTTCAACAGCTTTCCTGATAGTCATGGAGATGATCTGATTGTTGAAATCCTTGATTCAAACGGGAAGGATTTCGGGCGTGTACTTGTCCAGCTAGCTAATATATCTGAAGATTCGGTAAGTCATTTTATACTTGCCTTTTTTTTATTTGTTAGTACGTTTGAAATGCTTCTAAGGAAGAAAGCATACAGGGTGAGAAACTTCGCTGGTGGTCTGTTTTTCGTGAGCCAGAACATCAACTTGTGGGAAAACTTCAGCTCTATATTAACTATTCCGCAAGTTTTGATGATAACAGCCATTTGAAGGTGTGTTAACTACCTATCACTCATCATATTTGGTACCTTTGATGCTCTCGCTTTTTTTTTGCTTTTTGTAAATGGATTGACATCTCTTTGTAGTATACTGAGAGACATTCCAGCAGTCCATTTCCTTGAGCAACTTTAAAATCTTATCTAGTACAAGAAGTCAACAACAGCCTCTTCTTGTTGATAGTAACTGAACGGTTTTATCCAGACAATATTCTTGTAAAATAGTTGTTGATTTTTGACTTTTTATTAGCAATTTTATTAAAAGATTGGAGCTTTATGGTTGTCTAAGAGCTCATGCACGTATACTCAGCTCCTCTCAGATGGAATTCGTTCATTTCCAAGTCCATTAATTGATACTTATCTCAAAAATATTGAAACTCTATCCTCTATTTGAAGTATGTATATACTCTGCAGATTATGTCTCTGAACACAGATATAAAACTCATTGTATAGTGCTCAGAAGATTTTGGTGTATTAATTTTATTTTAATCTTCCTGTAGTGTGGTTCTGTTGCGGAAACAGTCGCATATGACCTAGTCCTGGAAGTGGCCTTGAAAATGCAGCGTTTTCAACAAAGAAACTTGTTGTTATATGGTTCATGGAAATGGCTTTTGGAAGAATTTGCCTCCTACTATGGGATTTCCGATGTCTACACCAAGCTCAGGTATACCATTGACTTTCTATTATTCTTTTTTATCATATGAGGGATATGCTATAACTCTGTTTTCTCCATCTTGCTTGTTGTTGCTTTAAGATACTTGTCCTATGTAATGGATGTCGCTACACCGACTTCCGACTGTCTCCATTTGGTGCATGACTTGTTAACACCTGTCATCATGAAAGGAAATGGCAAGAGCGCCTTGAGTCATCAAGAGGTAGATCCGAAATTATCTATTATTCTTTGTTTGCCGTTTACTGTTTGTGTGTGGATTTCGGAATTGTTTGAATCTTTTTTTTTTTTTTGGCTTTTCTTGTGGAAGCATAATATTATTGTCATACTCATGCGTTCGGGACCGCATATGAATTTTTTTTTCTTTTTTTGGTTTCAACAGAATCGGATCCTGAATGAAATCAAGGACCAGATCGAGCAGATTCTCAAGCTGGTCTTCGAGAACTACAAATCTCTTGACGAGTCCTCATTCTCTGGAATGACTGATGTAGTCAGTTCTGCAACAGGAATTCCAGCGCCAGCACTCACTCCTGCTGTTAAACTGTACATGCTTTTGCATGATATCTTGTCTCCCGAGGATCAGACTAATCTTTGCCATTACTTCCAGGTATAGCATACATCCTCTTAGTTGCCTTACCTTACTCTTGATTAACTTTTCTCATCTATTTGGCATCAATGCTTTTATAGGCAGCAGCAAAGAAGAGATCTAGAAGGCACATGGGTGAGACAGATGAATTTGTTACAAACAACAGTGAGCCCAATTTCTTGGATCCTTCTGCAATGTCCGCTGCCTACCAGAAAATGACTATGGTCTGCAAGAACGTAAAGAATGAGATTTATACTGATATTGAGATCCAAAATCAAGATATACTTCCCAGGTTAGTATGCAAGTGAAAACGAATTTTGTTCAGTCATCCTTCTGTTCAGATATTTCCAGTGTAGCCCAATGTTTGTTATATTGTTTTATGCAGCTTTCTCGACCTCCCAAACCTGTCAGCGTCTATATATAGCACTGATCTCTGCAACAGACTTCGAACATTTCTCGTTGCATGTCCTCCCTCTGGCCCTTCACCGACAGTTGCAGAGCTTGTGATTGCCACTGCAGACTTTCAGCGTGATCTTTCCAGCTGGAACATTAGGTAAGTAGTTTAGATTACCTGATTTGTTGATTGACTGTTGTTTTGACTTGTATCATATTTCATTTTACAGTTCTATCCAAGGTGGTGTTGATGCAAAAGAGTTGTTCCACCTATATATTATGATTTGGATTCAAGATAGACGCCTTTCCTTACTCGAGTCATGCAAACTTGATAAGGTATGTATACTGAATTATATGTGTGGTTTTCTTCAGATTGGTTCTTTCCTTGTCTAAATCAAAGCTGTGGAGAAGCAAAAGTAATTTTGCCAAGATGTGCAATTTCACATTAATAAGTTACAAAAAGCTGAAGACTAAAACAAATGGAGATTTGATTTTTGTGTGAATTATGATTTATGTGAATAGCTGGATGTTGTTCTGGATTCTTCTAACATAAGTCGATCCATACTTCTCTCTTCTCTCATTCTTCTCAGCTTCTGGCGCATTATTGAGAAACTGACTTCTATGTATCATTGCAAAAACTGTCATTCAAGCAGGTAAAATGGTCTGGAGTCAGGACACAGCATTCAACAACTCCATTTGTTGATGAAATGTACACCAGGCTGAACGAAACCATTCAAGACTATCAAGTTATCATTTCCAGATGGCCGGAATATATCTTCGTTCTGGAGAGTGTAAGTTTACATGTTCCTTGATGCCCTTTGGTTTTGCAACTGTGAAAATATTTTCTTGTCTATTCCATTGCATGTTATAAGCTACAGCTTATTTGTATATACGCTGTCAATTTGGGTTCAAGTGATTTCCATTATCAGGGATTGGCGATTATCATTTTTATGTTACGAAATAGGAGCGAAAAGATTGACATATATTGTGTTTCTTTAGGCCATTGCTGATGTTGAAAAAGCAATTGTGGAAGCTCTGGAGAAGCAGTATGCAGATGTCCTCTCACCTCTTAAAGAAAACTTGGCTCCAAAAAAGTTAAGCTTCAAGTATGTCCAAAAGCTGACCAAAAGATCTGTGGTTGCATACGTAGTCCCGGATGAGGTGAGCATAATGTTCCTACACTTTTCCCTTAAATTATTTTTAAAAGATGATTTGTTTTGCTGAGAAGTTTCTTTATCTGATGGTGCAGCTGGGCATTCTATTAAACTCTATGAAGAGAATGCTTGATGTTCTACGGCCTAATATAGAGGCTAAGTTTAAAGCCTGGTCTTCATGCATTCCTGATGGTGGGAACGCAGCTCCTGGCGATCGTCTTTCTGAGGTGACAGTGATGCTGAGAGCCAAGTTTCGAAATTACCTTCAGGCTGTGGTCCAAAAACTCGTAGAAAATGTGAGTTTAACTCTTTTGTGTCGTAAGTTGTGCATTACTTTTGCCATTTCTGCTGTTTTGGATGTGTCTTGTGCCATGTTATGGAATCTTGTTGGGTTTATCATGTTTCGAGATCCTAATCCCTTTCTTATATGCTTGTGTTGTATTTTTTTTTGTTTTCAGAGCAAGCTACAAAAGGCGACAATGTTGAAGAAGATTCTTCAGGACTCTAAAGAAAGTGTTGGAGAATCGGACATTAGAAGCAAAATGCATAACCTGAAGGAGCAGCTAACCAAGACAGTGAATCATCTACACTCGGTTTGTGAGACGCATGTCTTCATTGCATTGTCCCGAGGATATTGGGATCGTATGGGACAGGTGACTATTTTAATGGCCATCTCCTGACTTTTTGGTTTGTGATGTTCGAAAGCTGAATTCTTCTTTTGCGCATGACAGATTGTTCTAAGCTTTTTGGAGAACAGGAAAGAGAACAGAGCTTGGTACAAGGGTTCTAGAGTTGCTGTCTCTGTAAGTCCCAATAAAACTGCAGCTAACTTAGATAGTTAGAATGTATGAGTAAAGACTAAACCTGATCTTTACGTTTAATATAAAACGGTGCATATTTGCAGATACTAGACGATACATTTGCAGCACAGATGCAACAGCTACTTGGCAATTCGTTAAGAGAGCAAGACCTGGAGCCTCCGAGATCGATCGTGGAGGTTCGCTCGATTCTTTGCAAGGACACTGCAGATGATAAAGCTAAGTCTTTCTACTACTGAGTGAAATTGCTTAAAAAGGACTCCGGAACTCGAAGCTGTAAGGATCAGATCTCATTTGCTCGTCTGCTTGAAGCTGCAAGTATTTTGCTTGGTTGAGCAAATTGTCGAAACCTTTCGGATAGCTTTGGGTGTATAATAAAGTACAGTAGTTACCACATTTTTCTTTAGTACTAAATGTCAATACATCCATTACGAGTTGTGATAAGAGTTAACAGGACGATGAAGTAATACACAAAAATCTCTTTATCATTATTGACTGACAGCAATAGGAAGAGCTCTATGAGTATGGAAAACGATGCTCTACATTGGTTACAATTACAAACTTAAGATGACTTTTTAGTCAACAAAACCTTGTTAAGGATTTTAGTCTCTTTTAGAGTTGCCAATTTTAGTTTCTTTATTATTTAGGGTTTTCATTTTCTGGTATCTAATCACACCAAGACTTCAGAAACAAGCATTTCAAACTGAGATCAAACTAATTATTAAGATTGCGTGTTGAGGATAATTATATCACAGACAAGAAGAAGCAACAAATGGCATATGTACAGAAATAAATGAAATGATATAGAACACTGCTGAGTCGTGAGGCTGCTGTAACTTATGAGCACCATCTGAGATGTGTCTTCAATTCAGACAAGCTTTGATATAGCCTTGCACGACACCCAGAAGGCTTTGGATGCAATGCTCAGGATCATCGGGTTTTGATATATCCTGTTGCCAAATAATAATTTAAAAGGGCAGTTGGATTGGTGCATTTAGACACACAAACTTATGACTGGATGTGTTAAAAAGGATGTTTTTGATTCATGTACCCTATTGCAGTTGCGCTCCATGATGCTACGTTGTAAATAACTTTACTGCCTTCCCATGCTTTTCGAAGCTTCCCCTTTCTCTTCTTTACTGAAAACATCGTGCTAAGTGCTACAATAGGCAATTCATAAGCAAACTCTTATTATCTGATCAAACGTATATTTCATAAGGAGATAGCATTAGAGTCACCTTCACTAGCAACTTAGCAAGATATTTACGGGATTCAACAGATCGAGATTTTGGGTTTCTACTTCTCTATAACAAATTTCTAGGCTACTTTCTTTGGTCAGGGAGAGTAATAAAGCGGAAAATCTAATCTAATTGTGACACCTAAGAGTTTCAAGACTTTACCTTTCTGAAGCTGATCAGGTGATATATCCTACACAAAGACATCACACAGACTAAGTTCACAGCGAAAAGTTGATGAGACACAAAACGAGCAAGAAAGAGGATATGCCTTATTATGTACCTTTGTCTGCTTAAGGGATGATAAATACGTAGCCATGAAACACGCAATACCGTCTGCTATATCTTCTTCCCTAACAACCACATAATCTTCGTCTGTTTGAGCAATAGTTCCCTCACCCCATACATCATCTTCACTAACTACGTCCCAGGAGCTACCAACTTCTGCAAATTCAAGGACTTTAATATAGTTATCTCTGCAACCAATAAGCCACACATTCGAAATCTTATCGATGATAAACAAACTGTGATTTATCTTCCTACCAGCAAGATCTTGGGAAACTGAGACTTGGGCTAACTCTATCTTTTCACGAAAGTCCTGACATTCAACTCTAGATTTGATGAGATCATAGAACTGCGCAAGAAAACAGGTCACAGAATCATGAATCGAGTCACAAGCTTTTATATTCTCATGTTCTCTCTCAGATATCAATTTATACTGCCAAACAATTAAAAGAGCATAGATAAGTCAAGTCCATCCTCTCATAGAAGCAGAAAGAGTGAGGTATATATATATATATATACAAAAGCATACTTTATCGGCTTCAGGATCTCCTGGATCAGAAGAAGAAGAGAACTCTTCGCTGTCCGGTGAGTCGCTCTGTTGGCCAACGCCGTCGCTACTATCGTCTCCGATTTCATCGCCGCCAGGAGTAGTATTATCGGTCAGGTTTAGCAGCTCGAGAGCTCTCTGGCAATCCTCGAGCAAATTCTGCAGCGTCTTCCGCTTGACGCGAATACTATCCAAATCGACGCGATTTACTTTGCTAAGGGTATCATCAGAAGAGCAAGAGACCTCGATTTCCATGGATTTTGCCTCTAATCGAGAAGAAACTCTTCTACAGCGTGGAAATTCGTAGAGATAGATCTGCGGAAATTGTGAAAGAGGAAGACGATTGATTGTTCTCCTCCACCCTTTTTCCCTGCGACCTATTTGTTTAATTTCCCCCGGAAAAAGGGATAAAAGAGAGTCGTAAGTAGTAAGACAACAAGCAACTACAATTGTTGAAATAGAGAATCTACTGAATCTTAAATTAAGAACAAAATTACTTTTAAATACATTTAAATATTTTATTACTTTCTTCGAGAGATTATCCAAAGAGCAAATCATATTGAATAATGGAATAGGAATGGTTTGCTGCTCAATGCATTAAACCTTTTACAACAAACCGGAATTAAAACAACGTCAAATCACCATGAAGAAAATCAAATTAACTAAAATCAGAAAGCAACGGGTGTTTGCTTAGCAAGATCTCGATTAATGTCTGCATAGTATAAAATGATTTTTTTTTTTTTACGACAAGGCATAAAAACATCATAGCTAATCGTATACAACACTATTTTTCTTATACCGACGCATTTCTTTTTTTTATATGTTTTTGCGTTATCTTTTAGGTTTTGCCGTGAATTGCAACACACTTTTTTCGTATTATAGATGCAAGAAATTATAAATACGACGCGCACCATTGTATTTTAAAAAAAAATCCAAATTACTATAATCATGCAATGCACAAACCCTATGCTTTGCGTTCCGGAGGTTATGCCAATTGCCAAACACATCATCAATTACATATGTTGGAAGACGTTGTTTCAAACTGACGGACCAGACTAGTGAATCCGATAGTAAATAGCCATACCTTTTGCTTATCATATACGATTGCGAAAACCTAATTGTAGAACTCGTGATATGTTGTTTAATTCACTTTTCACAACAGCTATAGTCTATACTCTATAGGGTACGTAGTATATTCAACCTTACCAACAAATAATAAAATTTCTCCCTTCAGTTCAAAAAAGACCATCTAGGCCAATTATATATATAGGTCAAGAACTTTTCTTACAAACGTAAGATCGATGACATCCTTTATAAAATTCACAGTTTATGTTATAGACTCAAGTCGCATGCACACACTATGCCATTCAGGCAGGGGCGTAAGTGTTGCTCAGACGTGAGACAACAACCAAAACTAGGTCGATGTTTATAAATTATAAGTTAAGACCATCCAAATATGGATTGCATAAGTTATATGCATTGCATAATTATATTACATCCGATGATGAATAATATATTCAAAACACCACCCATCACTAAAAAAGAAAAGAAACAAATTTGTTGAAGATGTAACGAATGAACAAAGTCCCCATGCACGCAGCAGCACTATCCAAAAGAGAAGTTGTTTATAATGATGGGCGACGTAGCTTTATGGAATAGATGTAAGAGAGAAAAACAAATAAACAATAATCGAAGGTGTCACCATTAACACAAAATAAAAAGAGAGTGGTGAAGAAGGTCGTGCTCGGCACGATTCAGTATCTAGTGTGGTCATAGACTCATAGGGTCAACCAACGCAAGGGTGTACTAAGGTTGTCATTTCTAATTACAAATTAAATAATTTATCTAAAATATTCCACAATTAATTAAAGTCTTTAAATGTACTTATTGATAAGACTAGACTCTAGAGACATGTTAAGTAGCATGCGAATAAGAAGTGTTGATTCATATATCAAAAAACTATAGATTAGAGAGTGTAATTATAAGACAAGACATGCGTATTTACACAAATTGGGTAATTTGAGAAATAATTGGAGAAGAGAAGAGGTCAAAGGAGAAGAAGGAGAAAAGAGGGAAATTTTCCCTCCAAGAAGGGAGGGATGATGACGTGTACAACTGCCGCACAAAACAAGGCTTCCTCTCTTTACGCCCAAAATTTTCGCTTCACCTCTTCTCTCAAACACCGTTGAACACATCAATCTCACAAATCTCTCTCTCTCTCACCCTAAAAAAAACCAAATCAATAATTTTTAATTTTTAATAATAATTATTATCATCATCATCCTCCAGATCAAAATCAAGGTTTTTCTTCTCGAATTCATGCCTCTTATCATCTGAGATCGGTTATTTTGATTGCGTTTTCCTCGAATTTGATCGGACATTCTTCTCTCTTTTCCCCTGGATTTAGTGCCGAATCTCAATGTCTTGAACCGCGTTATCAAGCTATGGCTAACAAAAACGGAGAAACTTCTTCACAGTCCCCTCAGGTGCAGCCACCACCACAGCAACAACAACCACAGCACCAGCAGCAGCAGCAGCAGAATGCTAATGAACAAGAGTTGGAGCAACATGTGCGTCTCTTTTCTTTTGATTTTGAAAAATTCATCTCCGATCAAATCCTATTTGTCTCTTCTGCTGCTGCTTTCGGTTTTCCGATGATGCTCACAATGTTTCTCCGTCAGAATATTTGATTAATTTTTGTTTTTATCTTCCTATCACAGGGCGACACCTGTAGTATTCCTCCCGCGCAGACTGGAAACGCAGACGCGCGTTCTCGTGGTGGCAACACGGTAATTACTTCTTACTCCTATTGCGCTCACAGATTTAGCTCGTATTTGATCTAATTGCCTCCGTAATGGAGCACCAAGTTTGTGAAATGCTTGTTCAGAATCCCATTTTCGATCGTGATCGAGTTTTGTTAAATTTATCTGAATTTATCTGTCTTCTCCATCGCTCATGGTGCGTGATGATGAGCATTCGTATAATCATTAGGAATGTACTTGTATTCTTATGAGGAGATTACATATCTATAACGATATTTGTTCCTTCGTATGTAAACACACTATCTAATCATGTAAATGCAGACGAAAAGAGACAATCCTAACTAGTATGTTGTTGAATTTATGTTAGACATCTCTGACTCTCAGTGAACTTGTTAATGTAGTCTGGATTTACTTTCTACTTTTGTAGGTATTCAAGAGTGGACCGCTATCTATATCATCAAAAGGTATATTTTACTGCTTACAGTGAGATAGATACTTAGTGTAGTGTAGCCTTTCTCTTTTTGTGTTTGCAATACTAAGATGAGAGTTGTTCTATAGATTTTTTTTCTTTCTCTCTAGATAAGGAACCCCCATTTCCAGCTTCGGCTGGGGATAGCTATTTCTGGCAAGCTAGTTAGTAAGGGCATGTACCATGTGAAGTGACGTTTTCAGGCTGTGTTGACTGTGGCAGCTATATTTAAGATTGCCTCTCCCTACCTTCTGTTTCTCTTTTAAACCTTTTGAGTTTTGTACTTCGATTGTTTACAATACAGAGTTTCTAAAAATACCTGGGGATTATTGATCAGTGCTGAGCTTACTATAGTGAAAATTCACATTCTTTGGTTAATAAGATTCGAAAGGGTTTTCAGGGCTTGGGTGGACATCTTGGAAGAAAAGATGGTTTATTTTGACGCGCACTTCACTGGTTTTCTTTCGAAGTGACCCGGTAAGCATTCATGTTCTGATGAAGGGTGTTGCGAAATGTTGCTTTCTTGTGTGTTTTCTAGAGCAGTAAAGGACTAAAGGTCTTTTATAATTATGAAAATGTTATTACAGAGGATAGATATCTCACATTTTTCTGTTTTATTTTACAGAGCGCAGTCCAACAGAGGGGCAGTGAGGTCAATTTAACCCTTGGGGGAATTGATCTCAACAATTCAGGCAGGTTGGCTTATTGTTTGAATCATTAGTCTTTTTCTTATGATAATCAGAATAGTCTTTACTCGATGTATTATGTTGATATCTGGTTCGGTATTACTAACTGCGGACTATCTTTTTAGTGTGGTTGTTAAGGCAGATAAAAAGCTGTTGACTGTTCTCTTCCCCGATGGTCGTGATGGACGCGCCTTTACACTCAAGGTTTCTTCGAAAATTTTCTGTTCTTTGTTTTTTACCTCCTTCATCCTGTTATTATCCGTTGCATCCACTTCATCTATGCATCTTAACGTTGACATTTTTTTCGCAGGCTGACACTATGGAGGATCTATACGAGTGGAAAACTGCTCTAGAAAGCGCTTTGACACAAGCACCTAGTGCTTCTCATGTTATGGGGCAAAATGGTATCTTCAGGAATGATCATGCAGAAGCCCCTGTTGGCGTTGATGAACAACAGAGTATGTTTGTCACTTTGATAATGGTTTAGTCTTTAAATACTCATGTACACAACATGATTTGTTTTGAGTGTTGTGAGAATGTCAAAGGTTTGTTCTCTCTAGAAAACCAAGCGAAGTGAAATATTTTTCATGTAAAACATATATTCACTTCGTCTGTAGTTCAAGGCTGACCAGTTAGTATTAAAAGGCTCACAAGAATGTGGACATAGTTTAAGATAATCGGTGACTTCCAAAGATTATTTTATCTTTCAAATTCATTTATACAATGATGCATTTTTCATATTATTACAGAAGATGAGACGCCTCCAAAATCATCCGTCATTGGAAGACCAGTTTTACTTGCTCTAGAAGATGTTGATGGAGCTCCATCTTTCTTGGAAAAGGCCCTTAGATTTGTTGAAGATCATGGTATTAGTTTCAGGCTTTCAGCTTGATTTGCTAATTTATTTTAGCCATATTGAGCAGAAAAAGAAAACTTTATCTTGCAGGTGTCAGGATAGAAGGAATTTTGAGACAAGCTGCTGATGTTGATGATGTTGAACATCGGATTCGTGAATATGAGCAAGGTTTGAATTTCTGCATATGTTATTTTCTTGATTCCCTGCATTCTGAATTAATATTGATACGTTATCACTCGGCTCAGGGAGAAATGAGTTCACTCCCACGGAGGATGCTCATGTTATTGCTGATTGTCTTAAGGTACACTGCCACTCGTCACTACAATGCTGAGCTAGCCTTTCACTCTTAACTCTATCTAACTGTATCCATAAATGCGCAGTATTTTCTCAGAGAGTTGCCTTCCTCTCCGGTGCCTGCATCTTGTTGCAACGCCCTTCTGGAAGCTTGCCGTAAGTTTATCATTCTCTTCTGCTTTTTCTTTTCTTTTCCTGAGGACCCTTCTGTGGCCTTCCATCAAAGCTGGATACCTTCCTTCTGTGGGTTTACTGTGATCATTACATTGCTTCTTCTTCACATATGTTATAAAAGTAAATTTTGTTTGCCTCTTGCAACATATATTTTCCTCAGTTTTCTGACGCGTAACAATATCAGGTACTGACCGTGGCAATAGAGTCAATGCTATGCGGGAAGCAATTTGTGAATCATTCCCTGAACCAAATCGGCGCCTTTTGCAAAGGTAGTATCTTATCTGTTAGAACGTCTAGCTTACTAACCTTGTTTAATGGAAAGCATAATACGACCAGCTTCTTTCTAATTTCTTTTTGTGTTCTTTTCTACAAAAAATATGTGCAAAACCACCAGTCATTGAATTTCATAAATCCTATAGAGCCTTCCTCATCTCCTATTTATGTATCACGCAAATGGAGTTAAGAAACTTATGTTATTAAATGTGTTTGTTTGTCCTCTTGCAAGAATCCTGATGATGATGCAGATTGTGGCCTCCAACAAAAATGTGAACCGGATGAACACGAACGCTGTTGCAGCTTGTATGGCACCATTACTTCTTCGACCTCTTCTGGCTGGCGACTGTGAAATTGAAAATGACTTTGATGTCGGCGGTGATGGTTCTATGCAACTTCTGCAAGCAGCTGCTGCAGCAAATCATGCCCAGGCTATAGTGATAACATTGTTAGAAGAATATGAAAGCATATTCGGAGTAAGATTTTAATTTTGTCTCTGATTATGGTCTTCCTTTGTCACATGATCATAATTGATGAATAGGTTACCACTCTGCATATCTACTCTTTATTGCAGTAGCATAGTGAAAACCTTCGAGGCGGTGTGAAATTGTCAATTTCAGTTCTTATACCAGTGTTGTTATTTTCAGACACTGACTTCTAGCTACATAAATGGTCTGCAGGAAGGTTCGTTGTCACCCGGTTTGTACTCTGACTCAGAAGAGAGTGGTAGTGGAACGGAGGAGGGATCTGATGATGAAGAGTATGATGATGATGATGAAGATGACGGCACACAGGGATCTGATGACTACACAGATGAGGAAGATGAGGAAGAGGACCTTGAAAATGAATCTAACGGATCATACAGCGAGAGTGCCGCCTCGGCCGACATTCATGGGGATGACATTCCTAAGGCATGGTCCTATACTAACCTCCAATAACTAATCCATTTCCTAAAAAGAATCTTATTGATTACTAGGATGATAAATTAAACTATTATTGAGAATTACATATGATTTTATTTTAAGTTTACATTGATGATACAAGTTCCTTGGTTCTCATTCTATCTTACTTTGCGATTGTGTTTGCAAAAATAAAGACATTCTGTTTTGTTCATATTGCAGATAAATGATAATTTAAGCTCTGAATCCAAAACCCCAAAAGGAAGTACGGAGCCCCAAGTTATTAAGAAGCTTTTATCTGGCTCTAAACGATCTTCTCTACCACGGCATAATGATGCCAAAAAAGATGAGAATATCCGAGTTAAAGGTTTTGATAATACAGAGGTAAAGCCTGTTGTAGAAGTCTTAACATCTGAGGATAAGAGCTCATCGACATCAGATGTGGCATCACCCAGTTTAAAACCGGAGACATTAACCAGTCCACCAGGAGGAAGTAAAAGGCACTGGGGCCGTACCTCTGTAAGTTCCTTTTTCTCCTTCTTAAATTTCCCGTGGGCTCGGTTTTTGATGTGTTTTTCGTAGCTCAGAAAGGATCCAGACATTTAGTAAACGTTTGGTCTTTTATATGCCCAGGGGAAGAGAAACCTTTCCATGGAGTCTATTGATTTCGCAGCGGAAGTGGTCGAGGACGAGTAAGTATCATCATCTCTACAATACAACTGATTTACATCTTTATGTTTCTTCCTCGTGGCTCCTATTGGTCTACTACGTCTACAAGAGTATTTTATCTGGCAATGTTTATATTCTGCAGTGCTGACATTGAAAGACTTGAGTCAACCAAATTGGAGCTGCAAGACAGAATTTCAGAAGAGGTCACAATAAGTCCTTTTGAGTATTTATTGCTTTTGCAAACTCGTTCCGCTATACAAGTGGTGATTTTAACGACTATGTAACAAGCTCCATTTTTGCTAGAACAGGTTAAAAACAATGCAGTTCTACAGACTAGTTTGGAGCGACGGAAGAAGGCTTTGTACGTGCGGCGCCAAGCTCTAGAGAAAGATGTAAGTGTAAAACAACATCATACGCTAGCTATATGAAGTTTGTTTTTATTGAGGGTTTCAACTTCATTTTTTTTTGGTTTTGGTTATATGAATGTTCTTTACCTTCCTCTAGGTGGAAAGACTACAAGAACAATTGCAGCAAGAGAGAGACAGGAAGTTAGCTTTGGAAGCAGGACTGAACATGTCAAAAGGGAATCAACCTATTCCGGAAATAACCGATGAAAAGGTTGCTCTTCTTCATTTTGTCTAGAAGCTTGTTGATTTTATTTCCGTTAAAACATATCTAACTTGGAAGACATGTTTACAGTTGAAGAAAGATCTGCAAGACGTAGCTCAGGCGGAGGTTGATATTGCCAACTTGGAACATAAGGTTGATGATCTTGAAAACAGACTTGGTCATCAGGACGTAAAAGCCTCTGGTTCAACGCATGGTTCCAGCAAAGAATCTCGAAAAACTCCAGAGCACAATGCAAAGATGTAAGGATTTATCAAACAAGATTCACATTTAACCCCATAACCCGTGCTTTAATTCATATCAAAGATACATAATTAATCTTCTCTCAATGCTGTCACACAGGAAGGAGAAACAAAAGGATACCGAAACAGGCTCTTCGCTCAAGGTAACACACTTTAAATATCTGATAATGTCTACCAAGTCCGTTTCTTCTTCCTCTGTATTTATGCACTACAGATCCGTAACGTTTTGCAGGATGGACAAGGAGGTGCAAGAGAAAATGAGATAGAGAAGCAACAAGATCAACGGAGCAAAAGCTCGCAACAAGAAATGCCACGAGGCAGCTCAAAGCTTGCGGGCATGTCTAAGAGGTCTGGCTCAAAGGGAGAGGTAAATCTCATACCGAAACAAGACAGACATACCATTGAATTACATCAAATTATTATTCAAAACTAAGAGCTGAATACAAACAAACAGGGAACGACAACAACTTCTGCACTTTCCAAATTGACAATGCGACTCAACTTCCTGAAGGAGAGACGTAGTCAGATCGCGAACGAGCTCTTAAACATGGACAAAGGAAGAAGCTCAGGGCAAGCCAGTCCATCCTCGGGGCAAAACCAAAGTTTGCAAGAAACGGAAAAAGGAACAGGGTCGAACCAGGATTCGGACAGCAGCAAACACCAGAGCCCACATGTTCTTGACAGAGGAAGATCCGAGAACGGAGGAGACAGAGGAGACAGAGGCAGAGGATCTGGAGGAAACAATCCCAACACTACATCGAGGACCTTCTCCAGATGATCTCTCTTTATTATAGAGCTGCTTAATAACCACCCACTTCCCCAGATGTACAGCCACCATTTAACTCCAGGTCCATTTATAATGCTTATTCTTCGCCTCAACAACAAATAACAGATTCATTCTTTTTAGTCTCTCTATTTATCACTCTCTCTCTGATCTTGCTTCAAAGACCAAATATACTACACTACTTTTGTTGTGTTTGTGTTTTTGCTCTGTTATTTTGGTAGAGACCATCACATCAGTATAGGAACAAAAATTGATTTGTATTATAAGTTATGACAACAATGCTTGATCAAAAATATGTTGAAGATTCCTCTTCCCTTCTGTGTTCGCTATTCCAAAATGAAAAAAAACCAATATAAATAAATAATTTCTATCAATGCTAGTAGTATTCTTCTTCTTAGTCGTCATCATCTTCATCTCCAACAATAAAAGAATGATCAAAAATCCCGAAGCAGCTTCTTCACTTGCTCCAATGTAACGAAGAGCACAACAGTGAAAGGCCCTTGCCTACAAACTGTAGGAACAAAGCCTTTATAAAGAGCCATGGGTCCTTCTGCTCTAACCGTCTTCACCGCACAATCCCAAGCGCCTTTGTACGGAGCCTCCGCACCAGGCGCCTCCACCTTCATATTCATCACCCTCGTCTTTATCACGTCCACCGGATTCGACGCAACAGCCGCCACGAGCCCCGCCGCGAAACTCGCCACCACGTGAGTCCCGAGCCCATCCTTCATCACACCTCTCTCCACTATCCCTTCCTTGAACTGATCGTACGACGCCAGCTGAGCCGCCGACACTATCATCGCTCGGTTAATCGTAAGTGCCGAGCCACGCCACAAGCTCACTACGCCTTCTTGCTTCGCCATCCTCCTGATTGCGTCTCCTACCCCCGCGTAATTACGGCGCTGCGCTAAAGGAAGCCTCCCGTCCGCTTGCATCCGTACCATCGCCACGTCGGCTGGGTTCCCGACGGCGGCTCCGATCCCGCCGGCCACTAGCCCCGCGCCGATTTTCCGAGTCAGGCTCAGCTTCCCCGACTCGGGATCAGTCCACTTGTTCTTCAGCACCTCGTAAAGACCCATCCTGGTGGTGGAATAGAGCGACTGCCGGAGAAGTGTGGCGGAGACGCCGGAGAATAGCCCAGCGGCGCCTTCCGCCTTGACGATGTTGATTCCGAGGGAGATTGGCCCTATTTTGGGAACCGAAGAGGTCGTCTCCAGGAAAGCTGCAGGAGAATTGTGGAAAGCGAGAGCAGGACGGAGGAGAGTGACGGTGGCGGGAACGGCGGAAGCTTCCCCGTGGAGCTGAAGACGAACCTTGATGAGATCGAGAGGGTGAGTTGAGCAACCGGCGACTACAGAGGCAATCCCACCTTCCACGAAACTTTTGACGCCCATTGTTGTACAAATTGGATTGAACTAAGAGGAAGAGGGAGAAAACGAGAGATGAGAGAGTGAAGAAGAAGAAGAGAGGGAAAGAAAGGTATTTGTAGTGAGTTTTGTGACGCGTTTTTGTGTTGTGGCGAAAGCTGTTAAATGTTGACGAACGCTCTTTCAACTTCTTCGTAGTCAGAAGTGAGAGTGGGTATGCTCATTAAAGTAAACCCTAATTGCGTAGTCAGCCTCGCCGGTTATATATAAAACTAGTCAAAGTTAAATAAAAGAAACACGTGTGTGTGAGTGATTCAGTCAGAGACGGCCCATTGTTTCCTTTATGGGCTTACGAGCAAGATTAATTGGGCTACTTATCAGTTTGACGGAAAAAAAATTACCGTCGCCTGAGAGATTCGAACTCTCGCGGGCTGAGCCCAAGGGCTTAGCAGGCACCCCTTAACCACTAGTCTCGGCAAAAGTTACTAGATATCGTATTATCATTTCACATATTGTGGGCCAACCAAAGTTTATTTTGTTATAGAAAGAGAAAAATGGGCATCACTCTCAAATTGGACGTGCTCAAAGCCCCCTAACTTGTTAAAGACAATTCATACAATGCAAGGGTCGTTGCTTCTGCTTCCAAGCTTTAGCCATAACTTGAGAAAGGATTTAGCTCCACACCACATGACCATATCCCTTACTAACATACATGTGCATTTAGATTCTAAGAAGCATCAATGTTACAATTGGTTGAGTTAATCTTTAGAAGGCTACCACTTCAAAGGAAGGAGAGGTTGCACCTGTGTCACACATTAAATATGTACTTTATTACTACCATTCTCCAATTTTTCACTGCCTTTTCAATTATGTCAAGAGCTGATGATAAGTGGTTAGAAGAGAAAAGTATATATTGTTTCATATGTATGTCATATATTTTAAAGCAATATTTTCATTGAACTGTTATCTTTTCTATCAATATGAAAAGGAAAAATGTATCACCTGTATGATTTAAATAAAAGACTTCCTTGTATTGACGACAAAAAGGATTAAAATAAACTGGTCGAGGCAAAAATAAAAAAAAAATAAAAAAGAAAAGGAAATTCCTGGTAATAAAAAAGCAAACGTCTGTCTTCGGTTTAGAAAAGTAATATTCTGCTAATTTCTTCCTCCTTCTACCGAAGAATCTCTCCACTCTTTTCTTCATCTTCCTTCGTTCGAACCCTAAAACAGAAAGACCAGATTTTTAATTTTTCAGGGAACTCAGAAAAGAAAACCTCAACTTGGGCTCTCGTGGGTTTTGTTTATTCGTGTGATCTTGGATTTTGGTGGGTCGTCATTTGGAAGCTTACCCACCAGCGGAATCAACTGTGCCGATTTCTGGGGTTTCTGCATGCCAAATCGCCGGACTGATCCTCACAGTTACCTCCTTCCCGGCTTAACACGCCGGTGAAATCTATGGTTGGTGCTCAGATTTGGAGCTCCGGGTTATTTCCAATTGTTTGTGCATCTGGTGGAGGATAAATGCTCCTAGTTTGGGATCTAGGGATTTCGAGTCTAGTCCTTGTGATCTCTCTTGTTCTACCTCTATTCGCCTTCTTTGTTCGGCGCAAATGGAGGCTAGCGGCCTTAAGAAGGCAGGAGATTCAGAGACTCCTTATTCATGCGTCCGAGGAGGCTGCTAGGGCAGAGCTTGAGGCCTCCGTCGAGTTCTCTTCTGTTGCCGTCTCTAATACCTTCTATTGTCCCGTGTGCTATTGTCTTGCCACCACTCGATGCTCTCGTTGCAAAGCCGTTCGCTATTGGTATGCAAATATCTTATCACTTTTGGCCTAATTAAGTTGTATGATCCTAAAGTTATATGATTTGCATTTCATTCTCTGGTTAGACGTGATGAATTGGAGTAGCTAAAAGGGAAGAAGAATTTTTAGTTCTGTAACTTTGGCAGTACTCAAAGTGTATTTGATATCTTCGAATATTATTGTACTAAAGATTTGAGAAAAGTGACTTCATTTTTCTATGTTAATAAAATTATGTGTAGTTTTAATCATCTTCGGAGAAAGTGCAGTATTTTGAATCGTGGGTCATCTGTAGGTGACGATATGCTGTTGAGAGATTTATGTCAATTATATAGCTTAAGCATTGAACTTCTTTCAAATTTTCAAGCTTTTTCCTTTGCGTATATGAAATTTTTCGTTCCTAACATATTTATGTCTATTTTTGTTTTCTAGTTCCGGGAAATGTCAAATCATTCACTGGCGGCAAGGTCACAAAGATGAATGCCGTCCTGCTTCCATCATATATAATACTGACGATGAGAAAAGCGACTCCGATTTGAGAGTCAGAGAAGAAAATGAAGGGGTTACTCTTGATGAAACTTTATTGCTGCATCCAGAACCAGTTACTGTACCAATCAGGGAAGCAATACTCTCTAATCCTGCCAGATCTCCTGAAGATGGGAATGGTGATAATGCGGACAACAAAGATGACCTTGTAGATAAGGAAGAAGCTGTTTCTGTTACTGAAACATCTGGATCCTCATTCTCTGGCTTCTCATCATCTCCCCGTAATGACTCTGGCGATGAGAGTTCTCTTTGTGAGAGCTTCTGTTCATCTGATTCCGAGAGATCAGAGTCCGCCCTTGATGGTCATGTTTCTGTAGAGTCAGAGGAGACCTGTTTCAACACTATTGATGATGCTCCATCCAAACCGCTATCTCCTAAATTTGTGCATTTGGTTGAATCTGTTGATAACCTCGCTAATCTACCTAAAGCAAGCATGCATAAACCTGGGGGTGATGCTCGGCAGAACCAGAGCCAATCAAGTAGCTTGCAGTCATTAGTTACGGATAGGCATCCAGGATCTGCTGACCCGTCTCCTCTGAAGTCATCTGATTTTTGGGGTACAACTCTTGGATCAGCAGAACCTGTAAGTGAGAGTTATGATAGTTCTAAATCTGGTGAACCTGGTAAATCCTCTCTGCATTTCTCCTTTGGCTCCTCTAGAGACACCTCAGCTACTAAGGTTTCTAAGCATAGGAATAGCATTTCAGAAGAAGCTCCTAGATCTGCATTAGGGACTGGTAATTTTTCTGAAGAAGTGAAGTTAAAAGAACGGATTGTTAAAAGATCTGATGAAGCTAAAATTTCATTACCAACTTCCTCTTCTACTGACGTGCCGAGACCTCTAGACCCTACTGTTTTGTCCCCTGTGACCCTTCAGAAGTCAAAGAGCACCAGGAGTGGAAGTGGCTCTACGTTGACCCCTTTGAAGGTTGGGGAAGTGCAAATTTTGGCATCCAAGGCCTCAAATACTAGGGAGTGTGCTGTTGTTGTGAAACATCCTCCTGTAGGTACAAAATCTGGAAGAGTTCTTGATAATCAGAAACAGAATGGTGTTGTCGTTCACCATATAAATTCTCTACATGGAAGAAATGGTTTGAAGGCATCAGTGCTGAAAGTCGTAGACCAGTGGACTAGACCGAAGTCCTCAGTTGAGAAGGAGATTGCTGGAAGACATGGTCATAAGGTAGTAGCTGAGTTCAAGGATGCTGTCATCATTTGCAACATTTACTTCCTACATAAAAAATCAGCACAGCGATTTATTCTTATCAATCATTTGTGACATGCAGGGGCTATTTCCATATGAATTATTTGCTAAGCTGTATACGAATAAAATTGAGTTCCAGCCTTGTGGCCTCATCAATTGTGGCAATAGGTATTTCCGGTTCCTCTTTTTTAGTCTTTCTATCCTGGGAATTATGGTTTCTGAAGAAGTGCGTGTTCTTTTGTGGTTGTCTTGTGCTGTTAACAAAACTAATAATCTGTAGCTCACACTCGCTGATGCAAGAAAATATTCTGTTCTTGCAGCTGCTTTGCTAATGTTGTCTTCCAATGCCTGATGTTCACTCCTCCTCTGGCCACGTACTTCCTCCAGCAATTCCATTCTAGAGCATGTGCGTCTCTAGTCCTGTGTTCTTGTCTTTTTTTTATGTGATATATGCTGCGTATTTTGGAAGGCGCTGTTTTGTTTTCATTGTTATATCAAACTATTAATGGGTCGTTTGACTATTAGGTCCAAACAAAGAACAGTGCTTCACCTGTGGGTTTGAGAATCTGGTCTTAATGGCAAAAGAAGGGAAGTCTCCACTGTCCCCTAATGGGCTGCTATCACAGCTGCAGAATAATGGAATCTGTCTTGGGAATGGTAAGCAAGAAGATGCACATGAATTCCTTAGGTGAGATGACATTTCTGCAATCGAACGAACTTTGATGCATATATATTACAACTGGAAGAATCTTGTTTTGATTTCATTTTTTTCCCTCTCCTTTTGCAGATTTGTTGTCGACACAATGCAGTCTGTGTGCATCAAGGCATCTGAATATGATATGCAAAAGACTACGAAATTAGAAGATACAACTCTAATTAGTTTGACATTTGGGGGATACCTACGATCAAAGGTATTATTACCTATTGCATTTCTATATGACTCGGTATACATTGTTTTGGAGGCAGTAATAATGCTGGTCGTGTGCATTTCTTTTAAAACTATGATGATGTCTGCCAGATTAAATGCATGAAGTGTGAAGAAAAATCTGAGCGGCGTGAGAAAATGATGGATCTAACAGTTGAGATTGATGGGGATGTTAGCACCTTGGAGGATGCTTTGCGTCGATTTACAAGGACAGAGATATTGGACGGAGAGAACAAATACAAATGTGGCAGGTTGGTCAGCATTTCCTTTCCACGTGCTGAACTTTTTGTAGTCGTTTGATATTTCCAGTTCCCTTTTCACTGATTTGCAAATGACTAGAGTTCTACATGAGATTTATATATGCTTCTGAGGTGGGTACGATACCAATTGATTTGGCCCTTTTGTGTATCTCAATTACAATACCTAAACTCCATGGTCAGCTGAAATTTAGTCTCCTAAGGCCTATCAAGAGATAATAATTTGGACTACTATCTAGGTCTTTTATTTGCTTAGTTCTAAACCAATCAACTGCAACTTGGTATAAATTTACATTTGATCCTGGCCGTTAAGTGTACATTGGATGGTTGACGGGTGCTAACTTGTTTATTTGTGTGAGCAGGTGTAAATCTTATGAGAGAGCCAAAAAGAAACTGAAAATCACAGAGCCTCCGAATGTCCTTACGATTGCACTAAAACGATTCCAGGTAAATCTCTAATGGAAATCCGATCTGTTTCTGTTGAGTTCCATCTGTGGTTTATTGTTTACTCACAATTGCACGGCACCTAATGCTTGCAGTCAGGGAAATTCGGGAAGCTCAATAAGTTGGTCAGGTTTCCAGAAACTCTAGATTTGGCTCCATATGTCAGCGGAGGAAGTGAAAAATCACATGACTACAAACTCTATGGAGTTATTGTTCACTTGGATATAATGAATGCGGCGTTTTCTGGTCACTATGTCTGCTATATTAGAAACAGTCAAAACAAGTGGTACAAGGCTGATGATAGCACAGTAAGTTGCTCCTATAATATTAAGGCAAAATCTGATTGTGAATTAGTTTCTATGTAACCTCTCTGACAAAATTTTAGGTTTACAATGTTCTGCTTCTTCGTTTTCAAAGATGAATTTCTTAATTCTAAATAGTTAATTAACTACATAGTGTTCTCCTCCTTTTGGATTTCTAGAACATTTGTTCTGCCTTCATTGTAGTCTGAAAGGTCTTAGGATTGGTTTTGTCAGAGAAAAAAGCGTTCGCTTCTAACTCATTTGGCTGTCTCTTCTCGTCATCTTCATCTAGGGATCATAAATTTCAAGAAAATTTTCAATGTCTAATTCATCTGTTGTGCATTGATTGTTTTCAGGTAGTAATTTCTGATGTTGAAAGGGTCTTGTCAAAGGGAGCGTATATGTTGTTCTACGCTAGGTAAATAATATTATAATGCAACTCTCACACTCTTTAAGACTCTTGGTTATGTTCGATCTGGTTATTTATGTTATATTACGAATGAATTGATCACAGGTGCTCTCCAATGCCCCCAAGATTAGTAGTATGTAATAAAACTGAAGCAATCAAGAAAAAAAGCAGCGTCCCGGTACCTAAGACTACTGTGTCACGGTCTGTGTCTAGTGCAAGTCCTGTGTGGTCTTCCAACACTCCCGGTGGTGGTCGGTCTGGCAATATACAGTCGTTTTATTCCAGTTTCCAGAGGCTGCAGAAAATTTTGGAAGAGGACTCGTCGAGTGACAGTTCTTCCCTCTTTGACAGCAACTCAGATGAATGTTCTTGTAGCACAGACAGTACAAGCATGGACGACTTTGCTGATTTCATTTTTGGAGATCATCAAGGACGGGCCCACGGACAGTCCGAGACTCCCTCGCCAACATCATCTTCTTCCTCGTCTTCTCCTCCCTTTACAAGGCATTCGCAGCTTGGTGACTTAAGTCGTTCTTCTCCAGAAACTTACGGAAGCTCGAGACATAATCACTTGCCCTTGGGAGGAGAAAGGTAATAAGGGAAACGATGGTTTTTTGTCCACTGGCCCAACTAAGTCAAAACTAGTAGAACAAAGTAGATTTTACACGTAGAGTGGGTGGTTTTATTAACAAACCTTTAGGCATGGTGAAAGTGGTTATTGAGAAGTGGTATATATATACTAGTGTACAGTGGGGAAGAGAGATTTTGCCCATGAAAATGTATCACCGTGATGGAAATGTATGTTAATAATCTGTTTTGATTTTTATAATAACCATTAATAAAGCTAATCGTGCACACAAGGGATGGTCTATTATTATATTATTAATAACAAGTGTCTTAACGTTGTACAATTTCTTTGCAATTTGCGTAACTCAGAGAATCTTTGATTCAGACTCGAAGAAAAATTCTCGTGGATTCAGTTTTGCCGATTCTACAAAATATAACATATAATGAGAACAAACCACAAGAAAATAGTATATATGAAGAAAATCCAAATTCAATAAGTACTATGAAGATCCTGGTAGAACTTATAACAAAGATGGTCCGAAGATGAACAAACTATATCGAGGAGAAAGTACTTGGGACATAGAAGTGACAAAACATCAACCGAGAGCAGGTCATATCCGAGCCACATACGAATTGGCCTGAGTCACATATCTCACCCAACGATAGGGATTGTAACTACTTGATTTCTTTGCTATCTGCAAGTATTTGACCTGCATCACACAATTCATTACAACAAGTGATTGAAGAGAACGGTTAACGGTAATAGAAAAAGGGCACCTTCTGCATTTTACTTACCTGAAGTTTAGAAACATTGTACATTGGTATGGTGAAAGTCATGCTGACAGGCCCTGCTTCCTTGGTGATATTACCTAAAACGAAATTGAGAATTATCAGTAATGATTTGTTTTCGTCTTGAGAGTAGATAAGAAAAACTTTTTGAGTTAGAGGGTCACCATGAAACTCCTGTGAAAATGTCAGCTTTGCACGCAGTGTATGTTCACCCCCGCCAACAATCTGGAGAGGAACACCACAGTTAGCTAACAGAAGCACCATACTATAAAATTCAATTTACATAAAGTAGCAAACCACATTAGAGGTTCAAGCGCTTGCCTTTTTTAAACTCCATTCAAGCATTTTGCTCGATTCCTTGAAATCTGTCTTCTGTCCAGCCGCACCGGGTTCTAGCTCAAAACTAGCCCTGTCACAACAAGCATAATCCGTCGTTGAATTTATCTCTTGTGTGATTCAAAATTTACCATGGCTGGCATTTATGAAGATGCATTATACCGTACCAACCAAAAAGTTATGTACCTGGAAGTATAATTTGGCAATGGCATCTGAACGGTAACCGTGTTTGCAATTATGTCTGAAGGAAATTCAGCGCGTATTTTAATAATCACTTCAGCCTAAATTTCAGCAAGCAGAGATATGCGAATTAAGCACTGGGATAAAGATTTATAAAACAAATTAAGACATTTATATAGTTTTCCATGAGACTACAAAGATGTGTACACATGTGATTGTACCTTAAGGCGTCCAGCCTCTTCAATCAAGGTATTAACATGAAAAGGTGGCTTGAACTCTTGGGTCATACGATAATTCATTACTGGAAATTCACCATCTGGTGGAACCTGAAAACAGAACGAAAGTTTAAGAGCAAAAAAACATGTTATGACAAGATGTTCCTGGGGTAATTATTTTTTTTATTAACTCACCAGGGACAAAGTTCTATCCGAATCGAAGCTATCAAGACGAACAGACTCATGAAAGTTACAATCATCAAGTATCACCCCTGAACCTGAAGAACTCCTATAATCTGCAACAAAAGAATGAAGTTATACCTCAATTGTCATGTTACCAGGTATTAATATCGTAATGGTCGATCAAACCCACTTTATGTGTATGTAGTTGAAAATGATGAAAGAATGCTACAGTAGTAGCTATATATTAAAGAATCGGCTATGAAGGAAGCTTATAAGTGGAATCATGCAGCTTAGTTCACATTTTAAGCATTCTCAACGCCCAAAAGTCACAGAAAGAGACACCAAGATTTCAAAGAGTGAAACAAGTACAACAGACGTAGCTTCCTTCCCTAGGTAATAATGTTGATTTAAAAGAAAGAAACAACCAATACCATATACTGATCTTCCTCCTCTTCCTATGTTTAGGTCTTCATTAAGGGCTAAACGAATTTCTGGATTACCAGAAAGATAGCTCTTCATTTGAATGGTGCCATCAATCTCAGAAGTCAGTATATAACCCTGTTCAGAAATCAGATTTATTATGGAATATTTCCACGACCAAAACTCACATTAAGATACAATTACATACATTAGGACATAAAACATAGCGGTGATCTGCAAAAATGAATCGTTTGATGAGGCAAGGTGAAGAGAGCCTGCCTAGACACTGGACTTGTGATATAATTAACTAGAAAAAAATTGATTACTCACGCTTGAACTAAAAGTAACACTGATTTTCTCTATGATGTCCACAAAAATTTCCTCTCTTCTCCGACCCCCAGGATCATTAGCTACAACCGATTTTGTAACTGCTGTCCCAGGCATTCTTTTGGCTCCTTGCTGCATAACATTGATTAAAGGGGTCAGTCATATATACAAGGAGGAGGAAACAGAAAAATCAATCTTACTGTGAAGATGGCAGCAGGATCGATAGGTTGAAGGCGTGCAGGAGCAACCACAATTGGCTCATTGAATACATAGGATTTCAAAACCTCGGTACTTGTAGTTTGCACGTAACCAAAATCCTAAACAAAAGAGCAAAGTGTCATAGTTAATAAAAAACCAAGCTTGGGGAAAGGAAAGAAAAATCTTTATAATACAGAAATATTATTTCTAATGATGAGAAATAAATCAAGACGAGACTTACAATTACTTCATCGAGCAGCTCATACACGAGCACAAAATTTTTCCGGAATGAGTCTTCATTCAAAACACCGAGATAATCCTTAATAACACGAGCAATCCTTTGTAGAAGCTCCAAAACAAGGGACGGTGACACGTTGACCCTCGTGGTCGCAACAAAATAAAGACCAACAACCTTCACATGGAAGTAGTTCACGCCGTCGACATTCTATAAAGCACAAAAAGAGTTATAGACGAAAACCACCATTAGAGCTCAGTACCAAACAGAAAGAATGCTCAAACACGAACAATTTCATTAGGATATACCAAGGAACCAGTAGAGAAATTTTAAATCAATCCATTTTCATTAAAAAAAAAAAACATTATGGTTGGTGACATTTGACCCATTGATTTCTATGATCAGTACGATGGTACCTACAAAGATAGGTGGTGCCTCTGCATTTCCATCCTCCTTCCAGAACTTGACTTTACGGAAGAATGTCTCTGTACTGCCTTTGGGTACCTCAGCTCGGTCTGTAGCAATAAAACGTTACAAATCTTCAAAACTCTAGAGGATCCAATCAAATCGCATTCGCTCAAACAAGCAAGGTTCTTCTACTATTTGGATAAATCTACAACTATCGTACAATCTGATTTGGAAATTCAGCTTAACATAAATGTCACTGAATAGGAAATGCTGATAGATCAAACAGATCAATGAGCTTAGAGCCGCTTCAATGGAAAAATCCCATGAAACAGTGACAATAAGTCTCGACTCTGAAGAAACAAACAAAACAGGAAGAAGCAGAGAGGATCAGATCGGGGAGAGAGAGGGAGCATACAGTCACGGAAGACGATGTTATCTCCTCGCTGAGATAAGACGAAGAACTGGGAAATCATCATCCCTTCCTTAACGATCGATTCCGAATGTTCACCGCGAGTTTGGTTGAGTCTACTGATCGCCGATCGGTCTCGTGTCTGTGTTTGTATCTGGTGGTGGTTCACGTTTTACCAATTGCCGTCGTTGTCGTGAAAAGCCTCTTCCCGAGAAGGAAGGTTCTACGTTGAGAGAATTTGACTCTGTTCTTCGATAGGCCCATTAGGAAAACAATGTGGCCCAAATCCTCTATTGTTTCAAACTTTTAAAGCAGCACATATTAAAAAAATGCACTTGACATAAAATGTTGATAGCAAAGTTGACAACAACAACAGAAAAAAAAAAATGTTGAAGTTTCGAACTAGAATAAATCTATCAAAAAATTCTAAAACGAATCGCCAAAAGTATAAAAGATAATAATACAACTAGACTATACATGTGCTAGTCCTTAAATAACTGGGAAAAAAATTATCCTCATGACTTTTTGGTGTTACAAAATTTGAGAAAGAAGGAAATTCTACTTTAGTTTGATGGTTTGACTTCTAAGGACCAAATAATACCACCATTGGTTCCTGACAAGCAAAGGATAGACCAAAACACATGAACATGGAGCAAGAAATACACAGATTTAATTAAATTTTTCAATAGCATGTTCAGACTACTTTCATAAAATAAAGTAAAAATGTAGGGCTCTTGTATTGTCCACGATTGATACAACTCAAGTATAACCGGGATCACCTTTAGTTAGGGTTAAGACTTAATAATATGGGTGTAAATGGCTGACCTAAAAAGAAGAGATAATAATGGTGGGATACGGGGATAGGAGAGATCTTATCAGGTGTCGCATCCAGTTTGGGTGAAGTGTGAACGATGAAAAAAATTGGATGAAAATATTTATTAGACACACCATTTATGTGTAAATTTAAAATATCTACTAACTACGAATTACAAAAATAACAAAAACTACTGTATCTTCCAATTTCAGGTCCCTTGAGTATTGTAATTAGTTTCTATCATTTTTTTTTTTATCCTTGCATGTTTATATAGGTACCTAGTATTCCTGTGATTCTATCTTTATTTTTTTATATTTTAGATCGAAAATCCAAAATAGTCTCATCAAGTGAAAACCACTATGAGCCAACAATAGGCGATTCAGTTGAGTTAGAAACACAAGAGAAGCAGACCAATTGAGTTACAAGTTTGGTCGTTATTGAAATCACAACTAGAAGTAACTGTAGCAGTCTCTCTCGTCCGCCAGCTCAGTCAGACAAAACAAGAAGTGCGCTTATATCTGTATTAATTATTTAATGATTTTTAATTTTGGAAACTGATGGCAAACAAAACGTATGGTCCATTGATAAGTGAATCACTGTTTAGCTAAAAGAAGCAGACTCGTCTTTCCAATCTTGAACACACAAACACAGTCACCATCCCCTCTCTCTTTCTATCTCACACATTCATTAGGGAATAAAAGCAAACAAAAACAACCCTTTTTTTTTTTCTCTTCTCACAAATTAATAAAGTGGGCTGAGATTGCAAAACCTAGTCCAAGATCCTCCCACTCAAAGAAAGGTAAAACTTGTGAATCTGTTTCTTTCCTCTTAAGCAGGACATTTGATGGATTCATCTAGTGGTCTTCTTTCTTTAGCTTTTCTGGGTTTCTGGATCTGATCTCTCTCGATCTCCTCTCTCTCTCTATTCTCTCTCTCTAGCCATCTAGGGTTTCCTGAGCATATTATAGAAACCCTCTTTAGCTAACCCATCTTTCCACTTCGTTTTCTTTCTTTTTTTTCTTGGTCTAAATGTTGTTATGGGTAGGCAAGAGATTCAAGATCAGCATTGAAAGAGGAGATCGGGAAAAATGGCGAGAGAGAAGATAAGGATAAAGAAGATAGATAACATAACAGCGAGACAAGTTACTTTCTCTAAGAGAAGAAGGGGAATCTTCAAGAAAGCTGATGAGCTTTCGATTCTTTGCGATGCTGATGTTGCTCTCATCATCTTCTCTGCCACCGGAAAGCTCTTCGAGTTCTCTAGCTCAAGGTATCTCCACTTTATTTTCATATAATTAATCTTCCATTATTTGTTTTTGCAATCTTTGTTTGTGTTGTAGAGAATATGGTTGGAGAGATACATGTAACTATATGAGATTTTTTGGTTTTCTTTTTTACTTTCTAAAATCAATCATTTTTGGGCTCGGAGATCATGTACGAAATCATGATACATTGAAGCAGTAAAAAAGATTCTGACGACCTAAATTATTGTACTTGCTCTTATCCCCCTTTTTCCTAATAAGAGAACATAAGAATTACTTTACCTTACATTGCAATTACGTTGAAATTAATTAATTGATATATTATTATGGGTTATTTTACGTTTTTGTTAATCATTTTCATTTAGACTTACGGTTAAATTTCCTATAATGGAAAAGAAGAGAGCAGAATATTAGACTGTGATTGTGCTAATTTACGCAGGAGTGTGTATATATGGATACGTAGTACTTACCACAATTAGAATGAACTTCTTTTCTCCTTTTATTTCTTTATTTTATTTATGATTTACAAAAGTCTTTGACAGTGTCACTTGGTATGATTGGGGATTACGTCTTAGCCACTCGTTTATTTTATCGTGGGAAGCATAACCATAACTGGGAGTGGAGTCATCTAATAAATATCCTCAGCACATATTTTGACTTGATGTCTGCCTTTGATATCTTTTTCTTTATTGTAAATGGTTTCTAGTGTATTCTTTAATTTATTTTTCAATTGCATATATGGACGAAGGAAAAGTTCATATGAAAGATGGATTGTTTGTTGAAACGTGTAGAATGAGGGACATATTGGGAAGGTATAATCTTCATGCAAGTAACATCAACAAATTGATGGATCAATCTTCTCTTCATTACCAGGTATTATCACTATCACTCACTCTCTTCTTTCTATCAACCCTTCTCTCTATAATATTCTCTAATATTCACTTGTTATGCGAGTTTATTCTAATTGTTTGGTGTAAGCCCAAATATAGAAACAGAAAGTGGCATAGCATAATTAGCATCATCAATCTAGAAGCATCGCATTACTTGGTTCTACATATTAACAACAGAACCCTGAAATTGTTGACTTTTGCATCTAGCAGTATGAGAATTGTAACCTCTCCCGACTAAGTAAGGAAGTCGAAGACAAAACCAAGCAGCTACGGTACGGATCCATTGATATGTTATGCTGATGAAAACATATTTTTCCATATATATATGTAAGATATTAATTATTTCATGTGTGGTTTCTAATTTTATGTTTGGAAAATGATGTGTGAATGTTACTTATAGATTTAGAATATGTTTCTTCTTAAAAACGAAGTTATTTCATTTGATGTGTAGGTTCTTTGATGTTTTATCCATATATATTAAGAATTATTTCCAAAATTTACAAGATTTTAGTAGTTTTCCCTACTATTCTCGTTTTTATTTTAAGATACATACTTATTAACATCAAGTTACATCAAGTATATACGTAGATAATATATTGGCCAATTTTTAGTTGGTAGACATTGTGAGCTAGCCGATATGTGATTAAATAAGTTATTGAGCGAGTCCAGTCCAAATCTACAAAGATCTTTGGGTAGAAGTCATCACAAAAGCTACTACTTTATTAGTTTAGGTGTTGGTAGATATTATAAGACATTAGTTTGTTTTCTAATTATCTGATGTGATAAATTCTTTTTTTTTAATAATCACATTATTATTGTTAGTGTATGCGTGTGTATGATATAATAAGATTGTATATACGTGTATGTGTGTGATGTGGGTATAAATGATAAATTATCTTATTAAATTTGAAAAATCAATACATAAGTGATTAGAAAGTTGAAACAGAAAATTGAGAGGAGAGGATCTTGATGGACTGAACTTGGAAGAGTTGCAGCGGCTGGAGAAATTGCTTGAATCCGGACTTAGCCGCGTGTCTGAAAAGAAGGTTTATAAATGAATCTTGCATATTTTTCTTAACGTGACATAATAATATAAGCTGTACAAATGTATTAAAATGTGACACTGTTTTGTTGTTGTTAACTAGGGTGAGAGTGTGATGAGCCAGATTTCTTCTCTTGAGAGACGGGTTAGTACGTAATGATTAAGCATATATATGTAATTTAAACATATTACTAATTAAGTGAGATAAAAACACGCAGGGATCGGAGTTGGTGGATGAGAATAGGAGACTGAGGGAGAAAGTATGGATCTATATCCTTTTATAGAAATCATTCCATATTAATAGTAGTACGTACTAATAATCAAGCTGAATCATGATTTAGCTAGTGACGTTGGAAAGGGCTAAAACGATGGCGTTGAAGGAGGCTGTGGAGACAGAGTCGGCAACCACAAACGTGTCAAGCTATGACAGTGGAGCTCCCTGTGAGGATGACTTCTCAGACACTTCCCTCAAGCTTGGGTATGAATAATTTGTCTCATTGAAAATACATTTATATTGTGTGGATGTTACTAATTTTTTGTAGATTGTTTTTTGTTTTTTGGTTAGGCTTCCATCTTGGGAATGAATTGGAGAGGAAGAGAGAGGTAAAGCAGAGTTGACTATGATGGGATGAAACAAATTCTTTAAGTCTTCCTTTTCACTTTCTTTTCTTTGAATAAAGAGTTCTCATTGCATTGTGGAGACTAAGCAAGTTTCTTACATTGGGCTATTCTTGTTTTTTTCCTTTTTCTTTTTCTTATTCCCAAAACTATTTTGGACCAAAGAAAAATCAATGGACCCCCATATTGTCTTTATTCTTTATCGTTAACCCCAATTATTTTGCTTTATTAGTACTTCATCTCATAAAGTTAACAACCGGAATCTTTTTATAATGTTGCGCTAGTTCTATGTTTTACAACCCTACATGATTTCCATGTGCTTTTAGGAATGACTTTTTTGCTTGACTGTTTGTTGAAGTGTAAAATGCATTGACCAACATTTTACAAGGAGTAACGTGAAATGTGCTTAAGCATTTACAAGGATGAACGTATTTTTCATAAAGTTTCATGTTTCTAACATTATAGTTTGTGATTCGCCAATCAAGTCTATCTTCTTCTTATTCCTCTTCCTCTCTGGTAGCTTAAATATATTACGAGATCGAGAGAAATCGATTGAAAGAGGTAAAAATTGAGTAAATGTTAAGAGTCTTAAAATTGAGGATTTTCAACCTTGGAATTGTTTTAAGCTTCTGTTCTGTTTATAACACCATTAACAATGTTGATAACTATAAAACTTGTTATGTTTATATTAAAATTGACACTTTTTTGCTATCTATTCAAGTCTCTTCCCAAAGTGGCTTTGTAGTTTTGGAGTTCGCGTGTTCGACCCCTCCTGCCCACATAAAATAAATATAATGGCCTCCTTTTTTCTTTTTCTTTTTCAGCGACAGCGATTTTCCCTCAAATCCCCTGAAGAGACTCAAGAGATCGAAATACTGTGGCTTCGTGTCCTAAGATTTGGATCGGTCTTCGCTTCGTGTCCTACTATTTGGATCGGTCTTCGTTGATCTTTTTCTTCTTTCCAGAATTGTATTGTCGTTCTTCTATCAGATTTTGACGAACTGAATTTTGCCAACTTTCGAATCAAAAGTATGCTCCGGATGAGAAGATACACCGACAAGTTTAGTCCTTTACTTGCTTCGTTGCAATACGGGTCATCGACATAATCGTCTTCATCGTTCGACTCCTGTTGTTGAATCGATGCTCCAAATGAAGCAATTTCAGCCATTGCAGAACCTTCATCAGTCACAGAGGACAGCCCTCGCTGGGGTTTTCGTGCTCCTTTTCCCGATTTTCTCTCCGAGTCTCTTCCGCCCTCTTGGTCGCGCCTCTCCTTCTCTCTTCTCCGTCAGTCTTATCTCTCTCTCTCTCTCTCTCTCTCTCTCTCTCTCTCTCTCTCTCTGTATCCGAATCAATCTTACATGTCTTCGATTTCATATATCGAGAGATGTGAAGCTGAAGAAATTAGTGTGACATTTGCAGGAATGGAATGCCCCAAGGCCTAGACATTTGCGCCTGCTCCAAGGCGCGCTTGATCGTCAAATCGTAAGTGGGTTTGCTCAGTTTCTTGGATAATCTATGTATGTTTGCTCCTCTGAACCTTTTTTCTTCTCCCTTGAACCAATGTGCAGTCCATCAGACAACAGGTGGAGTTATGGTCTCCCTTGGCAGATCAAGGTTGGAAGCCTTGCACTGATAATCATAGAGGACCTCGTAAGTTTCTAAAGAGAAAAGCTTTCTTCTTCTTTCATCGTTTGCATTTATGTGCCCTGTGAGCTAAGATTACTGCGTTTGGCAGAGTGACAATTTAGGATTGACGGTTTTGTCACTCTTTACAGCCTTGCCGGAGAATTCTGAAGGGTTTGTTCAGGTATTCCTCGACGGCGGACTAAATCAGCAAAGAATGGGGGTTAGTAGGATCTGGCAGAGAGATTACTTCTAGCTTCAACCATTCTTTATAAGAGTTTTCTCCTTCTCACTCTTCTAATTTGTTTGCGTTGGTTCTGCAGATATGTGATGCGGTTGCTGTTGCCAAGATATTGAACGTTACACTCGTGATTCCACGCCTTGAAGTGAATCCTGTTTGGCAAGATTCAAGGTATAACTCTATTTGTAAAAACTACTAGGAAACTTAAAAAAATGGCGGTTCCTTGATGCTGTGACTGGCCATTTCTACGCAGTTCGTTCACGGATATATTTGATGTGGACCACTTTATAAGTGTCCTTAAAGACGAGGTGCGGATTGTTAGAGAGCTGCCAACACAGTATGCGTGGAGCACTCGTGATTATTACGCTACGGGTATTCGAGCTACTAGGATTAAGACTGCGCCTACTCACGCCTCAGCAGAGTGGTATTTGCAAAATGTCTTGCCTGTTATCCAGAGGTTTGTGGCTTCTTAACTCAGTGATCTTTATTGAGTGAAGAAATGCATTGTTAAATTATAGGAAAACATGATATTACAACATATGATGTTTGAAATGACTACTAACCCTCATTTTTGAATCATCCACTCATTTTTTTTATCTGTAGTTATGGCATTGCTGCTGTTGCTCCATTCTCTCACCGTTTGGCATTTGACAACATGCCTGAAAGTATACAGCGGTTACGCTGTAAAGTAAATTTTGAGGCATTGAACTTTGTTCCTCGTATTCGGGAGCTAGGGGACGCTCTTGTGCGTCGACTCAGAAATCCTCCTTCGACCTCTCAAACATCAGGATCCATGGATCCAACAGAGAGAATAAACACCATCGTGAAAGCTGGAGCTGGAAAGTTCGTCGTGCTTCATCTTCGTTTCGACAAAGTGTGATCTTGATTCCCAAAACCGTGCACATTTTGTCTTGGCAGTAATTACTGGTTCTGACATGGGTTTGTGTCTTTTTCCCAGGATATGGCTGCTCACTCAGGCTGTGACTTCGGAGGTGGCAAAGCAGAGAAACTGTCGCTGGCAAAATACCGCCAGGTGATTTGGCAAGGACGGGTGTTGAACTCACAGTTCACAGATGAGGAGCTAAGAAACAAAGGGCGTTGCCCGTTGACACCGGAAGAGATTGGTTTGCTGCTTTCAGCCTTGGGTTTCAGCAACAACACGCGTCTCTATCTAGCTTCACACCAGGTTTATGGAGGAGAAGCAAGAATCTCTACGCTGCGTAAACTGTTCCCGGTGATGGAAAACAAGCAAAGCCTAGCCTCCGCGGAGGAACTGGTTGACGTGGAAGGGAAAGCTTCTCTGATGGCTGCAGTGGATTATTACGTGAGTATGAGGAGCGATATCTTCATCTCTGCATCTCCAGGGAATATGCACAACGCGTTGCTGGCGCATAGAGCGTACTTGAACCTCAAGACCATAAACCCCAACATGATACTGTTAGGACAGGTTTTAGTGAACAAGAGCTTAGAGTGGTCTGAGTTTGAAGCAGCAGTTTCGAACGGGCACAAGAATAGGCAAGGCCAGCTTCGTCTACGCAAGCAGAAACAGTCTATTTACACTTATCCAGCTCCTGATTGCATGTGTAAAGTAGCTTCTTAAGCTCTTCCCCTGGATTGTCCCCAATCTTTACTGGTTTTTTTTTCCTTCTTCTTGTTGTTAATTTTTTTTTACTCGATCAGTAAATTAAAAAAGGTGAAGTCCTTTGGTGATTTGTGTCTCTATCACAAAGTTCTCAGCCTTCCCCAGTTCAGAGGATTTGTGTCTGTACACTACAAAGCTTCTGAAGAGAATATAAGCTTTTTCAGAAAATGATGCCAAAGCCACATCCAAATCAATTCTATTTTCGGTTCATCCCCTGTATATATATTACTTATGCAAGATGTTTATATACAGTACATTCAAGTATTCAACTATGGTTTATAAAAAAGTGATATTTTATGGAAAGAAATCTTTTTTTCTTTCTATTTTTCCGGTTTTACTTTTTGACTATATAATAATGAATGAAGAAGATGAACGTGAGTGGGGAGATTCAAAGTCATACTTATAAGAAAGATGGGACAAGGCCCCACTCAGATTCAACTATCCACCACCGGTAACTCAATTATCTGTCTCCACCGTCATTCTCTCCGATCTCTCCCAAATCCTCCATCCTTGGAGAGAGAGAGAGAGAGGGAGCGACGGCGAAGATTTTTAATCGCCTCAAAATTAGAAGAAGATGAGCTCTACTTTGTATGCTTCCGGTTTGTTTAATCAGCTCAAGTCAATTCTGGGGACCTTTCTAGGCGATTCGGTGTCCGACGAGGTGGTGCTTGCGATTGCAAGCACGTCTTTGGCGCTAGTAGTTGGGTTCGCGGTGTTGCTATGGAGGAAGGCGGCGTCGGATCGGAGCCAGGAGGTGAAGCCTATGATGATCCCCAAGTCTCTCATGGCCAGGGAGGAGGACGACGATGATGTGGATTTGGGATCCGGGAAGAGCAGAGTCTCCATCTTCTTCGGTACTCAGACTGGAACAGCCGAAGGATTTGCAAAGGTAGTGTGATCCAAGCCGACGCATTTCACGGTGATTGCTAAAGTAGCTCTAGATGTTGAAATTGGATGTTGTGATTCAGAGATTTGGTATTAATGTGGTGATCATTTTTCAATTTCCCATAGGCATTAGCAGAAGAAATCAAGGCGAGATATGAGGAAGCTGCAGTCAAAGTCATTGACCTGGTATGATACACTTGCAGTGTTGCTTCCTGTGAGACTCACTCTGGTTTTAACTGCTTATATAGCTTTGCCCTTTGCTGGTTATGCCTTTTGATTAGGATGACTATGCTGCCGATGATGACCAATACGAAGAGAAACTGAAGAAGGAAACTTTGGCATTCTTTTGTGTTGCTACGTGAGACATCTTCAATCCGATTATGACTTGTTTTGCTATATGATACCCCTCAAGAGTTTTGTTGGGCTCATTTTCATTGATACGTGTTTAGTTATGGAGATGGAGAGCCTACTGACAATGCTGCCAGATTTTACAAATGGTTTACGGAGGTTGGCTGTTGTCTCAGTTCAACTCTAAATTCTACTCTCCTCAGATTTGATATGCTCTGCGCAGTTATCTTCCTTTCCTCAATACTCTTGTGTTTCATGTTTTCAGGGGAATGAAGGGGATTTAAGGCTTCAACAACTAAAGTATGGTGTGTTTGCTCTTGGTAATCGACAGTACGAACATTTTAATAAGGTAGTGTTGTACGGAAATGTGTCCGCTTCTAGCTTATGGGTTTTCTTCTGACCTTAACCGATGGTAATTTGATTTCTTGGAGCAGATCGGGATAGTTCTTGATGAAGAGCTCTGTAAGAAAGGTACGTTAATATTAGTGTGATGTTTATCTATGATGATGATACTGAATGTTTTCTCTTTTACCGTCTGCTAATTTGGATGCCCATTTCTCTTTTATCGCCTAACTCAATGCAGGTGCAAAGCGTCTTATTGAAGTTGGTCTAGGAGATGATGATCAGAGCATTGAGGATGATTTTAATGCCTGGTTTGTTTCGGTTTCTCTCTCTGAAAGACTTTCACTACTCCTTCTACCACCCTATTTTTATTCATATTCTTTTTCTTCTTGTGTGTGTTGTTCGCAGGAAAGAATCGCTATGGCCTGAGCTAGACAAGCTCCTCAGAGACGAGGATGATACAAGTGTGGTAACTCCTTATACAGCTGTTATTCCTGAATATCGGCTGGTGATTCATGATCCTAGTTTTACAACTGAGAAATCAGTGGACGCGAATGTTGCTAACGGAAATGCTGCTATTGACATTCATCATCCCTGCAGGTATATGAACATCCGTGTGATATATACACTGTATTACAGTTTTGGTTGCATTCTAAAACCTGTTTCTTATTCCAAACAGAGTTGATGTTGCTGTGCAGAGGGAGCTTCACACACCAGAATCTGACCGGTCTTGTATTCATCTCGAGTTCGACATATCTGGCACTGGTATTACGTAAGTATCCAACTCTAAGCTGTAGTTATTGGTTATTGCCTCCTGCCCGTGGCAGTACTCTTTGTTTCCATAGGACTATTAGTGTGACCATGGATTCAATATTTTGATGTTTTTAGTCAAGAGCAGATTATCGTGTCAAATTGATTCCACCCGAGAATAAAAATATGAATGGCATTTCTTTGCAGGTATGAAACAGGAGACCATGTAGGAGTGTATGCTGAGAATCATGCTGAAGTAGTTGAAGAAGCTGGGAAATTGCTTGGCCACTCTGTAGATTTAGTATTTTCCATACATGCTGATAAGGAAGATGGCTCACCACTGGGGAGCTCGTTGCCGCCTCCCTTCCCTGGGCCATGCACACTTGGTACTGGTTTGGCAAGATACGCAGATCTTTTGAACCCTCCTAGAAAGGTTAACTTGTGTTTGGTTTTGAGATTAGCCTCACATGGCCTTTTTTGTGCCTGTTCCCAGATGTTAAACTCGTTCTTTTGGTTTCAGTCTGCGTTAGTTGCCTTGGCGGCCTATGCCACTGAACAAAGTGAAGCCGAGAAACTTAAACAACTGACATCGCCTGATGGAAAGGTTCTGAATCGCTGGTGAATCTATCTATTTTTGTCTTTGTTTTAAGCTTCCGGGAGTTAACAACATGCTCGGTTTGCTGCAGGACGAATACTCGCAATGGATCGTTGCAAGCCAGAGAAGTCTTTTAGAGGTGATGGCTGCATTTCCATCGGCAAAACCCCCACTGGGAGTGTTTTTTGCTGCAATAGCTCCTCGTCTACAACCTCGTTACTACTCCATCTCATCCTCGCCGAGGTGATTTAATTTTCTTAAAGATACCTCAGTTATTGGGAGAAGGAAAACTTGTCTCCGTCATCCAAAATCTCTTGTTGATTTGCTATACAGAATGGCGCCAAGCAGAGTTCATGTTACATGCGCACTAGTATACGGTCCAACTCCTACTGGTAGAATCCACAAGGGGTTGTGTTCGACGTGGATGAAGGTATTGTTTTTTCCTTGTAAGTTACACGGATTGTCATGTCGCTGTTTGTTTGTTTTAATAGGTTTGAAAAACTCAGAATGCAGTTCCCGCGGAGAAAAGCCGTGAATGCAGTGGAGCTCCCATCTTTATTCGAGCATCCAATTTCAAGTTACCATCCAACCCTTCAACTCCAATCGTCATGGTGGGACCTGGGACTGGCCTGGCACCTTTCAGAGGGTTTTTGCAGGAAAGGATGGCACTAAAAAGACGAAGGGGTAGAACTAGGATCATCGCTGCTCTTCTTTGGGTGTAGAAATCGGCGAATGGTGAGAAGTTGTTACAATCGATGCACCGTCTTCATCTGCAGTGTCGTCATGTTGACCTGCTGCTATATCATGTGTATGCAGGATTTTATTTACGAGGATGAACTCAATAACTTTGTTGATCAAGGCGTGATATCTGAGCTCATCGTGGCATTCTCTCGTGAGGGAGCACAGAAGGAGTACGTTCAGCATAAGATGATAGAGAAGGTAAGCATGTGAAGGGATGCATCAGCATCAGGTTTTGGAGAATAACATAATCTCACTCAACCTCTCTTTTGCATATGTGTTCAGGCAGCACAAGTTTGGAGTTTAATAAAGGAAGAAGGATATCTCTACGTGTGCGGCGATGCCAAGGGTATGGCGAGAGATGTCCACCGGACTCTACATACCATTGTTCAGGAGCAGGTATGAATGAACACCTTTGTGCAACGTTCATGTTGGGTTGGAAGATTGCATGATACCAATATTTCTTTTTATCTTACAAACTTCCAGGAAGGCGTGAGCTCGTCAAAGGCAGAAGCTATAGTCAAGAAACTTCAAACTCAAGGAAGATACCTCAGAGATGTCTGGTGATTAATGATATTTAAGATGTTTATTTGTTTATTTTTATCTCTTCTTCCTCATTTTCTTGCTTATTAATTATGCTCAAACATAATATCAATTATCTCACTCATATTATCAATGTTTTATTTTATTTTCTCTCGAAGTTTAGCAATAAATTTGTAACATGTGTTCATCATTGCAAAAATGTGTTGCAAATGTAAACGAAAAAACAAAAGTTGCAGAAATTATGTTGCAGTATCATAATTAAAAGTTCAAAAAAAATTCATAATTTTCTTTTTAAAAGAACCAATGAGACTTTGCATCCGTTTTGTGGACTGAAAGGTGGCGAGTGCAAAACTTACAATTAAGCAAATGATGGATGTTTACAATTAAGCAAATAATGGATGTATGTTGCATGTGTCTTGAAATTTTATGCATTGGCTATTACTTCATAATAAATCTAACAAATCATCATAATGATAAATAATATATTTTGGGAAAAGTTGATCGGTGTGATATTAATTTTAGGATGGATTAATTTTGATGTTTTTTTTTGTAGTTATTCTTATGTTTAATATATTGTAATTAAAACAAAATGACCATTGTAACGCTTAAATGAGATAACATAAATTTATCATATTTGAATATAATTTTTTTATTTATATATTGAATTATTAATAAATTACTGTTTAGCAGGATTGGGTATAGCACGACCACGACGTGTATCTGTCTTGCAGCAACAAGACCCTCCTAAACAAATTCCACCTAATGTGTAACCTCTAATAGATGCACAATGGGCATTGCATGCTTTTTCGCTGATACATGGTCCATAATGATCACATGATTCACCTATTCAGTTCATAAAAGTTAGTAATATATTTTAAATACAAAAATACATAATTCAGTAAGGAATCTGTAAAGGTAAATTGCATATACAAACGAAATTGCATCTTTAATGATCTTGACTCAACCAATTACATATTGTTTGAATTTTTTCAGAGAATTACAAATTTTTTAAAATATGCTTTTTGGCTTTTCAAACAATATATCTAAATAAATAAATATATTACCTGAAATCATGGGCATACAGATGAGAGCAAAGATCATCATCAAACATAACAAAAGAGACGAAATTTTTATGTTTGCCATTATTGTTTTTTATAGATTGCAACAACTCTCTGTCTGGAGACCCTTCAAAAGAACAAAACGAACACAAAAATAAACTAAAAATCAGCATTTGAAGAAATTATAGTGGATTAGAGACATTTATATAGTATATTGTATAGCAAGATATATATAAGGGTTGGGAATACTCAAACACTTTGATAAAATAATTCGAGTCTTCTTCAACAAAAACTTCTAAAACTAACATATATATATATATATAACCTGATTACCTTTTCGTTTTTTATATAAGTTGCTGCTTATTATGAACTGATTGTATGGTGTTATATATATATATATATATATATTACATAAGTTTGACAACGAATCCATTTTTTGTATCATATTTATGTAAACAAATCTTGTATATTTATGTAATGGATTTTCTTAACAAGTTTTGACTATAAACTTATTCAAATAAATCTTGTCAAAATAAATCCATTTATTAATCTTGTTTATACAAAAAATCCATTACATAAAATACACAAGATTTGTTTACATAAATATGATACAAAAAATGGATTCGTTGTCAAACTTGATACAAGATTTGACTATATACAAGATATGTAATGAATCAATTTATTAAACTTGTATAGTCAAATAAATCTTGTCAAAATATACGTATAAAAATATTATTATAACACAAACGGATACAAACAGCACATGTACTATTTTGCAAATGACTAGTCATTAATTATAAAAAGATGTACAAAAATATGGATAGTTGAAGATGTCAGTTTGATCCGCAACCCGCGGGCCTGGCCCAAGTAAGAGTGATGCGGGCGGGTTTGGGCTTTATATAATTGTTCGCCTGATTAGCGGGCTTCGCGGGTCAGACCCGTGCGGATGACGGGTTGAGCGGGTTAACCCGCTGCGGATTTGTGGGTCCGCGGACAAAAACACCGAGCGGAGCAAAATCGATTGATCTTCTCCAAATTCAATCTATCTTCCTCAAATTTCTTCATCGATTGAGCATATGTTCTTATTTCCGCCATTGATCTCCTTCTACTCTTATTCCTGACTGATATCTTCTTATGAATCATGATGGATATGATTATGTGAAGTTGCTTCTTTGCTGATCGATCAGAAATAAGAGTATGCTTACATCAAACAAATGCATCATCTAATCTAGCTTCAAATTCTTCTCCGAAATCACCCCTTCTTACTTTAGGTAATCATAATCTCTGAAATCTGTGAATGGCTAGTTCATGTTCTTTTCTCTTTGGATTTTCGCTCCAACCTTGTTTAATTTTGCAGAAAATGCTCCGACCCTGTGGTCTTCCTCTAGAAAGAGAAGACAACTAAATAGCTTGCAAGTGTTGTGTAGCAATTCGATACTTTGATTGTTTCAGTCAATAAGAGTATTAGGTGTTGAGTGTCTCTCTTGCTTTGAGTGAAACCGTGAGTCTAGTAGCTTATTAGGTGTTCGGAGTTCCTTGAGTTTCCTCTGTATGTCGTTCTCCATCTCTGTCTCATTAACTGGTTCTTGTATGTCTATATGTGGAAAAGGGCTTTGCTTCTTTCTTTCTTAAACCGTATATCTCCCTCGCTTCAGTCATGTACCCAGTGAGAATCAAATATTGTATGTTGCTTAAAGTAGTGACTATGGTTTAAACTCAGAAAGTAACGCTCTGTTTCAGGGAGGCTTAGTTTCATCATTGGAATCAGTTATACACACATGGGGTCTGCATCTGAAAGGGTCCAGTTTACATATCCTTACGCCACTGTCTATTGTAATTGCAGTCATTATGGGTGCTATATTCCTCGGAAGATCCACTTCACCTTGGAAGGTACTGTCATCCTTCACCTTTTTTTAACACACTTGGAAGATTCAATGTGTGTGATGCGTGTTTGGTATTTAATAAAAACGTTTCTGTGGCCTTCCAACGACTTAACAAGACGACTTAAAAAATATATCTGGTTCGGCTTTTGATTTGGTTTTTAAAACGACTTAACAAGACGACTTATTATTAAAGAAAGAGGATAGTTATTATCAAGACGACTTATTACTACACAATCTGAGACAATAAAGGAGCTTACAAGACATTAAAATTGAAAACTACTCTTAACAAGACGACTTATTATTACACAGGATAGTTATTATATCTTCTTATTTACGGCTCCCAAGGTGGTGGAGGCGACGGAGTGTCTGGAATAAGGGGAGGTATCGCAGAGAAGATTGTGTTTTTGTCGATAGTCTTACCTCCTGATAGTGCCACCAGAGCAGCGACCAGACCGGCATTCCCCGACAGAGTCGGCTCCGTGTAGTTGTAGTTTGAACGAACGTCATGGAAACCGTCATGCTTGTCAGGTCCAGCAACCATTGCTCCAATGATCTCGTTTGGGTTTTCCTCTTTGCTGTCTCTCCATTTCCATCCTCCTTCGCAGCTTTCATTCTTAACACTCTGCGGTATTGAAGCTCCTCTGTGATGTACACGTTTCGGGTAAAGGTCCCCAAAACCAACAACATAACTCATGTTCCCTGGGTTTCTACCGAGTATGTAATCAATCTGCCATTAAAAGAAAACAATACAAAAGGTTATTAAAAATATTCCTTTGTTGTTTCATTCATTAGTGTTCAAAAGACGCATATACCTGCGATCTTGAAAACTCGCGTAGGACATCGTTAGGGTAGAAAGTAGGGCCACAGTACCATCCAGGAGTATTAGCAGCTTCTAGATAATCACTGAATAGCGTCGCTAAGAAAGCCGCATTAGCTACGTTCCAGCAAACCTCCTGTAAAGTTTGTGACAAGGTTATTATAATAACTCTTTTAACATTTCCGAAACCAGAACAGGTCCAAGAAAAAGAAAACAATCAGAGAAAACTCACCCTTGGTTCTGTTAAATTTGTGGAAATAAGGCAAGTATGAGCACATAACTACACCTATTTGTTTGTGGAAGGTGCTCAACATCTCCTCATACGGATACGGAGGCCCGAGGAACAGCCTAAGTCGGGTCAATAGCAACTGAAAAAAAAGCATCGGATCATCAGGTGGTTTAAGATTTAAAAAATTCACAATTTAAAGAACACAGACCTGAGCCCCTGGAAGCTTATTGTCCCAGCTGAAAACACCATAGTAAGCGCCAGTCTCAAAGGCACCGGCACGAGTGGCCAAAACTTCCGTGGTAACCTGATCAAGATACGACACACTGCCAGTTGCATAGTACAACCAAGTGCCACTCCACAAAAGTTCATCCCACGAGAGAGTTGATTGGTAAAACTCGCTGGCCTCTCTATGTTGTTGACTAAGCTTCGTTGAGTCTGCAAAGGCGTAAAGCCTCTTAGCTCCGTCGACGAGCTTTTTCGAATACTCCGTGTCTTCCTTGAACACAATGGAAGCAGACGCCAGAGCCGCGGACATCTCGGCAGCGAGATAAGGGCAGGAACCGTAACATGAAGCTACGGTCCTTTTGTAGTCAATGTCCTCAGGACGGATCCAGCAGTAGTGTTCATTATCAACTAAACTTCCTTTCCTAGTATCACCAGATCCGACCTGTGAAAATAAAAGGCAAACGTTTTATAAATATGAACATAGAAAAATGAATGATTCACATTGTCTTTTTTTTCCTACCCGTTTAACGATCTCATAGACTGTTGTATCAACACGACTGTCGAATGTCTTCAGGAGATAAATCTATTCCCCATTTGATGAGGTCTTTAACATGCTCCAGCTCTCCTGCAGCTTCGTACTTGGCACTGTATTCAATCACACTCCAGCTCAAGAGCGTCATAGCATACGACGTCGGGAAGCTGAATTTTATAGCGTCTCCTGCGTCGTAATAGCCACCGACCAAATCTTTGTAAAACTCTCCGGGATCGCCTTTCCCATCGCGCGTGCAAGAGTCTCCTCTCCAGGAGACATTATGAACATTTTGCTTAGGTAATATCCCAGCTGAAAGAAATCGAAACGACGATTATTAGAGATTATATTCAGATAAGGATTAGTATGATCCGATAGACACATATTACTTGGAGATAACTCCGTTTCCTAGTTGAGATAGGTTTGCCTAACTTGTATAAATACAGTTGTATGTTTCATCGTTAATACATCATCAAATATTCGAAGCACTTCTATCGATTTACAACGATATGTATCAAATCGATGCAGAAAACAAACAAAAAAAACAACGTAATCGGGAATGTGAGAACGGCACAAAAAAATTAGTTGAAATCGAAATTAAACGGCTTAAGGGAAGAAGAAGAAGAGAGAAACAATGGAAGGAGAAGAGGAAAATCGAATGGCGAGTAAATAAAAAACGGGTCCAAAGGAGAAGATTTCTCTTAGTGAATCGAAATATAAAACAGAATCAGCGAGTAAGGAACTTTACACTTTTGTGCCTCGAAGAAGGACAATGCCGTCTTCAGAGCGAGGGCGTATTGATCTGGCTCCTCTCTTTTCCGTTCGTGGCGAGGCGTCGATTTCACAGTCGTCGATATAGTTCCGACTATAAACGCGCTGATTAAGAATCCAAGTATGACATAGAGGTTGACGTTCACCTTCTTCTTCTTCTTCTGCTCCGGAGGTCGGAGAATCCAGCTCCGCTGCGTCTCGCCGAGTTCCTTGGCTGATTCTATCTCCATGGGTTGATTAAATAGAATTTGAAGGGAAGAGGAAATTAAATCGGAGAAACGAAAGGAGATGAAAGTGACTCTGTTTTTTCTTGACGATACAGAGGTCGCCGGAGTGACTCTGTTTATATAGCCGTTGTTTCTTACCAATCCAACAAAAATTTAAAATAACATTATTTAAAAATCTCAGCGGCAGCATCAGTACCAGCGATACCCAAACGAACGATCCGAGACTAAAGAGAGTTCTAAAAGATTATTCTGTAAGGAACAGAGTGTGTACTTGTGTGTGGCCAAAGGGATAAAGTTTGAAAAAGCTATAACGAAAGGGAAAAGGTAAATCAAGAGAAATTGGATAAACCGGATGATTGATGATTGTATTTCCTGTAACATAGTGATCTGACGAAATTCTTATTTTTCAGAGTGGAGAGGAAGAAGAAGAGGTTCAGTGTATGTGGCTTTAGGGTGTGATGTGGTAAGTGAAATTGCAACTGAAGAAGGTGAAGTTTTTTAAAAAGATAGCACTACTATGTTTGATCATTTCTGCCACGTAAGATTCGGTCGTGCATCGGATCTGAAGTTCTCTTTCTTTTTATTTTTATATTTACACTAGAATAAAATTGACATATCTGTGAGTTTTTTATTTTTAAATTCATAAAAATAAATTTAAAAACCATATTTTGAAATTTTATTTTCATAACAATTTTTTATTTAAACATATTTCATGATACAATTTTATTTAATAAAAATATTATTTTGTAATATAATTTTTTCTATTATATTTAATAATTTTTTAATAAAATTTACGTTTGTTTGTTCAGATGAAAAAAAAAACCAGGTCCAAAAAATCGAATTGATATAAACGAATTAAAACCAGTGTTAAATATTTGAAACTTTTACTTCTAAATCCAAAAAATTGGTACCAAACTCAAACCTAATAAAAAGCTATAAGATATCCAAAATATAATTGTTGAATAATATCATCAATCATGAGACATAGAAAATTTATATAGCGATTTCGTATTTCTACCCATTTATATCTTCTGTTGTACATGATATTTAGATTTTTTGTTTAGTGTTCAAAAAAATAACTAAGTTTTTAATTAATCTACATAACAATTAAATTATCCTATATTTTATAAGAAATCAAATTACTTTATTATCAATGTTATAGTATAATATTATACTAGATGACCGGTCTACACCGTGTACAGGCTATACAATATTTAATATATTTAATTATTATTAGTATATTATTAAAAATGTTTTATTTGCATATAATTAATTATGTATTAATAATAAAAAAAATATAAAATATTAAAGATTTCAAAAGAAAATGAAGATAAAAAATATTAACTAAGACTTTAACATATTTCCTTAGATCAAAAAATATAAATTTGATAACTAAATAAATAGAAAAACATGAAAATCTATAATTATTTATTTAATTTTTATTTTTGACTCGCATGCATGTGCATATATAACTTTTTCAGACATAATTAGTTATAATATTTAAGTATTGATTAATTTTCTTATACTTTATGTATGTAAACGTTATGTTTATATACATATAAATTTTTAGTGTTCAACAACAACCATACAAATGTTTCCTATCTTTTTGAGTCTTTTGAATTTTTTTTTACTTTTTCTAGCTTTAATATTAACAAATAATTATAAATATAAAAGTTATATTCAATAATAATTAAAATTTTATAATATGTTTTGAATATTATCTATATTATACTTTTACACAATATAATCTTGCCAATATATATATATATAAAGTATTTTTTTCCTTGGGCTATTGCTAATTATACCAAAATGAATTTTACGATATTTACTTATCCTAAGAGCAGGTAGATGGTTAGTCCGACCGAACACCTCACCGCTCTTAGGACATATAAAGATTTTTTAAAAAAATATAAATTATCTAACAACTAAAATTAAAATTAGAGTATAATCGAGGTTAACAAAATGTATGCACGACAAATTTGCATGCAAGTTTGACTTTTACACAATTAATATTTATATTTACACGCACATTTTGTAAAAAAATCAAAGTATGGCTTTTATGTGTTAAAATAAAATAATAAAGTATATGTTTTGTAATCCGTATTTTTATATCGTATGGTTGATTTTTTTTAAAAAAAATAATAAGTATATTTATGCATTTAGGTATGAGTTAGAAATAAGTGAATTGTAATGTTTAGGTGTTGGTAAGTTTTTTTGATATTTTCCGCAAACGTTATGTTTTTATACGATGCAGTTATTGGCGTTTAACAACAATCACCAAAACAATTTTTATCGTTTTGTATTTAATCAAAAAAAATATTTTTCAGCGTTTTATGATATATGGTTTCTCAATAGAAATATTATAAATATTTATTATTAAATTTGTAAAATCATATTTTATAAAATTCTCTGGTAGCTCTCCGCTCATCTATTTGTTAAAAATTTTAATAATCTGCAATCGCTCACTTCCACAAACTCTGTGTAACATAATCGTTTAAGTCAATCAGATCCAAACTTATTTGTGTATTATTTAAAGTGTAAAATAATATATTTTATATTTGATTGTTATATTAAAAATTAAGAGTTGATCTGTTCCTAATTTTAATATATTTGTTAATACAAAATATAATGGATCAATACAAAAAAATTGATTCATGAAATAATGTTTCAATATGCTGGAAAAAATATATGCATGAAAAATTAATATGTGTAAGATAATATTTTTAAATATTTGATATAAAAATATAAAATCGATTTTTTTTTCTCTTATTTGACTTAATTTTTTTAACATTTAATAATATATTTAACGTTAAAATCATCTCAAATGTATTTTTTTATTTTTTTCTCTAAAATATAAGTGGAATTCTCTCCAACTTATTTCTATTTTACAAAAAAAAAAATATTATTTTTTTATCTATAACTGAAAAAAAATAACAACCTTTCTTTTTCCTCTAAATTAGAACATTTAACATAAAGTTGAGTTAGAGATGCTTTAAATCAAAAATATAACCTGAGATTTGTATATAAAACCAAAGTCATAAAGATTCATTATGTACTTTTACTTCTACTTTTTATTCATATATACAATATTATAATTAAAAAAATTGGCTAAGAAAATACTTATAATTTATTTTTCTCTCTGTTTATTTTTTGTTTTATTTATAATTTCGAATTCTTGCTATATAATGAAAATTTATTCACATATGATATAAAAAAAAAAAATTATTTAAAAATGAGATTTATTTAGTTTTAACTTAACCAATCAAAACATTTTGTTTCTTTTAGGAAATTTGCCATATCACATTTATGACATGACATTGTTTTATACTAACTTTTCTTTAGGTGTTGACACATATGATTTTATTAGTAAACATGTTTCTCAAATAATAGTTAAGATAAAACTTGTATAAATTTAATTATATGATTTTAAAAATATACTAAATTTAAATAAATATAATTATTTTATTTCGCACAGGATGCGAGTTTTTACCTAGTTAGTTTTTATTATCCCTCAATTTCATAAACATGTTTTCCTTTTTTATTAATGGAGCATAAATAACAAACATGTTGAACAAATTTATAGTCAAAGTTATTGTTATGGAGAACTCATTACATTATTCATGTACATGATATATAATGCAATCTGTTCGTAGCAATTAATAAATCCATTGAACTAATTTATAGTCAAAGATTTGTTATGGAGAAATCATTACATAATAGCAAGATTTATTATACAAAAAATCAAACAAAATCTGTATAGTCAGTAACAAATCCGTTACATAAATATACAAGATTTGTTATCTTATATATATAACACTATACAACCAGTTCATAGTAAGCAGCAAAATACAAATACTGATTTTGAGTTGATTTTTGTGTACGTTTTGTTTTGTTGAAGGATCTCCAGATAAAGAGTTGTTGCAACTTATAGGAACATAGCTAATAAATGGCAAACACACAAATTTCATCTTTTTATTATGTTTGTTGATGGTCTTTGCTCTTGTTCTTATGCCCATGGTTTCAGGTAATATATTTATTTGTTAGAGATATATTATTTAAAAAGCCAAAAATCATATTTTTTTAATGTGCAATTCTCTGAAAAAATCAAGCAATTTGTAACCAATTGAGTCAAAATCATTAAAGATGCAATACGTTTTGTTTATATTTGCAATTTACATATTCGTTATTAAACTATTTATTTTTGTATTTAAAATATATTGCTAACTTTTATGAGCTAAATAGGCGACGATTGTGAGGTTCAAGGACCATGTATCAGCCCAAAGGCATGCAATGCCCATTGTGCATCTCTGGGAAGTTACAAATATGGAGGAATTTGTTTAAGATTGGGTTGTTGGTGCAAATTGGATGCTAAACTTCGTGGTCGTGCTATATCTGGTCCTTTTAAACACTAATGTATTAATAATTCACTATATGAATAAAAAAATATATATTCAAATATGGTGGTTTACATTATCTCACTAATATAGTAAAAAAAAAATGAATTATTACTACATTAGCAGAAGTTCTTGCTGCTCATTCTCACACTTGGCAAATGTAACTACACCGAGTTCCCTGAACATTCACCACGTAACCCACCAAGGTAATCAGATGCTACACAACCTGACCAGGTGACTTTAACTAGCATAAGTTCAAAAAAAAAGGCAATTTTCGTCTGAGAACATCAGTTTTGACTAGCGAGACCGGTTTCCAGCTTCAATTAAAACCATAATCATGAATCTATGAAGCTACTTCAAAAGTACAAAGGTATTTTCGAATCACCTAAAGCTCTTTTTTCCAATCCAACAAAATTTAAAAATAAAATTATTTAAAATTTTCAGCGGCAGCATCAGTACCAGCGATACCCAAACGAACGATCCGAGACTAAAGAGAGTTCTAAAAGATTATTCTGTAAGGAACAGAGTGTGTACTTGTGTGTGACCAAAGGGATAAAGTAAAGAAAAAGCTATAACGAGAAATTGGATAAACCGGATGATTGATGATTGTATTTCCTGTAACATAGTGATATGCCGAAATTCTTATTTTTTCAGAGTGGAGAGGAGGAAGAAGAGGTTCAGTGTATGTGGCTTTAGGTTGTGATGTGGAAAGTGAAAGTGCAACTGAAGAAGGTGAAGTTTTTAAAAAGATAGTATTACTATGTTTGATCATTTGTTTGCCACGTTAGATTCGGTCGTGCAACGGATCTATATTCTTTTTATTTTTATATTTACCTATATAAAACAACCCACCTTTTTGTTTCATTTGATTGGAAACGTTAGCTGTATGGAAAAGTACGCAAGTGAAGCTTTTTAAAGAGTCTATGTTTAATTATTTGTTCGCCACCTGAGATTCGGTCGTACAACTCGAACAAAATGGAAATAAGTTTTATTTTTAAAATAAATAAGAGAAAACTAGTTTTGGTTCCTAAATTAACATACATATTAGACAACTGAAACTAAAACTGAATCAAACCAAGCGAGCAAAATTAAAATATCTGAAATTTAAAAATTATCTGAATAAGTCTTATAGCCTTACATTGAAATATCTGAAATTTAAAAAAAACAATCCGAACTCAAACTAATACCCAAATGTGCATAGCTACATGCCTACATATATATAATTCATTTTGATTTTTGATTTTTTCAATTCACCAGACGAATATTTATTCTTTGATTTGAAAATTATTATGATTTTTATTGAAGAATTCTGAATACAATTTTTAGATTTTTCGAAAGGGATAAAATCTGATTTTTAAATGCTAATTACTTGTGATTCATGGCCGAACCAGATAAGTATTTAAGTTATGGTTTAATTTGGTTTGACCAGATTGAACTTGGTTCACAAATTTTTTGTATAATTAATTTTTACCCATTTTTAAATATATAAACTAAACAGTAAATATCATAAATATTATAATTTATATTCTCTGATTTTCAATCTTTAATTGAAGAATTAGGATAGAATCCATGCTCATTAGCGCAGAGTTTGTTTTGTTTTGTGAGTATTTAATATGTTGTCAAATTTCATTTCAACTATTCATATTTTTGTACATCTTTTTATAATTAATGACTAGTGATTTGAATGAATAGTACATGTGCTAATGCCCATGTATTGTATCCGTTTGTGTTATAATAATATGTTTTTATACGTATATTTTGACGATTAGTATTTTCAGTTTTTTATTCTTATCAAATTTTGTTTTGTTATACTTTTTGGATTATCTTTTTAATTTCTTCTATACATTACTTTATTAATATTGATCTTTTTACCATCCGAAGTCACGAGCCTATTAGTTTCTGTTATTCCTCAGTTTCACAACCATGTTTTCCTTTCTTTTTCAAAGGGACATAAATAACAAACATGTTGAACAAACTTTTAGTCAAACTTTTTGTTATGGAAAACTCATTGCATGACATTCATGTACATGATATATAATGCAATCAATTCGTAGTAAATAATAAATCCGTTGAACAAATTTATAGTCAAATATTTATTATGGAAAAATCATTACATAATAGGAAGATTTTATTATACAAAAATCCTACAAAACGTTTATAGTCGATAATAAATCCGTTGAACAAGTTTATAGTCAAAACTTGTTAAGAAAATCCATTACATAAATATACAAGATTTGTTATATAAACTGTATATTTATGTAATGGATTTTCTTCAACAAAATCCTACAAGTTTAATAAATGGATTCATTACATAAATCTTGTATCAAGTTTGACAACGAATCCATTTTTTTGTATAATATTTATGTAAACAAATCTTGTATTTTTTATGTAATGGATTTTTTGTATAAACAAGATTAATAAATGGATTTATTTTGACCAGATTTATTTGAATAAGTTTATAGTCAAAACTTGTTAAGAAAATCCACTACATAAATATACAAGATTTCTTATATATATATATATATATATTAACACCATACAATCAGTTCATAATAAGCAGCAAAATACATAAAAATCGACAAGGTAATCAGGTTATATATATGTTAGTTTTAGAAGTTTTGTTGAAGAAGACTCGAATTATTTTATCAAAGTGTTTGAGTATTCCAGGCCCTTGTATATATTTTGCTATACAATATACTATTTTTTTTTTTAAATCCACTATAATTTCTTCATATGCTAATTTTTAGTTTATTTTTGTGTACGTTTGTTCTTTTGAAGGGTCTCCAGAAAGATAGTTGTTGCAATCTATAGAAATCAAATAATGGCAAACATACAAATTTCGTCTCTTTTACTATCTTTGATGATGGTCTTTGCTCTCATCTCTATGCCCATGATTTCAGGTAATATATTTATTTATTTAGATATATCGTTTGGAAACCCAAAAAGCACTTTTTCTTTAATTTGTACTCTCTCAAAAAGAAATAAAAAATATATAATTGATTGAGTCAAGATCATTAAAGATGCAATTTCGTTTGTATTTGCAATTTACAGATTCCTTACTGAATTATGTATTTTTGTATTTTAAAATATATTGCTAACTTTTCTGAATTGAACAGGTGACTCATGTGATAATCTAGGACCATGTATCAGCGCAAAGGCATGCAATGCCCATTGTGCATCTATTAGAGGTTACACATTAGGTGGGATTTGTTTAGGAGGGTCTTGTTGTTGCAAGACGGATGCACTTCGTGGTCGTGCTATACCCAGTCCTGTTAAACACTAATTTATTAATTATTCAATATATGAATAACAAATTATATTTAAATATGATAGATTTATGTTATCTCATTCAAGCGCTATAATTGTCATTTTGTTTTATTTACAATCTAATAAACACAAGAATAACTACAAAAAGCATCAAAATTAATCCGTAAAAAAAAGATTATGAAAAGTACAAATTGTCATGCACGGAGCATAATATCACACCGTTCAACCTTTCTCAAAATATATTATTTATCTTTACGATGATTTGTTAGATTTATTTTCTAAGTAATAGCTAATGCATAAAATTTCAAGGCACATGTGACATGTGTTGTGGTCTTCCCATCCATTATTTGCTTTATTACATTTTTTGCACTGGTTAACTTATGGTCCGCAAAAAGGATGCAGAGTCTCATTAGTTCTTTTAAAAAGAAAATTATGATATTGCAACATAATTTCTGCAATTTTTGTTTAATTTACATTTTGCAACACATTTTTACAATGACCAATACATGCTACAAATTTATTGCAAAATCACGAGAAAAAATAAAATAAAATATTGATAATATGAATGAGATAATTCATATACGTTTGCGTATATCACTTATAATATTTATTAAAAAATAAATTACTTATGAAATATAAAATGTTTTCTGTTAGACCCTATTTGTGAACTGTATTTTTAAATATATAATTAAAATAATAAAATTGTTACTAAAACTTAGTTTATTAAAAACTGAAAAATAAATTACAAAAATAAAAATAAATTACATATGAATAACTTTTTTTCTTGCAAAATTATTCATTAACTTTGACTACTCAAGTTTTTTGTTTATTAAAAAAAATCCAGAGAAACTAATTAGTAACAGAAAAATATGAGAAGATCTTATAAATGAGAAGGAAAACAAAATGACTAATACTAATAACAAAAGAGAATTCAATAAAAATCAATAAAGTTTTCTGTAAAGATTTATTCATGAAAAAATGAAAGAGAAAAAACAAACTCCTACTAATAGAAGTAGGAAATGATTTGATAAAGAAAAAATAGGATTTTTCTATTAGGTTTTATTTATTTGTTTATTTTATAATTTAATATCACTTAATATAATAAAAAAAATTAAGATTCCAAAAAAAAACTAAGATAATAAGATTAATCTAAATCCTATAGAATATTTAATACTAACCACCCAATAAACGACCATAAATGGAAAGATAGGAATATTTTTATTATTATTACTAATTTAAAAAAAAACTTAAAAATGGAAAAAGAGAAACATAACTCATGTGTTAGAAATCTATTCTTCCAACAAAGCATGACAGTTAATGCTAAAGCGTTTGATTTATAAGCTTTATCCATTAAAGCAGATTTGTATACCATAATAGTCAAATTGACAGTATTAAATTTGATTTTTCATTTTTTTTGCAAGCATTAAATTTGATTTCCATCACTAAATTCATTACATTTTCGTGTTTGGCACTAAATTATTTAAAATCTGTTGCTAAGGTACTTTTTATTTGATAAGCTTTTGTTTAATCATTTTTCTATTGGACTCTATCAATATAGGTTACACAAAAGGTGGGATTTGTTTTGGAGGGTCTTGTTGCTGTAAGTGGGATGCACTTCATGGTCGTGCTAGATCTAGTCTTTTTAAACACTAATTTTAAAAATAATTCAATATTGAATAAAAAAAAATTATATTCAAATATGATAGGTTTACATTATCTCATTTAAGCGCTACAATGGTCATTTTGTTTTATTTACAATCTAATAAACACAAAAATAACTACAAAAAACATCAAAACTAATCCGTAAAAAAAAGATTCTAAAATGTACAAATCGCCATGCATGGACTATAATATCACATCGTTCAATCTTTTTCAAAATATTTTATTTATCATTACGATGATTAGGTAATTATCCGCGCTACGCTGCAGGATATAATTCTAAATTTTCTTTATTTTAAATATAAAAAAATATTTTTATAATATAAATAAATATTATATTTATTTTATATTTAGTATAATTTTTATATTTGTGTCTTGATTGTTTCTCCATCTAGATGGTTCATTTGAATAAAAATGAGAATTTTCTTAGTTTTATAACAAAATCGAAAAACATTCAGATAATGTATCTGGATGATTTTTCAAAATTTAGATAAATTTATGAGAATTATTTAGAGATAAAATTATTTAGGATGATTTTTTAAAATTTAAACAAATTTATAAACAAAATTAGACTATTTGGATGGAGATGTTTCATTCTAAAATAACAAATGAGTAAAATATTATTAAACTTCAAGAAACAAAAAAAAAACCTAAAATCCCATTAAATCATATTTTTTGACAAAATCAAGAAAATAATAAAATTACATTTTTTAACAAAACCACAAATTTCTTTTTAATTTATCATTACGATGATTTGTTAGATTTATTATCAAGTAATAGCCAAATGCATAAGATTTCAATGCACATGAGACATGTGTTGTGGTCTTCCCATCCATTATTTGCTTTATTATATCTTTTGCACTGATTATCTTACCGTCAGCAAAACAGATGCAAAGTCTCATTGGTTCTTTTAAAAAGAAAATTATGATATTGTAACATAATTTTTGTAACTTCCGTTTTTATTTATATTTTGCAACGCATTTTGCAATGACGAATACATGTTACAAATTTATTGCAAAACTACGAAAAAAAATAAAATAAAATATTGATAATATGAATGAGATAATTGATATTATATGTCTACGCACATCACTTATAAGATTCATTAAAATATAAATTACTTATAAAATATAAAATATTACCCTTTAGCAGCTATTTTTTAACTGTATTTTTAAGTATTAAAATAATAAAAATTATTATTAAAATTTATTTTATTAAAAACTGAAAAATAAATTATAAAAATAAAAATAATTTTTTTTATGAATAAATTTTTCTCTTACAAAATCATTGATAACTTTGAATACTCAAGGTTTTTATTTATTAAAAAAAATCCAGAGAAACAAATTAGTAACAGAAAAATATGAGAAGATGCTATAAATGAGAAGAAAAACAAAACAACTAATACTAATAACAAAAGAGAATTTAATAAAAATTAATAAAGTTTTTGGTAAAATTGTTCATGAAAAGTGAAAGAGAAAAAATAACCTCCTACTAAATAATAGAAGTGAAAATGATTCGATAGAGAAAAAAATAGAGTTTTTCTGTTAGGTTTTATTTATTTGTTTATTTTATAATTTAATATCACTTAATATAATAAAAAGAAATTAAAATTTCAAACAAAAAAAACTAAAGATAATAAGATTGATCTAAATCTTATAGAATATTTAATACTAACCACCCAACAAACAACTATAAATGTAAAAAAAGATATATTTTTAATATTATTACTAACTTAAAAAAAATCTAAAAATGGAAAGAGAGAAACATAGCTAGTGTGTTGAGAATCGATCCCTCCAATCTTTCAGAAAAAGGGAAACATAGATTTTCTATCTTCATTTTTGTTCATATAAAGAGATATAAAGAGAACTTTCACATACCCAAGAAAATGAGGTTGAAGAAATAAAATAAACAAATAAATATCTAAGAAAGCTTTTTAAGGAAAGCAGAGAATCCGAATGAATCAGATCATAAATCACCAGACATCTCTGAGGTATCTTCCTTGAGTTTGAAGTTTCTTAACTATAGCTTCCGCCTCTGACGAACTCACGCCTTCCTGGAAATTTATAAGATAAAAAGAAATATTGGTATCATGCAATCTTCCAACCCAACATGAACGTTGCACAAAGGTGTTCATTCATACCTGCTCCTGAACAATGGTATGTAGAGTCCGGTGGACATCTCTCGCCATACCCTTGGCATCGCCGCACACGTAGAGATATCCTTCTTCCTTTATTAAACTCCAAACTTGTGCTGCCTGAACACATATGTAAAAGAGAGGTTGAGTGAGATTATGTTATTCTCCAAAACCTGATGCTGATGCATCCCTTCACATGCTTACCTTCTCTATCATCTTATGCTGAACGTACTCCTTCTGTGCTCCCTCACGAGAGAATGCCACGATGAGCTCAGATATCACGCCTTGATCAACAAAGTTATTGAGTTCATCCTCGTAAATAAAATCCTGCATACACATGATATAGCAGCAGGTCAACATGACGACACTGCAGATGAAGACGGTGCATCGATTGTAACAACTTCTCACCATTCGCCGATTTCTACACCCAAAGAAGAGCAGCGATGATCCTAGTTCTACCCCTTCGTCTTTTAGTGCCATCCTTTCCTGCAAAAACCCTCTGAAAGGTGCCAGGCCAGTCCCAGGTCCCACCATGACGATTGGAGTTGAAGGGTTGGATGGTAACTTGAAATTGGATGCTCGAATAAAGATGGGAGCTCCACTGCATTCACGGCTTTTCTCCGCGGGAACTGCATTCTGAGTTTTTCAAACCTATTAAAACAAACAAACAGCGACATGACAATCCGTGTAACTTACAAGGAAAAAACAATACCTTCATCCACGTCGAACACAACCCCTTGTGGATTCTACCAGTAGGAGTTGGACCGTATACTAGTGCGCATGTAACATGAACTCTGCTTGGCGCCATTCTGTATAGCAAATCAACAAGAGATTTTGGATGACGGAGACAAGTTTTCCTTCTCCCAATAACTGAGGTATCTTTAAGAAAATTAAATCACCTCGGCGAGGATGAGATGGAGTAGTAACGAGGTTGTAGACGAGGAGCTATTGCAGCAAAAAACACTCCCAGTGGGGGTTTTGCCGATGGAAATGCAGCCATCACCTCTAAAAGACTTCTCTGGCTTGCAACGATCCATTGCGAGTATTCGTCCTGCAGCAAACCGAGCATGTTGTTAACTCCCGGAAGCTTAAAACAAAGACAAAAATAGATAGATTCACCAGCGATTCAGAACCTTTCCATCAGGCGATGTCAGTTGTTTAAGTTTCTCGGCTTCACTTTGTTCAGTGGCATAGGCCGCCAAGGCAACTAACGCAGACTGAAACCAAAAGAACGAGTTTAACATCTGGGAACAGGCACAAAAAAGGCCATGTGAGGCTAATCTCAAAACCAAACACAAGTTAACCTTTCTAGGAGGGTTCAAAAGATCTGCGTATCTTGCCAAACCAGTACCAAGTGTGCATGGCCCAGGGAAGGGAGGCGGCAACGAGCTCCCCAGTGGTGAGCCATCTTCCTTATCAGCATGTATGGAAAATACTAAATCTACAGAGTGGCCAAGCAATTTCCCAGCTTCTTCAACTACTTCAGCATGATTCTCAGCATACACTCCTACATGGTCTCCTGTTTCATACCTGCAAAGAAATGCCATTCATATTTTTATTCTCGGGTGGAATCAATTTGACACGATAATCTGCTCTTGACTAAAAACATCAAAATATTGAATCCATGGTCACACTAATAGTCCTATGGAAACAAAGAGTACTGCCACGGGCAGGAGGCAATAACCAATAACTACAGCTTAGAGTTGGATACTTACGTAATACCAGTGCCAGATATGTCGAACTCGAGATGAATACAAGACCGGTCAGATTCTGGTGTGTGAAGCTCCCTCTGCACAGCAACATCAACTCTGTTTGGAATAAGAAACAGGTTTTAGAATGCAACCAAAACTGTAATACAGTGTATATATCACACGGATGTTCATATACCTGCAGGGATGATGAATGTCAATAGCAGCATTTCCGTTAGCAACATTCGCGTCCACTGATTTCTCAGTTGTAAAACTAGGATCATGAATCACCAGCCGATATTCAGGAATAACAGCTGTATAAGGAGTTACCACACTTGTATCATCCTCGTCTCTGAGGAGCTTGTCTAGCTCAGGCCATAGCGATTCTTTCCTGCGAACAACACACACAAGAAGAAAAAGAATATGAATAAAAATAGGGTGGTAGAAGGAGTAGTGAAAGTCTTTCAGAGAGAGAAACCGAAACAAACCAGGCATTAAAATCATCCTCAATGCTCTGATCATCATCTCCTAGACCAACTTCAATAAGACGCTTTGCACCTGCATTGAGTTAGGCGATAAAAGAGAAATGGGCATCCAAATTAGCAGACGGTAAAAGAGAAAACATTCAGTATCATCATCATAGATAAACATCACACTAATATTAACGTACCTTTCTTACAGAGCTCTTCATCAAGAACTATCCCGATCTGCTCCAAGAAATCAAATTACCATCGGTTAAGGTCAGAAGAAAACCCATAAGCTAGAAGCGGACACATTTCCGTACAACACTACCTTATTAAAATGTTCGTACTGTCGATTACCAAGAGCAAACACACCATACTTTAGTTGTTGAAGCCTTAAATCCCCTTCATTCCCCTGAAAACATGAAACACAAGAGTATTGAGGAAAGGAAGATAACTGCGCAGAGCATATCAAATCTGAGGAGAGTAGAATTTAGAGTTGAACTGAGACAACAGCCAACCTCCGTAAACCATTTGTAAAATCTGGCAGCATTGTCAGTAGGCTCTCCATCTCCATAACTAAACACGTATCAATGAAAATGAGCCCAACAAAACTCTTGAGGGGTATCATATAGCAAAACAAGTCATAATCGGATTGAAGATGTCTCACGTAGCAACACAAAAGAATGCCAAAGTTTCCTTCTTCAGTTTCTCTTCGTATTGGTCATCATCGGCAGCATAGTCATCCTAATCAAAAGGCATAACCAGCAAAGGGCAAAGCTATATAAGCAGTTAAAACCAGAGTGAGTCTCACAGGAAGCAACACTGCAAGTGTATCATACCAGGTCAATGACTTTGACTGCAGCTTCCTCATATCTCGCCTTGATTTCTTCTGCTAATGCCTATGGGAAATTGAAAAATGATCACCACATTAATACCAAATCTCTGAATCACAACATCCAATTTCAACATCTAGAGCTACTTTAGCAATCACCGTGAAATGCGTCGGCTTGGATCACACTACCTTTGCAAATCCTTCGGCTGTTCCAGTCTGAGTACCGAAGAAGATGGAGACTCTGCTCTTCCCGGATCCCAAATCCACATCATCGTCGTCCTCGTCCCTGGCCATGAGAGACTTGGGGATCATCATAGGCTTCACCTCCTGGCTCCGATCCGACGCCGCCTTCCTCCATAGCAACACCGCGAACCCAACTACTAGCGCCAAAGACGTGCTTGCAATCGCAAGCACCACCTCGTCGGACACCGAATCGTCGAGGGAAATCCCCAAAACTGACTTGAGCTGCTTAGCCAAAGCGGAAGCATCGAAAGAAGAAGTCATCTTTTTTTTTGGGTTCGATTGAAATCAAAATTATTAAGCAATGGGCAGGAAGCAGAGATCTTCCCAGTCACTCTGCCTCCTCCAGAGCTGGAGAGAGCAGATATAATTTGATTTTATGGGTAGAAAGTTGAATCTGAGACTGAGAGAGAGAGAGAGAGAGAGGCCCTTGTTCTTTTCTCGAGTCTTCTTCTTCAAAGCTCTTCTTTCTCTCTTCTCTTTTGTTGTTGACATTTTTGATTTGGCACCTTTTTAAAATGTCACGTGACATAATAATGAGCATTCATTCATCGCCCCGACGACTTCGTGAGTTTGATAAAAAAAAAAAAAACAATTATTTGCAATTTCCGTTTTAATAAAAGTGACATGAAAAGAAGAACAAATAAGCAAAAGACAAAACACATTTTATTGATAGGCATTGGATAATCAAAGTCGTCAGCGATGCAAGAACGCGAAAACAAATCACAAAAGATTCAAGAAATACAAAAGTTACATAATAATCATATTATTATTCACCTCGAGCTCAACCTTGAGCTTTGCAAGGTCTTGTTCAGGCAACACCACACTTACACTCCTTGCAAGCTTTCCCTTGGGTAAAACCAAAACAACTCCTTTGTCCCCGACCCCGTGAACCGTGTAGTTCACGAAATCAGGCTTCTTACCTTTGATCTCAAGCTCACACATATTCGCCATGTCAAGATTCACAAACGTTAGATTTGCACCGTAAGTGATAAAATCCGAAGACCCTCTGTCTTGTTCTACCATCCGCTTGATCACGCCGGTTTCTTCTCTTTTCCCGCCGGCGATCAACGCCGCTAGTTCACATATCTCAGCCGTCTCGTCTTTTCTTTCCACTACGCTTATTACCAAGTCGTCATTCCAACAACAGGTTGAAGACATTTTACGGTCGCAAATCGTTATGACATTCGTGTCTCTTTCGCCACGGATATTCAGTATCGACCTCCATATCAATGCACATAGAATATCAACCTCCGAAAATGGTTGGTCTCGCGCCGCCGCGCACTTGGCCATCAAACGGTCTATTTGGTCGAGGCTGAAGTTGAAAATAAATCTCTCCATCTTCCATTTATTAGTAAGTAACCAATACTTCCCAACCGATTCTATCTTTTTAATGGAGATCGCTTCATCAACATCACCTTGATCATGAGGTTGATGAGGGGTCACTTCGGGCTTTTTCGGGTAAACGACTTTGGGTGGGCCATGACTCGACAGTGTTTGTCCCATTGTTTTCATGAAAGTTGATGCTGAAAGCACATCTCCTAGAACATGCGACCAAGTCAGCCCCATAGAGAACCCGCCACATTTGAACTGTGTTATCTGAAAAATGAATTTCAACGAATAAAGATTATATTACTGCTCTATCATCTATGCGCACCTAAGCGTTAAAATGTGTTTTTTTTTTTGCGTATACGTTTTATTAGACACCTTACTAAGACAAATCATTTAGCTGAATTTCTTGGTGATTAAACAAAGATAATCGTGAAGGTTAGACGGGTTAAGGAATTTTAAATTTTATTTAGTCTCACTAGCGTGAAAAAAAAGCCCATGTGAACTCAAGATCCACAACGTTATTAGATTGCTCAGTTCATAGTTAAAAACTAGGAAAGATAATTTGGAATGAATGTTCATAGAACCTACTAAATGAATGCTTTAAAACAATAAAGCTTGAATTTAATTCTGTTGGCTTTTAGTCTGAGGCCACTGGAAAAGTGAATATGAATCATTACCTAGTACCTACCACCCATGCGAACTTAAAAGATCTATAATGTAGTAAAAAATTGTGTGTTGTATTACCTGGAGGAAAACGAGTGGAGAGAAAAAAAGATCAGGACCAAGAACGTGATCGTAGACAAGGAACCGGTGGTCGATGGAACGGTCGTCCAAGTCGAGCCACTCCTCGACCGTGAACTCTTCGACTTTCGCTTCGACAATGCGTGTGCCACTGTCGTTGCAGCGAATGTAAGGTATGGCTGGAGCAGAAGGGTCGTGGTCAGGCATCCGGATCCGACCGGTCACGTGGTCATAACATTGGAGCTCGAGCAGAGGAAACATGTTGTCCTTCAAATCAGCCATGGTGAAGTCACGTGTACCCTTGAAGAAGTAAACGGCTCGGACGTAGTGGAGCTTCATGGCCAAGTCCATGGCCGTGAGATGTCGTGGCTTGTTCTCACCTGTCACAGAAGCAGGTACCACCGACGAGATCTTGACATCTGTCACTGGGTTTGCCTCCATTTCTAGATAGAGAGAGAGGGAGAGAACTGATATGCGTAGTAGCTTAAGGCCTAAACGGGATGTGTTATAAGAGCATCTCATACGTATTGTGATGTAGAGACAGTTGGAACAACCGTTTCGGTGACATTAAATGTGGGGATTAGGTGTAAATTAACAATGTACAGTTGCTTCCATTATGTATACGTAAACAATTCTGATCAATTCAGTGCAGTTGAATTGAGTCACCATATCCAACAACTAACACTCTTTATTACATCCATGGTCCATGTCCGATTGATTCAATTAATAAGTGCACCTTTCTCGTAGCCAAACCTATTTCGATCCAAAACCAAATTGAAATAACCGAATCATTAAAGTCAGTTTTCCTATAAAAAAATAAAACTAAACCGAATCTGAACCGAGCCAAAAAAAGAAGAAAAGATCTGATCACAGTCTAAATTTTGTTTGAAAGCTAAAGATGTATTTAATTTAAAACCGAACCCAAACCATACAAATTGGATCCTCATTAGATTCGTAAATCGGAAATCCGCCAAAACCAAAACCAAAGCTGAGTCGAAACCCTGATTGCCAAACCATTCTACTCCCAACAGGCACCTTCAAGAGGACCATCATTCTCTGTTGTGCCTCGTTAAGAAAATGAACACCAGCCATGGAACAACACCTGTTCGGAAATAGTCATCGGTGATCTTTCCGGGCATCCTGATTGGTACTCGAGATGCTTGGTTTTGGTGTTTTCCATTAGCAAAAAATTGTCCCTGATCAATTGCTTGGCTCATCGCATGTAGCCTCATCCAGAGAAGCAGCAAGATACTCAGCAAGGCTCTGCTGATTATTGCTAGGTTTGTGGGAAGCTTCAGGTTTCTTTGGTGCTATAGAATTGGGAAGCCAGGGTTGACCTGTTGAGTTGCTGCTAGAGGCATCTGAGCAGCTCTTCCATACGGCTGGCTTAAGATACTTCCATGGATCTTCAGCCATGGAATTCGAGTAAAATCGTTTTGCATCTCCTTCCGTGGGTCCTCTTCCTCCATTTCTCCCAAAGCTTCTGTTCATACCGCGTCCTTGGCTTCTGCCCCTTCCTGAACCAGGATACGTGTTTCCAGCCCAGTTAGAACTTTGTCGTCCGTAGTGGGGAAATTGTGGAGCGGTGTTGTTGTAGCTGCCTCGACCACCAAATCTATTATTCCCCATATCATGGCTTTCTTGAGGGAATGGAAAAGGGCGAGGTACCCATTGAGGTTGACCTAAATGGTTCACTGGTGGAGGCCTAAAGTTGTTATTCCAAGCGACGGGTGAACCTCTGTGAGATGGTGCCATCCCTCTAGGTGCACTATACCGATTATCACCATCATAATGAGCCGCTTGAAAACCGCCATGATTGGCATGTGCCTGATAGTCACTGCCCAACGATCCTGTTCACAGTTATAGCGCAAGAATCAGAACAAGAATCAATGTTCGTTGCAAGACAGAGAACAAGAAAGTGAAGTGATTATGATACTGACATACTGTTAAATTAAATCAAGCTAGCTGAAGCTAATAGGTTCGGAACCTAATTCCTGATGAACAATTCGTCCTTCATTGATCTTGATTACCAATTACAATTAAAAAAACACATGACTAAAGCCTAACAAAGAACACAAATATCTCATAGATTTGTTGACGAGGTCACCGAACTCTCTCCCAACAACCAGATACCAAAAGACTGTTCCTGAATCTGTTCAATCCTATAATTATACTCACCAAGGACCACCTAACATGCTAACACATATTTGTTGTGGTATTATGCAATCCTCTTTGTAAAAGACAACTACTTTCTTTGGCCTTACAGGAATATAGCCAAAATGAAAACTAAGACAGAATCATCATTGACTATAAAGACGGTATTGCAGAAGAAACAACCGACACTAAGAGAAAGCAAGCACCTGGAACAGATGGTGGAAACTGCGGCACTGGAGGGTTGATTTGAGGAGATGAGATGTGTTGTTGATTAGGAGCAGTCTTGCTTCTTTTGAAACTGGAATAAGCAGACATCGGGTCCGTGTAATAATCGAACCTTGGTGTTTCATATGTTTCCTGCTGGTGAGTGGATGTCTCAGCCAACGGATTTGAAAGGTGGCCTGTGTTCATAGAGGTTTCAGGCTCTGTAGAAACATCGTTCTGTGCAGCAGCTTCCATGCGCATTGCTTTCAATATTTCTTTTCTTTTCTCTGAATCCTCCATTGTGGTCCAGCTTGTAAGAGCTAATCGACTACAAAATACAAAGAATTTCAGAAAAACCAGCAAGGAAAAAAAAGGCAAATCAAAGCATATCATGAACCCGTTCCACAAATGAAAGAACGAAAACAGAGATATTACCGTCACAGAAACTAGATTCGAGTTTAGTTTATGCATATGAAATAAGGTCAGCACCACAATCTAACCCTAAACTAAACCCTAAATTCTTATATGATCTCAACCTTTATACGGTTACCCAAACTGCGAAAGACGAAATTGAGAGTGATGCGAACCTTTAAAAAGTAAAATTTCCCCCAAAATCCACACTTCCTCGTCGTCAAAGGTAGAGCTTGTATGAAAACCTGAACGGGATGAACGATGATGATGACGACAAAAGCCTCCGCTTAAACGAGACTTCCAAAATCCGGTTCGTGTTCGAAATTATATTTCCATTAAACCCGGTTCACCGGTTCGACCGGACCGGAAAATTCCCGATATATCAGTCTCTCTCTCAATTGCGCGAGAAATCATTCTCTCTCTCTCAGTTTTTCGTGCTCGATCGACGCCGCAACGTGCTCTTCTCAGGTGATCTGTTTCTTCTTCTTCTTCTTCTTCTCTGAATCTCTGTTGAATATTAGATTTTGATCACGCTTCTTTTTCTCGATCTAGTGTTTATCCTAGCTTTCTAACTGTATTCTGACTTTCTGATCAGACTAAGTTGAATCCCACTCTCGACTCTCTCACATTCGTCACTTATCAACGTCGGAGAAGAAAAAAAATGCACGGTCGTCCAAGGAAGGCTTCCAATCCAGAAGATGAAGAAGCCTCCGCTGCTAAAGCCGTTAAGCTCCGGGTTCTCCAGTCTCAGTTCATGTCCAATCACCATGATAAAATGTACAATTCTCTTTTCTTCTGTTACCGGAATCTTATGATCGGATCAGTTTCATTTCGTCTACTTATCATCTGTTGCTTGCTGGATGTTCTGGGTTTTTGGGCTTCTAGTTATACCAAGGAAGCTATTGAATTGAGCACGAAGCTCTTAGAAATCAATCCGGAAGCATACACGGCGTGGAACTATCGAAAGCTCGCCGTGGAGGATACCCTTTCCCGAATCGAGTCTGATCCAGACTTGTTCAAGTCAGTTCTCGATGAAGAACTTAGAGTGGTGAGTTGTTCTGCCCATAAAACCAAAAACAATCAAAATTCTGCAGTGACTCTATTGTCGATCGTATTGGATCTGGATTTTACAAGTTAGATACTTGTGTACATTAACCACATAGCCATGTACCACGAGTGTATATCTCTTGTTGAAAACTGTTAAAATTGGTTTCTTCAGTTTGCAAAAAAAATGGTTTCCATACATTTCAGATTTGTTCATTATGATATAAAACTGCTCATTGGTTTCTGTGAATTGTGTTCTAAATTCAGGTGGAAAGTGCTTTGAAGCAGAATTTCAAGTCGTATGGTGCTTGGCATCATCGAAAGTGGGTTTTGAGTAAAGGGCATTCCTCCACAGGGAATGAATTGCAACTTTTGGATAAATTCCAGAGGCTGGATTCCAGAAATTTTCACGCTTGGAACTATCGCAGGTGAAAATTAGGGATCTGCAACATTCTTTGTAAAGCACACTGTTTATGTTCGTCAAGCTTAGGTATTCATGTGCTGTTCCTTTCCAGGTTTGTTGTGGAGCTAACCAATAGGTCAAAACAGGATGAGTTGCAGTATACAGACGATATGATCAGTCGCGATTTCAGCAACTATTCTGCATGGCATAATCGTAGGTAAGCATATTATTTAGTAAAATATCTGAATATAGCAACTATGCTGATTTACATGTTCAAACAAAAATGAAGTTCATTTTATGGAGGGAATCGATAAAAGTTTTTCATGAACTATATGAAGTTTCCTTCGATGGAACAATTAACTTTGGGTTACATGGCTTCTTTATTGTTTCTTTTGGTTATAGCTTGTTTGATATTTGGTTGATATACAAATCATAATCTATGGAATCTTCACAAAAGCTAAGGTTTAGTTACACTTCAGCTTCTAGATTCAGTAAACATTGCAAAGGAGTTTCTCTGGACATCAGCATATATGCATGTCTGAATCAGTGGCTCCGTTAGCTAAAAATATATCTTTTTTTTTTTTTTTTTGAAATTCTGCAGTGTACTTCTTTCAAGCTTGCTTGCAAGAAATGCTGACGGGTTTGTGCCAAATCAAAAGATTCCTGAGGAATATAGATTTGTACGTGACGCTATTTTTACGGACGAAGATGACCAAAGTGGGTGGTTTTATCATCTTTGGCTTCTTGATCAAACTGTTAATGTGGAGACTCCTCTTCTCACTTCCTCATGGCCTTCACATGGTTCCCGTGTCAATCTATCCGGATCTGGGGGCTTAAATGACTCTTCTTCCAAGCTCCCTAGTTTTTGTTCTGAGTCGGGTTCTTTTCCACTGATTCTTTACTTTGACCAAGATGTTGGTGGAGTAAGCTCGTCCACTGTTACGATTGATTCTGAACTGAAAGGAAATGAGGACCTTGTTTGGGAACCAGTTTCGAATAAAAGCTCTGAAGTGTCTTGTGTATGGGTTACTCGTCTTAAATATACCAGTACAGAACCTCAGAAGGAATACAAAGTGAAGCTCAGGATTGGGAACTCTCCTGGAATTGTTTCTTCCAGAGGATGTAACTTCAGCTCTCCTTATGAGTTCGTCTTTACAGCGCATGTTCATGACAACGTCGAAGGATCGCAAGAAGGCATTGTTTCATGGACGGATGGTTTTAGTAACTGGGATGCACAGTCAGTGGATTTGAAATCTCTTGTTACCTTTGATCAATTAAACGCTCATATGGATTTAAACTGGCGTCAAGAAGCTATAGCCGAAGAGATTGACTTATTCCGTTTATTGTCTGACAGGTACCCTATTTACTTTCTTTCTTTGATGGGAAAGAGAAATTGTATAGTCCTGATCTTTGTGTTCTTTTTTTCCTGTTTAGCAAAATTGGAAAGCTCACTCTTGCAAGGCTTTTGGTGGCGGAAGCTATGATATCGGATGATGCTATTAAGGGTGTTAACTATAAAGAAATCCTCAAGCTGTATAATGATCTGATGGCGCTGGATTCTTCGCATTATCAGTACTACAAAGATGAGCACACCGTAGCTTTACTCCACACGGTACTGACTCTTCCTTTTAGCTGTGAATCACAAGCTGAGTTTCTGCTCTTACGAACAGCTGTATAATTCTATTCCTTTTAGCTACATAAGGATATTATTATATATGTTTCGTCATGCATAAATGTTGATGCAGGTGACTTCAAGCACTGAATCCTTGTCAAGACACCTCTTCCAATACAGTGATATGAACAATTCTGTATGTCTACGGCTAAATAAGTTATCACTATCTCGGATAGCCTCTGTCGAGAAGTTGCTGTTTGTCCAAATGTTAGACCTTAGTCACAATGAGCTTCATTCAACTGAAGGTAAGTTGCTCAAAATGTCCTGGATTACAATTCTTGCCTCTGTGTGGTAATGTGATTATAATGGTGTATGTGCGTCACAGGATTGGAGGCAATGCAGCTTCTCTCATACCTAAATCTGAGTCACAACAGAATCCGGAGTTTTTCAGCGCTGGACTCACTAAGACATGTGAAACAGCTGAGAGTTTTGGATGTTTCACACAACCACATCGGCAAGCACTCAGTTGACACAACGAGGTACCTTTGTTCATCACCACTCTCTAATTCGGAATGGACTCAGGATGAAGCTGGAAGACAGATGCCTAGTTTGGCCACCAAATACTGGGATGCGTATTTCGTGTTAAGAGACTTGAATCTGAAACAGTTAGATATATCAGGAAACGTAATTGCAGGGGACGAGTTCAGCTCTTTTGTCACCCAGGTTGTGCCAAAGCTTGTATGGCTTGATGGCCAGAAAGTTAGGAGTTAGATCATAGGCCAAATATTTTCCTCTATTTATAGATCATCAAATCCCCAAAACAATTAGGATTCTTCTCTTGATGATCAATGTTGTTGTGATATGTATCTGCTCAACAATCTTGTTTATGAGATTGCATATTGACTTTGCACGCTTTATTTAACAAATTTGGTTGTTACTATTCAATTTTTTTTTAATTCAGGAGAAAGTTTTGATGACATGCAACTTACAGCAGATGCAACCAACCATCTCCAACCACAAGAAACCAAATCTCATAATTTTATTTATTGTCTCGCAACTTTATGCTCAAAGTCAAAAGTTCATATATAAAACTATAACTATACAAGCAAAACAAAAATAGAAAAAAAGCCTTCCCATTCTTCCAGGCAAGGCATATCGTCTCATTGATTTTTTTTTTTCTTTTCTATTTTGAAAAATCAAATTCAGGAGCTAATCAACGCATCTCGCACCTACATTGTTCCTGTTAGTACCGTAAAAGTCAAGTATATAAACTAAAGAATGGGTGGGAGTGATTTAGGTTGGAATTACCCCTTTGTCTCCTCCACCCATTTGAATCAGCTGCACTGGAGACTTTAGTAGCTTCTTCAATGTGTCGACTATGCCACCAAACGCTGGCCTCTGAGCCGGCTCATCTGACCAGCAAGCTTCCATCAGCGATACCAAAACCGGAGATGTATTTGGAGGGATTACAAGCCGCCTGTTCTGGAACGCAACCGCTCCAACCACCTGCGATCGATCATCACCATACCAAAACTCAAAATATACACCCAACGATTTTGAAGAGAATCATCATATAGCGATTTTGAAGAATCATGTGTGTTGGGTTACCTGAGCAGGACTGAGTCCATTCCAAGGCTGCTGCAAAGTAATCAACTCCCATAGGACTACTCCGAAACTGTATACGTCTGATTTCTCGTTTGTCGGCTCCCCTCTAAGAAACTCTGGAGCCATCCACTCAGGCTGTTTAAATCAGACCACAGAGAATAAGTTTCACATTGTTTTCAACCTTGCACATAACTTCTTCAGTAATGAAATCTTTAAGAGAGCTTACTGTTCCTGCAACAGATTTTGATGGTATGAAAGTGTTTGCCTTGAACCTGGACAGCCCAAAATCGCAAACCTGAGACAGGTCGAGTTTGATATGTTACAGAAACAGAGGACAATATCATTAAAGCTTTCACTGTGTTCAAGATCATTACCTTCACTGTCCAGTTCTTATCAACCAGTAGGTTTGGAGATTTCAGGTCCCAGTGCACTACAGGAGGATTAAGACAGTGTAGGTAGTTGAGCCCCTTGGCCTGTTCCAGTAAAACACAGATATGAATATATTGTTTCAAGCTTCTTAACTCAGAAAGACATAATGAAGAGATTAACATAAACTGAAAGAACACAAACCACATCAAGGGCCATACGTAGCTTTCTCCTTTGATCTAGCAACTCCCCAGAAGCTGGCCTATGGATGAGGCGGAAAAGGCTGCCCCTGTCTCAAGGAACAAGATAAGATTCATATAAGTTACTCGGTAAATGCAGACATCATGTATCAAAACTACATATGCAACTTTGTCTCGAACTAGACATAAACTATGCGCAGCATGGGTTTTTACCTTGGCAAATATTCTGTTATTATCGATAAACGGGGTCGCTCTGTCACAGCACCCATGAACAGAACAACATTTGGGTGACGCACACGTTTCATTATTGCAACCTTCACAATTGAAATCACAGAGTTGAGAGTTTCAAAGTTATCATCATATGGAGTTAGCGACTTAGCGTTTATTCAAAATGTATGCATCCGCTTACTTACATACCTCTCTGAGAAATTCTCTGAATTGGTCATCATGAAAATCTTGAATAGTTAAAATTTTGACAGCAACATCCTTCACCATAAACAAAGAACTCAATTAGCATCTAGGCTGAGAAATCTATTACAAACACATTGAATGATAAAGTTTTTTAAAAAACTGAAACCTACTGATCCATGCCACTCAGCGCGATGAACAGTTCCAAATGATCCTGCAAAAGCGCAGCGAAGATTTCCCAAGAGGTTTTGTTATTATGGTGCTGACCTTTGTACAAAAACAAAAATACATGGAAGAAAAAAAAAAAAGACGTACCAGCACCCACACGCTCTTTGATATGCAATTCATCCCATGAGATCTCCAGCCAATCTGATGCCAAAGAAGGCTCAATAGACAAGTATGGTGAGATGGCATCAACAGGTAACCTCACTTTTTTATCTTTTGGAGTCTCAGCTTCGGTTATCTCTGCTTCAACAGATAACTCTCCCTTTGGCTGCTTGATAACACTACTGTTTTCAATTGCGTCTTCTAATAGAAAGGTCTCCTCTTTGCAAGTTTCTTGTGAGGCAATGTTGTCTTCACTTATAAGTTTTGGTATCTCAAGTGGTAGAGCTCGGAGAACAGATTCCGTCGAAACCGTTGAAGATGCTTTTGCGAAGCACGTTTGATCAGCGTGAGCACAAAATATTGTCCCTGCAATATCTGGCAACTCTAATTGTTTGTGTACTTGGCCTTGACTCCCTACAAGAACTCAATTAACATAATCTGTATTACAAACTTCTTCCACCTTTAACTCAACTATAGACCTTACATATTCTGTTAACAACAGCCTACCTGAACGTTGAATGTTTTCAGAAAGATCACAAGAAGCCTTTGACTCTACAGTCTGACAAGACCTGGAAAACTCTTTAAGATGACTCATCCGAAGTGGTGAAGGAATCTGACACTGTAATCCACCGTTGATGGATGAATCTGGATCATGGACATTTCCTGGTTTCCCGATAAGGTCAACTACATATTCCCTGTTGAGAAAACGGTATTCAACTAAGCTCAGAATGTGGAACATAGAGCTCGAAAACAACTAAAATTGCAAGCATTGATATACTCCAAAGCTATCAACTATTTGTAAGCACAGAATCAAGGACATACACAAGCAGACCCCTGGGAGAGTAGAGACCCATCTGTTAGTAAAACATAAAGAATTTTCATAAGTGTTTTCTTTAAGTAGAAGAAGATAAAACAAACCTCCTAAATACCATACCCCACTGAAGTGGAGGCATCAAAAAGTGTTTTGCTAAAAGCCTAAGAGTCTCTACTTAGTTAAACGCACTGAATAATCTAGAAAAGGCAATGGAAAAGATTTAAACACTCTCAAACCTTGAAAGCTTCCTGTCATCGTCGATCTTGACAAGGCAAGAAGATTGGTGGTTCTCTTTACAGTACCTGCAACCTTTAGCTATCCGACATGGTAAGCCTATGTAATCAGCCAATTTCTGCACACATTCAAGGTGCAGCAAGTCAGCATCTATCAAAATACCATAAACAAATATTTCTTGCTTGATCCAGATCCAGTCTTAAGTTTTCACACCTTAAATAGGATGGCACGATGACGGCAAAGACCCATCGTTAGACTACCTATAGGAAGAATGATACATTTCCTAAACTCCTTGAGTCTATTGCTAACCAGTTTCCATCGCTTCTGGAGATCACCTTGCTCCACCTGGAAATTCCCCCTATAGGCTCCACAACCTCAGCACACAGGTATATAAATATGCACAACTATGAAGTTGGCGTTGCGAAACTAAATCACGGACAAGATAGTAAAAAGAACAAAAAGTGTACCCCATATAGACAGCAACAAGCCTGCCAAGTTGCTCCACGAGCACTAACATGTTGTCTGAAGAACAATAGAGCTCATGTGCCTTATCCTCAAGTTCTTTAAGACGCGAGTCCTCACGTCTGTCTATCAAAACCACTTCCATTGATGTATCGCTCGGCTCAGTCTCTTTTAGTAACACAAGAGATGGAAGTCGTTTTCCTTCCTCCGAGTTGTTACACATCAACCAAAGATATGGATCCATCCCTAGTATGCTGTAGAACCCATCTGATATCTTGTCACTGTATGATAAACAACCGCTTACCTGAAAAGAAATGGAGAAAACATAAAAAAAAAAAAAAAAAAAATCACAATTCGACCTAAACCTCAACAATAGAATTGACTCGAAAGTTATTAAGGAATATATACGACTTCATACCCAGAAACGGTAGGAGACAGTGTCTATGCTCTGTATTTGAACAGAATCACCGGCCAGGTTTGCTTGAGAACTTAGCCTCCTCGCAAGCGTGACTTGCAAGTAATAGCCTTCTCTTGACTTCTGCGCTAAGCTTTGCTCTTTGCCCTCCTCACTAACCTCAGCTTCTCGTTCCTCCTTGGTCACGGAGACGCGTGTGGTGGTCGAGGTCTCCCTCGCGTCTGTTGGACTTGAGAAAGTCGAGAAATTCCCGTCCACCGTCGTCCCGGAGAAGAAGCTTCCGCCGAAGCTGCTCTCACTAGACATTCTTGGAAGCGAAACCTCCCTGTCGAAGCTCCGGTCAATGTTTCTCTCGTTGATGCTAACCGCCCGGGCCGAAGAAGACGACGCAGCGATTATGGAACCGGGCGAAGCATTATGAGCCGGATCAACCGGAGACAGCAGGAGCTCTCTCTCCTCCTCGGCGTCGCTGGACATAGAGAGGCGCGTGGGCCTCACGCGTCCGGTGGTGGTAGACGAGCGGGAGAGGTTGGCCTTCTTCTCCGCCAGCCACTCGTAGAAAGCCGCTAGCTGCTGCTGCTGCTTCTTCTCCGACTTACGGCCACCATCGCTGCCTGATGAGAGACCGCTCAAGAGATCTGAAACGGCGGAGCTCTTTGAGAGCATAGAAGAAGAGGAGAACACAGTCTCCTTCTCCTTGTTCTTATCCTCTTCTCCGCCGCTGGATTTACTCCTTTCAAACCCGAAACTCTCCCCGACGTTGGACGACGATTTCTTCTCGTGATCATTCTTATTATGAGAAAACGGATCGAATCCACGATCCGGAAACTGCCGCGGGAAGAAGTAAGTCGTCCGGTGAGGCATTTTGTTAAAACCTCTCTGAGATCAGAAATTACAAAATTGATCGAACGGAAAATGGAATTGTTCAACCAAATCCCGTCATTGAATCCAGCGAGAAAAACAAACACAGACAAATCAAAAACAAAAGAAGAGAGGGAAAGTCTCTAGATGAATTCTTCAACAGAGATTGAAGATATATATGTAGCTTGCTCCGTTATCGTTCTCTCTCGTTGAGATTTCAGTTTGTCAATCAATCTCAACCACCGGAAAAAAGAAAATGAAACGATCGGAAAAACAAAATTTTGACGGCTGCTCTCTGCGGTGTGGATAAGCAGGAGAGATGGTTTTGTTGGGTCAACAAGCGTCACAGGTGTTGAGTTTTACAGGAGGAAAGGAAGGAAGAAGAAGAAGAAAAGGAAAGAAGCACAGCAAATGGAGAATAAAATATTTGAATTTTTATTATAGAAAAATGAAATGGCCAATTAAAAACTCTGTAAAGCATTGGAGATCGAAGGAGAAGAAGGAGGGGGGAGAAACTTTATGTGACGAGCTTACATCGTATACTCTTCATGCAATAGGATGATGACACGTGGATTATCATCCTACTCATGCATTGCTTGTTCTCCTGAGCGCAGTTTTACTTTAAATGGCATGGATGACTTTCCCTTTTTGTCAAATGTAGCCATGACTCATTTTAATAAGAGAAGAACACAAAAAAATATTTAGGAAATCCATTTTTATTTGTTTCCTCGTTTAGGTGCACCCCAAAAACGTAAAAATCAAAACACAGCAAAAAAAATATTTTAAAATTATGACACGAACTTTTTACTTGTAAAAGGCTATCACAACAAAGTTTCAATAAACACGGCTGGATTCACAAGAGTGTTTAATTTATTTTGATACTTTTAGCCTTAAGGTTTGGTGAAGCCTTCAGATTTAACTCGTGACTCATACAAACACTAATTTCAGTTGGACAAATTATATATATATATAGACCATTTATTTAATAGTACATGATGTAGCATTATAAAAATATATGCATGGACCTCTTTTATACTGAAACAGATAAACCATTAATTTATTCGTTTTAGATACTTTTACATTGTGTGAACAAACTAAAAAGAAAGAAATTAAAGGGCAACGAGTCGTCACGAGGATCGAGTCACTTATAGAGACACCTTCTCGAATAATCTCATCATAAATTCGATCATAAACTATTGCATAAATAAAAGTTTTGGTCAAAAAAAAACTATTGAATATATATACTATTTAACTATATTAAAAAAACTGTATCATATTTAATTACATCAAACTGGTTGGACGGTTCTCTTTCTTCGATACTTTTTTGTGTGATTTGTATGTATTTATTATATTTGTTATGCCCATATTATTGTGGTTAGTAGATAAGCTAATTAGTGGTCCCGAGCATGATTTTGTAATCCACATGGTTTTGGTATATGGGTGCATGCATATGCGCACACATTCTAATTAGATTTCAAATCTCTAGATTTAGTGTTGTGGAATCTTTCATAATATATGTGTACCCATATTATTTTATATCATGGTGGACAAGTAAGTATTACTCGTTTTGAGTATAATCCAAATCGAAACCCAAACCCATTAAGGAAAAGGCCCATATGAAAACCATAATCGATGGGTTCGATGTGTGGATAGAAAGATGCCAGCTTGTGCGGATGACGATTCTAGTTTTCCCCATGTACATAGTGTTTCCGTCTTCACCTCCTCTGCTTCTGAATCTCTCTCAATCCACTCTCTGAACTCTGACACAGGTACGAATCCAACTCAAAACATTCCCTTTTTTTTCTTTTTCTAATATGGAATGCCCAGATTTCTTCTCTCTCGTTTCCATGTTCTTTCTTGTAACTGGAACTGCTTAGTAACTTGGAAATATTAGTTTCACAATGCGAGATATCTAATCAATGTGTTTGTCTATAAGCATGTACTGAGTTATAGAACTGGTTTAATCTCAGTTATGTCCGGATCAATGTGTAACTCTTGTTTAGTGAGTTTTTGTGTATACAACAAGTCTTTGTAACAAACCCTTTATGTTTTAAAACAGAAACGTTTACATATTTTCTCTCTAATATGCCTTTCTTTTAATTTTTCAGATTTCTTATCCGTGTTGAGGAGAGTCAATAGGAAAAAAAAATCGATCAAAATCATCCATTGCTCTGCTGTTGACATTCGTTTTCGATGCAGAAGCAGACCATTCTTCACTCGGAGTACTTAAAATTTGGCAACGGATTGGTTAAATCGATAAAAACCAGTGCATATCCTAGAGGGATTTGGCACAGCAATGGAGTCAGATTGTCGTTTCTTAGAGCTGAAGCTTCTTCATCGCTGAGAATAAACAAAAGCTGCACGCTTCAACATGCGAGAGCAAAATGCTTGAGGCAGGAAACAATCCAAGCGGGCCTGAGCGATGAAGATGAAGATGATCTCTGTCCGGTTGAGTGTGTCACTGAGTTCAAGACAGACGATGAACTTCTGAAAGTCCTTGAGAAAGCGAAAGAAACTAATGCTTTGGTTGTGGTTGATTTTTATCGTCCTTCTTGTGGGAGTTGCAAATACATTGAGCTGGGCTTCTCAAAGCTGTGCAAGCAATCTGGTGACCAAGAAGCTCTCGTTATCTTCCTTAAGCATAATGTGAGTATGATTTACTCATTCTTTTCAATTAGGATTTTCCTATCTTCTTGGTAATTAATTACATTAATAATGCTCAGAATGATATATATTGCAGGTGATAGATGAATATGATGAACAATCTGAAGTCGCTGAAAGGCTCCGTATCAAGGTAATTACAATCCCTCTTTTTGCAACTTTGGTTTATAACAAGAACGATCACAAAGAAGAGAGAGTCTGATTTACTACAGTTGTACTTGTACAGTCGGTTCCTCTCTTCCACTTTTACAAAAACGGAGTTTTGTTGGAAGCATTTGCAACTAGAGACAAGGAGAGGATTGACGCTTCTATTCTCAAATATACTTCTTCCCCTGAATCGGATTAAACCGGAATTTCGGTTACCTTTCCCAAATCACATAGAAAAATGATGTAAACTACATTCATCAGCAGCAGTATCCCCCAAACTTCTTGTAAAGATTTACATAAACGCCTCGATTCTTCTTGCAAGGCCATCATCATACATAATAAGATAGTTTTCTTGGTAGTTTTGTTTTTTGGAGCAATTACCACACTTTTAGAAACCGTAGACATCTGATTTTGAGGTTCGGTTATGTTTCTATGATACATGGTGATGGAGAGAAGAGAAAAATTCATAGAGAAAAGAAAACCATCTGATTCTACAAAGGATATTCTATCGTCTGATTCTCATCACAGTATTTAGTGATCACCTAACACAGATTAGATTTATCCCCATTAGCAAGAGCAGCGTGTTCTTCGACTGTTGCAGGTTCAGAGTTGGTGTTGTTAGCTTCGGCATCACTCCCACCCTCTCCCTACATTATTAAGCACTGAATGAAAACTTTTGCTTTTATGTGTAAACCAACCAGAAACACACAGCGGATAAAAAAACGCTTACAGGTTTTATTATAGCCAGCATCTGATTCTCTTCTGTTTTCTTGGAGAGATCCCTCAATGTACCCTACAAGAAGAATTGAATAACTTTCAAAACGTCATACACATTGACTATAAATAGAGTGAGTATGTAAGGTAGTTATATCACTTTTGTGTGGAGATTCATACGTACCCTGGTAGTATAAAAGAGTCCACAGGCATTGCAGAGAGTCCTGGGGCCTGCAGGGCCACGTCGCATCATCGGTGTACATTTGGAACTAATGCCGCAATGAGTACACCTACACACGTAAAAAACATACTCACGTTTAAAGCAAGAGCAAGAAACACGAATTTTGCAGAAACATTCAAGTGGCGGAATCAGGACGCACGATATTTCTGGATGGGTATCATCTTGTGCAGAATCTTGATCTGTGCCCGAGTTGTAAGCCCCATCGGTCATCTTAGCAGAGGTGAATTGACCTTTATTACGTGCCATTCTGTTTAAGGCTAAACAAGGTCAGAGTTGTAGAAATGGTGACAAATCCCATCTCTCGTCGTTGAAATATACATGTTGTTTATTCCCAGTTAAAGTTAGTTATCACACTAACCACAGCTCAGTACAAACGCAAACTCATAGCTTATCGCAAGCCATGGACACTGAAGACTGAGAACTTAACAAGATAGTAAAGTAGTTTGAATGGGAGCAGGTTTCTTTTAACCCATAGCACACAAATATGAGCAAGTATCTAATTAAAAAAAAAAAAAACTTTTCAGCTTAGCTATACAAGAATACTACTAAACGTGAAAGAAAGATGCCATCATATTATTCATTTTCCTAACAGATGTGACATACATATACTCCAGAAGCTTTTTTTGGTTAAGATTCCATTATTAACAAAAGCTAGCTTAGGTGCCATTAAGCGCAAGCATCAAAATCTAGAATGACAACAACTAAATACGCGAATAAATCCACTAACCTTAATGCCACTTCCTGGCGAACGCCATATCTTACTTTCTTCTCGAAACATCTAGCATTCCTCTTCTTCCGAAACCTATCCAAGGACTGTGCCCGTTGCGGATGGCTATACCGGTTCTGGTATTCCACAACAGGCTACAAAGAACACCAAAATTGACAAATGCGGATTCGAATCGACACCAAAAGAGAAAAACATAGATGAAATAGTGACCATTGAGCAGACTTCGAACACAAACAACAAAGTTACCATATGATTCGGCTGAGCTAGCTCCATCACCTGCGGCCCAGTAGAGAGCTCGGTAGTACCACCCAATAGCGACAACACCGAATCGACCTACGAGGAATCAATTTCCCAAAAGTTCGGTAAGACTTAGCTGAAACACAAAAAGTGCCCAGCTTTGTGTAATCTACGCATGGCCTCTAAACCATAAGATGCTAAGTTGAATCCTCGAGATTTCTCCATTACTCTGCAGAAATAACAAAAGGGGCAAAGAAAGTATTCACCTTGTCAGGACCAACAGCATCGAAGACGTAAACTTGACCACGAAACGAGATGGTTAGCTGGTTCGCTCTCTCCGGGATCCGGGAACCAAGTAATTCGGAGCCCTCGGGTCGGTGACCCACCAATTGAGAGCCATCGGGAATCAAACCGGAGGCAGCGTAGATGGAGTCAGGGTGGGGGATTTCGTCCATATCGTCGAAAGGAATGTGACCGGACGTTACGGAGCCAGGGACATGGTCTTCGCCGGCAGGAGGATCAGAGCTGTTGTTACCCCCAATCTGATTGGGGTTTTGCGAATGACGATCAAACATCGGAAACTGCCAAAAAAAGGATAGCTTTTTCACATTTGATTGGAAGGATAAAAGCAAAGGGATGAGGAGAAAAACAAAAATAAACCCTAACCCTAAGTGCAAGAGAGTAAAGAAATAGTAGTTGACATGGAGAAGTTGCAATACAGAGAAAGAGGAGGGGGGGGGGGGGGGGGGAGATGGTGATCGGCGCTTGTGGAGGAGAGAGATTAGCCGTCGTGGAATTCACCGGCGGTAAAACGGTGACTCTGAGGTAAAATCGCAGCAACTTCCGAGAGGACCCGACGACTCCACTCACTGGATTTACCAATTTTTCTTTTGGACCGTTCGATCTTGTTTTCTTTTATTTTTATTTATCTATTAGATAAGCATCATATTGAACGGGCCAAAGCCGAAAGCGAAAATTTCTTTTTTTTTGTTTCCTTTTTTCTTGGTGACAGAGGAACAAAAAAAAGTAAAATATGGTAGAAAGTACATCAATGCTGATAGTGTGACGGTATATAGAAATTGTTAATTTAGGTACAATAAAAAATTAAAAATGAAATGTAGAATCAAACCAAATCCATAAGCATTTGGGTTTGGATCAAATTGTGTGTTAGGAGGTCTTAGTGTCTAGCTTAGTTGGAGTGGTGGGAATGTTGTAGAGAAGAAGACCAAGAACCAAAACAATACTCCCCATCATGAAATTTGAGCTCAAGCTTGTACCTCCAGGCAGATACGGCAATGGTTTTGACATTATGTACACCGATAATGGCACTGCAACACCAAAAGTATCTCATAAACTCATTGCGTGTTAACCATATATTTTGTAAGACTGAAGAGGCTTTTCATGTAGAGAGATAGTTAAACAAAAAAGGACCTGAGAGCATCACTGCGAGAGAGGAAACAATGGCTGAAGATATTTTCACCAGATGGAGCAATGAGATGTTGAAAGCGAGATTGGTGGCTATATAGAGTAGTGGGAGTATAGGGGCACCATCGCAGCCTGAAATGCTCAATTGATTAGAAACGTACTGTGCAGCGAATATACAAAAACACACAAAACTTTAGAGTGACAAAAGAACGGTCTCTAACCAGAGATCTTAGCTCCAGTGTTGAAGAAGCAGCCGGCACCATCTTTTAGATACGAAAGAAGGTTGGCAAATGGAATGCCTTTCAAGTTTGAGAGAAAAGGCAACAACAGGAACACAAAAAGAGCCTGTGCAAGCACAATAATACGCAATCGATTTGTAAGCATGTCTTGGTGGAGCTCTATTATGTAAGCAATCTTCTTGGCTGGAATGAATGCGTTCACATAATGATATCTTTAGCTACCATAATTTTAGTAGATCATACCTGAAATCCAGATCCAAATGAATTTACCACAAATATATCCAGTGACTTTCCCTGCATTGTTGCGTTATGCTTAAGAGTTCAGCGCAAAGTTACAAAGGAAACGCATTCCATGTTTGATGCAGGGGATGCTCATTTAGAAGGATAATGAATATGAATGTAAGCCACATACCTCAAGACGCTTTGCAGCATCATTGAAAACAAATTCCTGTCAACAGACAAAACACTTAAACATCTTGGGTGCTGACATGACTGCAAAAGAAATGTCCACAGCTCACAAGAGAGAGAGAGAGCGGCCTTTACCTTTATGATAGATGCACCAGCTTGAAAAGCAGCAGATGCTACCATTACAGCAGGCCATAGCAAACCGATTCCGGATAGCGTATGATCTGCACCAGATCCACTGCAGATGAGTTACAGTCAGCATTTGGAGAAATGAAAGTAACACGAGCACATGCCACACACACAGGCATAACAGGCCTTCTTAAATCTTAATAATATAACCGTTCATTTAACATAGTAAATTTGATAGAGGTGATTCTTCTGATCCATGACATTTTTTTTAATCGATAATAAGAGCTGACAAGTACTCTCTTCGCATAATCTGTAAACGACTACGGATACACACACATTTCTCTTGGCCAAGATCAAGAATTCGGAAGATAAAAGTGAATGGATACCTTGAAACAGCCACCACAACGCCCACAGCCACAAGCAAGCAACCAGAGATTTGGCTAAGCAAAAACCTCCTGCCCAAAATAAGAACAGCAAAAAGCAGCTGCCACACCAAATATGTCTGCCAAACATTGTAAAAGATAAGATTGTAAGCAGACATGTATTCAAACTTATAACATACATTGAAAGTATCCAACACCCCCCCAATGAGAAGTAGAACTAAACCAAAAGACCTGATTCAAAATGGGTATAACTGGTCCAGGAAGCATGGCTGCAACAGAGAGTCCAATCACTTTATATGTAACCTTACGAATACTTCATCATGTCGAGCAAAGGACTATATAATAAAGGGATACTTATATATATACCTGCTGCAGCCATGCCAGTGGCAACTCCAAGAGCTTCGAGAAAACCAATGACTGCGAATCTCCATTTGGGTATACTCATCATTTCACGGGTCACAATGCCTAAACGGCACCTCGTGAACAGAATGGTGAAATAAATCAAGACGTAGCTGCCAAAACCAATTCAATTTAATATTAAGACTTTTAGAGAGAAAGCTCATTCACTTCCTTGTCAAAACCATATTCGTTATAGTTTACCCGAAAGTGTTGAGCTGAGCTAAGAAGAAAGGGTACTGCTTCATGGGAACCAAGGCGAGTTTGTAGAGAACGCGATTAGCTACAGCTAAGGCTACGATGACGACGGAGTTGGCTACAATAAGTTTCCGATTGGCAGGAAGAGAAGAATGTTCCGTCGAAGCACTGACGGAAAAGCCACGTCTCATCGGAGAAGCTGATTTCCGAGTAACCGGGAAGCGGGATCTAAAATCGGGACGTCTCCCGCACATGGTCATAGCCGCCTGTCGTTGGGACAACAACCGTGCGCGGCTGAGACAGAGGTGGCGTATCGCCGGCGAACGGAATTCCGTGAGAAGAGCGGAGGACGGTGTGGACGCATGAAGGCATCTGATTCGTGTGGAAGCCAGCAGAAGGGTATCCATTAGCGGGACTGAATCCTACTTTCAAGCGCATCACGTTTATCACATTGGCTTATACGCCGCGTTTTCATCTCCTCCTCAATACGATGCCGAATCGGACAAGTTCGCGTACGACACCGTTTTTACTTACCTTTATCATGCAAACTATTCACATGCATGATGTTCGTTGTGCGAATTAATTTGGCTAACTATACACGACACCGTTTTTACTTAGGTATATTGCCACATTCGATGTCCTGAGGACAACATAGAGTATATCACAATCACATTTCCAGCTTCTGCAATGGGTTACACTTCGGTATCGATCATCGAAATAGAATGTTAATTGTTTTTTTTTTGTTTATTAACGCTGGATAGTTCATTAAATAACCCCAAATTAAGCTTAGAAAGAAAGAAGAAGAAAAGTACCCTAAAAAACCATAATGAAAATCATTGTATCGTAAAGAAGAAGAAAAGTACCCTAAAAAACCATAGTGAAAATCATTGTATCGTAACCTACATACCTTATATGACTCAAATTCCCTAACCGGCCTCATTTTGTGTCCTCTTAATGTAAGAGAGCAGTGAAGTTGTGTCCATCATCTCAACTTGGGGAGGACGAGGTACCGAGTCCATCCAGAGTGGGGGCACGAATTGGGATAAATCGATCGAAGGTCCAAAGTCCCAATCTGATGATCTGAAACTCCATATCTCATCGATATTCTCGTCACACACAGAGTGGTTCATGAAAAAGTTTTGATGGGCATCATCATCATCTCCGGCTCCCAGGATTCCATAGTTTTGTGTCCTCAAGTTACACGACACTAAACGATGACTATGTTGACTCCATATATAGACAATATCAGCATCAAACGGATGCACTGCCATGGGGGCGTGAGAGCCGAGGGTGAATGGGAGGCAGACATCCCACAAAAGTTGCCAACAGGCATCACCGGAATCCTTGACCAACCTCCAAACCTTGAGCCTATTCTGACCTAATGTTTTGATGTACATGACGAAGCCTCTGGACGTAGTCAAGGCGGCTCTTTCGTTGAGGTTGGAATGAAACGGGTCAGGGAGAGGTGTAAGGGAACATTGGTCAGATTCAGCATAGAAATCATGAGATATAAGTACTCCAGGTTGAGTTTGGGATAGATAAATCATCCCATTCAGAGTCATAGCAGCGCGGTTGGAGATGTAACGAGGGCAGTAAAGTCCCTCGGAAGTCCAAACCCCTGTATCAGACGAATAAACGCACAAACTCAAATAAGTCGAGCTCATTAATGCACCAGGACTTGCCTTGATCGGTACCACTGCAGCTAACCTAACCACTTTGAACCCCAAAACGGCGCCGCACTCCGGGTCCACGCGCGTTACCAAACCAAACACATCAGACCTATGTGGAGGGGGAGGGATTTCGACCCACTGTTGTAATACTGGATTGCCCACAAAGCAGGAAGCACAATCAGAATATCTTTCGACCAAAACCAGTCCATTGGAAGAAGCCGAGATGCCTAGAAAAGGCGGTGGGATATAAGAAGCTAAAGACTTTGGAAGATCCCATGTCTCGCCTATCAGTTCTTTTACCCCGCACAGTAACGACCAAGAGGAACCTCTGTTTTGGCGCAGAGATAAATAGAGACGCCGGAAATACAGTGATTCGAGTGTCGTTTTCCATGTTTTGCAAACGCATTTGAATTTCGAGATGCTTCTGAACGGTAACCTAGCTTGAATCTCCGTCAATAACACCTCTGGGAGATGTAACGTCGTTTCCATTGGAAATTTGCTTCCTTCTCGTCAATAATTTAGGGTTTCTTCGGTATCAAGAACCAATGCTTTCCAACGAAAAAGTATATTCTCAAATTAAATAACCCCTTTTTTAATGTATAATTTCATTTTTATTAGTACTAGAAATTTACCCGCGCTATGCTGCGGAATATTTTTCTAGATTTGTATATATTTTAATATAATAAAATTATTTATATATTTTAAATGAGTATTATATTTATTTTTTATTAGCTTAAGTTATGTATTTATATGTTTTAAATCTGAATAAATATTATATATCATTAATTTTTTATTTTTTTAAATTATAATATACTATCAAATTTGTTTAGCTAACTAATATGTAAGAATAAAACAATACATTTTTAAGTACCTTCAAGCTAATGGTAGATATAATTTATTTTCTCTACTAAATTGCTACTTGATCCTCCTTTGAAATTATATAAAGCAAATTATCATTTAAAAATTAGAAAATTCTATTTGAACTGTTGAAATATCAATTTAGTTAAAGTTAAATAATTCAGTTTTGGTTACTATAAACATACTATAACTTGAAAATTTAGCACAGAGAAATTTTATCTTTTTACAAAAACCGAGAAATTGCATTTTTTGACAAAACAAAAAAAAATTATTTCCCACGAAAATGAGAAATCGCTTATTCCAACCAAAACAAAAAAAAAATCATTTTCTCGTCAAACCTAAAATTTCATTTTCCTACCAAAACAAAGAAATTGCATTTTTCCTCAAAAACCAAAAAATCACATTTTCCAGCGAGAACATGTGTTTTTCCGTCAAAACGGAGAAATCAAGTTTTTTCACCAAAACCAAAAATTTCATCTTTCTGCAAAAACAAAAAAAAAGTATTTTTCTGTCAAAACAAAAAAAATATTTTCCCGCAAAAATCGAAAAATCGTCTATTTCCCACCAAAACAAGAAAAAAAAATATTTTTCTCATCAAATCAAGAATCACGCCTTCCTACCAAAACCGATAAACTACAATTTTTCACGAAAACCAAAAATTGCATTATCTCCTGAGAAATTGTGTTTTCCACGAAAACTAAGAAATCATATTTTCTCTCGAAAATCAAAAATCAAATTATAGGTCAAAAACTGAAAATTTGCATTTCCCATCAAAACCAAGAAATTGTTTATTCCCGCCAAAATCGAGAAATTTTGCTTTTCTATCAACCCGAGAAATTGCATTTTCTGCCAAAATTCTCTAATTACAATTTTCTGCAAAAATCAAGAAATTGCATTATCCATCAAAAGCCAAAAAATTGTATTTTCTATCAAAACCGAGAAATCGTATTTTTCGTCAAAATTGAAAAGTTGCATTTTCCTCGCATTTTCTCGTCAAAATCAAATTATTTATTTCTCACCAAAACCAAAAATTCATATTTTTCCATCAAGCTCGAGAATTCGCTTTTTTCCGCCATAACCGAGAAACTATGTTTTCCTACCAAAACTGAAAATCACATTTTTCTACCAAAACCAAGAAATTCTCTATTTCCGCCTAAGCCAAGAAAATTTGTTCTCGGTAACCAGTGGAAATGCAAATCTCCAAGTTGTGGTGGTTTGAGTTTCTCCTCATTTGCTTTCGCCCTTCCATTTTTTTTTGTAAACTTTGGGTTTTTTAATGGGTCAGCAAAATAGTAAATTGATTTTATTAGTGTGTTAATAATATGTATTATTGTCATGTTTTTATTGGTTCAATTTTTTGCTGATGTATGAGCTTCTTATAACATAACGCTTTTTGCGTTGTTGTTATGGAAGCATAGCTGATGATGAGTCTACACTTTCTTCAATCATATACGTCTCTATCAAGCAAACACATAGTTAGAAATTTAATTTTTTTTTTGCTGTTATTTATTATTTGAGTTTCGGTTTGGCAAAAATATAAAACAAAGATTTAATTTTATTATTTGTTGTTATTTATTATTTGGGTTTGACAAAAAAATAAAACATTTTTTTGCTGTTATTTATTATTTGGGCTTGGGCTTGACCAAAAAATAAAACTAAAATTAACAATAAAAAATATTTGGGTTTTTAATGGGTTTAAATTTAAAAGTTAAAATAAATTGATGATTTGTATTAATGAAATGTTTTTATTGGTGTTTTTTTTTGCTGAAGTGTCATCTCCTAAAAGCTTGAAAATGCTGATGTGTCAAGTCATGGAGAGACTTATGAGTTATTGTTGTGTTGATTACTTTATCCACTAAATGAGTAATTGAGTTTTTTTTTTTATCATTATCTCCCTCTTTTTGGCATTTTCTTTCTTGATGATAATTTAGAACCCTATAATTTGTTTATTTTTAGTTATATATTTATGATTGAAAAAAATCATATATTTGGATTAATTTATCGCAAAAAACGAATGTTTGTATATAAAACGAGACCGTTTCAACCCGCCATTTGTGCGTGAACCCACAACACAAGAGTGACTTTTGCATGCATTACGTTTATTTTGAATTAGTTTGCCTGGCTAGCATGTTCGAATGAGGGGTGTGCCATGACTGGAAATAGAAAATGACAGCAAAGGAACTTGTGTTTCTATTTAACCACAAAGCCTTGCTTATATATCCTTATAAGCACCGGTGAGCCGCAGCTTGAGACCCTCTAGTCTTTAGAGCTGCTGTGTAAGATCCTCCATCTCCTTCATGGTCTTTGTTTTAGGCTTCATTACATTGAGATAGACATCCAATATATGCATCTTTGTGTATGGAGTGGATCACTGCACTTTTAGATTCCATTTCCACCTGTTTTCGTCCTTAAGTAATTGGGATCTATGAATTCAATCCATTCGACTATTTAACTTGACTGAAACCATAAGTTTTCATTTGTAAGGTTTTTGTGATAACATATGCCATGTAAAATGGTAAGATTTGTTTGAAAACTAGGGAATGGTAGAGAAAACAAGAGATAGAGAGAGCTTAGAGTTGGGGTCTAGCTTGGACGACATAAATATTGCCACCTTTGACAACACCTTCAATGTCCTGAGGACAACCATAGAGTGTCTCAATCACATTTCCAGCTTCTGCAATGGCCGAGAAGAGACCCACTTGAAAGGCTTTGTCCACTATCAATTGCTCCCTTGAGTAATCCACCACTACTTCCTCCGCTTCATCCATTATCACACTGCACTTAACCGTTCCACCTTTTTTATAGTGAAAAACAAAACAATTCCGAAAAAAGACAGAACAGGAAAACAGAGAAACACACAAAAGAACCTGTCATAAAGGCCAGCGCCTGCATAGCCCTCAAGATCCTCGCTGTTTGAATCTGATCGGAATATGATTGAGGGTTTTGAATACAGTCCTATCCTCTTACTTGGGTAGCTGATCACCTGTAAAATCCAAATTCCCACTCACTCTGCTTAAATTCTATTAATACATCAAGAGACGTATACACAAATCTTCTTTTTTTGTTTCTTACGGTTGGAGACTTAAGGTTTGTTTTCTTGGTGATAAAGCTCATTGCTCGTCCTGGATATGCTCCAACTAAGGTCTCTCCCAAACCTTTCACAATCTGAAAGACGAAATTTCTTGATTATTATTGGACTTTTACTATAAAAAAAAACGAGATAATGAAGCAAGTTCTTCTTAAGTTACCTCTGTGTATATTTCTGAAGGGTCACCAGAGACAGGATTGTTTGTGTGAATGACGAAAGCATAATCACCACATATGACTTCTTGAGCCAGAACTGCCATGCATACGGCATCATGATCAAGCTTGTTTTTCTTGCAACTTACATAAGCTCTCTCGTTCCACTTTGAAGCCCACACCTATGAAGATTTGAAGATCAGGGAAGTACGTACTTGGTTCCTTTCATAAGACGCAAAACCTTCAAAGAGTTTATTAATTTCTACCTTCTTAATTGCCATCCACGATCGGTTCCAGCCTGATTCATCTCCATGACACGACATTCTTTCACTTCTCAGTTTGTGGATCAGTTCATTTCTCTACCAAAGATTTCAAAACCCTAGCATGTGATGTCATCGAAAAAAACATGAACAGAGAGATATAGAAAAACAAGACAATTGTACTACCAGAGCCATTGGTGCTCTCATTTGTAAAATAGCTTCTTGAATCGCCCTAAGTTTTGTCATGTCTCCTCTGTTAAGAGAATATTTAAGGGCAGAAATCTTGCGTGCTACTTCCTGAAAAAGCAAAGGATCCACCAAAAAGATGTAAAGAGAATTCTGAGGATCGCAAACTCAAAAGTAAGATAAGGCAAATATGATTTTAAACTACATACCTTATTGGAATCATCTGAGAGTGTATTCTCAAATGTTCCGAACGGAAGTGCGACTGAAGGAGGTATCTTGATCCACGATGGAACTCTTTCTTGTAGAAATTTGATATTGCATGATTTTGAACCAACCTAAAAAATCTCAGTGTGAAATGAAAATCCCAAAATGGAAACTTTTTTTATCTTCATGAATATGGTGTTTTTACTTACCTTTTCATCAGTGAATTCCTTAGATGAAATCACATAGTTGCCACAAAACTTCTTCCCCTTGGAGACCACTCCACGTGGAACAGAAGAAATATAAATATGACGAACAGAGACATCAGAGTTGTTGCCCTCACTGCAAGAGAAATCACATGTGTTTTTGTCACTTAAGCCAAATCAAAGAACACTGACCAACAACACAAGAGTTGGATCGGATTACCTGATAACTAAACCAGTAGGCTTTGTATGAATAGATATTGCTCTTCCTTCCTTGGACTTCAGATTCCTGAGAACATTTTGATCGAAGCATGTAGCAAAGCATATCTGCATCAGACGAACTTAGGATGAGAAGCAGACATTTGAGACATAGTGTGATGATATATATTCTGATCAAGCACACAAAACTACATGCCTTGCTGTTTCTTGCCCTAATAGAGACATGAGACAAGACATCAATCATACAAGGAGTGAGCACAGCAACAACACCATCAGGGATCTCCTCTTCTCCTGTGACTTTATTGGCAACAATTACAGTTGGCTTTGAGTAGACTTTGTTCTGAACTGCGATTAGCTCATTCACACAAACCAAAACCCCATCTGCATCACCCGAGCTGATAACCTGCCAACTTCTCAACCACAACCATTTTGGTTTAGAGCCAAAAATGAAAACAACAAAAGGGTTCAGTATCTGATTAGTTTTAGCTCAAATTCACAGTAAAACGTATCTTACCATCCTAAATTAGCGATTTTCCTGAGACAAGGATCAAATCTGTTAATAAGAGTTGAAAGAACAGCTCCTGGTCCTCCTCTTATAACCTCTTCAGTGAAAACTTCAACCTGCAAAAAATTGAAAAACAACCCCAAATAAATGAATATATCCACTTTCAAACTTTATTACATAAAGAAGAAGCACGAGTTTAGTTTCTACCCCATGCTTGTCAACTCGTAACAAATGACCAAGATACTGTGCACTAGGCTGTATTAATCTAAAATAATGCTGGCATCTATCAGCAAGTACTAGTTGTAAACGGTCAAGAACCGCTTTTGTTTGCAGTGCCCACTGAACATCATGAGCTCTATAAGTCTCGCTGACACGGTACCAATCCTGAACGCCACACAAAAACATTCATATAAGAATACTGAGAGCCAAACTTTGATAAGAGAAATGAGTAGAAAAAACTGAAACAACTTGCCTTCGTACAGAAGATAATTTCTTCATTGTTAAATGTAGATAAGCACAGATTCTCAAGCACCACGCAGATGACAGATATAATTTCCTGTTCCAAGGCAGACCAATCCAGATCTCACTCTTTGGTGTCAAGACTAATATTTTCAAAACTACAGAGAACAAGAAAAAAGATACCGGTGGGTTATTAAAGTTTAAAGAGATGATTCTCTTCTCGATTGTTGTTTTAAAAGACGACTCCAATGCGATGTCCAAAAATAGTAAATCTTTGGCTCTTGTACGAGGTGCTCGTAGTGCAGGGTGTAGCTCAATGCGAGCATCAACTAACTTCTGCAGAATCAAATAAGGAAAAAAAAAAAACAAGCATAAGGATGAAATGATCCAACGCTAATAAGCTAATATAAAGAAAATGTGCTTTTAGAACCTCTATTAGGGTATCAGCGTTCTCTTCGTGAACAAGCCTCTTAACTAAATTCAGTAGATCCTACCATACAATAAGAAATGACTGATCTGTTAATTAGGCTTTTGATGTCTTTATAATGTATAACACAGTGACAAATTATCTGTAATGAAATGATAATATGAAGAAAGTGTGCCTGCAACTTCGGTGATAAACCATTTGCAGCAAATACATTATGACCCTGAAAAAGAAAATGAAAAAGATGAGGTACTACTCTTAACAAAAGCGATGATTATTCAGGTTTTAAACATGAACTAATTAGTTACCTTGTATGGAGAAAGGAACGTATCAATAGCAGACTCAAGGTCTGCACCTGAATGAACTGCCTACAAAGGGCCAAAGGCAGGTACAAACACTTTGTTTAGTTAGAAACTCAACAATCATAATCTAGTAGAGGCCATGGAGACTATATATTAATGCTCCTGAGAATGATATAATACCTTTAATGTTTTCAAGTACATTGTAAGGTCACGGATGAGTCCTCCTTTAGCATCACTTGTGAAACGAGGCTCTGATAAAATGGGTCGGTCATAACTTGCAAGCCTTTCTTTTGTGAGACCATTGGCCTTTAGTGTTTGCCAGTAAGCATCGATCCTAAAGTCAGATCTCACATAGTTTAAGAGAGCCTGTCGCAGGAGAATCAGAGTTTCTTCAGATTTTTACAACAGCCAAAACTAAACTTGTTGAAACTAGTTTAGTTGTGTATGGTACCTCACAAATTATCACATCATCTGCGCTACTGTTGTTGTGCAACTTTTGGTGCCACTCTTCCATCATTCCTGATTTGCAGTGGTTATTTCTCTAACAAAAAGATGATATAAAGACAAGACAAGGTTAAAAACGAAATTAAATAATAGATTAGGAAAAGTTTTAGCACCATAAGTGATGATGAACCTGAATAACAAGGATCTCGTCACGGATTCTCTGCCCAACATCACCTTGACCTCCACGACCCACAAATGCCATAGTTAGTCTCACAATTTCTCTCTTACTTGGTTGCTGCAGATATACTTTCTCCAACAAATTGGTGAATCTTTCTAACGCTTCACTAATTTCCCTGAGGATAAAAAGAGTTCATATAAGGCATAAAAGATCAAAAGAAGAAAGAAAGGAATCAATTAAAAATCATAGCCAATTAAAAACTCTACCTAGGTTTCACGTTATAGTTCTTGTTCCAGGTGAGATGTCTAGTGGCCATGAACTTCATCCACACCATTATACCAATACATCCGCCTTCTCCTTCATCCTTACAACGCTCTGTTAACTCTGTTGCTATGTTGAACCTGCCAAGATATGCTTCTTCTAAGTAACTTCACTGAGCTTTAACTACTTCGCCAAATATACTTTGACTCACCTGTGCATCAATGATCTCTCAGCCTCTTTCTCTCGCTCAGATATTTCATCTAGCAACCATTTGAGAATATACTTCCCACCCACGTCAAGCTGAGGAAGATAAACATGTTTTGAGAAGTAAAATATATTTGATTAGTAAAAGCATCCCAACGTATACAGCACTGAACTCACTTTACCACTGGTACTGTCTGATGATTTCAGGTTTACAGCGAAATTGGCTCCATTATTGTTTATCCAGTAGCCTCCAGACCATATCACAAATTGGATACCAACAAAACCGCTTCGTTTGAAATTTATTTCAACAAACTTTTACAATGCGAAAAAAAAAGATGAAACGTGTTAGTAGATAAAAAAAAGTTATATAGGTTATAAAAAATATGTAATCTCTGTAACATATTCACCTGATAAGAGTGTTCTCTACTCGACATATCGGTAAAATGCGTTTGACATGCTCCGTGAACAATTTTTGACTTCTCAGGCAACACATCAGGTGGTGGAGTCTATTTAGAGTTAATACAAAAAAATCAGACACTTATTGAGAAGATTGTGATGAAGAATATATCCACAGAAGCAAGAACATCTTGATCTTACCAACCACTCTCCTGCAGAAGACTTTGCGACTCCCCAGTGAAGAAATGTTGGACCTGTCATGTTTGTGGCAACCCATAAGAGACAATCTCCCTTTATATATTTCTGGAGGACCTAATAAACCAAATACATATAACACATAAATGATCTTGATGTATAACTGTAAACTACCAATAATGAAAGTGACTTTGTGAAACTTGCAAACCGCGATTTCGTGGTTTCTGACATGAAAGCTTCTCTGTGAAACTACATTTTCTTGGCCTACATATCTCTTCAGTAGATCTGCAAGTGCTGAACTTTGCACACTCGCATTTTTGGTGACTGGTTCCGTATACTTCATTAACCATTTCTGAACATCATGTTTACGGCGATATGATGGCGGATGCGAGTTCATTGTTCGATGTGGCTCACTGTGAACTGCTTTCTCAACTGTTACTGCAGAGTTAGCCTGAAGATCGTCTATAGTTATTCCTCTAGCCAGGTCGGCTTGTAGCTCTCTTAACGCATTGTCATAGTCTATCTAAAAAACAAAAACACATGCAAGAACACAGAGATATGAGTAATGAGTACTACACATATCAGAAGAATATTAGATGGGACCAAAGTTCACCTGTTGTTCACGAGCAGAGTTTTGAGGTCGGCCTTTCCGGTCCCATATCTTATATGCTCTTCTTTCTATCAGATTCTTCGGTATTCGATGAGAAGCATGCAGATCGTTCCAAGGAATCTCAACTCGGAAATTTCCAGTTTGCTGTTTCAGCCTGAATTTCTCCATTAGGCGTCAAAATTGAAGAACATGGACTCAGTTCAAAAGGAAATATATTAGAAAAATACGCACCATCTGTTACGGTGACCATCTTTCAGAACAAATTCAATTGCACGTACTCTTGGATCACGCAACTCAAGGATCACTACATAAGCATTCCCACTCTGCAATTGTGAAGAAACCACTTTGCAGAAAACAAACATTAAAGATAAACAAGAAACGAAGGGATTATATATGCAGACCTTTACAAAGGGAGTCTGCAATGCACCTTGCTTTGGGGAATGTTCAGATGGTACAAACCAGCTGCTGTAGATAACACAAGTCAAAACATTGGAGATCTTTTTTACAAAGTATTATTTATATCTCTCTTAGAAGATCATCACTCACTTATTTCCTTGGTATATACAACCCCAATGAAGAATCCATGTGCGAGTGCAGTTCTTGATGTGAAACTCAGCCCTTACACTGCTCCCATTAGGCAACCCAGTGACAGTGATCTAAATCAATACAAAGATTTTTTAGTCCAAAATCCAATAATTTTTTTAATTCAAAGAGGACAGAGGAAAAGAACAGACCTGAAGCTCCATCCCTTCGACTAGCTGGAAATTATGGGATTTAGAGGTTGCCATCGCAAAGCTATTCATAAAAAGAGGTAACAAGTGAACCTCAACCACATGGAAAACTTATGAATGATCGTATAAAATTAATGAAACAGCATCAGAGTAACACCACCACTATTCATAAGACATTCTTATTGATTATGGCTTCTTTATTCATAACACATCAAAAAAAAGAAGCAAAACTAATATTCCGGCTAGTTTAATTCCTTATGTTTACCTTTTTGTATGAATTTTGGCTCTCTTCAAGAAGTTGAGCTGTTTTTATGTGTCAAACGAAACAAAACTGAAATACAGAAACTAGTTTTCTGCATCAAATGATCATATTTTGTAAGCAGTTTCAATTACGCAGGTACAGCATAAGAGAAAAAGAGAATTTTAGAACAACAAAGAGTCGTTTCCTTTATAAACCGAAGGATCCCATTCACTTGGCACTGACACGGCCATATATAAAGGTGATAAAAATGCCGTGTGGCTTTAAAACAAAGGAGAATACAAAAGTAACATTAACCGCTATGCTTCAAAGTTCCCGGAATCATTTAGGAACACTCTTACTGAAAGAAACTTACAAGGAATCCTATTCTCTTCTGCTTTGGTGAAGTCATACAACTGTAAAGGCAAAAATGACAGATATACAAGATATAACAACTTCACACTCCCACCAAAAAGGAAGAAAAACGGAGAGTGAAGAGAGCCAAGTGAAAGAGTCTTCAAGAGTGATGCAATGGGTTTTGCACCAATGAGTTCCATTGAAGACAAAATTTTGTCAAAAGGCACACAGATATAATAATACAAACAAAGGTTAAATATCAAGATGAATCTTAAGAACTTTCTTATAGCAACAGAGTCCCATATGTCTTTGGGCCGAGAATTTACATACAAGCTAAAATTGATGGCTGCAAATGGAGCTCAACATATAACAAGTGCTGAGTTTACAAAGTGAATAAAGACTCAAAATCTATTACAAACGGGAGTTGCGTATTCTCTGCTGAGAATTTACATCTCACTGCGTGAGCAGCTTCGAGTCACACGCCACTATCTTCACCCGGCTCACATTCTCTTGACGATCGTCACTCTTGAACATTGCGTCCTGTAATATGAAGGTCCAGACGTTGTCACAGAACCTGTAAGTGTGCAGGTGCCCCTGTACATGAAATAATAAACAAGAAACGAGATTAAGCATCTGGTTTTATCTCTTCTCTTGAGTGCAGCGTTTACTACAGTGTTAGCAGTGTTTAGTATGTCGGAAGAGAATTCATGTCAATCATCAGAAAGACTAGCACAACAACTTGAGATTACGCTGTATGGATTGAAACTAATCTGGATAGTCTTGAAACTAAGCCAGATAACAAAAATCCATACAGCTTAATTCCAAGTTGAACTTTTTAACTCAGGAATCATATGAGCTAGCTATTCACGAGGCATGTAACTGAATCTACACAGCTTAAAAAAAGTTGTCACACAAAGAAAAAACAAAACTTTACAGAAATCATGACACTGCTAAAGGTAACAGAAACTATTACTTGGAAGTAACAACTTGATAGAGCCACGAATAACTGCGCTTGTATGGTACAGAAAACTCTAAAACTTGTTACTCTTAAAACATTGTTGTTCCACGAAAAAATGAATTTTGTATCAGATTTAAACTGCGAAACCAAAACAAACGAACTAGAGCAAGATAGTTTACAAACTATCAATCGGCTTTCCTAGATATATGCCAGTCACGAACAAACAGTGAATGATTTCTTCTACAAAATTCCGTTGACTAAGATTGAGTATTTCACAAAATAAGGATTAAAAGTGCAACAATGCTAAAGATCACCTTGATTGACACCTTGGTCTTCACTTGGCTCTCCAAAGCTTCAGTCATGGACTACAAAGGACAAAGATATCACAAAGAGAGAAAAATAAACCACAGAAGTAAAACCCAGACGCCAAGAACAGTCAAATATGAAATAAAAAGTAAACCTTGTCAAATTGAACAAGGACTTGGATGGCTAGCTCAGGGCTCAGCGTACCGCTCTGAACCATCTCGTCCAAAGTCTCCGTCAGGCACATCCCGATGGTCGATCTCCTGTATAGCTCAAACGTCGCCATTATCTACTTCCCAACGATCTGCCGAAAAGGAATTCGAGCAACTCAAAATCGTCGAATCAAATCCACTAGTAATAACAAATCGAGAATCTGCAAGTTTTCGACAAAATAAAAGAGGTACACGAATCTAAGACCTCAATAGGAGACGGAGATGACAAATTAGAAACGGTTTACCGATCGCCGGCGACGTAAGAAGAGAGATGAACGGTAAATGGAAGAGCTACCGTTGGTCGATTGCGAAGGATTTTGTCTCTTGAGCGGAGAAAAATTTTGGGGCTTTTATACCCTAGACTTTGCAGGCAACTGTATATATAGGCAGCGATAGATCAGGAGCGATCTAAAATTACGGTTTTACCCTTACGTTTCTAATAATGAAAATCTGAGATTATATAATAAGGCCCAACACATAAAAGCCCATAGATGTTTTTTTTAAAGTAACCCATTGAGACATTTTTCTTAAACCCATCAAGACATTTATTGCGTATATATAATAACCATGAGAAGTTTATAACAAAACAACAATTTTAGAGTACGTTTGAATTTAAACAAGGCTCTTCGAGGCGGATATAGTCATACATGAGACCATTAAAAGCTCCAATGGTGGTGATAGCTTGTGTCAAGAACAAAGTGTTGTCTCCTTCGAGTAGCTTCTCACTTGTCACATCCACGTTATAAAGTCTATAGAGTCCATGTATCCCATGTCTTGCAATCGTGTTGTCGTGTCCGATTACACCTGTTGTGAAAAGTAAACTCTCTTCACCCTCATCCTCATTCATCCTCACCTGTAATTCTGCTACGTTTGCGGTTGCTAGTGCGATCCTGATCTTGTACGTGCTGTTTTTCTGCACTTTCTCGAGCTTGAATTTGATTTGCCACGTCGTTTTTTGATATGTGTCATCTCCTGTTTTTCTGTAATAATAAGAAAATAAACATATGAGGTTGTGTCAAGTTTAACTCTTGTTGTAATAATGTGAAATTAGGTTTCAAAATAAATGTTACCTGGTAACGTGTGCAAAGAACCAATCTTTTTTGTAATCACTGACGCCAATAGTAAAGACCAAATCTTCCTTGGGGTATAGTTCTGTGTATCTTTCCCATAGCCCGTATTGCCTAAACCTGCATAAGTGTAACCATTACTTAGGCACTTACTGTTTATTTGTGTAAATTTCCTTTTAGAATATTTGAGTACCTATCAGGATGATCAATGTATAGTTTGTTGATGTACTTAGGATTTGGATCTGGAACAAAGAACTCAGCTGCAGACCTGTCAGGGATTCCTATTTCCCAAACCGTTGGCCCATCTCGGGGCGGTTCATAGACGATATTGCTAATGTCAATGTCGCAGCCTGGTTTTTGCGGTGTAAGAGTGTGACTAATGTTAAGCCAACATGCCATTTTCTAGACATATATGATATTGGTTATAATGTAAGTTTAAGAAAAAGATTAACCTGCTGTAATGTTTATCAGTTGTTCATATTGATAGTCTCCAATCCATCCTGTCACATATGCATTGAGATTATATTGACCTTCCCGGATATTATTTATCGCGAAATAACCATCTGCATCTGCCTCTGTCCAGACTTGATATCCCTATATATATAAGGAAAATGGATACAAGGATAAGCTCATTGCTTAAACAGATAATTATTATATGGCACATGAATATGATTTTCAGGCTAACCTTAGACTCTGTTTGCCAAGATCCAACCTCTCCTGGTGGAGCTAAACCTACGAAAGCCCCATTTGCCGGTAAAAGCTCATCACTAAGGAGTCTGAAAGAAGTACATAATCACATGAGAAAGATAAAAAGAACAGTGAGTGGATGATAACAAAATGAAGAAAAGCAGAGGAAATGATTATGGAATGTGAGGCTTACTTGTCACCTACTAGTAATCTACCGCTGATGCAGCCACGCTTATCGGACACTGCAAAGTCTACTGAAGCGGGGAAATCATAAGGCCAGCTTTGAACTTCGATCAACATCTAATCAAACAACATTTCCTATAAGAATAATTTTTTAAAACTTTCAAAATGTACAATATCATGTGTACTTGTTTAGTAAATAAACCTGATTTTTCGCGTCTTGCCATAGCGAAAGAGGATCAGAGGTTTGGTCAGGCAAACAATTGAGGTAAGTGAAAACAGGACCAAACACTTTCTTCCATGACTCCCCTGCTTTTACCTTCATCACCATGTCCTCACCCGCATAGTGAGCACTTATAAACATCTGTGTGTTACACAATCATTGTGTGTAAGCAAGAACCCATAAATAGATTGGTTCCAACATGTACTTTTAGGAGGAATAAAGAAAATGAACGTACAGCAAGACTGATTGGGCCAACATGAGAAGTAAGGTTCTGTTTCGACAAGCCACCTGATCTAAACTCATTGCTAGGAATGATTTGCCAGCAACCCATATCCAGGTCATGTGAGATCCATCCGTGCACTTTAAGATCTTTGTTCTCACATGAGTACTCGTACTTGTCATCAACCTCTCCTTTAAACTCTTCTTCAACAGGATGAACAAGAAGAACAGCTTCAGGATATGCCAAAGGTCTTCCTCTTTTACCCAATCTATCTTCTGGAAGCGGCATTTTCCTCTGCCTGTTATCAGCAACCGCCATATATCGAAACCTGCAATTTTGTTTTCCGCATAACAACTACTATCAGTTTTCAGGGAAGCTTTTCTAACTTTTGAACATTGAGTTACTTACTTGTCTTTACGAAGCTTGTAAACAATCCTTGTCTGAGGCAAGTTAAAAGCTGGCCACTCAGCTAGATGCTCGAATATTGCATATGAGTAGAATCCAGTTACATTTTTACGCATTATGAACCTGTATTATGCAAATCTAAATCAACCTCTCTGTCACTGTCACACATATATATATATATATATATATATATGTGTATATATGAGAAACCTCTTGTCGACATCAATGGGAGCAATCTTGTCTTGGAGAGAAGAATCCCATTTCCTTGCGAATGAGATTTCTACCATTTCCTCATTTTCCACTACTACTTCAAAACTTGTACCTTTGATCCTGCCTCAACCACATTTATAATAACAAATATATAAACATCATATCAAGACTCTATTATATGCTTGATCAATGCATACTTACCGCTCAGATTTCCCTGTGGTTCCAGGCGTCCCATACTCGCTCCATACAAGGTCCCAGTACCTGAGTTTCGTCACAACATATAGGTAACAAGATTGATCCATGTACATGTAATGTATCAACAGAAATTCAATCCACGTACCCTCGATCATAGTCATCATTGTGACTTTCTAGTAGATTGTTGACACCGTGGTAAGAGATTCCAGTGACAAAACCATCTGGTTTTGATATGGTCATTTCGACTATACCATTTTTCATCACCACCTGCATTTGCCAAATTCATATACATATATGGACATATATAGATGAAGCTTATGTAAGGAAAAGGACAGGGATGTTACATGGTTTTCTTTGACATCCAACTGAACAGAACCTTGGTCTGACATCACTTTCTCTCGCTCTCTTTATTTCTTATGTGTTCTCAGGGATATATACAAGGTCGAAAGTTAGGCTTTTGTAGAGAAGCAATCTGTGGATAACTTTGATTTCTCTTCAACTTGTAAAGATGTTTTGATTCTTCTTCAAGATTAGACAAGTGGTATCTTTAAGCTTCGAGCTTCTTTTAATTTTACTTTAATGGTAAGTGCTGCATATCATCTACATATTATTCCATTCAATGGGTTGGTAGGTTCTCACGCAAGCAGTTACATTCGTATAACCAAAATACACGTCTAGTGTGAATATGATGATGATATTTCATGTAATATGTTACTCGAAAGTAGAAACCATGGTCCCCACTGAATACCAAAAGAAATATTATTTACGCTAACTAGCATAATTTTACACTTGTTTAATGCTGAACTAACCCATGTATCTATATACGAATTCTCTTAATATTTGGCATTTGCCAAGTAGATACACAGAGTCTTTAATTACTAGTCAGAATCTTCCGATTAGTGGAATTTATCAATTCACAAGCAATCTCTCAAATGTTTGGCGTTACGTCATGTAAAAGACACCCATTCCCTTTGGTGTTTTCTGTCGCAGCATGAAACGGATGAATGAGAGGAGAGAATCAGTGACGACAAGTCAGAAAGGTACACCTTTCGTTCACTTTGCTCTTTCACCGATAAAACACACTTCTGCTTTCAGCTTTGCAAACTTTTTGTACTTCTTCCAAAGGCCCTTGCAACAAAATCACTGTTACTACTGCATCCATCATTTACATTCTGGTTTGAACAATGGCATCATGTACTCAACCTGATAAAAAAAGCTCACACAAGTAAACTTGGACGCATCACATGTGTTGCATTAGCAGATCATTGATCTGAAAAGCTTAACAGCAGCAAAAAAAATTCACAAGCAAGAAAATCTTCAAACCTTTTGAGGACTTACCATTATGTCGAATGCTTTCCAAAATCACTAATCTCTTTACCTCCATGAGAGTCACCTCGCAGATCTAGACCATCGATGAGAAGGGAATAACCAAACACATCCCCACGCTCCCATTTTTTTATTTATTAGGATCGTTACTAGTGTAAGCTACAAATTCTCAGCTATCATGGAAAGACCTCAGATATTCTTGAGAACTTTTAGGCAAAATGCAGTAATCTACAGGTGAGTGTGGCTCTAATGGCTGTGAACAACGGATAGACCTTTCTCGTTGGATGGTGTTTGGGGAACAGTTCCACTAATTTCTAAATGTTTTAGTAGCAAGAGAAAATCTAAGGGTACACAAGAAACTAACCCTGCTGCGTCAATCACATAACAACATATCTCAGGCTACGGAAAATATCTTAATTCCAGCATTATCTTCAAATGGACTATGTGATATGTTTGAGCAAGATATTTTCCTTAAATTGAGCATTAACATTGGTTTTAGATATTGGTGGGGTTAACGGTGTAAACAGAAATCCCTTCTCACAAATGGTCTAGATATGAGAGACAACTCGAGCGAACCTGTCCCAAAAATCTTCATTTTCAGTTGACCACAACATGCCCCATACTGATCAAGTGATGCGCAGCTGTCTTAACTCCGATTAACTCTAGCACCTTCCCACTGCATTATCAAAGGCAGATGAAATTTTTAGATTCAAGTTCATATTACAAACAATAAACAGCATACGCTTATACAGAAATATGTCTGAAATTCATGCATTGCTAATTTATGCAAAAACAAAGTACCCTTTTTGAGTTTTAATGGTTTATGAAAAATCGAATTGCTGCTTTCTCAAAGAACTCACATTTCATCTTTACAAATGAAACTATCTTATATCACATTTCTCAAAGAACTCACATTTCGTCTACAAGAATCACTTCCAAGGTTTTTGATAATCGTTTAGTTGTTTGAAAAGAATAATTTGAGGAACAATTAAAGTTAAATGAACAAGGAACTCAAAGATCAAGGCTTTAATTCTCAGAAGCTTCAACATATATATCTTTTCTACAGTGAGTGTTCAACTAAATAGGCCTTGTTAAGCAAAAAAGAAGATACTTTATTTTATGCTAATAACTATTAAGCTCTTCTAAGTAAAAGGAACAAAACTAAGTAAGTAACAAACAACAAATGACATTCGAACTAAAAACTAATGAAGGCCATTTCCATCATTGTCCTTGTAACAGTAAAATTGGATCCGTAGCACAGAATTTGTGTTAACTAAAGCTCATGCAGCTGGAATAGCTGATCTATCAATCAATGATAAACTCATTTTCCGACTTGACAACATAATATATATGGTTTAACACAAAATGTCATGTCTGCAGAACAAAATTGCAGGTTAAAAAGAGCCTTTAAGAACTGAAATACACGGAATCAGACTAACCGACAAGGTAATCGAAGCTTTCAAGAAGAGACGCGTCTGCTTTTGAAAATGGCGATTCCCCAGTAACGAGATCCCACTGAAAAAATCAATGTGAAACCGTTCGAAGAAGAAAAAAACCATTCTCTGTGAGGATTCATGATATGTTGCTGAATGAGGAGAAGAAGAAGGAGCTAGGGCAAAGAGGGAGAGATAGAGCGAGAGCGAAAGGAGGAGAGAGCACGGAGAATACCAAGGAGGCGAGAGAGAGAGGGTTTTATATAAGTATAATGTAAGGAAGAATGAGCTTAATTTAAAACTTAATTACTATTATTTGATTAGTGCGTTAATCAGATTTCCAATAGATTAATAATTGAATTGAACATGGCTTCTTCATTCTCTACCAAAACATGTCATTTTCCACGCACTTATGACATGGCAAGAACCGGCTCTGATTAGCATTTACACAAAAACTAATCTACCCTTATACTACATAAGTATCAAATATAATTCAATATAAAATAGTACTAACATATGATACTAAATTGTCATTTTGTTTAGTAGAATGTGTTATCTGTTTAATCGTTTTCTACTAACAATTGACTGTGTTAAGAAGAAAGAAGAAGATTACAGACACAAATGATAGTTAGGGTATGTCGGCCAAGTCGAGCGGAGGAGGCTTAGCGTAGCTGACAATGTAGTGTCTTTTTTTTATTGTGAAAGAAAAGAAAAAAAAGAAAGAAAAGAAGTGTCGCGAAGCAAGAAGAAAAAGGTGGAAGAGACACGTGTCCAGCTCCAAGTTGACCATATAGACCAAATACAGTTAAAGCTTTAATTAGTTGTCTCCTCGAATGAATACAAAACTGGTCACGTTTCTTTTCTAGCTCTTTCCGGATCTGTCAGCCTCCTCTTTTTTTTTACTCTTTTTTCTTTTCTTTTGTGTGTACCATATTCCCATCTGCTATTTGTTTTTGTATATTCAATACAACTGATTCCAGATTTCGCTGGTTTGTCTTTTGATAGACCCTACCACATATATACTCTCGAAATTTCTAGAAAACAGATTATGAATATTTTATTTCTTTTGTGCGGAATTTCAAATTTTAAAATCTTAATTTCAGACATCTGAAAAGTTTGGTCTAAATCGAAGCAAAAGCAGAAAAAAGGTTCCACAACGGAGTGTGCATATATCCCAATGTTTTTGCATAAAATAGGTTTTATAGCTTGATTTTCTTAGACGAACAAACTTGAATCTGATATATCAAGGTCAACAAACAAAATCTGAAATCTCAGGTCGACAAGTTATATGTAACCAAACACACACTTCTAATTTATAAACTATAAGAGTGCGATCGACCAAGTTGCCCAAGCCATTGTTGGTGCATATTCTCCACTTTCATCGAGTACTTTCACGACTATACCGTTCTAATGAGCTATATCATCGATGTGATTATATCAGTTATGTCTGTTTCATGAGCACGTTCACTAATCGAGTTTTCACACATTTGAAGAACCATAGTTTTTTAGTCTAACTAGCCATTTTTCGTAAAGACTTTTGTTGTTGTCGAATCTCACGTTTTAAGTCTAGTCATTGAAGTGATAAATGGTGAGAAAACTACATGTAGTGTAACTGAATCTAGTCTTGTTTCTTGTATGATATCTATACCTGTGTTTTTCTATACTGTAAATGTGTTTGCCTTGATGAAATCACTAGCAACAAAGTGAGTTCCGCTAATGGTTCATAATCATATGGGTGGCTTCTTCGGCCATTGTGTAGGCGGGATCTATTTTCCATTACTCATCCAGAATGTGGCACAAGTGGGCCATACAAGAAGCAACTTGCCATATCAATTTGTAAAGGAAACACATACTATATCTATATAGTTGATATAATATATCGTTCTTCATCATTTCTTGAATACTATATTATTTTTATTTTTAGAAGCACTATGGAAACTTTGAATCATAGAAAGATGTGTTGTGTAACATGCACTACTTTAAGTGATGGGAAAAAAAAAACTCCAAATGGTGTACTGATATCGAATTTCTTCGTCGTCACTATCAAGAGAAACCAAAACCAAAAAACAAGTACAAATATAGAAATATACTAAGCATGAAGTACCAAGTTGCAGCTGCTTGGTTATATGTTAATGGTGTAATGGACCAACTTGTACTCGTCTTTTTGCCCAACCCTAAGTCATAAACAACTTTAGATTTGTGAAGGAGAAATAGCCACGACCACTTTAGGTCGCCATAAAATAATTTAAGAAAAAGAACTACGACGACGATGAATGGGGATCATGATGATTATATTATGAGGGTTATGTTTGTTTAAAATTCGTATCAGGACTGTTGTTAACCATTATGTCGCCTATACTTGTGTTTTAATAACATTTGATATAATCTTATTCTAATTAATTTATGTTTAAAGTATTATATTAAGAAAAAGTATAATCTTAATGTTCGTGTGTGCTTTTTATAAAGAAAATACTTTAGACGTTTTTTTCATGTTCTTCTTGAGATTTATCAACAAAAAAAATTCGTTATATGGGCGATAAAACACTTTTGTAATGAATCCGTTACCCATAAATAACAAAAATTCATATATTTCGTAAAACCATTTAAAAATTCGGTTCGTTTTGTGGAGCTTTTGTTCAGGTTTCTCAATCGCATTTGTGAATGAATTTGTGTAAATACATTGTAGGAGGTTGAAATTGAATGATATTTCTAAGTTCCTATACATTAATGAATAGTAAAACGATTACAGTTTTTTTACAGTTATTTATTTTCTAGTTTTGTGGTTTTCGAACCACATTTTTAACTCTTCTTGACAAGTACAGATTTGTTGAATTTCGGTGACTGAAGTCAAGAAAAGCGGTTCGACCGATGGAGAATAAATTATATGTTGCATGTCGTTGGTCGAGAGTCCATCGGCTCCCCAAGACTCTTTGAACGATGCTTTGGCTTTAGGGAATTCTGAGTTGCTGAGATGATAAGCTAGCTAATGTTTGCGTAGTTTTGCAGCATATAATAAGCATACATAAATCAAGAGAAACTATCGCTAGTTTTCTCATCATTTAACAATGGAGTTCTGTTATCTCATGAGTTTAGTACACAATCTTCTATATATTCATAGAGTAAACTCAAATCAACAAGCTTGTACATATTCATTCGACTAAAGCAGTTAAGAACACGGAGAGCTCTGCTATAATAATACACGGAGGGAGGATTCAACGTCTTTTGCTCTTGGGTTTTGTGGCTCGATTTCTCACAGATGCATCTGGTGGCTTCCAGATGATATCATCAAGCTTACCACAAAACGTCTTGTAGAACTGCAGAAACACAAACCGGCTTTATTATTCTCAGATAAGTCACATAAAGCTGAAATTGAGCTTTTGACCTTAATACTTTTGCAACTAACCTTAAGGTATTCCTCTGCGTCTCCTGCTGCATTTTGAATGTCGACCATAAGAAATGATGGTGCGACTTTGAAGACCTGCAGATTTGTTAAATGATTCGTGAAACATACAGAGACCAAAGTAAAAGGATGGATTGGTTTTAAGAGATGTAAGATTCGGGGAAGATGATGAAAAGTTACTTCTAGAATGACGGAGAAATGAGACGTCTTGTTTGCAGATAATCCTTCTACTCTCATCTGAAAATTGAAATGGGTTTTAGCAGTAGTTGCTTGGGTGCTTGAGGAGCCAAAAGACGGGTTTTGAATATGAAATGAAATATGAAACTAAGGAAATAGTAAGCTACAGATCCACCAAAAACAGTGAAGCAATTGCAACCGATGAGAATATCTGACCAAGCTTACTCTGCTCTCTTACCTTGTAATTGCGGATGTGCGTCTTAAAGCCCATGGACTGCGAAACAACTTCCATGCTTGAAAGAACCACGTTTGCTGGCTTGTGTGAGATGAACCTTGTCTGATGCTTCATGGAGTCCTGTCAATACACTTGAAAGATTAAGGCAATCATTGTATAACATAAAGAAATGATAATGAAAAGGAAGAGGAATGCACACAGCGCGCGGTTCATGCCCAGCATTTTTACCTTTCCACGGTCAAAAAGAGTTGCGAGGTTCAGTCCCTGGGATAAAATAATTAGGTCAAACGCATTTAGAGTCAGTGGACCCGTGTCTCCTGTTTCATTCTGTGCACCTTTTTGTTCCTGCAACGTATTATGTTAAACAGAACATCAAAAACATGCTCTATTGTACACAATGCTCACACAGCAAGCAACCACCAAATGGGGTACAAAGAATTGTGCCAACTCACTCCTACCTCCGGATCATCAAAAGCAGCATATACATCATCCAGGTTTACATGTTCGTAATCAATAAGTTGTACAGGAGTGTAATCCTTTACGAACCACTCATCTTTCCTGATTTCGGCAATTGTAATCCGCTGCAAACAAAAAAAGAAAAGAGTAGCCATGAACAAACTTGACTTGACAACTATATGATGTAAGACTTTCATTTGGCAGATTATTCATATTCTATAGACATTCCAAATGATCCAAGACAGTGATGGAGAAAGAGGTTTAGACTTTTAGGGTCTATTTTAGTGTAGAAAAGAATGATATGACTTAACCGGACCTGGTCAAAGGTTATAAAGTAATCTAGATATCTGTTCTTTCAAGCTTCTGTTCTTTTAACATGTAATGGATTTCTCAAATACAGCAGCTGTGGTTGAAAAATATTTAAGCAAAGCACTCTGCAAGGGAATCCAAAACTTACACTTTCAGGATTTGGATCCAAAATTCTACGAATCAAGGACTTCGCTCCCAAGGCAAAATATGAGGGGCAAGCGAACTCAGCTTTGTCGATCTGCAAAATGTTGTAAAACAAATAAAAGGAAACCTATCAGAAAGAAAGTATAGATATCACATAACAGGTAAGAATTACAGAATTGGATTCTCACAACAGTGAACAAAAAGTTTCATCGTCACAATTTCTATTACAGGGTCTGTTGATATCCCCTGTTTAATCCTAATGATTCACTAGAAAGATCGAGTTGTTATCAAGTGGAAATTGGACTAGACAACCTAAACTTGACAGAAAGATCTTATATGAGATGGGTAACCAGAAGCAAGAAATTTTACAAGAATCACAAAGCAACAGCAGTAGAGCTCATGCCTTACTATATAGAGTTGGGAGATCAAGCTCATCAAATGGGAGATATCCTGCCATAAGAACATAAAGGATGACCCCACATGACCATACATCTGCCACGGCACCATTGTAACCCTTGTGGCTGAGAACCTAAACCCAAAAACAAAGAAGATCACATGAGCTACAATATAAAAACATAAATGTATTTCAAAAAAACATTATGATATTTAATTTACCTCAGGAGCAACGTAATTGGGAGTTCCACATGTTGTCTTCAGGATGGTAACTCCCTTGAGATCAAAGTAAAATAATTTAGTTGATAATGATTCAATATCAATAAGGACAAAACTAAAAGTTTCGAGATTTTAAAAGAAAAATGAAACTGAGAGTCCTCATTACTTGCTCAGGTAATGCGCTGAGGCCAAAATCAGAAATCTTCAGATTTCCTTGAGAATCTAGCAGAAGATTTTCCGGCTGCAATTAACACAAGACAATCAATCAGATCATTGTCCTGGACCGAAAAGTTTTGTTGATTGTCAGCAAGAAATCACCTTTAGGTCTCTGTGGTAGACCCCTTTACTGTGGCAATAATCAACTCCATCAATAAGCTGTTGAAAGTATTTCCTAGCTTCTGCTTCACTAAGTCGTCCATTACGAACCTGTAAGCATGAAACAACAAGTGACAATAATGAATCTCTTGCAGAGTAAAACAATAATACGAAAGAGTAAAGCTGTAGGTGCCTTGAATCTTGCTGCTTACGATTTTATCAAACAACTCGCCACCTGTAATGTACTCCAGGATTATGTAAATCTTTGTGCGGCTTGCTAGAACCTAAGAAGCAAAGATCAAAAAACTCGATATGAAGCAAGGAATCTTCCAGTCATAGAGCAAAAGAGGAAGAAGAAGAAGCAAAAAACAATAACTTGCCTCATAGAGACGAACAACACAAGGATGGCGAACAAGCTTCATAATCGAGATCTCCCTCTTAATCTGCTAACGCAATCTAAGTTAAATCTCAAACCACAATCGAATCAATGGAATTAGTAAGAAGATAGAGAGAGAGAGAGAGAACGAACCTGATCGACCATCTTGCGCTTGAGGATGGTGCTGCGATCCACAATTTTCATGGCGACACTCTCACCGGTCTCCGTGTTCTGAGCGAACTTCACTTTGGCGAAGGTACCTTCACCGATTGTCCTACCTAACTCATACTTGCCCACTTTCCTTACCACCATCTTCTCTGCTATAGACCTCAAATCAATTTCACTGCATTTTCAAAGTCTAGTGGAGATTGATGAGGGAGAGAGAAAGAGGAAAAGAAGAAAGCACAATGAAAAAAAGTAGTGTTGATGATTCCTTTCGAATTTTTTTGAATTAAAATTATGACGACAAAATACGGAGAGAGTAGATGGATAGATGGAAGACCATGGAAATGTAATTGAAAAAGCTTTAATCAACAGGAATGTCCCAAATTTAGGCAAGATAATAAATTTTTCTGAACTGCTGCAATTTGGAAAGAGAAAAAAGCGAAAATTGAGGGTGAAATGGCTAAAGCGTGCTTGTTACAAGTGGCTCGTGGGTGCTCGGTGTCTACGAGCCAACGACCCACACACACACAACCCAAAAAGACAAACAAACAAAAATGGCTTAAGAGAGAGGTCAGAACTCAGAAACAGAGACTTTGACCGAGAGACGTGTTTGGCGACTACTTGCCATTTTCTTTTATTGGTTTACACGTCATCCTTTTAAGGTGAAAACATTTACACCATTTTATTCGCACCCATACGACTCTTTAGATTTTTTTTTTAAAATAGTCTACTTATATAAAACGTCGTTATGAATGACTAAATATGTGACCCAAATTATAACAAATTTCCTAAGTAATTCAGGAAGCATATTTGAAAAGAGTCTAATGCTAACAATTTGCCTTTTGAAAATTTAAAAATGCATAGTTGAAAGGATCCATTTTATTTGAAAATTGAAATGGTAGTAAAAACACCATAACTACCTTTTGATCTTGGTTCTTTCGTTTATTGTTGTTATTGACATTATGAGATGAGATAACAGGCCTAAGCATAAAGCCCACATTTTTATCCATGAAAACGTTGAAGCCCTGGAGAATCTCCTTCGAGCCAATAAAACTTCTCTCTTTTTCGTTTAACTAGAAATTGACCCGCGCATTGTGCATATTTATTTGTTTATTCATATAATTATTATATTTTTATTTTATTATATTTTATTATATTATTTTATTTTATATATTATTTTAGTTTTTAATTATCATAAATATGTAAACTTATTGTAAAATATTTTCTCTAATATAAATTGTGATATTTTAATTATTATTAAAAACTTTTACTTTTAATTATACGTTAACATAAGTATTTATGTCTTCATATTAAATATTTTTGTTTAACTAACTTATTTATGTAGTTTATTACCAGCATGATCAGTAAAATGATTTCACAATCGATCACTTTTTTTTTTTTTGATTCGAAATAATTTTTTATTTTGTAGAGAATTTGTAGTTGTGTGATTTGTAGAATAAGTTTTTTTTTTTTACTTTTAAATTAATATTATGAGAAGACTCAATTTATTGTCTCTCTTCTGTATAATTTAAAGTCGTTCATGTGTATATTTTTTTTCATGAGAATATATGCATTTTGTTTTTTTTTACCGATAACATTGTTGATAAGTTTTAATGTTTTGATCTACGAGTTGCGCAAACTTATCTATTAGTTTAATTTTAGTTTTTTATATTATTATTATGTATATGTTTATTTCTTTTTTCAATATAGATTATTATGTATTATATTAATTATTAAAAAATCTCTCGTATATTTATACGCTGCAATAAGTGTTATATGTGTCATAACTTATTAATTGTATTCAATTAGTTTTTGATTTTTTTTTACGGTTTATTTTCACTGATAAAGTAAAATGATTATCGACCATTCCCCACTCTAAACTAAATGTTTTTTTAATTTTTTTTATAGGATTTTTTAAAAATCTAACTCATTTTTATTTTATTTTTTTCCCTTTTATAATATTTTTAGTCCTATTATTCTGATTACAATCATTGATATTTTCTTTTATTTCATGCAAGCTTTCGTCTCATTCAATTTTGTGATTGGTTGTAACTCTAAATGAGGAGAATTGTAAATAAAGTTGGCGAGACACAGCAAGAGATCTGTTCATATATTACATAAGTTTGATATGTTTTTATATATAAAAATTATGCTTACTTGAGAAAACTTTGATTTTAATTGATTTCGAACATTTGTCTTTTTTTGAAAAAAAATTCCGATGTGTTCATATATCTGATGATGATGAACTATTTGACTATATTTGTGAATGTCTGTGAAAATATTCTTATCTATTTTTATGTCATGTGGAGGTAAAAAAACTGACTCTGTTAGCAAATATAATCAATAATCTTATTATAGTTTATTTATATACTTTATATTAAAATCCATAAATTATTTATATCCTATATAATTAAACATTTTAGTTTTTCATTATAAAAAATATTTATTCATTTTACATAGTAAAGTAGATATGAATGATTTTTATTTATTTTATGCATTAATCTTTTTGAGAATTTTTTTAAAAAAGTTTGATAACTATTATCTGCAAGTTCTTATGTCGTATTTCATAGTTGTTTACCTTTCAACTCTTTTTTACTCTCTAATTATTTATATTTAAAATAACTCTTTTCATATTCTATTTATTTATATTCAAAATAACATTTTGAATTTTTTATTTAATAGAAAATTTATGTTTTATGATTTGTAAAATAAGTAATTATTTTATATGAATGATTTTACTTTAATTTTATACATAAATCTTTCTAAGTTTTTTTTTATAAAATATTTTGAGAATTATTTTTTGTAATTTATTCAGCTATATTTTGTATGTGTTTGACTTTCAAATTCTTTTTCATAAACAAAGAACATAAGTTTGTAATTTTATGACTTGTACAAAGAAGTATTTGTTTTTAATTTCAAATTTATCATATTAAAAACTCAAAAATAATAACCTAAAATATAAAAACTTAAAGACATAACCCAAAATATTTAGAAGCCTATTTTGAAATAAAAATTATGCTGATGTAAACACCTTAGATGGAGAAAAGACTCTCTCATTATATATATGATTCAGTCATTAGTTAACAGCCAAATTTAAATGCAGTCAAAGTCAAATCATAATCTCAAATAATGATCCATTTTAACATTCATTACCAGGAATTAACTTTTATAAAGATCCATCTAAATGCATTAACAATCACTAAAAACAGTTAAATCCTTACTAACTTTGTTAATGCCAAATTTAGTGGTTTATGAAACCCTACAAAACAGTGAAATTCTTCTAATTGTGTTCAGCTACACTCATACAAGCAAGTTACATGATTACGAGTAGAAATCACCTGTCACATCTTAAATTAGAAACGAACGTTAAGAATAGAAAATGTTTGCTATTCTAGAGCTTAATCTTCTTCTTGCTTTTATAAATTTCATTCATTAGCTGGTGAAGTAAAGTAAAACAATTTATATTCCTTTCTTAAATGTGGAAATTGTCTCCCAAATAATGGAGGTAGAGAGAGTGGAGAGAGAGAGAGTAGGTGATAATTCTGGAAAGAAGAAAGAAGAAAGAAGAAAGAAGAAAGAAGTAGAGATTTTGGAGAATTGTTGTTGTTTTGATCAATTTACTTCTATGACAGAAGATCGCTCGGAAATGGCGAAGGATGTTGAGCGGTATCTGCAGCTGGATCCACGCTCCGCCGCTATTCCTGAACCACCTTCCTCCTCTTCTTCCTCCGCCGCTGCATTAAATCCCGTCGTATCTTCCGCTAACAACTCCCGGAGCTGCAAACCTTCTGCGCCGGTCGCTCAACCGCCGTGTCCAGACCATGTCCTCGAGAACGTTCTGGAGAACGTGCTTCAGTTCCTCACCTCCAGATGCGATCGCAACGCAGTGTCACTGGTGTGCAGATCGTGGTATCGGGTCGAGGCCCAGACCCGATTCGAGGTCTTCATCGGCAACTGTTACTCGCTCTCCCCCGCGCGTCTCGCTCGCCGGTTCAAGCGCGTTAGGTCACTGGTGCTCAAGGGGAAACCTAGGTTTGCTGATTTCAACCTCATGCCTTCCGACTGGGGAGCTCAATTCGCGCCTTGGGTTGCTGCAACAGCCAAGGCTTACCCTTGGCTAGAGAAGGTCAATTTGAAGCGGATAATTGTCACGGACGATGATTTAGCGCTTCTGGCTCAGTCGTTTCCTGGGTTCAAGGAGCTTATCTTGCTCTGTTGCGAAGGTTTTGGGACCAGTGGTCTCGCTGTTGTTGCTAACAAGTGCAGGTAACTTGTATATCTCTTCCTCTTTCGAATTGATTCTTTGTGGGATTCATATCATCAAACTTAATCAAAAATGGGAATTTGTTTCAGACGGCTAAAAGTCCTTGATGTGATCGAGTCAGAAGTCACCGATGACGAGGTGGATTGGATTTCTTGTTTCCCCGAAGGTGAAACGCATCTGGAGTCTCTATCTTTCGACTGTGTAGAATCCTCTATCAACTTCAAGGCGTTGGAAGGGCTCGTGGTGAGGTCACCGTTCTTGAAGAAGCTTAGAACGAACAGGTTTGTGTCACTTGAAGAGCTGCATCGGCTAATGGTTCGAGCGCCGCAGTTAACGAGTCTCGGGACTGGCTCATTCAGTCCAGATAATGCCTCTCCGGGCGAGCAAGAACCGGATTATGCATCTGCTTTTCGTGCTTCTAAATCCATAGTTTGTCTCTCGGGATTCAGGGATTTGGCGCCGGAATACCTTCCAGCTATCTCTCCAGTTTGTGCTAATCTCACCTCTCTTAACTTCAGTTATGCTAACATTTCTCCTGACATGCTCAAGCCCATCATAAGCAACTGCCACAATCTCCGAGTCTTCTGGGTATGTACCCTTGTTTTGTGATCCTATAGTAGTGCAGGGTCATTGTATGTATAATTTAGTTTGATATCCGAGTAAGTTGAGTTACAAATGCGTGTCTTGGAACTTTTTACCATGCAGGCTCTTGACTCGATATGCGATGAAGGACTAGAGGCAGTGGCTGCAACATGCAAGGAGCTCCGTGAGCTTCGGGTTTTCCCTTCCGATCCTCGTGAAGACAGCGAAGGTCCTGTCTCGGGAATAGGCCTCCAAGCGATTTCAGAAGGTTGCAGGAAACTAGAATCTATCTTGTACTTTTGCCAGCGGATGACTAATGGAGCTGTGACAGCCATGTCTGAGAACTGTCCCCAGCTTACGGTGTTTAGGCTATGCATAATGGGTCGCCATAGGCCTGACCACGTGACAGGAAAGCCAATGGACGATGGATTTGGTGCCATTGTTAAAAATTGCAAGAAGCTAACCCGACTTGCAGTATCGGGATTACTGACCGATGAAGCTTTTAGCCTTATAGGAGAGTACGGGAAATTGATCCGCACGTTGTCTATAGCTTTTGCTGGGGACAGTGACATGGCTTTGAGATATATTCTTGATGGTTGTCCTAAACTACAAAAGCTTGAAATCAGGGACAGTCCCTTTGGGGACGTTGGATTGCGCTCTGGTACGCATCGGTATAACAATATGAGGTTTGTCTGGATGTCGTCATGTAGCTTATCCAGGGGAGGCTGCAGGGATGTTGCTCAAGCTCTGCCTAGTGTAGTGGTGGAAGTATTTGGGGCAGATGATGGTGATGATGATGATGACGACAATGCAGATTATGTTGAGACGTTGTACATGTATCGGTCCCTTGATGGACCAAGGAAGGATGCTCCAAAGTTTGTAACAATTTTATGAAGGAAAAACTCTGGTGTGTATATGAGGGCTAATTGCAGCAAATGAAGCCATGCTTGGGGCAAAGCTACCAGATTATGAAGGAAATCAAAGGATGTTGAGAAAAAGATTATTGAAAATTTAAGAATGAAACGTCTATTATTATTTGCTTGTGTGGGTAATGATGGTTTTTTTCACAAACATTACCAGATTTATTTACAGCCATTTGAGGAATTACTTTTCTAAAGAATTATTCGTTATGCATCACATTGTGTTGTATGCTGTGTGGTCTATATAGGCTTACAAATGTTTTTCTTCACCATTCTTGTCTTCCTCCATCACCAGATGCTCTATGGTATCCATGAATGCAGTGACTTTCTCTAAGCTTTTCTCATCAAGCCTAGGGACGGTATGGCCTTTGGGATGATTGACGACCACCGGATTCTTGTAAGAATCTATCAGCTGGATTCCGTAAGGTTTCAAGAAATCTGTCTCTCCTGAAAAAAAAAAACAATATTCCAGATTCGATCATCATCTGGAAAATTTGCAAACCGCTTGGATAGAGATCATCAACATACCTAAAAAGTGGAGGGAGGGAGTTTCGAGGGAGGACGAGTACGCATTGTCCGCCACCTTGGTGGATTTGAACTTAGCTCCTCCAATTATAATGACAAACTTGATCTTTGGTACTTTCTGTAGTGCAATTCCCTGCAACATTTTGAGTATATAATCAGAAAACAGCCAATCTTAATATGATCAAATATTCCTAATCCAAAGCAATGTACCTTAGCTTGCAATCCTGGTAAGCCCCCGGACAAAATTGCTCCCTGAAATATTTACTCAATCAAATTTGGAGAGTGTTAACAATCCTGTGTGCAGAGAGAAATGATGCAATTTTTTCAATTGTAGATTGATTACCTGAGAAAACCCAATGAGACCATCAAAGGGACCAAGCTTCATCATACGATCCTCTAGATACTCCAAGCAATTCTCGAAATTCGTATACTCGGTGAATTCCTGGATTTTTTAAATCCTCAACGTCAACACAGGAATCTCCCAACATGAATAAAAGAGAAAAGAAAGAGAGAAAAGCCAAAAGGACCTTGTTAAATTGGAACCACTCGTAGTAAGGAGGATCGAAGATGCCTTCGACATCGGATTTGCCCTGACAAGGAAAAGGTGCGTCGAGGAAGACGAGATCGAGCCGGTCGATAACAGATTTAGGCCATTTGTGAAGCTGAATCTTCATAATCTCACCGCTCGTTCGGAAACCATGGAGACACAGAAACCTCGGTTTCCTCACAATCGATCCTCCTAGGCTTCCCATTTTTTTTTATCACAAAATTCACAATTTTGGTTTTGCCCCTCTTTATAAAGCTGTGTGTGTATCTCTTTGTTTCCTTGTTCGAGTAAATCGTGGTCTACTTCTGATCATATATACTACCAATTTTTAATATATCGCACATGGAAAATGGGAAGGTCTGAGAAATTCGGGTTTTCTTCCTTTTCTTTTTGGGCCTACCTCTCACTCTGGTTGGCAATTGTTGGTGAAGATCGACGGCTGCAAAACACTACTTCCCACCAGAATTTCTAACGGACGGTCAAGACCGAGCCTCATCACACGGAAATTTGGAATCTTACCGCGTGGGATCTGCCCGCAAGTTAGGCGTCCGGTCAATAAATCGAACTGGTTTTTCAAACCGGAATTTCAAGCCCTTCCAAACTTCAATCCGGTTCAAAAATTGATAGAAGAAGAAGACGAAGAAGAAGATTGTCAACAGATGCGAAGGGAAGGAGAGAAAAGATGAGGAGAGGCAAGGAGGACGACGAAGTTGAACAGTTGCTTCAAGCTGCTCAAGACGAGATGATTCTCAAACTCTCCGTTGATTCTCATACTTCTAGCTCCAAACCCGATTACCTCGATCCCGATCTCCACTCCAGATTTCTCGCTCTCCGATCTAAGCCCTCGCAGTCGCAGAAGAAGAAGAAGGATCAGCACCTAGAGAAACGACGGCCGAGATCTCCGCCGAAATCAAACGATGCTGAGGAAACCCCAGACGATCTGATGCTTAGATTCGCGGCTCTGAAGAGTTCTCTCCCCTCCTCGTCGTCCTCCTCTGTTTCGCCGTCAGTTATTCCTCCGTGTGAAATCGGAGAAGATGCTGATGAAATCGGAGAAGATGCTGAAGTGGAGAAGCTGATCCAGTGGGCGATAGACGCCGCCCGTCTCGATCCTTCTCCTCCCTCTGATGATGATGATGACAACCGGAGTTCTGATAAAGATGATGACAACGGGAGCTCTGATAACGATGATGACAATGGTTCAACGAGAAATGTCAAACACTAATTATAACAACTTTGGCTCTTCTTTGTAAGGTATATATACATCACTTTGGTTACATTTGAATCCACTGTTACTTCTCTTATGAGAGCACTGTCACAAGACTGAGTTTATTTAGCATGTATCACACACATTCTTCCAATCCCAGGATTTTGCAATCAAATTATTTAATCTTTCAATCTCATCAAGATTGAGGCATCGGATCTGTTCCTCTAGGAGGTGAGATCAAATTTCAGTTTCGATGAATCGGTTCGTTGATATTAAGTTTTGAAAGCTGAGATTGAAAGTGTTCATTGTTGAATGTAAGAAGCCGAATAGTGAATACACTTATTTTGATAAAAGAAAGAAAAAATACAGAATCAAACATTCATAACGTAAGAATCATGGTTATAATTCGGTGGCAGCTTCTTAATGAACTCTAAAACAGCTCTTGCAGTGTTAGTAGCAGCCAAAGATCCAAACTTTCGAACAGCGTTATCTCCTGTCTGAGCTCCAGCTATATCTGATAATCCCCTTATCACAATTATTGGATACCCATTTGACACGCACGTCTGGTGAAAATTCAAAACAGAAAAAGAAAACAAAATATCACTTTTTAAGCAAAAATAAAATTAATGATTCAAAAGTATAAATAAAATAGTTGAATAGTTATTAGTACCATTGCCACTGCAGAACTCTCCATGTCTGATGAGGAAACCCCAAAAGTATCGTATAAGAAATTTCTGTAGGCTGCATTATCCACAAATATGTTAGCAGTCGCTGCCTTTAATCCAACAACCAGTTTTGGTTTCTCTGGAAGACACAAAGTTGCATTCACACACTGTAACAGCTCCATCTTCTGCACCCATCAATGAAATTGAAAAAAAAAACGTGAGATTAACAATGGAACCATGTTAATATAATGAATACATATATATCAGTCTGAACAACCTCTAGACCAGCTGCAAGATGAAGCCACTCTTGAGTTGTATTGATCCAAAACACTTTCTTAGGTGAATTGGTTTGACCAGTGATTGAATATAGTTCCTCGTAACTGTACCCAATGCTCCCCAACAGATTGTTGTTGCCATCTCCTTGTGGAACATTATAGTTCTTAACATCTAAGTAGGCTGCATCCCCATCTCCCTTTGCTTTCTCTGGATTCTGTTTTAACTCCAACCAAAATCATCAGACAATATGTAGAAGAAGCAATATCAAAATATCAAACTAGTAATATTATTTAAATATATTACCAGCCAATCCCACAAGCCAGCATTCGTGATTTGCTTAGGAATGCTCACGTCTCCTATGGACATTGAGTTGTTTATATTTCCTGCAATCCCAAAATGCACGATCCCTTTTATGTTGAACACATCTATCATCTGTTGTGTTGCTGCTGCTGCGTTGACCTGCAAATTATTATTCTTCATTTACATTTTTTCCATTTATAAACAATCTTTTTTGGTAATAATTTTTGTAGTTACTCACCAGTCCTATACCACATCTCACATACACAACTTTCTTTCCATGAATCTTCCCAATCCGAAAACGTCTTCCTGCATGCGTTTACTCATAATATCAGAAACTATTTACATTTACATCTCAAAGGTTTTTTACTGACTTAACATTTACCCTCGGAACAAAAGACACTCTCAAGTCTCAACATAGAAAAAAGCCTGAAAATAAATCTATCCAAGAGGTAAATAAGCTTAGTAAAATACCAGAGAGATCCATGAAGGGATGAGTAGGATCGGGTCTGAAATCGACACTGCCAAGAAAAGCATCTTCTTCGGTCTCAAAGACCGTCACGAGACCGATGTAAGGTCCTCTGCGGTTGACTTTTCTGATGGTAATGGCGGATTTTCGTTTGTGTGAAGGTGTGGCTGAAGCAGGCAAAACGTGTGATGAAGAGATGACGATGATGATGAAGAGCAGAGGAAGAAGACAGAGAATGTGGTCCAGGGAAGCCATTTGATTGGTGGGTTTGAGATCCAAATACACAGCTCATGTGTGCGCATATATAGCCATCCAAGTCAAACCTTTACAAGCCTAGCATGAGCAGAAACCAATATGATATTTCTTATTTCCACATGATTCTCGTTTTGTCATATTTTTAATGAACTGATAATCTTTTATATATACGGCTACGCGTTCTTATTTTTGAATACTGAAGTTGCAGGATATAAACAGTGACCAATAAACTCTTTGGAAAAAAACATCATACATTTATGTATAACTCACAAAATACAATCGTTACCGCCGGTTCATTCTCAAAACTACCAATAGTTAACTAGTTGAGAAACAAATTGCCAAAAAAAAACTTGATTCTTCTGTTTCGTGATCTAATGAGAATGCAGCAAAGATGCACTTGTTAGTATGTACATCTGAAAAATCTGAATTGGCTAAACTTGCATCATTTCCCTAATCACAATTCCTTTTACATTTTGGTAATTTTATTGCTTTCTTTTTCGCTTAGGCTACAAATTGCCTTTTTCGTAATTTTCTTGTTTACTCGTGCATGCTCGAGTTTAACTACCTTGTCTAGTTTCTTATGAGTATTCGTACAATTAAAAGATGAAAATCAAATCGTTTAGTGCTAGATTAGCTTGACTTACCGATTTCTTGTATGCAACTTTTGGTCTTTGTTTTTTTATAAAAAAAAAAAACTTTTGGTCTTTGTGAAGTCGATAACCTGTATACGGTAAACACATTCTAATTGTGCGCTTGTGGGATGGTATTTAAGTACTAAAACTTGTTATAAATTATAATCAGAACCCTTTACAAGACTTTCAATGAGATCATTGCAGAATCAGTGAGATGGAAAGCTTTCCATGACACTAGAGTCGGGAGAAAGATCGTTTTTTTCTGTCACAAACCTCAACCAAATTGTTAAAATCCCAATAATAAACCAATTAAAATGCCTATTTAGCTTCCGTTATGTTATAAGTTTATAACTAAATAGCCATTTTTATTGCCTTTGTTTACTTGTTTATACCAAATTGTTAAAATCCCAATAATAAACCAATTAAAATGCCTATTTAGCTTCCGTTATGTTATAAGTTTATAACTAAATAGCCATTTTTATTGCCTTTGTTTACTTGTTTATATGTTTGATTGTTTGGCTCACATCATCATCCACCTATATTCACATCATCCACCTACATTTCTCGAATCATTTATAATTGATATTTCTTTTCATTTTTATAAAAAGGGCTAAAAAATATATTTCTTTTACACTTTCATTGTGGAATGACTGATTTTTATACGTATGCATATAAATCTTTGGTTTGGTTCGTGTTAAGTGGAAACAATTAGACCACCGTAGATCCCGCGATAAATTCTGGGATTAATAAAACTCTTTTTAAATCTTACTTCTGAGTGATTTTTGAGTTTTGAGTAATAATATTCACAACTTTTATTTTTGTTTTATTTTCCTTGATAATTTCTTAGGCGTAGATATTTTCATATTTTTCTGGAGAAAAAATAAAGATCTGGTATTTACGATTTGGGTGCAGAAGTAGCGGTATTTACGATTTGGGTGCAGGAGTAGGCAAGCACGACTCAACTCTTTCCAGCTATTTACTAGTTTTAGCTCTTCTCCGAGCTGAGTTCTCTACGGATCCCACCACAATGAATCGTCCCATTTCTCTCTTCTCCGTCGCTCTGATCTCTTTCCTCTGCCTCCATCATCGTGTTCTCGCTGCTTCCCACTTCGAAGGTTTTGATGCCGAAGACGACGAGTTTTTGGAGGATTCCACTGAGCTTCACCACTCTCTCCGTCCTCCTCTCGTGACTCGGTCTGAGTCAACGGTTCTGGATCTGGAACCATCTCCCGAATCCGATTCTACTCCGATTTCTAAATCGGATCCTTCTCCGACTCAGACAGCTTCCCGGAAGCCCTCGTCAACCTCGTTCGATTTCTGGGATGAAGATGAGTTCGAGGGATTGCCGGAGGATGAACGGATGGTGGAATCTCCGGTTATCGCCGACAACGCATCTCCTGCCGATCCACAGACTCCAGATCCGGAGTCTGCCTCAGAAAATCCGGACACTGCTCTTCCGAAGAAGAAGCCGTCGTACACGGTGGAGATCGTCTGCGTCTCTATCTTGATTGCTTACGCGATCAACTACTTCACTGGAAAGCGTGAGAACGAAAACCTCGCTTTGGCTTGGGCCACGAAATTCGGCCTTAAAGATACCATTTTCGAAAAAAACTTCAGTTTGCTTGGAGTTGGTGAAACAGACGACTCTCCGCTGCTGCTGAAGGAAGCGACGAACGTGTTCAAGTTCTACGCGAGCGGGCGTAGGTATTGCCATGGGCTGTTGGCGACCATGGAGCTTAAGAGCAGGCACGATCTGATCTCGAGGCTATTCAACTCGGTGGTCCCTTGTAAAGATGAGATTAGTTTCGAGGTATACATGAACGACGAGGCCATGGATCACATCGTGTTTGCGATGGCGAGGAAGAAGGCAGCGAAAGCGATGCACAAGGAGCTGAGGGATCTGCAGAGATTCGGAGGGATTGTGCCCACTCCCGGCGGGAGGAAGTGGGTATCGGAGGAGTTATCTGTGGTCTCTGAGTCTAAGGAAGTAGCTGGGGATATGATCACAGATATTGTACTTGATCAGGTCAGATGCTGAATCTCTTTGGTTTTCTCTCCTTATTTGATACTTGGCAATGACACCAGCTTAGTTTAGTTTCTTCTTGGGCTTCAGTAACATTAAATGGATGAACATGCAAGTTCAAACTGAGTTTTGAGAAAACTAACTCGTTTTGACTCCATTTCTCTATATGCCTCATTGGTGACTTGGTCACTTAAGCGGACATGAATATTCTCTAGCCATGTTGAATAAGAAAATATGGTATTCTAGCACTAAAGGGACGTGCTTGCTCAGAGTAGCAACTCCAGTCGGAACTATAGCTGGCAAAGTCCCTTTGCTAAGAACCATATCAGCTTCTTCTTTTTTGTGTGAATCCAATCGGTTTGTCAAACTGTACATGGAGATGTAGAGTAAAACTTGTGGTATAGTGTAGAATTCCTTAGCTTCCTCTCGTTATGATATATTTAGGCCGGATGGTATTAATATGTTGAAGGAAGGTCGCTAGCTGAATTCGGAATGTAATAAGGATGCTGTACTTTTTGTGTGTATGATGTTGTGTTATCTGTTATACTAAGCAACTTTCCCTTGCATCAAAAGTTTCAATAGAGCATTTGCAACAGTGTTTTATCTCTGATGTTTGATCACTAGTCTCTTTAGAGTAGCATGCATACATGACAGATAACCAGTGCTGTTGCAGCAGTATGGCTAGAGCTAGAATAAACATCCCAAATAGTGACACAGTTGCCTTGAGTGAATTGGTGCATGATTCTCGTCACCCACTGTAGATGTGGAAAATGGATCTCCATTGTATTAAACTTAGATTGTTTAACTTTGCTTATTGATGGGTGGTTTTCTTAACCTCCTCGAGTTATCTATTATACTAACCACATTTCAATCACTAAATGGCGCTTTGTAGGTATTTGGTGACAAGTCTTTCGAAAAGTTTGGGAAGTATTTCATCTCAATGCATTTTTCGGACCAACTTCCTGGCAAGCACAGGAAGATGCTGCTTTTCAAGTTTGCCCTACCTGATGCTAAACACATGGATGATCTGGTTCGGTGGGTAGCGCTTATTCCGTATTACATTGACTTAGTTGGACGCTACAAGCTCAGCTCCCAGGTACAGGGGCAAAACTTACGGCCAATAGTTGCCATTTCATTGCTATGTGTGACAGGTTGAATAAAATCAAACTTCCTGTATGCAGGCACGGAACAAAACCGATGGTGCTAGACAAAAAGCAGCTCAGGAAGCGTACAAGGAACTTCAGAATGTGAGACAAGAGGCGTTGCAGAGAAAGAAAGCCGAGAAGAAGAAAATATTGGAGGAGGCGGAGGCAAAGCTTAGCGCCGAGGCTCTAAGGAAGAGAGAGGCAAAAGAACGTGCACGCCAGATGAAGAAGTCAATGCCAAAAGTTAAGATGAGTCGTGGTCACTAGACTCAAGAGCATAGGGACATCTCTCTTAAGGTCACAAGTCTCATGTTTGGCATTTGGAATAGCTATTTCTTCCTTCTGCCTTTTTAGTTCTCTCGATTAGATCTTTTTTCTTACTTTCATGAACATCTACTTGGCACTTAATTTCGATTACGATTTCCCTTATAGTGGCACTGAAGCCGTGCTTCCGATGATCCTCCGGGACCTCTTTGAATTATAATTTGAGATTTGAAGTTCCAGGCCTCGTTTCTTGTTCACTGAAAGTTACATCCTTTATGAGTTTATTCTCAGTACCATTGAAGCATTAATGGCAAAAGTCATCTCTAGAGTTCTGAGTTAGTACTAAATATCGATTCAAACGTCACATTGGTCAACGCGAAGGTCAAAACTCAAAAACCTTTGTTCGTAATTTTCACTTACACACTCGTTTGAGAAAAATTACACAACTTCGCACTGAGCTCTCTAATGGCAGCTTTAGCCGCCAAGCTGGGGAGAAGTCTGCAACAGAGACGCAACTTCGTGAATGCGAGGGTCAAATGGGTCGGTGACCCGTACCTCGACGAAGCTGTTCAGCGAGAGAATAACCTCAAGCAGCTTCTCTCTCTCAAGGATCGAATCGTATCGTCTCCGTCGAAATCACTCCCTCTCTCGTCCCTCTCGCTCCTCAAGCCTCTCGTCAATCTCCACATGACCGTCGCGGCGTTTTTCCAGAAATTCCCTTCTGTCTTCACCACTTTTCAGCCTTCGCGTTCTCTTCCCCTCCATGTTCGCCTCACCCCGCAAGCTCTCGCTCTCCACAAGGAAGAAGAGACGATTCACCTATCGCCGCCTCACCGTAATGCCACCGTTCAACGGCTGACGAAATTCTTGATGCTAACAGGAGCCGGAACTCTCCCTCTCAGTCTCGTGGATCGTTTCAGGTTCGATCTAGGTCTCCCTCACGATTACATCACTTCGCTGATCGGCGATTACCCGGATTACTTTGAAGTAACGGAGATCGATGATCGGTCTACGGGTGAGAAGACGCTTGCTTTGGCGCTTTCTTCGCGGCGTAGCAACCTCGCCGTGTCGGAAATGGAGAGAAGAGAAGCTACCATTGGTGGGACTCGCGTGAAGAAGGGGTTGCGCATAAGGTATTCGATGAATTTCCCCAAAGGGTACGAGCTGGATAAAAGGGTGAAGAATTGGGTGGAGCTATGGCAGAATCTTCCTTACATCTCACCGTATGAAAACGCATTTCACTTAGGGCCGAGCAGCGATCAAGCTGAGAAGTGGGCGGTCGCAGTACTCCATGAGCTTCTGTACCTCTTGGTGTCGAAGAAGACTGAGACAGACAATGTGCTTTGCTTAGGGGAGTATTTAGGGTTCGGGATGAGGTTCAAGAAGGCGTTGGTGCACCATCCGGGTATCTTTTACATGTCACACAAGATTCGGACCCAGACTGTTGTCCTAAGGGAAGCTTATCATAAAATTTTCTTGCTTGAGAAGCATCCGTTGATGGGGATGAGGCATAGGTACATTTATCTCATGAGCAGATCAGGGAGAGTAAAGAAACGTGATTACGTTCATGGACTCAAGAGAAGCAAACAAAGCTTGTGAAATCAAATGCACATAACAGCTGGTGATCACAGAGACAGAGAATGAATGAGAGTTGCTATGATTGGTCAAGTAAGAACAGCTTAAATAATTTTTCAAGGTTGCTTGCATTATTAATTTCCAAATTATAATTATCTTTTATCAGTATAGGGAGTAGATGAGAAGAAGGAACACACAGATAGATACAAAACACGAAACTATCACACAAACGTAATTAGTCAACGACCTCTTTTACCTAAAACATTAAAGGAACCAATTGTTCTTTTGCTTTCCTCTGCCTCCATCATCGTGTTCTCGCAGCTTTCCCACTTTGAAGTCTTTGATCCTGAAGACGACGACTTTTTGGAGGATTCCACTGAACTTCGTCACTCTCTCCGTCCTCCTCTAGTGACTCAGTCTGAGTCAACGGTTCTAGATCTGCTATTCCGAAGATGAAGCCGTCGTACACGATGGAGATCGTCTGCGTCTCAGTCTTGATTGGTTACGCAATCAACTACTTCATTGGGAAACGTGAGAACGAAAACCTCGCTTTGGCTTGGGCCAGGAAATTCGGTCTTAAAGACTCCATTTTCGGTAAAAACTTCAGTTTGCTGGGAGTTGGTGAAACAGAAGACTCTCCGCTGCTGCTGAAAGAAGCGACGAACGTGTTCAAGTTCAAAGCGAGCGGACGTAGGTATTGCCATGGGCTGTTGGCGACCATGGAGCTTAAGAGCAGACACGATCTGATCTCAAGGCTATTCAACTCGGTGGGAGCTTGTAAAGATGAGATTAGTTTCGAGGTATACATGAACGACGAAGCCATGGATCACATCGTGTTTGCGATGGCGAGGAAGAAGGCAGCGAAAGCGATGCACAAGGAGCTGAGGGATCTGCAGAGATTCGGAGGGATTGTGCCCACTCCCGGCGGGAGGAAGTGGGTATCGGAGGAGTTATCTGTGGTCTCTGAGTCTAAGGAAGTCGCTGGGGATATGATCACAGATATTGTACTTGATCAGGTCAGTTGCTGAATCTTTTTGGTTTCGTTTAGTTTCTTCTTGGACTTCAGTAACATTTAATGGATACAAAGCTTGGAGAAAACTAACTCGTTTTGACTCCATTTCTCTGTATGCATAATCGGATACGAAATTGCTCTCTGTAGGTATTTGGTGACAAGTCTTTCGAAAAGTTTGGGAAGTATTTCATCTCAATGCAGTTTTCGGACCAACTTGCTGGCAAACACAGGAAGATGCTGCTTTTCAAGTTTGCCTTACCTGATGCTAAACACATGGATGATCTGGTTCGGTGGGTAGCCCTAATTCCGTATTACATTGACTTAGTTGGGCGATACAAGCTCAGCCCCCAGGTACAGGGGCAAAACTTACGGCCAAAACATTTGTCTTGTTATCGCTGTGTGTGACAGGTTGAATAAAATCAAAATTTATGTATGCAGTCACGGAACAAAACCGATGGTGCTAGACAAAGCTTAGCCCCTATGAAGGGAGAGGCAGAAGAACGGTGATGCTTTTTGAAGTTAAGCATCACGAAGCAGAGGAAGAATTGAAACCCCATCCCGACCATATCATTTTCTACTATCATCTTCTTCACCATCGTCCCCTTCAAGTCTCTTTACTCAGACAGTATTGTAAACAACGTCAACATGGGGATTTATTCGACTTTTTCCCCAATTTTTATAATTTGTATATGTTCGACGACAATAAATTTGTATTATAAGGTTGCTTGCGTTATAATTTCCACCCGAAGAGCGACCTTATTAAATCTTTTATCAATATAGGAAATAGATGAGAAGGAACACATGTACACAACACGAAATGATCATACAAACGAATAGTCAACGACCTTCTTTTATACAAATTTTAAAAACGAACCAGTTGTTTGGAAATTAAAATTAACGAATCTAACGACGACCTCCATCTCCGGTGACCGGATATCCGATACCGTGTCTTCTCGCCGGGAAAACCAAGAACAACATACCGCAAATAACCCCAACACCCATCGGAACAATATCCAAAACCTTCTTGGTTCCTTGCTCCGGCGCCGGATAAAAACAGGTGACGGCGTTCTTGTCCCTCAGAGCCACCGCACCGAACACAAACACAGACAAAACTGCGTGGATCCAGTCGACGATCCGCATCCGGTACTTACTTAGATCGGGCAAACCCAAACCGGACGGGTCAGGGTAGTCAAACACCCACATACCCTTTTTAGTGGCAAACCCGTAATAAACGTTACCGTCTTCGGCCTTGACGCTGTCGGTGAAGGAGCTGAGGAAGCAGGAGATGGAGAGAAGCGTTAGGAGAATTGCTGTTAAAACTCGGGTCGGGTAATCGCAAGAACCGTTTGATGTGAAGACAGGCATGAGGAGCTGGAAAGCTAACAGAGTTCCTGTCGGAAGGAGATTGGCCAAGTTTGCAGCTGACGTCAGCGTCTGTGACACGGCGGGATGTTGGGATATCGAACGTTGTCTCCTTAGCTGCTCCTGTGGTGGAGGAGACTCCGATTGCTCTTGCTCGGCGCCATTCACCTGCGAAGTTATTGGGTTCCTCTGCGTCAGGGAAGAAGCAGACGACATTTTTTTCTCTCTCTCTCTCTCTTTTCTTCTGCGTGGAGAACTAATGGATGATTATGATTGTATTATATACACAAAATTAAATTGAATTTTAAAAAGAACGTGCGGGTTTAGTGTTAAAAATGGTTGACTTGACGTGATCAAATGTTTTTGAGAAGTCAAGAGGCGAGGGCTGGTCTCATTCTTATTCTCCGCCATCCTCAATTTAACTTTCAAACCTTTTTCAAACACTTTTCTCATTCTTACTTGTCCCTCCAACTTTTTAGAATATATATGCACAAACACTTTTCGCAATTCTTTTGCGTGCAAGTAATATCATTATCTTTACTTTGGTTCGCAATCTGAACTTTTAACTCACAAAGTCTTGAATTTAAAGAAAGAAACCATATATGTATATCCATGAAGACAACTCATCGTGTATTAGAAGATTTTAAGATGGGAGTATTAGCCATGCGAACAAAAACACTATTGTCCAAAGACAGGAAATGTACAAGACATGCAATTCCTATCACACACAATCACACACCGTTACGTTACAAATTACAATAAAAAAGGCTGAAGAATGTACACACACACACAAACCACCATATCATCATCTCTCTCTCTCAACCTTCATAGGATTCCTCTATCACTTCGTCTTCCATTATCGCAGTCATTAGTGAATACTTCACCTTCAATGAGATTTTGCCTTTCTCCACAAGCAATCTTGCACCAGACACAACCCAATACCCTGGTGATTCTTGCGGTCCTCTTGTCATCTCACTCGTATCCACAAATTTCAAAAGCTTCGGAGCTTGCACGGGCACTGGTGGTCCCCCGGGATAGATAGCCGAGTTTATATTCACGTCTGCAGGTCGTGGTGGTGGTTTCTGCGCTGCGGTGAAGTGATGGCTTATGAGCGTTGAGATGAGCCCTGACTTCGGAGCAAAGCCTACCGCTTCATCCCACTCAGAGTTCTTTACGATCGTCGCTCCCACTACTTTGGAGAAACAAAGGCGCAGGAAGAGCACGTTCTTGAATCCGTGGCTCTCTACGTGGAGCTGCGCACCTGTTACTACCGAGAGATCATCATCTGATTCCACGGGTGCTGTGCAGACGTGAGAGTAGTTCTTCCAGTTCACTTTCTCATAGTATCGACGATCATGAGACTCTTGTCGTACGCTTTTATTTGGATCATCTTCGAGCTGATATATTTTGGGAAGAGATGAGAGGTGCTGCAAATGAATTGCCAAACGGTTGCTTCTTCTACCCTCTAGGTAGAGCCGCATGCCGGTGATTGGCCTCTTGCCCACATCAACCTGAAAACGAGATAAAGGAGAAACAAACAATCTTGATAAGACTTGAGGATTTCAAACAAAATCTGAACCTCAATGGCTGCAGAATCGTAAATGTCAGGCTTGGCTGACCAACCAAACTCATACCGGAGTGGTATTCACGTATAGCTTAGGTCCAAAGAAACTGAATTGCAGAGACGCACAACTTTGTTGCTTCCTTTGCGGACCAAGAGGAAGCTCACTAAACACTGGAGCCCACTGCCTTGGTAGCTGAAACTCTAGAAACTGATGTAGCTCTGTAATCGGTGGCTTATCTACAAAAACAAAACTCAATTAATATTGGACTCGACACCACAAGGCTTTTCTTTTCCCGTATGTTTCAATTTACAAGTGGCAGAAAATATCAAATATCTTGGACTTACAAAAACACGAAAAGTATATACTGCATCTATTTATCAACCTATCTAACCAGCTGGAGTTGGTAAAAGAAACAACTACTATGACGAATAATAATTGAATAAAGAGAAATGCACACAACGAGAATAATATGTCGGCTTACATCTTAGATACAGATTTATGGCGTGGCTCAAGAATCCACTTCCTGGAACTCCATTAAGCAAAGAAGTGATTGGAATAAAGGACATTGAGACAGCATCGGGCTCCATCTGAACTGTTTGCAGCCATTCATTGTGCATCATATTTCTATTATCGTTTCCACCTCGCCTCTTGCACATGAAGACAATGTCCTACAAATACATGTAATTCATGAGGAACGAAGCAAACGCACATAATAACATGCCTACTAAGATTTGACTATGGTACCATGAGAAATCACCTCTTTATTTGCATAAGATCCCAGCGAGCTGGTATCTGCAAATCTCAGGCGTTGCTCCTTTGTTTCAGGCTGAAACAAAGGATAAAAGACAGACATTACAGACTTTGACAGTTGCGACACTAATTGTTAGTAAAAAGTCTTCTAGATGTATACAATCCAGAGGATGCACAGTCGAAATATTTATAAGAGAGTTTTGCTGTTTCACAGACCTTACTAGTTGCATTGATTCGATCTGAAGCCATATTATGCACCCCGCTAGCTTCCACAAACCTCTTATCAGCCACCTCTTTTAACCTTTTCTGCAGTTCATCAGGTTGAAGCTTCGAGGAGTGTTGCTGTTTCGCATAAATCACATCTTTCCCTCCCATCTTAACACCAACTATTATATGCGTCCCATAAATATCTATAAACCTGGTAAAGAAACAGCTCATCAAATGTTAGTTACAAGGAAATGAACTGCTGAAACCCCAATTAAACCAAGAGTTATAGATATAAATTCACATGTTACTGCCAAAGCATCAAACAATTTCACAGAAGAACTGCATCAAGTAAGTAACTTTATAAATACACAACCGTGTATAGAAAATCCTATGACGGAAACATCACCTTGCCAATGCAGCAGGGTCCCATGATGAAGGGACGGCCTGCTTTACATGCTCGCGGAGTAACATTTGAGATTTGTCCAAAGCAACCGTGTAAAACGAGATAAAAATCCCATCAAAGGCAAGGTTTTTCGTGTAGGCTGCATCTTTCTGCCAACAGCTCGAGAATTCGAACATGGCATTGAAGAGACCCGAAGGGATTTTACCAGCCAAAGATAGTTCCTGGTTGAACTGCTCTGCCATCTACAAAACCCGCAAGAAAAAAGGAAATAAGCATCCACAATTTCTCTGCACAATTGCTATAAAACTTAAGAGCAGCAAGTTTACAAGAAACTTACGACGCTCTTATCTACAGTAACACGAACCAATACTTGATGGACCGACATAAACTAAACTAAAGTAGTAATGATGGACCGAGATTTGTATACCTGTTGGAAAGAGAGAACATCAGACCTAAACCGCATGCGCTCCCCTTTGTCGCATTTGATGCACTTCGAAACATTAGGGATTGAGATTCCGCCAGGTAACACAATCTCGCAACTGTCATCGCCGTCTTTGATGTCAAGCAACCGCGATTCTTTTGAACCTCCTTTGCAATATTTCAACCGCACATCGATAGCTAAATCATAACCGCAGCCAATCGATCCTATCGCCACTTCTGCTGCTTTAGAAGCTGGAAGACGAAGTGCCATGATGCTTCAGTTCGCAAAAACGCTTCTTTTAGACCAAACCCAGAAAATAAAAATGAAAAGAAAGAGATGATTAAGCCTTGAAGGACCACACAAAACAATCAAAGACACTTTTGTTTTTTGTGTTGTGAGAACAGTTGACAAAAAAAAAAAAGTTGAATACATTCTATTTATTGACAAACAGAGAGAACCAGCCAAATCTGACTAATAAGATATCATCGAAATCATAATTTGACAAGTACAGACCAAATCCAAGCTCGATGATTATGAACCAGAAGCTTTAGACGACCGAGTCCAAATGACTCGAAATTGATTTAACAGACGCGCAATAGTTGAAAACCTTAAGACCTTGGAAGAAGAGGAAGAAGAAGATAAGAAAGGTATAGTACAGTGAAACGAAGAAGTTGTAGCTCAAGTACGTTTTTCAAGCATAGGTCTTGCGCCAAAGCTTAGATATCGCCGACAGAGCTCAAACCCACGATCTATACAAATGGTGAGAAGAATCCTCAATCGAAAGGAGAGAGATGGGGTAGTATATTGCAGAGCTATGAAACATCGATCATGGAGAGAGATTTGGGGAGGAAGGAGGAAGAAAACCCTCAATGTGAGGAGCAGTAAATTAGGTTTCCTTTGTGTAAAAACAAAGCTAATCACATGTGATTAAGAAATGAAGAAGGTGGGATGGTAACAGGTGAGTTTGAGTAAAATAGTGTTGGGAAGAAAAGTCAAGTGCTGGTCAAAGAATTGGGAATTGTGTGTGGCGGCCATTGATATGATATTCCCTCTTTACTCTTCCCTTTGCTATTTTTATTTTATTTTTATATGTATAAAATCATATAACAGGCTGTTGTTACATTATTATTTACATGCTTCGCTGTGGTTCTTAACGATTTTGTGTTGTATGATTAATACGGTGACTGTTACTATATAAAGTTAGTAGATGTAACATGTAATCGTTGTGGTTGTTATTAGTATGGTTAATTTGGTTGAGCTGATTAACCAAATTCATCATTACACACAAAAAAACCACAGCGATTAGCCTCGGGCACCAAAAGCAAAAAAAAAGAAAATTAAATACTTTATTTACAATCTAGAAAATAGAAACAAAAATTACCATATTTTGATAAAGATCTTATCGATTAGCTCAAGATTTTATTTTGATTTCCAAATCTTTATTTTTGAATATGCGAGTCTACTACGAACAACACTTAGTTCTACAGAAAAATAACTGTTGTGGTTCACAACGATTAATTCATGTGTCTCATCAACCCAATGAAGCCTACAAAATCATGTGTTTTTACATGCCCACTGCATCGGATGTATGGATTCAGTTCAAAGTGGTCTCTGTGTAGGTTTTTTTCTCATTTGCTGTCTGTGAAGTCAGCATCTATCACATCATCTCCACCTTTCCCTGACGATGAATCTGCTGACGAAGCACCTTCACCTCCAGGGGAAGGACCTGCACCTGCAGCTCCTGGTCCAGCTCCGGCTCCAGGCTGGTTGTATAGGGACTGACCAATCTGCATCACTTCTTGGTTAAGAGCGGCCATTGTGTCCTTGATCTCTTGCGTGGTTCCGCTTGCTATCTTGTCTTTGAGCTCTTGTAACTTAGTCTCCACCTTCTCTTTCACTTCACCTGGGATTTTCTCTCCAAGTTCTTTAAGTTGCTTCTCCGTCTGGTACACAACCGAATCCGCCTGGTTCTTTGTGTCAATTGCGTCTCTCTTCTCCTTGTCATCCTTTGCAAACCTTTCTGCTTCTTGCACCATTTGCTCTACCTGTAACGTTCATTAACACCCACTTTTGTTACCATGAGTTACATACAATAGCAAAAAAGAACTACATCTTACATAGGCCCTATGCTTCCAAATAACGTCAGATATGGCTACCATTTTCATAATGAAGGATGAAAATGTCAAAAAACAAGTAATTAATTGAAGCAATGTAGTTTGGTTTGTAAATTGTACGCACCTCATCCTTGGGCAATGTACTGGCACCAGTAATGGTGATGTCTTGTTTCTTTCCTGTGCCTTTGTCACTAGCACTGACCGACAGAATTCCGTTGGCATCAATGTCGAATTTGACTTCGATCTGTGGAACTCCACGTGGTGCCGGTGGGATTCCATCTAGACGGAAACTGCCAAGAGACTTGTTGTCCCGGACAAACTCCCTTTCACCCTGCAGCACATTAATCTCAACACTTGTCTGTCCATCAGCAGCAGTCGAAAAGACTTCTGATTTAGATGTAGGCAATGTAGAGTTTCTTGGAATGATCTTTGTCATCACACCGCCAAGGGTCTCCAAACCAATCGAAAGCGGCGTCACATCAAGAAGCACAATGTCACTCACATCTCCAGCTAGAACACCAGCCTGGAGCCAAAACAGAATCAAACTTGGTGAGAACTAACTGCAGTGAAACGGAACTTCTTTGACAGAAAACTATCATCGGCATGACTAGGAGCTTGATTGATTGTTAGCAAAAAAATTGTTAATTGTAAAAGCAAACAGATCCTTCCGTGTGTTTTTGGCGTATGCATTTGCATTTCCCTAAGTATTCTACCAAACACTGTAAATGTCTTCGATTTTAAAAACGTAAATTTTGGTTTTGAAATTCTTTTTCTGACATTTGCACAGATAAGTGTTTTTATTTTCAAACTAAATACGGTGAAAATTAAAAGTTCCCGAGAACACACCTGGACTGCAGCACCTAGAGCTACGACCTCATCAGGATTCACTGTGACATTCGGTTCTTTCCCTGTAAGCTTCCTCACAACTTCCTGAACAGCAGGAATACGTGTGGATCCTCCAACAAGGATCACTTCGTCAATATCTTTGAAGCTGAGCTTTGCATCCCTCAGGGAATTCTCGACGGGAGTCTTACACCTATCAGACAGATACACGGATACGAAGCTTAAGCCTCCATGATAATTTCTCAAGCTATTCAAACCAGCCATAAAAACTGTAACTAAAATTACCTGTCAAGTAAATCTGAACACAACTCTTCGAACTTGGCACGGGTAAGGGTGGTTTCTATGTGTTTAGGTCCATCAGCTGTGGCCGTGATAAATGGCAAGCTGGGGATATAATTCATAACAATCAGAATCCACATGCTTGTGGAAATACTAGGTCAAAAGAATTGGGCAAGAAACTTAAATGCACCTCATATTTGTCTGAGTCAGTGATGAAAGCTCAATTTTAGCTTTCTCTGCTGCCTCTGTTAACCTCTGAAGTGCTTGCTTGTCTTTTAGTAGATCAATGCCTTCATCTTTCTTGAAATTTGAAGCGAGCCAATCAACAACTCTCTGCATTTCAAAACTCAAATCCGTCAAGTAAAGCACAGTAAAGAGAGTGAACGGATTCAAAACTCTTTGATTAAAGACTTTAAGATTAATGTGCGCATTTGACTAACCTTGTCAAAGTCATCACCACCCAAATGTGTGTCGCCAGAAGTGGAGAGCACTTCAAACACACCATCACCAACCTCAAGCACTGCATAATAACAAACATTTCAAAATACATATTAGATGGTGCATCGAAAGACAAGTACAGGCCAAATATATTTACAGAGAATCGAAGCAAAGTTTTAATGTCAAGTACCTGAGACATCAAAGGTACCACCGCCAAGATCAAAGACTAGAATTGTTTCATTGCTTTTTCTCTCAAACCCATAAGCCAAGGATGCAGCTGTGGGCTCATTGATTATACGAAGAACTTCCAAACCAGCAATGCGACCAGCATCTTTCGTAGCTGTCCTCTGAGAGTCGTTGAAGTACGCTGGTACAGTGACGACAGCCTTGGTTACTTTTTCGTTCAAGAATCTCGAGGCATCATCCACGAGTTTCCTCAAAACCTGTACCAAACACAAACCTATAAGAAACAGACAATCTACAGTAAACAGAAAACGAGAGACGAAAAATCCTTAATTTAGTTCAGGAAATCATTACCCTTTCTTAAGAGCACGTATCCACTATCCAAAAGGGTACCAGATTAAGAACCAAACATTCATCATCCAAAATTAAGCTTATACGAAACTCTAACAAGCTAAAACATCTACATCGAATTAAAATACAAGAGAAGTGAGTGAAGAGATAAACTTCAATACCTGAGCTGAGATTTCCTCAGCAGCGAATTGTTTGCCAATGGCAGGACACTCGAGCTTGACGTTTCCGTTGTCATCCCTAACAACTCTGTAGGAAACCTGCTTAGCCTCCTCATCAACCTCGTTCATCCTCCTACCAATAAACCTCTTCACCGAGAAGAAAGTGTTCTCTGGATTGACGACGGCCTGCCTCTTTGCGATTTGCCCGACAAGCCGGTCACCGCTCTTCGTGTACGCCACCACAGACGGGGTCGTCCTCTGACCCTCGGCGTTGGTCACAATCGTAGGCTTGCCTCCTTCCATGGCAGCTACGGCGGAGTTAGTCGTACCCAAATCGATTCCCACGACCTTCTCGTTGACTACTCTCACTGGACCTACTGCGTACCGAGAGGCGCCGCCATTTCTGCTATTCATTCTCAGAAAGGCAGAAGCTGGGGTAGAGAAAGGACCGGTTTTGGTGCCGAAGAAAGCGCTTCTGGGCATGAAACTGCCTTTACCATTGAGATTCCTCTTAGAAGAGGAACTGGCGAATCCAATTCCGCCGAGAACGTGAATCTGGGCGGCGGATGAAGCCATTTTCCAGCTTAATATTAGATAATAGTGATGAAGGGAGGACGAGAAAAGTGAAGGAAACGATGTAAATGAACAGAGGGCAAGATGAGAAGGCGGGTTTGAAGAGAAACCCTAGGGTAGGTAAGAGGAGGTAGAGATATAGAAGAAGATAAGAAAATGGTGGAGACGACGGAGAAAAGTGTGGGAACCAGTAGAAGTTTCCAGAAGGGCAAGTTGGATGGATCCTTGATGGGCTTCAAAAGGCCATTGATGTATATATACAACCTGGGCCTAATGAGTAAAATACAAGTTGGATGGATCATCTAGTCAATTTTTTATATTAAAAACATATTTAAAGAGTATATTTGGAAGTTAATGCTTTGCAAATTCTTTTTGTTTTCTGTATTTTCAGACTCAAAACATTCACTAAGAATATTTGAAAATTTTACAATAGTTTCGTATAATTAGTTTGTTGTTATTACATCAAAATTAAGAACCACGTTCAAGCATGATTTAGAATTCAATCTGGTAATTCAATCCATATTGTACAACACTTGTAGCGTGTGGAAGATAAAAGACTACAACATTTCATTACGTATTAAACATTCTCTCGGTAACCACACTGCTTCATTCGAACGACAAATAAATGTTGTATTTTAAAATCATGTGTCCAACCTACAAAATCATTACACACCCACAGCTTCGGATGTATGAATTCACAACCCATCTTAGTTCGTTTTCTCATTTGCTGTCTGTGAAGTCAGCATCGATCACATCATCTCCACCTTTACTTGACGATGAAGCATCTTCACCTCCAGTGGAAGGACCTGCACCTGCAGCTCCTGGTCCGGCTCCTGCTCCAGGCTGGTTGTATAGGGACTGGCCTATCTGCATCACTTCTTGGTTAAGAGCAGCCATTGTGTCCTTGATCTCTTGCGTTGATCCGCTTGCTATCTTGTCTTTCAGCTCTTGTAGCTTAGCCTCCACCTTCTCTTTCACTTCACCTGGGATTTTCTCCCCAAGTTCTTTAAGCTGCTTCTCCGTCTGGTACACAATCGAATCCGCCTGGTTCTTCGTGTCAATTGCGTCTCTCTTCTCCTTGTCATCCTTTGCAAACCTTTCTGCTTCTTGCACCATTTGGTCTACCTGTAACGTTCATTCACACCCAATTTGGTTAGCAAACGTAAGTATTAGTGAAAAATCACCACTCTTTCTACAAAGGCTCCATTTAGTGATTGCAACAGCGATATCAACCAATGCTTGCAATTTAAAGTATGGTCGTCATTTTCATAATGAGTAAACAATGGCTAAACCTCAAGGATGGAACTACAAGAAAACAAGATGATATTGAAGCAATGTGGTTTGGTTTGTAAATTGTACGCACCTCATCCTTGGGCAATGTACTGGCACCAGTAATGGTGATGTCTTGTTTCTTTCCTGTGCCTTTGTCACTAGCACTGACAGATAGAATTCCGTTGGCATCAATGTCGAATTTGACTTCGATTTGTGGAACTCCACGTGGTGCTGGCGGAATACCATCAAGGCGGAAGCTGCCAAGAGACTTGTTGTCCCGGACAAACTCCCTCTCCCCTTGCAGCACATTAATCTCAACACTTGTCTGCCCATCAGCAGCGGTTGAAAAGACTTCTGATTTAGAAGTAGGCAGTGTAGTGTTCCTTGGAATGATCTTAGTCATAACACCTCCAAGCGTTTCCAAACCAATCGAGAGCGGTGTCACATCAAGAAGCACAATGTCACTCACATCTCCAGCCAGAACACCAGCCTGGAATCAAAAGAGAAAGGCGCTTGATGAGAATTCATTGCAGTGTGATCAGGGTGAAAGTTACAAGTTCACGAGAACATACCTGGACTGCAGCACCCAAAGCTACAACCTCATCAGGATTTACAGTGACATTAGGTTCTTTCCCAGTCAGCTTTCTGACGACTTCCTGAACTGCGGGAATACGTGTGGATCCACCAACAAGGATCACTTCGTCAATATCTTTGAAGCTGAGCTTTGCATCCCTCAAGGAATTCTCAACGGGAGTCTTACACCTATCAGATATATACACGGGTAAGAATCTTACGCCTCCATGCTTACTTGTTGGGCTATTAATAACAGCAATAAGAACTGAAACTAAAATCACCTGTCAAGTAAATCTGAACACAATTCTTCGAACTTGGCACGCGTGAGGGTGGTTTCTATGTGTTTAGGTCCATCAGCTGTGGCCGTGATAAAGGGTAAGCTGGGGACAGAACTCATATTAATCAGAATCCACATGCTTGTCAAGGTACGAAGTCAAAAAATCTGGGCAACAAAATCAATTGTACCTCATATTTGTCTGAGTCAGCGAGGAAAGCTCAATTTTAGCTTTTTCTGCTGCTTCTGTTAGCCTCTGAAGTGCTTGCTTGTCTTTCAAAAGATCAATGCCTTCATCTTTCTTGAAATTTGAAGCGAGCCAATCAACAACTCTCTGCATTGCAAGTCTCAACTCTGTCAAGTAAAGCACATAATAGAGTAAACAGAGCTCTTTGACTAAGTGACTTCACAGTATACACGTGCATTTGACTAACCTTGTCAAAGTCATCACCACCCAAATGTGTGTCCCCAGAAGTGGAAAGCACTTCAAACACACCGTCACCAACCTCAAGCACTGCATAATAAGAAACATTACAAAACGCATATTACAAGGTGCTAATACATCAAAAGACGGTAGAATCTAAAAAATTACAATTTTCTCAAGATGATATCTGAGCCATTTTAGCAAAAGTTTAATGTCAAGTACCTGAGACATCAAAGGTACCACCACCCAGATCAAAGACTAGGATTGTTTCATTGCTTTTTCTCTCAAAACCATAAGCCAAAGAAGCAGCAGTGGGCTCATTGATAATACGAAGAACTTCCAACCCAGCGATGCGACCAGCATCTTTCGTTGCTGTTCTCTGAGAGTCGTTGAAGTAAGCAGGCACGGTGATAACAGCCTTGGTTACTTTGTCGTTCAAGAATCTTGAGGCATCATCCACAAGTTTCCTCAAAACCTACACCAGACACAAACCCATAAGAAGAAGAGCATCCACAGCAAAAACTCTCAAAGAGAAAACAAACAAATGATCAAAATTGTACTAGATAAGAGAGTGAATGGATAAACTTGAGTACCTGAGCTGAAATCTCCTCGGCGGCAAATTGTTTGCCAATGGCAGGACACTCGAGCTTGACGTTTCCGTTCTCATCTTTCACAACTCTGTAGGAGACCTGCTTAGACTCCTCAGCAACCTCGTTCATCCTCCTACCAATAAACCTCTTCACCGAGAAGAAAGTGTTCTCCGGATTAACAACTGCTTGCCGCTTCGCAATCTGCCCGACAAGACGATCACCGCTCTTCGTGTACGCCACCACCGACGGGGTCGTCCTCTGACCCTCAGCGTTGGTCACAATCGTAGGCTTGCCTCCTTCCATGGCAGCTACGGCGGAGTTAGTCGTACCCAAATCGATTCCGACGACCTTCTCGTTTACCACACGCACCGGACCTACCGCATATCTAGAGGCGCCGCCATTTCTGCTACTCATTCTCAGAAAGGCAGAAGTTGGGGTAGAGAAAGGACCGGTTCTGGTGCCGAAGAAGGCGCTTCTAGGCATGGAATTGCCTTTACCGTTGAGATTCCTCTTGGAAGAATTAGTAGCGAATCCAATTCCGCCGAGAACGTGGATCTGGGCGGCGGATGAAGCCATTTTCGAGCTTAGTTGGGAATAATAACTGATGGAGGAAGCGTTGAGAGTAGTAAATGAACAGAAATAGACAGAGGGAGAGATGAGAAGTGAGGGTTTGAGCGAGAAACCCTAAGGAAGGTAAGGAGGAGATATAGAAGAAGAAGAAGAAGAAGAAGATAAGAGGAAGGTGAAGACGAGGGAGAGGAAAATGTAGGACCCAAGTTGAAGTTTCCAGAAGGGGACTTGAGATGGGCTTTGATGTGAGTTTAGCGATAACACACCCATACTTGATACTAGAGGTATCTCAGAAACATCCAGACTTTTCACAAAGCCCACTTTAAACTCCTCTTTACTCTTATGATCATCATGTGTTCTCAAATGCGACGCGTCACTTTACCAGCAAATTAACAAGATCTCAAATGTTAAGCAAGTAATTTACATGCACACTTGACAAGTGTGTAGACGAGTATAGTACTTACGACAGTTGTTGTTGTTATTAGAAAAACCATCGAGGAACATACGACATGTACCATAGGTTTTATTGACTTTGATCAGTCCTTTTATGTTTAAATCCCAAATATATTATTCTCGAAAAAGAGGTTTCATGGATTTTCTTCAAATGAGAGATGAAATCAAATCACTCTAGATAAACACAAAGTTTGTGCTCTTTCGTATTATAAATGATCAAGAGAATGTTTAAGGTAAACATTATAGTAACGAAGACAAAGCGTATAATTCATAGTTATAACAAAGTAGTTTCATCGGTTTAGAGACACCTAGAGAGATATGAAAATGCTATATTTTCCCTTTATATGGAACACGGGGGGAAAAAAAAGCAACTAGAACTTGTCAAATGGATAAGTAATTCAAAGGCTCTCTACACATGAATAGAGAAATAAGTGAATAAGGAGAAAATTCGCCCGAAGATAAATAGAGCAAAGACTACAAGAAGAGATTAATAAGCTAAAAAAAGCTCATACAAGACATGTGCTTAATTATTGTGGTTAGAATTAAGCATTACGTCATTGAAACATGTGTAATGTGTTCCACATGTGTATGTGTTTTAAATGATTCTGGTTGTGGTGTATATCTTGCCCACGCAGGTTCACGTTTTGGCTTTGGTCCTTTGGATGGTGGTTTGCTTTATATTTATACGACCGTTTTTGTACATATAGAAAGGTGCGACATAGTTCACGTCAACGATCCAGTTTCAAAGCAATAAGTGAACTTTAGTAGCATATGAGATATTGATTTTTGGGTCAAGTAGTCTACTTCACATGTCTAATCTTATGTATAAGATTTTGTTTTATCAGTTTAAAATGCATTTTACTCTAAATTATTGTTTTCTTTGAATATGATGAACATATCATTTAAAAAATGATTACAAAAAATCGAACTCCATGTGCAAGTGCATTGGGCTCGATGATTCTTTCTTGAGTTTCACACTAAATGACAATCTTGGAGTCAAGGGCCATCTTCTTCTTCCAAATAAATAAAATTTAGTTTATTCTCTTTTTTTACAAACAAAAATATTCATCTTATTGGTTGTATGATATTTGTTAGATGTTATCTTTAGACACTAGTGTTTTTTCTTTGGGTTATCTTACACGGATTCAGACCTACAAAAAAAAGGGTATGTATGGTAATGAAGAAAGTAGCTTATGAGTTTCAATATATGATTAGTGTAATCTCATCAAGAAAGCAAAATACGTAAAACCACTGATCGATTATTCAAAACAACCGATGCCAAATATAAGGAACATTCTCTTGTATTAAACGTTTCACGAAAAGCGATCGACTCTAAACGAAAAAAACAACAAACGGATCTATATTATGTGATAGGTAGAGGAAAACAAAAAGGTTTTTGATCAAGAGATACCAAAAAATCGCTTACAAGCCTTGAGAAATGCTTTTTTCTTGATGTTGTTGCTCTTCTTCTTCTTCTGCGCCTTCTCTTTATCATCTTCGTCCTCTTCATCTTCTTCATGGAAAGGAAGAGGCCACGTGGCAGAGCTCTGGTCATAGATCCTACAGTAGCGTTCAGAGACAGACGAAGATCTTCTCATAGACATAGCAGCCTTTGATGGAACCGCTTGCCCTGATGCAGACACTGACCTGTTCCTGCTCAGCTTTGGTTTCATTTCAATCGGTTCCGGATCGGGCTTCTGGGTCTGATGGTCGACCGGGTCAGCTTTCTCGTCTGTTGGATCCATTTTGGAATAGCCACTCATATTTCTTATTCCGTTTTCGTTTTTCGATGGATATTGATAATGGATGGACTCTAGTCTCTAGCTACTGTGTGCTTTTTATAAATATGTCGAGGTTCATGAATCGTGTATTTTAATTACCATGAGATCCGTTCAAATATTACAGCTGGTGTGGGATAGTATAATCAACGTCTTTTTTTTAACACAGGGCATGTGCAGATGTCTGGCAAATGTCTGGCATTACATATAGCGCATTCACATTTGTGAAAAAGATTTATATTTTGTGCTAACCCAATACCTTTGTAATTAAGGACAACAAAATACTACGTTGATTATATCTTTAGTGTCACCTTGTATTGTTGTATCATCCATCTAAAATCACACTTTGGAATTCTTTCGCTGTTTTTCTCATTCAAAGCTTAATTCAGGATTATATATACACACTAAGTAATCTTGGATCCAATTCTTAATTTATGGCTTCACTTGGTTCTTATTCTATTTTCATGTTATGGCTCTAATGGAAAAGAAGACACTTGGTCACATGGGCTCCTATTGAACTAGTTTAATATTCAAATTGGAAAGAACCAAATCGGTTGGTGCTAAACCGAGTTTGAGACCACTTAAGTAGCATTGCCCCACTAAACTTGTAAGGATCAGAGAATCGGTTTGAGGGTTCGAATACTTCAATTGAGTGAACAGCATACCAGACCAGTTTAGAAAGCTACAAAGTTGACCGGTTGAGTTAGACGGATCATTCGAATTCCAAATGGGTCTACATAAACCGGTCTAGATAAGTGAAATTTCGTACGGTTTGTAAAATATCAACCGGATATCTGTGAAAAAGGTCAAAATGTTGACCAACTGGTTTAGTCATCTCCAATTGATAACACATTTTTTATATCGCGGAATTGCAGAACAGCGGAAAAAATGAATTGCGGAATAATTTATTATAAAATTGCAGAATTTTTTTTTATACGATTGGATAAATTATGAAGAATGTCGGAATGACGAAATTGCAGAATATGCTTATTTGAAAATATTCTATTTTTTTACTATATATTATAAAAAAATAAAATATTAATAATTCAATTAATTATTATAAAATAATATAATTTTAATTATAATTTTTTAATAATTTGTTTTTCAAAATAAAAAAATAAAAAATATTATAAATCTTAAATAATAGATATAACTTTATCATTAAATAATTTTTTATAATACTAAATTATTTATTTGTATTTATTTAAATAATAAAATATAATTAATTATATAATTAAATAATATAAACATTAATTCCGTAAATAATCTACTTCAAATACGTTTTTCCGTTTAATGAGGATTTTTTTGTATTTTTTATAAGTAAAAACGCAATTTCGCAAATTTTACATTTTTGTTTTTTCTGCAGATTTTTTTTATTGATAAAATTTTTGTGTTTTTATGTTATTCCACAATTACTAAAGTGTTACCAATAAAAGCCATAAATACTATTATCTTTCGACCGGTTCACTTCACAAATCGATTTTGTAGTTACAGTCTCGAGTCTCGACGACGGAGAGGAGTCGGCCATTCTGGTGAGTAAGAGAAGAAAAGAAACCGCAGGTTTTAAACCCTAAACCCAAAAAGTCACAACTCCGGAAATGGATGACACAGAACTTCCCAGTAGCAGCGACCAGAAGATGGACGACGCTTCAACCGTAATTCCTGCCGCTGCCGAAGCTATTCACACCTCGTCGGATGATTCCGGCGAGTCTGATTCCGACTCGGAGGATGAAGCCGAGTCGAATCATCAGATTGAAACCCTGGAGTCGGAGCTCTCCGCAAATCCTTACAACTACGATGCTTATGTCCAAGTAATTATCACCCTCTACCTTCCCTTTTCGCATAATCTGTCTACAGCTCACTCAGAATGAAATCAACTTATGAAATTTCATGCTTCGCTGACAACTTTCACGCTTGAAAATTATGTTATTGCTTTGCATATTTGAGAAACTTTGAGTATTGCATTTGCTTCTCTCTTGTTGGAGATGGATGGTTTTCCGGTTACATCTTTCTAACTTTTTGCTTGCTCTCTGATTTCAGTATATAAAGCTTCTCAGGAAAACAGCGAACCTTGAAAAGCTAAGACAAGCAAGGGAAGCTATGAGTGCCATATTTCCGTTGAGTCCTTCTATGTGGCTAGAATGGGCAAGGGATGAAGCATCTCTAGCCTCTAGGTAAAACAATCTTTGAGGTTCTTAGGCTCTTTAATGATCTGTTGCCGCTCATACTTCCGTGTTTATCCGAAGGATTCACTTGCTTTCCTTTGGATTCATTATTTGTTATGGTTCAAGCATTCAATTTTTCAACACACCTTCTGAAAGCTTTGTTATATTTTTTTATCTCTTCTGCAGTGATAATGTGCCTGAAATTGTAAAGCTTTACGAACGGGGACTCTGTGATTATCAGGTATGTAAAACAACAGCTGGAATAAAGGCTTTGGTAGTCATAATTGTATTACCATATTGTTGGAAGGGTTTTGTTAGATTAGATAGATTGACTGAAGAAATAGTCTGGGATGCTATTTCAAATTGTGTTGTTACGTGTTAGGGTTAACAAAGCTTGATTAATCTTGTATGTTTTTAGTCTTTCAAATTTCTTCTTCTATTGATTACAAGGAAGTGAGTATTTGTGGAAGCCCTGTCTACCTTCTGAGGCTTTATGATCTACTGTTCGACTGATAATCATTTCACATTGAATTAATAAGTTACTATCTTTTCTTTTATGCAGTCTGTATCTCTTTGGTGTGACTACCTGAACTTTTTACTGGAATTTGATCCATCAGTACATGGATATACATCTGATGGTATTTCAAAAATGAGGAGTCTTTTTGAACGTGCTATTCCGGCTGCGGGCTTCCATGTTACAGAGGGCAGCAGAATATGGGAAGGATATAGAGAGTTTGAGCAAGGAATCTTAGCCACTATTGACAATGCTGACGTTGAGGTTGGATCCTTTTTCTTGATTTTTTTCATCTACCTTTCTTCGTTCACTGTCATCTAGCACAACGTTAGCTAGGGTTTTTGTCCTTCCTATATGAAGTGAGAATAGAAGCGGTAGATCAAGCTGTTGTTTTGTTTTCAGTGGGAAGAATTAACACTTTGTAGTAAACGAGAGCTACAAAAGTGTTAATATGCAATATGTTTTGGTCTCTAGGTTCTACGTAGAACTAAAATGTACTAGGTTGCTGTGCACAGTTTCTTAAGTTAATATTAAAAGTATTTGGTGATAAACGATTAAGAATCTCGTAAAAAAAATAGCATAGAAAGGTGGTGCAAGCACCTTGGTGCTGCGAAAACCTTTTGATATTGGTTACATTCTGAGAACACTGTTTTCTGAATAACTAACCCACCTTTTCAATATGATTACAAGTTACACATGTGAGTCGTTTCATTTCCCACTGTTACATCTGTTTTTAGCTCTTTTGGGATTGTGAATTTAGTAAGGAAAATTTTTATTTCAGGAAAGAAGTAAACAGATACAGAGGATTCGAAGCATATTCCACCGTCACCTGTCAGTTCCGTTGGAAAACCTGAGCGCCACCCTTATTGCTTATAAGGCTTGGGAGCTGGAACAGGGCACTGATCTTGATATTGGATCTGATGATTTGAGTAAGGTTTCTCCTCAAGTTGCTGTTGCAAACAAGAAGGCACAACAGATGTATAGTGAACGTGCCCATTTTGAAGGACACATATCGAAGAAAGATTTATCTGTCACAGAAAAGTTTCAGCAATTCATGGTGTGTATGGTTTATCGTGCAGTTGAGATTTTTCATAAATGTTGTGTGGAAGTTGAATTGTAATATGCCTACTATCTGCGATCATATTGGGTAAAGGATTTACAATCTGATGGTAAACTTTTTTTTTTGTAGAATTACATAAAGTTTGAGCAGACTTCTGGAGATCCTACCCGAGTTCAAGCAATATATGAACGTGCTGTGGCTGAATACCCGGTTTCAAGTGACTTGTGGATAGACTACACCTGCTATCTTGATAAAACTTTGAAGGTTATCCATCTCTTAATAAAGCTTCGTTCAGAACTTGTTAGCTTCTTTGTGGCGTTTTATTTTGTCTGTCACTTTTTCTAAATTGTCCTTTCGATGTTTTTTTTTTCCGATTCTGCTTCATTTGTTGTATGAACTTCCTGCTTCATTTGTTCTATGAACTTCCTGCTTCATTTGTTCTATGAACTTCCTGCTTCAGGTTGGAAAAGCTATAACGCATGCCTATTCTAGGGCGACTAGAAGTTGCCCATGGACTGGAGATCTTTGGGCACGTTATTTGCTTGCTTTAGAGCGTGGTTCGGCATCCGAGAAAGAGATTTATGCTGTAAGTCTCAATTTTTTAAATTGAAAATCAAAAGTAATATAGTGAATTGCTCTAATATTGAATTATCTCTGTTATTTTTCTCTTACCATATCCTATGCGTTATGCTAAGAGATCTTCAGAAAGTTGTACTGACCCTATTGTTCACATTGTTGCGTACAGGTCTTTGAGAAGTCATTGCAGTGCACATTTTCCTCCTTTGAGGAGGTACAACTTTTGCTTCCATGATTTTCTTTTCCGTGTTCTAACATGTATCCATTCACTATATCCATGTAATTCTTATGAGATGTTCCTCATCCTCATCAGTACCTGGAATTATACCTCACTCGAGTAGATGGCCTGAGAAGGAGAATGTTATCAACTATGATGGTAGAGACTTTGGATTATTCTCTGATAAGAGAAACTTTTCAGGTTTGTCTGCTGCTTTTACCATCAATAGTATCTTCCTGTTCCCAACTTTGAAAATCTTTGTGTGTTGCAGACTTGGAGTTATTAGTTAATTGCATATTTTTCTTAGCTTTCCATTTGAGAAGATACTTAGAAGTGGCATTTTTGTAATAATAGTGTTGTTTTGTTAAGCTTTCCTACTGCTTTGGACCTTTTCCGAATCACTTGAACTAACTCAGTTATTCTTTCCCTGTCAGCAAGCATCAGATTACCTAACGCCTAACATGCAAAATACAGACAGTTTGCTGCGTTTGCATGCTTATTGGGCTAATTTGGAACTTAATCTTGCGAAAGATCTAGCTGGAGCACGAGGTGTTTGGGATAGCCTTCTGAAGAAGAGGTTTTGCAAGCTATATCCTTTATGTTTGATTAGTTACAGATTTAAACTTGAAATAATTTAGGCAGATTACAGCGTTTGTCAAAATAAGGCAATCTGGTTCATTATGCTTCATCTTGCTTGCTTCTCTCCAGTGGTGGGATGCTAGCAGCCTGGCATGCATATATTGATATGGAAGTGCATTTGGGGCATATAAAGGAAGCTAGGTCTCTTTACCGGAGGTGCTATACAAGAAAGTTCGATGGGACTGGCTCAGAAGTATGCACTCTATTTCCCTCTTGTTTTATGTATTACTCTTACTCTTATATTGTTATCGAAGTAGGGATATTTGGCTCTGAGAACACATTATTTAGCTTCATGCGATTATCTCTACTTGAGTCCCTTATTTTATTTTTTTCCTCTTTTTGATGGAAAATGAAGATTTGGAACTGTTTATGTGTCACTTTCTAGATATATGAGTGCACTGTATGCCTAAGTTGTCTTGTCTAATTTCTATACGCCTATATTCATTTCCTAAGGACACTCTTCCAGGATATATGCCGCGGATGGTTGCGCTTTGAAAGGGAGCATGGAACTTTGGAAGATTTTGACCATGCAGTTCAAAAGGTACGATTGTTTACCGTCATTGGAATGTGGTGTATATTGATACAATTTTGCTGGTTTTGATTTGTGCTAGCGGTGATGTGATAAATACATCAAAACCAATCTGTTAAAATAAAGATTAGATTCATGTTTACCCGCACTGCTCTTGGCTTTCTCAATTCAGTTTCCCTATATGTGACTCTGATAATCTGATATAATAGCAACGCATTCTGTGCTGAAAAAAAAAACATGTAGAATAATTGTGGAACTTGTAAATTAATACGATTTGCTTGGTTCTGTTCATTAGGTTATGCCACGCTTGGAAGAGCTACAATTGATTAGGTTACAACAGGAGTCTACACCAGTCAAACCGACGGCCGGCCTGAAAGAGCATAACTCACAGAAGGGTACACGTGAAAAGAGAAAAGCAGGACCGAATGTGAATGTAGAAGAAGAGTCTTTGGCTAAGCGGCAGAAGATTAAGGGTCAAAAAATGAATGAAGTGGATGCCGAAGGTAAGGGCGCAACTGTACCTAACAAAAAAAACGCTAAAGCAGAGACGGGGAAAGCAGCTGGTTCAAATAAAGAAGAGACAGAGGAGGCCAAACCAGTGAAGCCGAAAATTTATACAGACGAGTGTACAGCTTTTATCTCAAATCTCGGTGTCAAGGTACGTATATGAGCTTCATGTCAAATTTACGAATGCACCTACTAAAATAAAATGTAGGATTTTCTTATATAAGTTTATATTGTTGTTGGCAGGCACAAGAGGAAGATATACGTAAGTTCTTCAGCGATGTTGGTGGAGTTGTTTCCATTCGCGTTCTCCATGACAGAGCCACTGGAAAACCGAGGGTCTCTCTCTCACAACACCTTCATGCATGTGAATGTCATTATTTACTGTTCTTGTTAATGAATCTGGAAGTTTCCTAGTTCCGCATGGTCATGTTTAGATGAAATCCTGTTGGAACTTAAGGGAAGAGAGTTTTGCAATAGATGATAAGTGGGTAGATCTTTCCATCTGAATTGATTGGTGGGAACTGTCACCATAGATAGCAAGTAAATGCATACTGCCAATGACTAGCTGCTGCTAGTTTGTGTATAAGTGACTTATGCTAATATGGTGGATTAATATGCTCGAGGCTCTTCTGTCTGGCAGGGACTGGCATATGTTGATTTTGCGGACGATAAGCACCTTGAAGCAGCTATTGCAAAGAACAGAAAGACGTTTCTTGGTAAGAAGATCAGTATAGCACGATCAAATCCAAAGAAGGGTAAAAAGGATTTCACGAGGCGTGGAAATGGTAAAAAACTATCTCTCTTTATGGTTTTCCTCATAATTATAGCCATTGTATTGAAACTTGTGGTTGATTGGCTTCTATCTATAGAAGGTTCGGGGAATTCAAAGGACACGTCCCAGATTTCTGAGAAGGCGAAAGAAGCTCTTGGTGGAGAAACTGAGGGTGAGAAGCGAGGAAATGAAGTCGAGGTGAGGGGTAAGAACACGTTCGCTGTCCCAAGAAATGTTAAACCACTCGGCTTCACCACACCCAAACCCACCGCAGACGAGACGCCAAAATCAAATGACGAGTTCAGGAACATGTTCCTCAAAAAGTGAGGTTTTTGCTTGGTCCATTGTCTTCTTTCCCGGGATACTGTTTACTGTTTTATGTTATAGACCGATATTTTCTGTAGCTGCTACTCTTTTTTTTTGTTTCGAGATAATTAAACTATCTTCAATAACTAAACATGTATCTTCTAAGCAGCCTTTACGTGAAAGAATTCACCCACTCCTACTTGGAATCTTTTTGTAGTGATTGTGAAACCAGAAGACCATATACCATTTCAACATTTCTTGTATTGACGACATTTAGAATAGCGATGTCATGTCATTAGTGGCAGAGCCTGTGTGGGGCCTCTGCAAGATTGTGCTAATTAAACGGTCACAAAGATTGAAAATCCCAAAAAGCTAAAAGAAGATCAATAAACAAATGATGCTTCTTTTTTTTTGACTTTTTGTTCCTTAACGGTTACAAAATCTAGTCTTGATTTGGTACAAAACGCTGTTTACCCCATTTTCTTAAAGCAGTACCCAATGAAGGTTATGAAAGCAATGAAGAAGCTCAACTTCTGGTCACGAAAGAAGAGGAAACGTAAGCAAGCTTGTCCATCTCAGGCTTACCAATGCTCTTGTGAGTACTCCTCCGTGGTGTCCCCTGTTGAGCCGGCGGCAGCAGCGGTGGCGGTTGAGCCCACAGCGCCTCCTCTGCCGTTTTGGTTCGATGGATTTCCGAGTATTAGTGCGCCAGATACATCTGCATTTGCTTGGAATAATCAGTTGCCTCATAATCAAGAAGAAACCATCGTCGAGACAAGCTCGTTGTCTCAAGTATCTGATCTACGCATCAATCGGTCTTATCAGCAGTACATGGTCCCGAATCCAAGTTATGGTGTCCCTATTGTAGATGCAGCTGCTCCTCCAGCCACGAGATCAGTGGGAATGTTCGGTTGTGTTATCGAGTTAAGTTTGAATGTAGTTCGTTGTTTCTTCCCATGTTTTTGTAATTGAGAAACCGATTCGCGAGCAGAATTTATTATCTTTTACATGTATGTTTGCATTTTCTCATTACTACATCAATAAAGTTTTACTACTTTCTCCATATCATTTCAAATGATGTTTTCTATTTTCCCATGTAAAGGTTAAATTTATTTTTCTCAGTCAGCCCTACAATAGATTGACACTATTTGAACCATAAATTACACTCACTTAGCCCTACAATACATTGACACTATTTGACCCATAAATGTAAATTTGGAAGCTTTCTTTACAAGTGTGCATTGAACCAAAAACCTCTTTCATAGGAAAGAGTATCAATTACGTATATAATGTTACTCTATCTGGTTTATATTTTTTTACATTTTTAGATAGGTTATTTTATGCATAATCTTTTTTATCAAAGGTTTTCAAAACTCAAACACAGTAAAAAGAGCAATGTTGCTGGACCAGACAGGTACGGCCGATTCCAAGACGACCGTTCAAGTTACAACTACAAATGTCGACTCATTGGCAGTTTGGTCGCTGCTCTAGTGGCGTTATCAGGAGGTAAGACAGTTGTTTCTATTGACAGAAACACCGTGTTCTCTCTGTGGTACTTCCGCTTACACCTGACACGCCGTAGCGTCCAGCACCTTGGGAGCCTTAAATAAGAAACTATAAAAACTATTCAATGTAATAAGTCATCTATTTTTTTGCCTGAATAAACACAAGAGAATGAAAAGCAATTTCAAGTGCTAAAAAGTCTTATTTGGCTTATTACACACATTTTTGTATGAGAAACCAAACATTGTTCTCTGGGTTTTGTGAGGTATACATTGTATATGCATATGATATATATAGCCAATAATTATTATTTTCAAAATTTTAAGTAGTTGGGCGAGTCAGAAGTGAAGGTACCTTATATTTTTCTTTGTTTTTTCATTTCTTTCGCTTGTGTTCTGCTCTGATTTTTCAATTGTTTTGCTTATTTTTTGCTGTAATTTTTCATTTGTTTTTTTATGTATGATGTTTAACTTGCTATTTATATATTTAATACCTTTATGTAGTTTTATTTTCTAAATATTAAGTTCATTTAAGTTTTATTTTTTCAGTTATGTTTCACACTTTCTTTATAAAAAATGTTTAGTATATAATAATGTTTCACATTTTTGTAGCCGCAAAGGCGATCCAGGACAATTCTACAAATATTTGGTCCATTGGAGATAAATACGACGGACCAACTGGAAGCAAGTCAGGAGAGCCGACACAGCCGGATAATTACGTTATGACCGGCCATGAATTTGAAGTAATTAGCAACTCGAAGTACGTCGATCTTGGATTCATACTAGTCAGCCGAAAAATCTTTCTCTGGAGTCTTGGAACATTTGGTTGACATCGTTTCCTCGCTGTATCCATAAGCATGATCGTCAAATTCGTGCCACACCACGAAAGAGTCAGCCGGATATATAATTACTTTAAGACCGATGCTTTGGTAAATTCTCAGCTGCAAGCAAAAATCAGACTCATAATTCTCAAGTAAAAATCATTAATCATTATCAAATCCAAGAATATATATTCGTTCTTGACAAAAAAAAAGAATAAATATTCGTATTTTTCCATCATGTTTGCAAGACATTATACTCAAAAGACAATTCCATACAGCTAAAGGTTTCCAACCAATAGAAACAAAAAAGGCGGGTTGTTTTATTCGTAAATATAAAAATGAAAAGAAAAAGAATTACAGATCCGATGCACGACCGAGTCTCACGTGGCAAACAAATGATTAAAGATAGGTTTCTTCATCTGCACTTTCACTTTCCACATCACACTCTAAAGCGAAGAACAGTCCTATCACTATGTACGGACGTGATCCATGGGGCGGTCCTTTGGAGATAAATGCGGCAGACTCCATCACCGACGACGATCGCAGTCGAAATCTGCAAGAACTCGACCGTGCGGCTCATTCGCGACAACTAGACGCCACGCAGCAGAGCTGGCTACTCGGACCTAAGGAGAGGAAGAAGAAGAAGTACGTAGATCTCGGATTCATACTAGTCAGCCGCAAAATATTTCTCTGGACTCTTGGAACATTTGCAGTAACAGCTTTCCTCGCTGGATCCATAACCATGATCGTCAAATTCGGGCCACACCACAAACACAAGCGGACACAGCCGGATAATTACACACTCGCTCTCAACAAAGCTCTCTTGTTCTTCGACGCTCAGAAATGTAAAACTCATTACAAAACAGCTATTGATTCAATTTAGTCTTGTTTTTGTTTTTTCCCTTAAGCAAGATTTATCACCTCTTGTGTGATGACTGTTGCATGCAGCTGGGAATTTACCAAAGCACAATGTCAATAACGTGTCGTGGAGGGGTGATTCTTGTATGCAAGATGGGAAAGACAATCCAGGACAATTCTACAAAGAGTTGGTAGGAGGCTACTACGATGCTGGAGATGCTATTAAATTCAGCTTCCCAATGTCTTATGCTATGACCCTCTTGAGTTGGAGTGTGATTGAATACAGTGCCAAGTATGAAGCTGCACGAGAGCTCGACCATGTTAAAGAACTCATCAAATGGGGAACTGACTATCTCCTCAAGACCTTTAACAGTAGTGCTGATATAATCTATGCTATGGTGGAACAGGTAAAGAAAAAATATATGTTTCTAGGCCACTTAAGTAATCAATCATACTTGTGCGTATTTAAGTTTGCTATTTAATTCTGCACAGGTCGGATCTGGAGATACTAGTAAAAAAAGTGTAGTGCATAATGACCATTACTGCTGGATGCGTCCTGAGGACATTGATTACAAAAGGACTGTAACATCATGTTACGGTTCCTGCTCGTATCTTGCTGCAGAGATGTCTGCTGCTCTGGCTTCTGCGTCCATTGTATTCAAGGATGACAAAGCCTATTCGAAAAAGCTCGTTCACGGTGCTAAGACTCTGTATAAGTTTGCAGACTCAACTAAATTCAGTCACGGTAAACAACATAAAGAGTCCAGTGAGTTTTACAAATCAAGTCTCTCTTGGGATGAGCTTCTATGGGGTGGGGCTTGGTTGTATTACGCTACAGGGAATGTAACATATCTTCAACATGTTACCACTCACGTTTTGGCCAGTCATGCTGGTGCCTTTGGGAATAGCTCTTACTATGGTGTATTTAGCTGGGACAACAAGCTTCCAGGGGCTCAGGTTTGTTCTTTGAATTGTGATTTATGTAAAGCTGGCTCCTTAAACCACCTGCTGATCCGCTTACTAGTTTCTGGATTTATATGTGCTTTTTTTAGTTGCTCTTGACTCGGTTGAGACTTTTTCTGAGCCCTGTATATCCATATGAAGACATGTTGAGCACCTTCCATAACCAAACAGGCATAGTGATGTGCTCCTACTTACCTTATTTCCACAAATTTAACAGAAGCAAGGGTGAGTTTTATATGATTTTTCTTTTTCTTGGACATCTTCTGGTTTTGGAAATGTTAAATAATAATAACCTTTGTCACCAACATTACAGGAGGTTTGGTTGAGTTGAACCATGGAGATCCACAGCCTCTTCAATACGTTGCAAATGCAGCTTTCTTAGCGGCGCTATTCAGTGATTATCTAGATGCTGCAGATACTCCTGGATGGTACTGTGGCCCTAATTTCTACTCTACTGATGTCCTACGCAAGTTTTCAAGATCGCAGGTATATGCGTGTTTTGAACCACAAATGAAGGAAACAACAAAGGAAGATATAATGACCTTTTGTATTGTTTTTTTTCTTAATGGCAGATTGATTACATACTTGGTAAAAACCCACGGAATATGAGTTATGTTGTTGGTTTTGGGCAACGTTACCCGAAACGTGTACATCACAGAGGAGCATCAATACCAAAGAGTGTTAAGAAAGAAAGCTGCAAAGGAGGATGGAAATGGAGAGACAGCAAAAAGGAAAACCCAAACAAGATTATTGGAGCAATGGTTGCTGGACCTGACAAGCATGACGGTTTCCACGACGTTCGTTCAAACTACAACTACACAGAGCCGACTCTATCGGGCAATGCCGGTCTGGTCGCTGCTCTGGTGGCATTATCAGGAGGTAAGACGGCTGTTTCTATTGACAGAAACACCATGTTTTCTGCCGTACCTCCGCTTACACCTGACACGCGGCCGCCTCCAGCACCTTGGGAACCTTAAATAAGAAAATAACTATTCAGTGTAATGTCATCTATTTTTGCCTAAATAAATACAAAAAGCAATTTCAAGTGCTAAAAAGTCTTTATTTGGCTTATTACATACATATTGTTTTCTGAGAAACCAAACATTGTTCTCTGGGTTGTGTGAGGTATACAGTATATATGCATATGATATATAGCCTATATAATTTGTATTTTCAAATTTTTAAGTAGTTGCGTGAGACAGAAGTAAAGGTTTTGTTCTTTTTACTGGAGAAGGTAACCTACACATGGGTCCTTCTCTCTATTCTTTACCCTCAACTTCTTCCCTTTCTTATTCTCTGCTTTAAATAATAATAATAATACTATGACTTGTCTCCATTTTGAGGTGCAGAAATGGCAGAAGGGTCTCTTGAATATACACCCACATGGGTCGTCGCGTTTATCTGTTTCATCATCGTTCTCTTATCTCTTCTCGCCGAACGTGGTCTACACCATCTTGGAAAGGTACACACATGTACTGTCTGTATCTTGAGTTTTGAGTCGATTCTACGCTCGATCTTCTTCTAACAACTCTCCGTTATCTGTTTCTTAGTGTCTGAAGCGTAGGCGACAAGATGCCTTGTTCGAGGCCTTGCAGAAACTTAAAGAAGGTTTCTTCTACCTTCTGTCTCCTCTGTATTTTCAAACATGAATCGGTTGAGTAATTAAATCTGATCTGACCAAATTAAATTGATGTCCTGAAAACAGAACTGATGCTCCTCGGATTTATCTCCCTAATGTTGACGGTATCTCAGGCCGCAATACGGCACATATGTGTCCCAGAAGCTCTTGTAAGCAACATGTTCCCCTGTAAGAAGCCATTGGAGAGTCATCATGCTCCACAATCATCTCATTCGCTCATCATCAATACACGACATCTCCTTTCAACAGGACCAAGTCCAGACAATTGTGCTGCCAAGGCAATTTTTTTCTTTTCCTTTAGTGATGTCTTTCTCTTAGTTGGATCCTTTTCTATTAACCATTTCTTGCTTTGATTACAGGGAAAGGTTCCATTAGTATCCGTGGAAGCATTGCATCAACTCCATATCTTCATCTTCGTACTAGCGGTTTTTCACGTCATCTTCTGTGCCTCAACCATGGTTCTTGGTGGCGCCAGGGTAATCTATGTTGCTTTTACAGCTTTTTGCACAAGTAAAAGAAAAAAACAGCCAAAACAACCTCAAAAGCTGTCTTTTTCGGCTCTGATTAGTTCATGGATTTGAAATTACATATAGATACAACAATGGAAGCATTGGGAGGATAGGTTCAAGAAACATCCTTCTCAAAAAGGTGAGATTCTTGTTCAGGGGGAATAGACAATTGCTATGATTTTGCACCTTAAACACACAAAGTACTTAAGAAAAAATGTCGCAGGCACAACAAATCGTGGTCATGCTCATGCTCACGCTCATGCCATTCACGAGTTATTTAACGCAAATCACGAGTTCTTTGAGATGCATGCTGGTGGATTCTGGAGAAGATCTGTTGTCATCAGCTGGCTGGTGAGTTATGGATACTAATGCCAAAAGTGTTACACATGAATTAAAACTATCTACTAAATAAGATCTTATATTTGATATCTGATGAGATTAGCAAATGTGTACTGTTGGTGTAGAGATCATTCTTCAAGCAGTTCTATGGTTCTGTAACCAAATCAGAATATATAGCTCTGCGACAAGGATTCATCATGGTCTCACTTCACCCTTCCTTTTTCCAACATTTTATTTCTTTTACTAATTCTTAAATGCAACAATAAAGCATACATATTAATTATTTTAATCAGACTCATTGCCGCACAAACCCATCATTTAATTTTCACAAGTATATGCTAAGAACACTGGAAATAGATTTCAAGAAAGTTGTGAGCATAAGGTAAATTTATCCGTTGGTTCTTGAGATAAACACACTAATGGCTTAATGAATTTTGTCTGACATCTTTAATTTTTGTTGTTGTTGATGGTAACATATAAACGTAAAGCTGGTATCTCTGGCTCTTCGTCGTCGTCTTTTTGCTGCTGAATGTAGGAGGATGGAATACCTACTTCTGGTTGTCTTTCTTACCTTTGATTGTAAGTTTCTTCTAATCAGCATTTAATCATTTAAGCTCTTAAAATATTTTTGAATGGTTCTTTTCCAAAACGCAATGCAGCTGTTACTAATGGTGGGTGCCAAATTGGAAAATATAATAAGTAGCTTAGCTCTGGATGTTTGCGAGAAGCGAAACCGTTCCGAAGAAGCAGTCATCGAACCTTCTGATGAACTCTTTTGGTTCCATAAACCAGAGATTGTTCTCCAACTAATCCACTTCATTCTCTTTCAAAATTCCTTTGAGATCGCTTTCTTCTTTTGGATCTTGGTACTTCACTCTCAACCCTCAAAGCTTCATTTTATTTTTGTTTCTTTGTTGATTAATTGTAAACGTGAAAATCATTCGTGACAAAAAAAGATCCCATTCTTACTTACGATATCTCTCCATCGTATCATCAGTTCACATACGGAATACATTCATGTATCATGGAGAAACTAGGCTTCCTTATTCCACGACTCGTCATGGGGTATAATAATATGAACTCTTTTAAGTTCCTAATTAAAAGACCTTCAAAAAAGTTTAATTAATATTTTTGGTTTGATCTGATAAGAGACTCTTTGTTTATACAGAGTGTTAGTCCAAGTACTTTGCAGTTACAGCACATTACCACTATATGCTCTTGTTACACAGGTAAGTGTTAATCTCTATAACCACATCTCTAAGCTAATACTTACATACACCAGTTAACAAAAATTTGTTGTTTTTGTATAAAATAAGATGGGTAGCAAATTCAAGAAAGGAATATTCGACGGAGTAGTACAGTCCACACTAGAAGTGTGGTTGGAAGATACGAGGAACAAAGGTGAATCCACGAGCCAGAGTCGTAGGATGGAGAAACAACCTACGGTTCCTGAGTCTTTTAATCTCCAAGTCATTGAATCATGTGAAGATCCTTAAGTTGCAACTTATGTTCTATTCAATAAGATTCGCCAAGTCATTAATTAATCTGTGTCATCTCTTAATTAATTCGTTTTGCTACATTTAGAGCTCTCATCGGAAGACTTCTGTTATATCATCGACCCGCCAATGTTGACCTGTTCGACTAACCCTCAAAAGTTTTAAATAAACGTTTTAATGGAGCTGTCATTTATAAAATAAACAAAATTTGTTAACAAAGTCAACAACGTTTATAATTCTGTGAACGTTCATTAAATACTTGTTGTAGATTCAGGCACGGTGATAAATAATTGTTGACTTTTATGAAATTTTAACTGCAAGTTTTTTTTAATCATCATCATAAACAATTTTGGTCAACTCGAAACTTAAAATTTCAAGAAAATGTAGTAGTTTCGGATAAAAAAAAAGAAAATGGAAACATTATGCTACATATTATCCTAAAGGAAAAATAAAAATAAACTGAAAAGGACTTTCACATGATTCAACTTCCATCGGATCCACAACGTTACTCTCGTCTTTATCTTTGCCTCTATTCTCTCCAATTAAAGCAAAATAAAGCAAAAGCTTTCCAAATTTAAAAGAATATATATATATATAAAAAAAAGTGCAGTTTAGGCCCACTGTGTCGTTGACTAATCTGGTGGATTGTGGACAGACAACAACAGTAGGGTCACTTCAAAACCCCCTTTCAAATCGAACGGCTCAGATTTGACGCCGGCAACGACCGAATTTAAAGAGTTTTGTCAGGAAGCGTCTCGAGCACCAAAGCGTGATTGTGGTCTCCTTCGTAGGTCACGATAAGCATCATCGCATCGTCCAGTGCACGCTCCACGTGCTTACGCGCCGGACAACCTCTCACGCTGCTGCACTTGTAATATCCCCTGAGAGACCGAGTCCACATCGAGTTTTAGTTTATATACTAATAAGAGAACACGAGTCAACTCGGGCTTGTATTTAAAAAAAAATTGTAAGGAACAAAACAACAAGTCAAAAAGAGCGTGAACCCACTACTACTAGACGACACGTTTGGTACAACCAATATAGAAAAATCAATAGTTTTTTTCACCAGGTAATATTTGACAATACACAAGTTGCCCATTTTTTCTAATCTTATGGATTTTGTGTGTGTGTGTGTGTTGGTGATGAATGAAGTGATGTATGTGTTTGTGTGTTCATGGATCATAGTAAAAGTAAATAAAAATTGAACTAACCGAGGATGAGGAGAGCCTTTGATGGGTTTTTGACCGTATTTTCTCCATGAATACTCGTCTGATGGAATATCAGCCATCTTGCTGCTTACCGCAGGAACTCTTATCACTCTTTTCACTCTTGACTTCCTGTTTTTTTTTTATAAAACAAATTTTAAAACAAAGTTTAAATGCTTTAATCTCTTAATGAATCTTAGATTTAGAGGTAGACCCAGATCCAAAAATCGAACCTTTTCTTGGTACAATGGCAGCGGCTTGAGGGAGAAGAGTTACATCTTCTCTTCATCGAAACTGACGATAACGGAGGCTTTCCTCTCGAACCCGAGACCTGAGATGATGGGTTAGTGAACTCGAATCCTGATGACATTTGATTACTGTCTGTTTCGCATCTGTGAGAAGACATGAACGAGTTCGCCGCTGAGACAGGAGGCGACGGCGCGAAGTTTATCGTTGACGACGGAAGAAGCTCTTGTGGTTTTCCGAATATCGGAGCCGAAGAAGACGAACCATTCTTTGTCTGGTTGTTGTTGCTGTTGTGTGATAAAGGAGGACGGCGATGTATTGGAGTCGGACAGTAAACTCTAAACGCAGATCCACCGTACTGCTCTGTTTTCTGTCTGTTAATCGCTGCGGTGGTTCCTGGCTTCTCCTCCTCCGTCTTCCACTCTCCTCCTCGATCCTCTGTTTTCATCGCCGTGGGAGCTCGTCTGAATCTAGCGTGTCCGGTTCTAGATCTGCCGAGAAGAGAAATCACCTTCTTGAAGCTGTTAACAGCGACGTCCGTCACCGCCGTTATCTCCGTCTTGTTCTCTTCAGTCGGTTGACTTTGACCGATCAGTTTAAGAAACTCCTCAACGCCGTGAATCCCCGCGGAAGCAGCTTCTCTCAGGGCTGTGTCTTCCATTTTTGCAGAAAACCCGTCTCCTCCTCCTCCTCCTTTGACTCTACCACCACCGTAGCTGCTCATCATAAGCTCCACCGCCATATCTCACCAAACACACCACTCTCAATCCTCAAAAGGTCAAAGCTATACCCTAAAAAGAAACAGCGTTTAACCAAATATTCTTGTAATTATCTTCTTCTTCTTCCCTCCTTTGTTCTGTTTAAAGATTGGTGATGATGAATGATGATGAGCACCGAGTAAAAAAGGGGAAGAAAAAGAAAAAGAAATGAAAGGGCGAGTCAACTCAATGGGGGTTTCTCTCTCTTAAGGGGGATTGAAGATAGTGCTTCAGTCAAATAGACTACCAGTGATAGGCCTACACGTGTGACCATTTGTCAAGCATTTGACACTCTCAACGTCAATGATTTTAATTATATAATGGAACTGGTGGTGGAGCTGAAAATACATTTTCTTTGAAATTTTTAAAATTTGATTCCAATTATCTAGATATTCGGTACATTTTCGTAACAAAGTAAATAGTAAAATATACTATTCATATAAAATAAGAATAAACAAACGTCTCACCTATCCACAAATAGTGGTAATGAATTAGATGAAATAAAGTTTTGGGACAACTTGGTAGAAAGCCAAGTTTTGGGATTAAATTAGAAAAATAACAAAAGGTAAATAAGTTAGAAGAAAATGGTTAAAGGATGATGAACAGTGATTTGTGGAATTGGTTATTTACGTCTCATGTCATTGTGTGCGCGTGGTTAAGCGGAAGAATGAAGTAGGTATTAAGGAGTATTAATGAGATTGGGTGATAGCGCATATGTGGACATTTATGGAGTGAATTAAGACTGACCTTGCACTTCGTATTAAATGAGAAGACAAAATATATTCGTCACCGCCTTATGTAAGCATGATCTACAAGGAGGTGATGGTGAGTTAATACAATTTATAATGCTCCAACAAGATCGTCGACGGGCAGGGCGGGAAATAAAAATATTTCCACACACTTAGGTTTATGGAGTCTTCATAAATACTCGTTCATGCTATAGAGCTACAGGCTAACAAATCGTGTAAGTTATTCTGAATCAGTTCTTACTATATATGAATATCTACGTGAGAAGTTAAAAGTTCGTTCTTATTAATAACAACATCTTCTTGGTTTTGGTATTCTTAGGATTATCAATGATGGTTCAACTGTGAGAGGTCCTGAGTGATCTGGTTCGCGCGGAGCAAGGGTGGTGGATGAAAGATGGGGGGGTTTGGCGGTTCGTGTTGCTGGAGGACAGACTTAGCAAAGGTTAGGGGTTATCAACAATGGTGCAAATCTGGAAAGACCTCAGCGATCTGGTGCGGGCAGAACAGGGGTGGTGGATGAAAAATGCAGAGGGGTGTGGCGATTTGTGTTGCTGGATGGATATAAACTTGGTGCGGGCCAGATATAAACTTGTAACGGATTATTTGAAAATAATGTAGATTTGTAATGATATAAGTGTATTGTAGACGTCTATTAACATTAATGGAGTGCTATATTCGTCTCCCAAAAAGTTATGTTGTTCCATAGATTGTTATATTTATTCAACGGATCGCGTGCCCGTAAATTATATTATAGTGTGATATTTTTTTTTATAGATTTTATGTTGCTCCTATAACTATAATATATGTTAGTATATGAGGCTATATAGCTGTCTATTACTATAAGTTATGTGTTATTAAATATGATGGACGATTATCTGAATGGCTGCTAAAAGAACATTATATTGAAGAGTAAAAAAAGTTAAAGACATCTAATGTATTTAATGGGCGGATTTTCTCAGGATTGGATCAAACAGAGAATGTCATATTGGATGTGACATACAAGGGAGATGAACTGTATTTGGGGCGTGTGTTCAAGAACAAACAAGACTGCAAGGTGAAAATAGCATCTCCATGTGATCCACTTTGGGGTCATCTACTTCATCGGCCCATGCGAAGGGACTTTGGGGGGTTCCATCGAATTCGTCTTCGATTATTGAAGTCACTGCCACATACAAAAAAACACCGCATACTGATTTATAAGGCCACACACTCAAACTTAGACATCCATATATTCGGGTATCTGATTATATTGTTGGAGATCCATAACATAAGATACAGGGCTACCCGAGTTTGTAATAAAGTTTTTTGTCTGGAAGAGTCGAAATCCCAAAGCTTATCTAGCTAACCATCAGAGCGAATGTGCATATATGCATGTGAAGATCTGGTTTGGAGATATAAGATTTTGTTTGAATTATTGAAGATCTGGTTTCAAGACCTAATATTTTGACACTTAGGTGATATTTCTGGGAAAATCTAAGATTAAAAAACAATCCAAATGGGGAATCACTTCCCACTATCGATTGAAACAACGATAAATCACCCGAACAAGATTTGGCTCCGAAGAGAAAATGAAAACAGAAATCGGAAGAGTAATCCCACAATGGAAAAAATTTACAGCCAATTCACAATTGAAGACCAAAAATGATAAAGACGGAGGGCGACGATGTTCGCGGCCCTAATTCAGGGTAAACTGAAATGGGATTATGCGTAGAGGAACGGGAGTTCGGATTACCTCAATTATCAGTTGCTTGCGTCCGTGACTCGGAATTTCAACGGCGGAGATGATTTGCTACTCGGGTTCAGTTCTAATCGGAGACTGCTGAAAATCGGATAATTGGCCTTCGACAGCGAGGAATAGGAACAGACTAAGTGGTCCGACCAACGGAATAGGCGGGGATGTGCAAATTGCTTAAGCGGAGGTATTTTAGTGGTCGGAGGCGGTTTGAAACGGGGGTTGCTGGTAGACGTTTACTTCGCCTTCGACAGTCAAGGAAGAGAAACTAACTTTAGAGTTCGAGCAACGAAGGGATGCAAGATATTAAATATGCAGTTATTCACGCCACAATCAGACATAGTTAAAGCTTTCTAAATTTAACTAACCAACAAATTTCTTTATTCGTTCGTAGGACTCCACGTACAATTATAGGTGTGAAGACTGGTAGCACGTGAGAGTATCGTGGATAGAAGGAGTGGCAAATTAATTTAATGCTTGAACGATGAAAAACAATAGTCAATTCCCTAATTTACTACAAGTTTTTAGCCATTTAGTGCAATTTCCCTATTTTTCTTTTTAATTAATTTTTCAGTTCTCAGTTCTCACCAATCAAGAAAGAAATTCTCTAAAAAAAATCAAAGGAAGGACGAGAACAAAATAAATAGTAAATGCTTGACAAATAATCATTTTGTACCTTTACATTATTCATAGCCATGATGGTCTGATATGATGTAAGTTAGTTTATGTATAGACATAGATGCAATTAAGAAAAAATGCTTTTTTTTTAAGTTTCTTTTGTGATTTTATAGACATAGGTCCATACTTTCTTATAATTCTCTTTCAGTTTATTTATGCTTCATCGGCTCTTGATAATTCGTTCCCTCATCTTATACATGTGATGAGTTGCTTATAAAAGATGATTTCAGAATTTTATAACAGAATTATTTCATATTTATATGTCTTGTGATATTAAAAAAAAGTATGGTATGGAAATGGGCTTTGTCTAGGCCTCATTAAGTGGTTTATTTGTCTAGTATCGAATAGAGTCCAAAAGAGAAAAACGGCGCGCTGCATAAGGTGTGAGAGGATAAGCGTAAACCGTAAGAGCCAAGTCAGCATTGAAAGCGGTTAGGTGTTGAGAAGTCTTTTTGTAATTGTCGGACCCGCTTATGTCGCATAAAGCCCACGAATATGCTTTCTTCTTCTCTTTCATTTATTCCTTCCTCTCTTCTTCCCTTTTCTTTCCATAATCTCCTCCTTTCCTCCCTCCTCCTTCTCAGATCCTAAGTATCTTACTTTCCTCTTTCCTACTATAGTTGATCCCCCGATCATGGAGTTTCTCCTAGAGATGCTTCTCACGGCCGTTGTTTCCCTTTTGTTTTCTTTCCTTGTGGCCAAGCTCGTCTCTGCGTCTATGGCGGGCAACATCGGTGGAGTAGGAAACGATCAGGCGGAGATCGGTGTCGGTGATGGTTTTGTAAAGGAGGAGCTTCGTTTTGGTATGAAAATGGATGCCCCAGTGGTCCAGAGCGAGAGGAATTTCCGAGTTGTCGATGAGAATGTGGGACACGTGGATCGATTTGGAAGCGAAGCTGATCGAGTCGGTGATGAACTCCAGGAAGCTGCTAAAGGCGGAGAATTGGCGGTTCCAACTGCCGAAGCTGAGGCTAAGTCCTTGCCCGAAGTCTCGCCGGAAAATGTGATAGCCGAGGAGTTGATTGTTCGTGGAGAAGACCAACGGAGAGACTCGGTGGAAGAAATAAGTGGAGAAATCGGTACCGAACACGAAGAGCTGATTGTTCGAACAGCGAAAGATGAGTCCACTGCTTCATTCACTCAAGAAGGAAGAAGCGTTTGTGCAGAAAACGTAAAAAGTGAAGATGACGTAGTCGCGGAATCTGAGGAGGTTAGTGTCGCAGAGAGTAGTAGTACGGTGAAGATAAGTAATCTCAACACTGAAGGAGAAGGAGAGGATGAAGAGAAAGAGGAGTTGAGTGTTGAAGAAGATGATGATTGGGAGGGAATTGAGAAGACTGAACTAGAGAAAGCATTTGCGTCTGCTGCAAAGCTTTTGGAAGAATCCGGAAAATCCGAAGAAATTGGTGCGGAAGCTAAGATGGAGTTGTACGGCCTGCACAAGATCGCCACCGAAGGGTCATGCCGAGAGGCACAACCTATGGCCGTCATGGTCTCTGCTCGTGCAAAATGGTAACACACTTTTTTTTTCCCAATTTTCGATTGTTTTCTTGGTAATTAATACTTTCAGTGTGTGTGAACGTCTTGGAGGTAGAAGAACTTTGTGTAAGCGTAAGACTCAAAAAATGGTTAGATGGTTTAAGCTTTAAAAAGGGACCTGGTCATCTAGTTAGGAGGACAGAATCAGCAATTATGTGCGAGTGACTAACAATGCTTACCTTGTGGTAGGAATGCCTGGCAAAAACTTGGAAACATGACTCAAGAGGAGGCAATGGAGCAGTATCTTGCACTTGTTGCCAAGGAGGTCCCTGGATTAATGAGTACTGGTCATACTGTGAGTTGTTAGATCTTGAGGGTTTGACTATCATCTAAATGTCTTTAAATGGCTTTTGAGGTCTGACAAACTTTGACTTATTCTCTTTATCTCTCTCTCTCTCTGCAGGTAGGGAAGATGTCAGAAATGGAAACCTCTGTTGACTTACCTCCTAATTCAGGATCATTGGATGATCCGACCACCTTAGACACAACTGGTGCTGAATCCAGCAAAAATGGTAAAACTTATTCTTTATGAGTAAATGACGTCTTTGTGTCAGCAATTTCTTGTATCTTTACTACCAACACCCAATTATCTACTCTTTTTTCTAACTGCAAGCTTACTCGTATTAAAACTAGTTTCAGGGGAAAGGTGAATCCGGCTTTTAAGCAGGCAAGGCTTGAAGAAGGGATCTTTGGGAAAACAAAGGCAAATCTATTCTTTTGCATAAAAAATATGTTTCTCAAAGATAATCATAATTGCAGTAAATAGACCATTTGTTGCAACTTGGGTTGTCTAGTGTCTACATAATTCGTTATCCACACCCAATGGTTTAGGCTTTCCACTCGTTTTTCTTTGGGTTGCAGCAAACAAAAAGAAACATAATTATGCATGTGTGTGGATTGGTTTGTTTTATGGTGTGTAGATAATGTTAAGACCTATGAATCAAGCAAGGGAACTTATATCCTCATAGTAGTTACCTTTGGTATGATTCTAGGTAAACCATAAATAAGCAAGGTTTCTTAACAGCTTTCAATTTGCTGAAGAGATATTTGAGATAACTCCAAGTGAAGCTATTTCTCTAACCATCTTTAACTTGTTATAAGCTTTTGCAGCAATCGCCAATTTCCAAGAAATCTGGTGTTTCCATTAGCCTAATGCTTTTCCAGCATTGTCCAAAATATTTCTATTACAACTTGTAATAAATAGATCATATGCGAAAAGCTATCCCAAAATAGTATAAATTTCAAAAGGGTGACAAAAGAGTTTACAAGACTGGAATATTAAAAAGAACAGACAAAAGGCAAATCGGCTTTTATTTTATCTTTTTGCAGACAACAAAGAACAGAGGGAGAGATTTTGGGAGAAACAAAAACATGAAACGAAGGAGGAAGAAAAACAGAGAAGAAACAACATCTTGAACGATGAAGATGAATCAAGGCAAAGGAAGATGAATCAAGGCACGATCTTGAACGCCTTGTACTTGTCAATCCAAGAGATAAAAGAGTTGTTCGAGTTCCTGAAGCCAAGGAAGCCATGCTCTTTGCTCTTGTTCATACTGTCAATCATTCCTTCAACACCAAGCACAACATCAGCGAACCACCACACACCAACTTCCTCAAGCTTCTTCTCCTGCAGCTGATTCTCCTTCACCATCTCCTCCCACACTCTCTCTTTCCCTTTCATCATCTCCACAAGCCCCAGGTTCTTCCCTTCCACGAACCCGTACTCCTCGATCCCAAACTGCTCAGCGAGAATCCTCCACAGATGTTTCCACTTGAAGATATCGGCGTTGTTGCAGTTAAACGCCTCGTTCTTGGCGTACGGATCAACCGCGGCCCAAATCTGCTGCTCAGCGACCAAGTCCGCGTCAGAGGCTGCCGTGAAACCTTCCCAGGCCTTCTTGCTCCCCGGGAAAACCAACGGAGACCCTTCGTGCTTACAGATCGCCGCGTAGACGCAGAGAGTCCCCACGATGTTCATCAAGCTATAAGGAGAGAATCCGAAGATCGTGTTTGGCCTATGCACGGACCAAGTCACATTCTCTACCTTCTTGATCTCTTCAAACAGAATATCCTCAAGAGTATAGTAGAAATTCTGGATCTTCAGCCTCGGCATGTCCTCCGTGAACGGCGGATCGGGACGATCGGTTTTCTCGAGGCTGTCGAAAGGGCCGATGTAGTGTTTCGTCCCCGTCTGGAGGCAAACGTGACGGAGATTCGGCGCGTTTGGGACAATCGCGCGGAGGACGTTGCGGAGCATGGAGCCGTTGGCCTCGCAGATGTCTCGCTCGGAGGAGCCGTTGGTCCAGGTGACGTAGAAGACGTGGGTGACGTCGGTTAGAGGGGAAAGCTTGGATCGGGAGTCTTCGGCGTCGGAGACGTCGCACTGGATGTAATCGATGGGATGATCGGCGTTCCAGCTTGGGCGAGGACGGCGAGCGACGCCGTAGACTTTCCATGGGCCGCCGGGTGTATCGGAGAGAGGGAGAATCTCCGCGAGGCTGTTTCCGACGATTCCGGTAACGCCGATGATGAGGGCGACGCTCTCGTAGCTTTGCGTCGGCTCATCTTCGTCGAATTTCTTCTGCAAAAAAAACAGAAAAGATTTGATAAATCAGTGACTGTTGTGAAGGAGAGAATGAAGATCGGAGTAGGATCGATGGATGATTTTAGAGTTTGGAGTTGAATTTACCTTGGCAGCTCCGATGGCGCCAGCCCACCACCAACTCATTTCTGGATCAAATCGGTGACGAGGAAGAAAGGAAGAAGAAGAAGAAGAAGGTAAATCTGATTTAGAGATGTTTCTAGAGACTCGCGGTTAAGTCATTTAGCTACAGAGCCGTGTGGGGTTTGTCTTTTTAGCCTTTTCTATTGTCGTTTTATAAAAAGAATATATATCTCAAAAACATGATAAACTTTGTACATCAACATTTTTTGTTATGTATGGTAAAGCCACGCAATCGTTTTATATCAGTTCAATCTAATCTTCAGATTAATGACTTCTCGAAACCTTATGGAAAGAGATGAGATGACAATGTTTGGAATTGTTTTCGGTTTCACTTCAAGTAAATTAAAATGTTAATCGCATTATTAGGAGGCATATATCATTAACTATATAGTTTGATTGATTTCAACAGTGAAAACAAAGTTAATGAACATGCTAATCACATTATGAGAAGACATGGATACAATATTTCTCATCAAAGCCTCTATTATTGCAGAACTAAACTGTTGCTGACAGTCTGGCTATGGATACAAACAACATCTTTGCCAGCTTTTGAGCATCATATCTTAATCAGATACTTATCAATCAGCAAATTCCAAATATTACCCAAATTATGAAAAACTAAGACAATATTTAGGAACTATAGAGTAAAATCATTACCAATACAAAGGCACATCTTACAAAGGATTTGCAAAATTACTAAAACCGAAGAAGAAGAAGCTGAAAAAGGAGTTAATTAGACTTGGGAAGTCTCTTGGTGAAATTCATCTTCTCGTAGTACCGAATCGAGAGGAGAGAAAGGGAGAGTTTCAATTCGTCCTTACCCAATCTGGCGTGAGGGTTAGGATTCGAGAGAGGCCAGAGGTAGAGCGAGTGGAGTCGTCGGAAGCCGCCAAGCGCGAGGACGACAGATCTGAGCTGGTTGATGCTGCAGCCGATGTTAGCCCAGTGACGCGTGCAGATCAGCTCCCATAGCCGCTCGTCCTGTGCCGTCGTGTGCCAGATCTTGCTCACGCAAGAAGACCTAGCCAAGGTCCTCGCGTCCACGTGCTTCAACACCTCGTACAGTAGATTCTCGTCTAGATTTGAGAATCCGATTTCTGATCCGTCGTTTTCCTCTGACCTCTTCTTCATCTTCTTGTTATCGTTCCTCGCATCACCCTCTAAGAGAGAGTTTGAAGCACAGCGTTTCATGTGGGAATCGATTATGGAAGATCGAAGTTGTTTTGGAGAGGAGAGATGAAAAAAGAAAGTATTGAAATGAAGAAGATGAGAGAGAGATTTGGGTTCTGTCTCTTTGGAATCTAGAGAGGGCCTTTTCTTTGAAGTATATTATCGAAGACGACAAAACTGAAAAAAAAAGGATAAAAATGAATATTTTCGGTTGCTTTTCTTTTCATTAGAGTGACGACTTTCACTCTCACAGCTGTTTTTTGTCTTCATAAATTTCTTCGGATGTAATGATATCAATTTTTTTTTAACTACAGTAAGTTCATGGGCTATCAACATTTTTTTTTCTTTCTGTCGGCTAATCTTACGTTTCATAAAAATGCGTTTTTAGAAATTTGTATGTGTGAAAAAATTAAAAGTATTCGTCTGTATAAAGTTGTGTTTATATAATTGTGATAAGTTTAGTCTCAGACAAACTAGTTAATAAATTTTGAATACTGGATTGATTTTATAATGTTTTAAGAATCAATCCAAAACACTTCGACACCTCATACGGTGTTTTGGTTATATAGGAGTGAAATAGGAGTTTGATATGTTTTGTGACGTCAGGTTGTAAGTGTAAAAAGCATGCACATATAATCAATGATTTGGAAAGCATTAAGTCGAATGCTAGACTTTATTATTTCGAATCAACAATTTAATCAACCGATTACAATTGCTTGGATTTATGCAATCAAATGATTTTTAGTAATAAAATATATTCTTCTCTTGATTCTACAACACGTGTATCAACGAAGAGGACACTAACCTTCTTACTTCGTTTTTGTTTGAGGCATAAGGTAATTTAGATCAATTGCGGTGCAAAGTGTGTATCTCAACTTTGCCTCACTTTTATCTATATATATTTTCCTAAACCTAAACCTAGAACCTCTCTCAAAATCTTTCGTAAAGTAAGATTCCATATTTCAAATATCTTTGCGTGCTCTCCAAGCTCCTCTTTGAATTGCCACGTCATTAGCTCCACACCAGCTACAAGCTTCCGTGTCTTCCTACCTCCTGATATCTTGCCTGAGTTGTTCATTGATCTCACATCTTCACAGGTAAGTTGATTATAAGGTTTTGCATTGTCGGATTGATTCGACCTTGAACTCCAGACAGACATTTTCAAAGAATGGTTTTTTTTTACCATAGTCAACTCCTACCAGCTTTCTTTATAAAGATACCATTTCGACAATAGCAAAAGATTACTAACAAGCTTGTGATAATATTTCGCGTTTATAATCAAATAGAAAAAGCATTGTTAAATTTGTTGTATGTAAAACGCGTTATGCATGTTCAACCAACTTTGTTTTACAACACGTATTCGTCGTTGAATGACCATGTTTTCGTTTTCTTTTTCTAATGCAAGCTCAAAGTATTTTCAAACCTTTTATCAAGAAAACCAAAAAAAAGTATTTCCATACACCAAGAAACTATAAAATACTTGTGTAACGGATCCGTGAAATCTGTTAAGTGCATGCCATAATCAACCATTCATGTATTTTCAGACGATCACAACAAGTGGTTTTAAAATATTTGTATTCATGTTCTTATTTGAAGTTTGTGAACAAATTCAAATACATTTTAGTTGTGTGAAGTGTTTTCAATGAAAAATGCTCAATTAGTTTAGAAAGTATGATAGAATCGTTTCTATCTGTTCAATTTTTCAAAAAACCGTTAGTTACAAAAAAAAAAAGTATGGCCGGAAACTTTTTAATATTAGCCCAATCACAACAGATATGTGCCGACACCTTCAACATGTTGTCCTTCAGGCTTCACCTATTAGAACGTAGCGTATGAACAAAATTGCAAAAAAGAAAATGTATTTTTCTCCTCAAACACACATGTACTTCCCATTAATGTATTTTTAAGAAGAGTCATCTAAATTTCCGTTGGTTTAATGAGTGTGCCATAAGAGATCACCTGTGGGTCTATGAGACTGGCTATAGGGACTTTGGGAGAAACTAACCGATATTTTAAATTTTATTTTCAACTAGCAATTTAGCATAAAGTATTTAAAGACAAAAGAATCTGTCGTGTAGGAGTCAACGAAGTGAATCACTTGTGGAATTTTTCAATCCCACTTGATTTGTTCTCCAAAAACTATATTATTATCAGAGTTTGGATATTATCTTCTTCTTATTATTTATTTTGGTATTCTCCCTCTTTTCTTCTGATCAATTAAGAAATATGGATTGCACGACGAGTCCCTTTGACACAATCTATAAATACTGTCAAGATTACAACAATGCTTGGAATTAATCAACAATTCACTTGTTTAATGCTCTCAATCAAACAAGAAGAGTTCCAATATAACTTCATATGAGAACAAATCATTCTATCTTCACTGAATCGTTTTTTTTATCTCTTGAAAATGTCCAACACACAAAAAAAGAAGATGTTCGATACAACGATCTCAAGTTATATGTTCTCCAGTATTCTGCAGGATGAGTTCGGTGGATGGTACATGGAGCTACCCATGACAGCTAGATTGGTGGTTTACATTACATTTTTGGGTACAATCTCACATAATCATATAGTAACATATACTATCATATTCAATGTAAAGCTAATTTGCTTTTTTCTTGTTGTTATTGTTTCTTAGGGACTATAATGGCCATTATATTTTTGATATTGAAATTTCTGAGTGATTGTGACGCGGAAGATGACATGGAGAGGTTACCAGTGGTGGCAGGAGAAGAAGAAGTCGCCGTTTGGACGCCGTTAGTCAACGGACCACCGGAGATAGCGAGGAACGGAGATGTAGAAACTGCGTCGTTTAGCTCGTCGGATGATTTGGACTACTCGACATTGTGTGTCATATGTTTCGAGGAACGCAGAAACTGTTTCTTCGTACCGTGCGGTCACTCTGCCACTTGTCGCGGCTGTGCTCAGAAGATCCTGTCCGAGGAAAATAAGGCGTGTCCGATTTGCCGGAGGTTAATACGCAAATCTAAGAGATTATTGTTGAAGCGTTGAACGTTGTTGCTTTTCCTAACCATTATTTTGTCCCATGATTCCGATAACGTTCTGTAATCGTATGTGTGCTGGTCTTTCACTACATTTTTTTACCAAAAATTATCTCACTTTGACAAAATAGAGATATAAATTCTTTTCGAAAAAAAAGAAAAATAAAATTTAAACCATTTTAGTTGAGAACATTGAAGTTGAATGGTATGCAGTTTTTTTCATATTTTCACGTTTTGAAAATGTGATTCCGCTGAAAACATATATTCACGACAACACGCATGAAATGATTAACATTGAAAATTAACAAGTGCTTTTTAAATCTATCCCGCATATTGTATATTTAATACTAGTTTATACAAAACTTCATTCATTTACTTAAGAACAGCTTTTTGGTGTTTCAAAGTAATAAAAAAAACTTTTATCATTTTACCCTAAAATAAATCCTAATTTTTAATTTTTTTTATTATAATAATTAGTGTTTTATCTCCATATATTGTCGCCACTTTACATCCTGCTATCTTTTACAGCCATCTTTCTATCTAATCTATCGATAACCTAGCTATAAACATATATATTTGTGATACATGGAAAATCAATTATCATCGTGTCTTGTGGCAGTCAACTGAGAAGGTAGCATTTTTCCTTTTTGTTTCTATTTAATTTGCTATTATGATAACATGTGCTTTGATTATTACATTTGTTTCTGTTCTGTTTGGGATAATTAGAGCTTTGATTATTCTATTTGAATTTATACGACGTGAGGATTTGATAAGTTGGTTTCATTTTTTTTTTTACTTTTACATTTAATGTAGAGTTTGGTAATTTAGTAGTATTTATTTTATTATTCAATTATTCAGCCAAAAAATATTATTCTTGTAATTTTTATTTAGCTGAATTGTGAAATTTCATTTTTTTTGTTATTCAGCTATCTCATAATTCTGTTTCTATGATTCCGTTATTTTATAATTCAGCTATTTTGCTATTCATCTATTTAGTTGACATACTATTCAAACTCATGGGTTGAATGGTATGTAGTTTTTTCACGTTTTGAAAACGTGGTTCCACTAAATATATACAATTTATAATATTAAGTACTCAATGATAAAAAGTGAAAATCAACATGTTATTTTTCAATTCATCCCGCACATTTTAAATTTATAACTAGTTTAGAGACAAATCTATTCATCTAGTAGATAATAGGGTTGAATCGTATGTAGTTTTTTTACGTTTTCACGTTTTGAAAACATGATTCCACTAAATGTATACCATTCATAATATTAAGTACCGAATGATAAAAAGTAAAAATGAACATGCTATTTTTCAATTCATCCTGCACGTTTTAAATTTATAATTAGTTTAGAGAAAAATCTATTCATCTAGTAGATAATGGGTTTGACTGGTATGTCAACATAATAGCAGAATAGTAGAATAGCTGAGTAATAAACTAGCGGAATCAATAGGATGGGTAAACTGAAAACTGAATAAACTCAAAACGCTAAAAAACTAGTATCTATTAGATGAATGAATGTTTCTTTAAACTAGTTATAAATTTAAAACGTGCGGGATGGTTTAAGAAACAGCGTGTTACTTTTCACTTTTTATCATTCAGTACTTAATATTGGGAATGGTATGTATTTAGTGGAATCAAGTTTTCAAAACGTGAAAACGTGAAAAAGCTACATACCATTCAACCCCAATAGCTTTTTAGCGTTTTGAGTTTATTTAGTTTTCAATTTACCCATCCTATTAATTATGCTAGTTTATTATTCAGTTATTCGACTATTAAGTTCACATACCAGTCAAACCCATAGTTAAAACACTTCATACTTAAAATCTTTGTAGCTCGTCTACCGATTAGATTAATGTTACAAAATAGAAAGTTTTGAAGATAAGTTGACGCATGAAAAAAAGAAAAAAAAGAGATAAGAAGAAATCTTTGAAAAAAAGAAAAAAATCTTTTTTTCGATAAAAAGATTGACGAGAGAAAAGAAGGAAAACTTGTTCATACTAAATTCTTTGTAGCTCGTCTATCTATTCAACGTTATAAAATGGAAAGTTTTGAATAAAAACTGAAGCATGGAAAGGAAGAAAATAGAGATAAGAAGAAATCTTCGGAAAAAAGAAAAAAATCTTTTTGCCGATAAGAAGATTGACGAGAAAAAAGAAGGAAAGCTCATTCAGACCGACTTTAAAAACTATAAATAAAGTTTTGTAATGGTGTCTCCGAAGGTTTGTGATAGAGGGTGGACGACCCCAAACCAAGTTCACAAAATTCTTTCAAAAGAACTCATAACAAAAAACTAGCTTAAGAATTTCGATGTTCCTTTTTTTTGACCAATTTCATATTCTTAGAACGGATCAGAAAGTTAGATCGATGTTTCTATAACTCTTATAATATTTTGATTTATTATTCTTTTGAATATTTTTTTTTTTGCTGAATTTATATATATTTATTGAATATTAACATTTTGATTTGTTCATCTTTTATTCATGTTGGATATTTAATTTTTATATACTTTGCTTCTTTCATAAACTCGTTGATTTGCAGTGCTTTGGTTTTGTACTTTGTACAACGACTTCTAGAAGAAAAAAAAGAAGAAGATAATGACAGTTGCTCAAAAGGGTATGAAATCTCTCACTCTTTAAAACAAAAAAAATATCAATCGTTGGATTAAAATCATCATAAAATCCTGTAAATCTCAGCTGTTGGATCAATTCAAAAAATATGAATTCTGTGTTTCCATAGATTTCCGTGAAGACTATGACTGGTTGTGCGCTGAACCGAATGGGTACTTGTTGACTAGAACTAGCTGGTACATTATGAACCGGGCCGTGAGTCCCTACCAGCTCACCAGTCACCACACACGCTCCACACGTGTAGTTTAGTCCAACGCGAAATTAGAAAAAAATAAGTGTATATACTAATATATCTCACCAATGTGATTTTTAAGTTAATATAATAAATTTTTATTAGTATCAAAGAATAAACGAATTTTCTTCTCTCTCGTTTTCGTAAGAACTTTTCCCCGAAGAAGAAGAAGAAGACGAGGTTTTCTCTCAGAGCGGCCAACCGTCGTTGCCGGAGATAGAGCGGTGAATATTCTAAACGGAGTGTAGATATATACACACATATATATTACACTGACAGGAAGGGATTTGGGAGATGCGAGCTCGCATCGGTTTTGTCGGAACGGCTGCTTGCTCGCTTGACCTAGGGTTTTGTCTTCCTGGTTATCTGTGGTAAGACGTTCACCTCTTTATTCCCCCTCTTTTTACAATGATGCGTAGCTTTAAAATTCGCCTTTGGGTTTATTACTGGTGTTCATTTGGTCGTCTGTCTTCATTTTTGTTCTAATTTCGATTGTCTGAATTGATCATTGGAATCCTCTTTAGTGAATTGTCGTAATCTCATATTATTTGCCAATTGTGTGTTAATTTTGCTAGTTCATTCGAATTCTAGGGTTTTGATCCTGGACCCAGGATTTGGGTTGGCAGTATATTGATATAGATGTGTACTCTTAGTTTCTGAGATGTGGCGATTTTCAATGTTTTTATCTCCTTTTCGTTACCACTGCGAACAGTTAGAAAATTGGCCCTATCGTCGTTGATATCAGCCACGGTCACAAGGATGTATCTCGTTGTTGTCCTGCAAATTGTAGTTTTTTGTTTTTGTTTTGGTAATATGCCAGATGTATGTTTGTATTTCGTCCTCTTGCCAAAATCCAGATTTTTTTGTTATTTTTCGACAGTGGAGTGATCTTGAATTTTTTTGTATATGAATTGGATCTTTCTTGTGGCTATCTTTATCAGTTAAATACAGACAGAGATGTATTAGCGAATGAACTCAATTTCATATTTTTTTTTAGAAATTTCAGAACAGTCTGATAGTGTCTTCTTTACTTGCCACAGTAGCCTTAAAGTTTGTTTTGTTTATGCTTTCTTATCGCAGGAACTTGTCAAATGGGAGAGAGAACCTTTTTGCTTCCTAAGGGTGTTCCGCATTGTTGGAGTTTTCGTATGTAAAGAAGTATGACGCTCGAGGATTTCTTTACGCTAACAGAAATAAAAGATGGACTCACGGTCGCTTCTCGTGTTGAAGAGCTCGTGTCTGTCATGCGGAGTAATAAAGGTTCGGTTTTGAAGAATGCTGGGGATGCTTCTAGGCAATGGACGGCTGTCGCAAGCACAATCGCGGCCACAAAGAGCAGAGAATGTCTGGATGTTTTTGTTAATTTAGATGGTCTCCTTTACTTAAGTAGCTGGCTAGCAGAAGCTCAGGTGTTGGCTAACGATTCGACTGACGTATCTGTAGAGGAGTCAGTTCTTGCCTTGTTAGAAGCCGTTGCAAATATAGGTGTAGACAGTTCGAGGTTAGTTTCTTCTGGGATATGGGCTGCTGTCAAGAAACTTGTTGACCATGGTGGTTCTCGGGTTCAGGGTCAGGCGAGAAAGCTTTATGGTAGCTGGAAGGATAAGGTAGCTGATGACCATTCTGAACGTGACACTGAAAGCTGCAGCAAAACTCGTGGAGATGAGGCGAGAGTCGTAGCAGCAAGCAGGGAGAGCAGTGGGCTAAAATCCGGTGTGACTCTTTGTTCGACGCAGAGTAATGATGAAAAGCATTGTCCTGAGTTAGCAGATGAAGCCATGATGTCAGGAAGCTCAGGAGAAAACAACCCAAATCAAGATAAGGGTTCGGAACTGCAGAACGACAAGGTTGGGGTCGACTCGAACGTGAGTTCTCACTGCACTAATACGATGACTGAAACTCTGAATGGCTCTCCTACCGATGTCATCATGGAAGAAGCTCAAGAAAATCTTTCCCTGAAGGAAAATAGCTCTATGAGGGAGACGATGGCTCCCACAGTTTTTGGTAGTTTGCCTACTGGCTCATCAAATGATCCACTGGGTGCTGAGATATCTAAGGAGAAGCAGATGGGAATCCATGAAAAAGTCGGTGGTGCAGTAGCAGTGACATCTAGTTCAGCAGGACATGCAGCTTTGTCTTCTGATTCTGTTATTGCCAGTATGGAGTTGGAGAAAAACAGTCTTTTGCAGAGTAGTCTTGATTCAAACGAGGTGAGCAGGAATGCGTCTGAGACGATATGTGGATCGCACGATGTGAGCATAGCCAAAGATGTGCCTTCATTGGCTCATATAACGGACAATCAGGACTCTGCCAATTCATCAAGATTATCAGGTGGTCATGGTAGAAAGGGAAACGTTGAGAGTGACAATATGACTGCTCTTGCTGACGATGAAGAACGGAAAGATGACAAGGGCAACTCAGACAGAAAGAAGAGAGCAAAACGGAGAAAAAACCGCAAGTCTTCTAGATCAATGACCATATCCCAGCGCCTTGGAGCAATTGACAAAACAACTGCTGATATTGACCTTGGTATCTTGGATGCCTTGGAGGTCGCTACCAAAGTCGCACAGGAAGTTGCAAGAGAAGTGGACTCTGGAGAAGCTTCGGATAGTTCTTCTGATGAAAGCGGGCAGTCTGGTTCGCAAGATGATCTACTCACAGGTTCTACATCTAAGGGATTATCAGTGGGTGAAAGCCATTCCGTTGAGGAACCGCGTGTTGGAGGTGACGATGTAATGGATGAGAAGAATGACATACATGAAAATGGGATGATAAGCGATGGTGATGCTGGCGAGAAGCACCTAGCAGCAGCTGCTAAATCTGAAGTAGGCAGAGAGAGAAGCCCATGCGGCTTTGATCTCAATGAAGATATTTGTCCTGATGAAACAGATGTCGTTATGTCCTCCATATCTACCACCACTACTCCTCTTATGCCCGTCTCGCATTCTGCTGCTACTAGTGAAAAGCAGGTGATTCATCGTGGTATCGATCTGAATGTGACTGAGGCAGGAGATGATCAAGTTGAAGATCCAACCCCCTGGAAACAGTTACCTTTCTCCTCGTCAAACTCTAGAGGTGGAGAGTCGTCACATGAAGCTAATCCCCGGGGATCAAGCAAGTTCAACCTGGATTTGAATTGTACAAACGAGGACGAAGACATGCCTCCACCTCCTTCTGAGTCGAAGATGGAAACAAGGTTGTTTCTTAGTCACAACGGCCAGCAAAGCGCATCACCTGTCTCCTCGTTGTCAGGTTCTCAGCAACCAGGCAAGGAAGTAAACTTTGACTTGAACGACAGGCCACAGTTTTTCACCGATTCACGTGATCACCCTCCCTACTATGGTCGTCACCCGTGGAGTTCAGCCCCCTATGGAGGCTACAAAGCAGATGAACCGGCTATTTCCATCATGGGTACAAAAGTGGACGTCGACAGAAAAGACTCTGCACCGCAGATGTCTTCATTCTTGTCCAACGGTAAGTCCCTCGAGCCGCCCGCGCCGGGATTATTCTTGGGAAGGACGGGAAACTCTTCTGTGGGTTTAGCTCCTGGTGTTTCCTTTTCTCCAGCTCCCATGTATGGCTACAATGGATTGAACGGTCCTCCTGGTATGTCAATGTCATCTCCCATGTACGTTCCTGGAACTGCTATCCCTTACATGATGGACGCGAGGGGTACGCCAGTGATGATGCCTCAGATGATGGGACCGGCTTCATATGGGCAGCCACCGTTCCCTCCACACAACATGTTCTTGGGCTTGGCGGGTGGATCGCCTGGTTTGAATGGATCAGTGAGGCCACACTTCGATCAGAGTCCTGCGTTTAGTAACGAGATGGGAAACAGAGAGTCGTTAAGTCTGAGGCAGTTTCTGACGCCGGAGCAGAGCGGGGCTATGGGAGAGCATTCTGGAGCAAACGTAGAGCCGTCGTCGAGTTCGTCTATTAGCGTTGGTGGAAAGCGGAAAGAGCCAGAGGCGCGTTGGGAGTTCCCTCCATGGAGATGAGTGTGGTTTACAAGATAGGTGGGATGGATTGGTTGATTGGTCAAAGAATGACTAGTGTTGAAAGGTAACTCATAATTTGTCTTGCTGAACTTTTTTTCCTTCTTTTTGTTTTTCCCCATCAGTTTTCCCCCCTTTTCAGGATTTTTTATTATTTTCATAACATATTATAGGAGGATTAGTTCAAACATTGGTATATGTCAAGCTTCTTTTTAACCTTGTTGGGTTTTTCTCCATAAAATAAACACAAATATATAGTTTTGCGTTTCGAACCTCAAAGAAAAAGTGTTATTTTGTGTTCCTATAGTCAATGGTATTTGTGATTCTCTCATTCCACAACTGTTTAATAGAAAGAAAAGACAGCGACTGTGTTACTCCTATGGTGAAGGAGGAAGTTTCTCAGTGTTGTATCTTTCAGCGACACTAAAAAGTGTGAGAAAGAAACAAAGAGGACATGAAGTTGCAGTTTTTAAAGAACCCCAAAAGAAAGAAGAAACCCTTTAGTAAGAAATGCGAGGTTTAGTAAGAAAACAAGCAGTAACAAAGAACCAAAGCATATCTTATTTATACCACCAAATGGTAACGAAATCTCACTTCCTTCACCTGCATATACAATTTAAAACCCATTTCAAAGGCTATTTATTACTAGAAGTCTAGAAGAAGAGCATCCCAGTAGTTCAAATTCTATGCATAATAAGAACAATGATATCCAAGCAGCCAAACAATAGCCGTGGGGAAAATAGAAGCATCCAGAAATATCATCATTTTTAGTTTTGGAAGTCCGACGTCAATAAAAATGCTAGGATCCAATAGTCACTTACCACGTGTAATACGAATAACTGTAACCGTCAGATCGTCCAACAAGGACGTACACGTGTATCACCGTCGACTTTGATTAATTAAGTCGTCCATCCACTGAAATACGCTACAAACCCGAAATCCACGTCGAACCACGTCAAGTACAAAACCTCGCTCCAATATAAAACTCCCACGTGGCTTTCTTAGCAAAACTGAGCCGTTGGATCTGCCACGTTAACAAATCGAGATGAAGCTCCACGAAACCGAAGCGTACGCACTTACACAGCGTACACATCACACAATCTCAAGAATCATTTCCTATTTTACGGATCTCTTCGAGCTGAAGCGCCACAGTGAGTGAATAAACCTCAAAGCAAGTCTGAGAGAGAGAGAGAGAGAGATCGAGGCTATACGATCTAACAATGAGGAAGAGGACGCTTGTGTCCGTTTTGTTCCTTTTCTCCCTTCTCTTTCTTCTTCCAGATCAAGGTACGATCTAACGCATATTTTGCTTCGGTGTATATATCACTTGATTTGATTACACAACTGTTGCTTTTGGATCTCTATGCTAATGATGGGGAGGTTTCTGTGGTATAAATCGCAGGAAGAAAGCTACACGCGAATGCAGAAGATAGTTCCGATGAGGTTACAGATCCACCAAAGGTGGAGGAGAAACTCGGTGGTCACGGCGGTTTGTCGACGGATTCCGATGTTGTTCATAGGTTAGTGTCACACGGTACAGCTTTCGAATTCAACTGCGCATAAATTCTCGCCTAATTCGAATTCGTTGATTGTGTTGTCAGAGAGTCTGAGTCGATCTCGAAGAAGTCACTTCGCGGTAACGCGGAGAAGTTTGAGTTCCAGGCTGAGGTCTCTCGGCTTATGGACATTATTATCAACTCTCTATACAGTAACAAGGACATTTTCCTAAGAGAGTTGATCTCCAATGCTTCTGATGTAAGCTGCGTTTTTTTTTTTCTTTCAAAATCATGATTACTGCTTTGTGCACAGCTTGTTAAAAATAGTGAACTAATTAGCGTCTGTGTTTGTAAATTTCCAGGCTTTGGACAAAATTAGGTTCCTTGCACTCACTGACAAAGACGTATTGGGTGAAGGTGACACTGCTAAGCTTGAGATCCAGGTTAGCTATGAGTATCTACTACCATGTGAATTTTACAAAGAACCTGAGAGAGTAGAAGATATAATTTCATAGATTTGTTTGTATTATTAAATAGATTCTTTTTAGTTCTTTAATAACGCCGTCCGTGATATGCAGATCAAGCTAGACAAAGCCAAGAAAACTATTTCTATTCGGGATCGGGGAATTGGAATGACCAAGGAAGACCTGATCAAGAACCTTGGTACCATAGCAAAATCTGGAACGTCAGGTACGTTGATACGTTTGTCCTGCATAACATTCCGAATCAAGAAAATTTTCCATGTATTGAAGATCTTTGTCTTTCACAGCTTTTGTTGAGAAAATGCAATCAAGCGGGGATTTGAACCTTATTGGACAGTTTGGAGTTGGGTTCTACTCTGCCTACCTTGTTGCTGACTACATTGAAGTCATTAGCAAGCACAACGATGACAAGCAGTAAGTTGATTCCGGAGAGGGTTTTAGTTTTAAAATATGCTTGTATGCATGTAAAAATCATTTGAAAAGCTTCTTTTTGATCACTTTTTTTTTCCATGTTCAGGTATGTATGGGAATCAAAGGCTGACGGTAAATTTGCTGTTTCCGAGGATACATGGAACGAGCCTATTGGACGTGGAACTGAGATTAGATTACATCTTAGAGATGAAGCTGGAGAGTACCTCGAGGAGAGTAAACTTAAGGTGAGTGATACGAACCAAGTACAGTGCCCTGCTTATTTCTGTTTATTGTCTCTTTGTTGCTTATGTTCATCGTTGTCTACTACAGGAATTGGTGAAGAGATATTCTGAATTTATTAACTTCCCTATCAGCCTCTGGGCGAGCAAAGAGGTTGAAAACGAGGTCCCAGTTGAAGACGATGAATCAACTGAAGAGGATACTGGTGAGTAACAATGAAACACCGCATATAATTTCTGCTGCTGTGTCTTTATTCGTAAAAGTCGGGCGGCCCTGAGTTTTAATTATTAATGGTACTTCACTTCAGAAACCAGCACTACCGAGGAAGAGAAGGAAGAAGATGCCGAGGAAGAAGACAGTGAGAAAAAGCCGAAAACCAAGAAGGTGAAAGAAACTGTTTATGAATGGGAGCTTCTGAACGATGTTAAGGCTATATGGCTGAGAAGTCCAAAGGAGGTGACGGAGGAAGAGTACACTAAATTCTACCACTCTCTCTCAAAGGTGAAAATCATGTGTGAAAACATATAATACTTTTGTTACACACTTGGTGTAAAATTCTCGTTTGGATTTTTCTGACCCACCAAGTTCCTTCACAGGATTTTACTGAAGAGAAGCCAATGGCTTGGAGTCACTTCAATGCCGAAGGTGATGTTGAATTTAAGGCTGTGTTATATGTTCCTCCAAAAGCTCCTCATGATCTGTATGAGAGCTACTACAACAGCAACAAAGCGAACTTGAAGCTTTATGTCAGGAGAGTCTTCATCTCTGATGAATTTGATGACCTTCTGCCTAAATATTTGAGTTTCTTGAAGGTAAACTGATAAAAAGACAAAAGGGCTATTTTCAAATACAAATTCCGAGTTAGTTACCTAATGTGAGTGACTTCTGCAGGGTCTTGTTGACTCTGACACATTGCCTGTAAATGTATCACGAGAAATGCTTCAACAACACAGCAGCTTAAAGACAATAAAGAAGAAGCTTATCCGAAAGGCCCTTGATATGATCCGCAAGCTTGCTGAAGAAGACCCTGATGAGGTCCATGATGATGACAAAAAAGGTATTTCATTCGACAAGCTTATTGGTATCAAACCTCTTTGTCTGTTACAGATTCTTTTAACATGGTACTTTCATCTTTCTCAAATTTGCTCTAAACTTGTTCAATTGAATTGGCAAACAGATGTGGAGAAGTCTGGTGAGAATGATGAGAAGAAGGGCCAATACGCCAAATTCTGGAACGAGTTTGGAAAGTCGATTAAACTTGGCATCATTGAGGATGCCTCTAACAGGAACCGCCTTGCAAAACTTCTTCGTTTTGAGACGTATGTGCTCCAGTTACCTTTCGATACACATCTGCCTCTTTATTAGCACCAGCAGGCTAACGATTTGTAATTTGCTATTCCAGAACAAAGTCCGATGGAAAATTGACTTCCCTGGACCAGTACATTAAGAGAATGAAAAAGGGGCAAAAGGACGTATTCTACATCACAGGAAGCAGCAAAGAACAGCTGGAGAAATCTCCATTCCTGGAGAGGCTCATCAAAAAGGGCTATGAGGTTTGCATCGTCCACGAGTAGTTCTGCTTTATCGATTGCAAACTCGCATCTAACGTTCCAATGTGCTTGTGTTCCCAGGTCATCTTCTTCACGGACCCCGTAGATGAATACTTGATGCAATACCTGATGGATTACGAGGACAAGAAGTTTCAGAATGTGTCGAAAGAAGGACTCAAGGTTGGGAAAGATTCGAAGGTTAAGGAGCTGAAGGAAGCATTCAAGGAGCTAACCACGTGGTGGAAAGAGAGTCTCGCTAGCGAGAATGTGGACGATGTGAAAATCAGCAACCGATTGGCTGACACTCCCTGTGTAGTTGTAACGTCCAAGTTCGGATGGAGTGCGAACATGGAGAGGATCATGCAGTCCCAAACTCTCTCCGATGCTAAGAAGCAAGCTTACATGCGAGGAAAGCGAGTCCTCGAGATCAACCCAAGACACCCTATCATCAAAGAACTTAAAGAAAGAGTTGCTAGCGACCCAGAGGTAAATTAGACATAAATACACCACCAAATTCTATTTTTATCTTACTTTTTATCAGTCGACTGATTTAGAAAGATCCAAATTTCTCTCAGGATGAGAGCGTGAAAGAAACGGCACAGCTCATGTACCAGACGGCTCTGATCGAGAGTGGATTCATACTCAGCGACCCAAAAGACTTTGCAGGCCGTATTTACAACTCTGTCAAGAGCAGTCTGAAGATCAGCCCTGATGCAGTGGCCGAAGAGGAAGTCGAGGCAGAGGAAACAGAGACCAGTGAGGAGGCTACCGAGACCAAGCCAGATGACTTGCCTAGTGGTCTAAACATTGAGGCCGAACCAGTTGAGCAAGAGCCAGTCAAGGACGAACTGTAGATTTTCACTTTCTGATGTTTTTCTTCTTTGTGTTTTAGTTAAAAGCAGAACATCGTTCTACTCGAGAGCTTCAAAGATTAGTTTTACTATTATATGGTTTTTGATGGATTATGTAAAAGGCAGTACATCTTGGATTCTAGAGATCAACGTACCCAAACTTCATCTTTTCTATTTGTAACGCCTTCTCATTTATTTCAACTGTCTCTTCCAAATAGCAATCGAATCATTGACGGTTTCTGTCAGTAACTTAGTAGCGACATATATTATATTGGGGTATTGTATGTAGTCAGTTACGTATAAGCTTACGATGGTGAATGATAATATGAACTCACGACAGTCAAGACACGAAACTTTTAATTTGTTGGTTAACTTATCCGAAGTTATCCTTGTAGCTTTCTGTAGTGTTAGCCACCTAGAATGCATATCTACTTAAGGTTATTTTCTACAAAACTAAGTTTTGAAAAGCTATGATATGGTCTTTGAAAACTAAAACTTATATTCTGTAAAGGTACAGATTTTGTTTGCAAAAATAAAAGGACTTTAATTAAGTCGTGATAAAATATCTTTTCAACATACAGTATTGTTTTCTCGTGTTTCACTTTAAAACGTAAAGAAAAATGGTCATACTTTTTTTTTTTTGGGTGAGATCACACGGATCCTGACCCTTGAGAGAAGGTATATATAGAGGTGTTGATGTCATCGTAAATGCTCTTTAAACTCTATCTCTTAACTTGACTTCTCCACCGAAAATACTTTTCTTTTCAAAAGAGAGAGAAAAAAAAACACAGTGATGATCATAACAGTTCTTCATTCTCCTGTCTCATTCTATTTCATCATCATCCTTGCCTTCCTCTTCTTCCATGGTAATATTCATATCTATCATACCAATTCATAACTATATTTTATGTTAATATTCGTATTCATAACTGTCTTATCTAAAGCATTGCACTTGCCTTGTGTAGGAAGTAATGGTGCTACAATCACCATCGTAAACCGATGCAGCTTCACTGTCTGGCCAGGAATTTTGGCCAACTCCGGAAGCGACGGCATAGGAACAACCGGTTTCGAACTCGTCTCCGGTGGTTCACGTTCGTTCCAAGCTCCGGCTAGCTGGTCGGGTCGGTTTTGGGTAAGAACCGGATGCAATTTCGACTCGGAAACAGGCCAAGGAACCTGCTTAACCGGTGACTGCGGCTCTAACCAGGTCGAGTGTAACGGCGCCGGAGCAAAACCGCCCGCTACACTAGCCGAATTCACAATCGGGTCAGGTCCAGAAGACCCGACCCGAAAACAAGATTTCTACGACGTGAGCCTCGTGGACGGTTACAACGTTCCCATGGTGGTGGAAGCGAGTGGAGGGTCAGAAGGTGACTGCTTGACCACGGGATGCGTGGCGGATCTAAACCAGAAATGTCCGACGGAGCTCCGGTTCGGATCCGGGTCAGCGTGCAAGAGCGCGTGCGAGGCGTTTGGTAGTCCAGAGTACTGTTGCAGTGGCGCGTACGCTTCACCCGCCGAGTGTAAACCGTCCATGTACTCGGAGATATTCAAAACGGCGTGTCCTAGATCGTATAGCTACGCGTTCGACGACGCGACGAGTACGTTTACATGTACTTCTGCAGATTATACCATCACTCTTTGCCCTTCCTCGCTTAGGTAAATTAACTTATTAATGTTTTTTTTTTTATGTTCGCATTTTTCTTTTCCACTTGCTTTTTAGTATGCACACGACGAGCTTAGCTAGCAGAGTAACGTGATTGGCTTGAGCCATTTCTGAAAAAGAGGTTGATTCTTTTTTTTTTTTACACGTAATAAAGGAATATATAATAGTCATTCCATCAAAGAAAAGTAAAACAAAAAAGGCCTTCCATTATGAAACGCGGAAGCATATATTAAAATTATTATTCAAATAGTATATACTGATTTAAAGTTGGAATGTGTTTGTACAGCCAAAAATCTGCAGCTAATGGGTGGAGAGAAGGCGGTGGATTGTCAGAAAGCTCATCGTCACCATTATCGACGTGGTTATCGGGTGTTTTCAATTCTAACTCCTCGAATATTCAATCTTCTCCATATTTACTCATCTTTAGTTGTATTTTTCTTCTTTTCCGGCAACTTTGATGATACCTTTTTTGTTTGTTTTGTCTTCTCACTTTCGGGTGTATATTATGCATCATATCACATTTAATTGTATGTTTCATGATATTGCACATTGTTGAACATTTGACTACATTGTTGATTCAAATTTTTAGAGCTAAATCCCATCGACAATTATATTGTTGTTATGACGGAAATATATTCATCACAGTTTCAGTTTCATCGCAAAAACGTTAACCAAATGGCATTTTGCTATTGTTATTGTATAAAGTTTGTTGGCTCTGCGGTATATTGCAATTTTTAGTTGGAAAGTAGAATCAATATCTCGAGAAATGTTGTCACAACTGAGTCATAAAATACAACTACGTGGAAAAGCCTTATCTGATAAAAAAAAAAGATACATGTACAACTGAGTTATTTTATTTTGATTTGATGATGGATCGAATGATGTGTCCTATTAGGATTACATTGATGGAGAGATGACGAGAAAGGCAAAAGCTTGTGCTGTTTAAAAAAAAAAAAGGAAACAAAAATAAAAGAACAAAAGGAGAAATACATTATAAGGAGAAAAGAAGATCATATAACTGATAAGCTAAAACTAGGTCTGGGCAGTTTAACCAAATCGAGCAAGCCGAACCATAATTTTGGTTATTCGGTTTGGATTCGGTTTAAGGGTATTACATTTGATCAAACTCATATGTTGTTATTCATAAATACAAATCGCTCTCCTCACTCTGCATTTGTTTCGCCATGGAATGGAGAAATCGATTCAGAGACTTTTCAGCCTTCATCAGTGCATCATCGACCTCTTTCTGCTTCTCAGGGGTTACATCTTTTCTCAGCTCATGAACCAACTGTACTTTCCGAACAAGTTTACGCAATTCCTATCAACAAAAAGTGGGATAAAATCATCAAACCATGATGATGGTTTTGGGGTCATACCACCAGGTTTAAAGAACCAAACACCTAATAAACATAAGCCATACGCATCTTCTTCCTTTAGTGACTAACCTGTCGATCGAAATCAACGCTCTGAAGAGAATAAACTTCTTTTGTGAGTTCCACGTTTTGACTGATCAGGCCATCAAACCATCTCGCAGCTGTAGCCATATATTCATCTGAGCTCTGAAAACATTCTTTCAAAAATTAGATGAGCTTGATAATCAAAACAACTGAAAATATTCTATGAAAACCACAAAGACAGTTCTCTTCTATCTTAAAAATTCCCTCTCTTAATTCAGAAACACGCTAATGGAAGCTACTTTCATCCTCGTAAGAACTCAGAATGTATATTGAGCAAGTAACTGGTCTACACTTTACCTCAACATCATCTTCCGACTCTGTTTCTGTATCATCAACATTGCTGCCTCCAGCATCATCTGATCCATCTTTTGCTGAACTAATCAGCGCCTGAAGCTTTGTGTGGTCACCCTGATTTGTAGCATTAATCAGAGTGTCCATCAAATCAGGTTCAACTTCACGCAACATTTTCCCTAAGAAGCAAATATAACCATATTAACTAAAAGCAAACTGGATCCTCATTGCCCCTAAAGAGGTTTTTTCATCTATACAAAATGATGTCTTTTTTCCTTCCTCACCGATAAAGTTATAATGTCTTCGCCTTCCTTCTCGAACATCCGAGCCTAGTCTCTGCGACAAAACAACAAACACCTTATGTGCATTTTACCCAGAGTACGACTATTAAGCAACCCAAAACGTTCTCTCGTGATGATTTACCTTGGCAAGCATCAACGCATCATAAACCTCTTCACCAAGCGACGCCGCTCTTGAAGATGAGAGAGAACCCAAAATTATTTTCGATAAAAATAAAAAAAAAAGTTTAGATTTTTGAAAAGATGGTGTTTTTCAAATTGGAGACGCTTACTTCATAATCCGCTTAATCTGATCACTAGAGAAGGAAGCGAGCTCCATACCCCACCGGACGGCGCGGCGAGCGTCACGCTTCCGCTGGTTCCGGCTCCTAGACGAGTCAGGATCCGACTCGGAGCCATCGCTACCACCATCGTCTTCGGCAATAAGAGTTGGAATGAGAGCTTCCGGTGGCGCGGGACGAAATCTCCGACGAGGCGGAGACCTTGAGGTGGAGAATGACGGGGATAGAAGAAGACTGGGGATAGAAGAAGGTGAGTTCGGAAGCCTTTTCGAGAGAAAATGGCGGAGATTACGAAAATGGTGATGACACTGCGGCGATAATTGCCTTATCGGCCGTATTAGGTGCGCCATTGCAGCTCCGGCAATCGTTCCGATGTCGGCGTCCTATCTTCTACTGCACTGTCACGCGTTTTCATACGTGTGAGAGTGACTGTAAGGTATTTTTACTATGGCTTTTATTTTTTTTAAAAAGCGAAAATTAGTTTATCAAAAAAATCTCATTGATTAAAAATCGTGTAATTCAATGTATTAATTTGTTTTAATTAATTGATTTTTATAAATCCACACAAAACAAAGTAGTAATAAAAAAGTGCTACAATTTGCCAAAGGAATAAAAAACACAAAGACTGAATATTTTTTTTTTTTTTTTAGAATCTGGTTTTATTATTATCATCCTCAGGTCAAGCTAACACGAGAGAAAGAGTTTGAAAATCTCCAGCCAGAGGATCTAACGTTGAGTGTTGTAGTAGGTGAGAAGCTAAGCCCAAACATTTCCTTTGGTGCCAAGTTTGACTCAACAAACCCAACCAAAGTAGCCACAAGAGAAGCACTCTCTCTGCAATGCTCAATCTCTTTACTCTTCATCCACACTTTGTGAGCTACTTGCATGCTCCTCTGCTTTGAGCTCAGCTCAACGCCCCATCTCTTGTAAACCTCTTCTCTTTCCTTCTTCCCAAACTTCTTTGGTATTTGCTTAGCCAACCATTCTCTCTCTCGTGCTACTGCCTTCGCAGTTTGTTTCCTCGACGTCTCCCGAGAATCCTTCAGAAAAGATAGCCTCCTGAGTTCCACTTCCATGTAAACAAAGTCCGATGGATCTCCCTTGAATAGCAAGAAAAAGTACGTTCTGTGAACCAGAGGTACGTTACAAAGTTCCCAAAGCTCAATTATTTGGCTTTGCTGTCTCTCAAACTCTGCTCTCTCGCCTGTGTTGTTTTCTTGCTTCGTCTTCTCTGTTTCAGTATCAGTCTCATGCGTGGAATGGTGCTGCGTTGCCATTTCTCTGAGCCCTGCCATAAACTCATGGAAGCTACTACAGCTAGTCTCTGTATCGGAATCTTTCGTGCTCTGTGCGTCGATGGAGACGGCGTTATCTGAGTCAAAGGATGTGTTGTTAGAGTTCTTCAATGCGACCGCCTTTGTGAACAAGAGATTCTCTCTGCAGCTTCGGCTTCTTTTCATCTTGAAGCAATCTCCTGGACTCGTGTAGTCATCTATCGTGTTAAAAGATGGAGATTGTTTGTCCTCTGCTGATTGCATACTCATAAAATATTCAATCGTCTTCTGCATTTCCTTCACCTTGTTCTTGAGAGCCTCATATGCATCATCACCTCTATCGTTAGACTGATCCGTGGACGAATTCTGTTTCATGTCTTCTTTCTTTGAAGACGGACTCGTTTTTGCTTCATCATTGTCCACAGATTGTTCAGTCTCTTGAGATTCTTCTTCCAACTTGTTTATACTTGAACTCAACTCTATATCCATTGTTTTCAAAGATGAATCAGCATTTTCCTTCTCTGCCTCCATAGCTTCATTCTCATCAGCCATCGGCCACAAGTTATGTTCCAAGTCTTCTTTCTTTGAAGATTTCCTCTGTTTCTCCACAGATTGCTCTGTTTCTTGGACGTATTCTTCTACTAACTTCTTTATTGGTAGCTTATCTCTGGATTCACGTTTAGCAGATGAACTGAACTGTATATCCATCATTTTTACAGATGAATCAGCATCTTCCTTTTCTTGCTCCATAGCTTCATTCTTATCAGCCATAAAAGATTCGTAGTTTTGTTTGTACTCCAGATATGACTGGTCCTTAGACAAATTCTGTTCCATGTTTTCTTCTTTCTTCGGAGATTTCATTTGTTTCTCCACAGGTTGCTCTGTTTCTTGTACTTCTTGTAGTAACTTGTTTACAGTTAGCTCATCTTTGGCCTCAAGTTTATCAGATAAACTCAACTCCATATCCATCGTTGTCAAAGATGAATCACTATGTTCCTTTTTTGACTCCATAGCTTCATTTTCCGCTTTCTCATCGGCCATAAAAGACTTGAAGTTTTGTTCGTTTTCGGCTGGTAATGTCTCGAGTTTCTTTCCGAAAATGTCTAGTGAGTCTTTAGCTCTTTCTGCTTCTCCACTGTTCACTTCAACGCATCTAACTTCTTTGCAAGCATCTTCTGGTTCTTGGATGTTTTCTTTAGCCATCTCTTCCCACTGATCGCAGAGGTCATGGACTGGAAACTGAGGGGTAGTATCATCCAGCAAGAAATCATCCTCATCAGGAGAGTAGAAGTTACTCTTCCCCAAGTTATTTAGCATACGCGTCTCATCAAAATCAGTTGAATCGTAGCTGATTCTTCTCCTGTTATCCACTGAACTCGAATAATAGGATCTCTCGTCCGCTGTTGATTTAAGCAAATTCTCTACCCGAGATTGAGCCACATCTCTTTGCCATTTAAGTTCTAGGATCTGTTCCTCCATCTGTAAGTTGTTGCACAAGAATTGAGTAATGTTTCTCATTTAATCATGAAGTAAAACAAAAGAAGAAGGAAGCATTTAAGAAACCTTTTCAATCAACTCCTCTTTCTGTTTGAGCAATGCGTAGAACTCATCAGAGGCTGAAGAAGAAGAAGAAGCAGGTCCAAGATTCTTCAACTCATTCTCCATTCTCGCTAGTTCCCGTTGTAGTTGCTTCACCAAGGCTTTCTCAGACACAACCATATTGACTTGAGCATTTGTTGTCACCTCTTTAGCACAAGTTGCAAAGAGAAGCGTGTTCCTCGACTGTTCTAGATGAGTACGAGCAGGGCTCATTGTACAGATGATAGCCGTTCTTGCGTTTCCTCCCAACGAGTTCTGAAGTATACGAGTTAGCTTTGAGTCTCGATATGGTATGTGTCCATTTCTCCCTTTGCTGTCGTATTTTCAGAAAAAAACATGTCAGCTCGAGAGAGACTAGACTTTGTTAGGAATCTCACATCGGAAGTGAAAAGAGATTGCAATAAAGTGACCTGAGTTTTCGGATGACAGTTCCGAGAGTAAGTAGACTTCTATTAATGTGACAACCTTCTTTGAGCCTTGAACCAGCAGATAATGTCTGAGAAGCACGTTCACTTCCTGCAAGATCAACAAAGCACACTGATGCTGCAAGAATCCCCGAGCTCTCTGGAGAGATCTCACGTTTCGAGCTTTCAATGGTCTGCAGGAGAAACAAGCATTAATGTTTTCATCAAGAATGTAAAAAAAAAAAAACAATGAAAGATGAAAATGAGTAGTACCAGTCGAAGAATCTGATGAGATCTGGAGCTAGTCTCATTCAAAGAAGTCTCTCCAATCTTTCTCTGAGCTGTTAAAAAACCACAAGATTCAGTACTAGTATAATCTGTTTGTTGATAATAAGTAGTTGAGTTTGGTTTAATTAATTACTCTCGCATATAGAAAGGAGTTCATCAAGATGGTTTCTGTCTGTGAGAGTCTCCTCCTTAAGTTTCTCAACGACCGTTCCTCTCTATCAAAAGTTGACATTTTAACATTTTCATCAGTAATTAAAGTAGCTAATAATGATAATGAAGAGTATTAATTCATGGTGTGGAAAAAAAGAAACCTCTGGATCATCAAGAAGCCTAAGTGGAGTATTGTTGCTATCTTCACAAAGGAGATCCCTCACAGCTTCATTGTAGATCTCCATCGCTGAGAATTTCAGAGTGAACTTTCTTTCTTGTTTATGCTAATGGAAACAAGAGAGGAGGTTAATGATGAATAAAAAACAATAATGGAAGAAGAAGAGAGGAGGTTAATAATGAAATGTAACCTTGTCAATGTAAAGAAAGATATCGTCTATTGCAAAAGCAGTGATCCCAGTCATGGTGTACGTTTTACCACTACTTGTCTGTCCATACGCGAAGATGCTCGCTGCAACAACAAGAATCGTCTCTGTTATCAAACCGAATGAGACATAATCTAAAGTATATATATGCAAAAAGAAACGATTTTCTTACCGTTAATTCCGGAGAGGACACAAAGTGCAACCTCTTTGGCTCCATCATCATACACTTGCTTCGTGGGGCATTCAAATCCAAACACTTTGTCTGTTTGTAACACATATTAATTGATTTAGTTAATAGTACTAATTAATTATCACCTTAATTATAAAAAAACGGTGTTGAGAATCTTAAATTACCAAAGGTATAGGAAGGCTTATCAGGCAGATTAAGGGAGTTGCAGATGATTGTGGTGTCGTTGATACATTCCCATTCACATCTGTCATGACTCGTCTTCTCTTTCTGGTTTAGAGGTCTTACCCTCACCGACACCAATATCTTCTCTTCTCCTGCCGCCGACATCTTTTCTTCCTCACTCTTTGTCTCTTTCATTCAAAGAGCTGTAAAATCGGATGAAAGGAGATCAAAACTCTAAGCAGAATTAATAAGAGAGACGTGAAATTTGAGACGATTTCTTGTCTAGGGTTTCCTTATTAACTAGTGAATTAAACAATACAAACCTTTAGATTTCTCTATATATAATTCTCAAAAATCAAAACCCCATGCTATGAAGAAAACTAATCATAAAATTTCCTTTTCCTAATAAGATGTATACATCAAAAACTTAACCCTAATCCGTTTATCTTGCTTCCCGCGGCATTCTGAAAAATCATTTGATGAAAACTAAATCATCAGGAGAACATGTTTTCAAATGAGACTCTAGATCACGAAGAACAAATTCTGAAACATTCAAATCTTTTTTTATTTCTAGTCATTGACCAAAACCAATCGACATGTTATTGGACTAGGCTCACCTTCTGATTCTCGCCGGGTTCCTGCAAATTGGGAGAAAGACATGTTTTCGATTGAGAGAAATGAAACTAAAGAGAAGTTTTAATTTGAACAGAGAGATTACATTCAGGTAAATTAACGAAAAATAGTTGTTGGGAGATGAGGAGAAGAATGAGTCAGCCAGCCAAAATAATAAAGATGAGAGAAACTTCTTGGGGTCAAAACCCCTCTGTAGTTTCTTCTGCCTCAAGTTTCATTTTTCTGATTGAGCTGTCTGAGACAGAACATGTCCGCATGGCCGTTGGAAATGTTTCGACCACCAGGTCTCTCTCTCCACTACTAAAATAAGAATGATGCCAATTTTAACCTCTTTTTCTCGTTATTGTAATTACACCATTGCCTTGCTGTATAAGCAAACTTACCCTTATCTTGAAGACAAGTTTAAAAGTCAGCATGAGCATTATTTGACACATTATGTTGATAACCCAGTTAAAAAATTATTCAAAAAAAAAAAAAAGAGTTAAAAATTAAGCAAGCGGTTCCCCTTTTCAATCCCATAGACTTGATTATTTTGTTCACTTTAGAAAATGTAAGAAATTAGATGAAACAAATATATATTTGATGAATTTGGATTACAATTACATGTAGAATTGAGATGACATTTGGAGAGGAACACTTGAGAGACTTGAAGACAAATCAAGAACGCTACAAACAGAACAGAAAGAGAGTTCTTGGGACTCCAAACACAACCAAAATGGAAAAGAATACTTTTCTTTTATATTCTTTGTACAAATATAATAGAGTTGAAATGTAAAAGAACCAACGTATATCATTACGACTAAACCAATTGTAAACCATCTGGGAGGATTTCTTGATGAGAGGAGTCTTGAGATATATACTTGCGGCAAGCATAAAGCACTGCAGAACGGAAACCAGCTGGGTTGTCTATGAACACAAAATGGCCACCCTGCAAAATTTTGACATAAAACAAATCTCACATTAGCATCTTCTTCTTCTTCTCTGTATTTTCCCTCCTAAATGTGAAAACTAATTCTTCATATCTATTTAGAGATTGACCTGTGGAACCCGAATGATTTCGCAAGGGACCTTCATGTCTTTCCGAGCTTCCTCTGCACCTTTATAGTCCATCCAATCATGCACTCCGTAGATAAACGTTGTTGGCACTTTCCACTCTGACGCGCTGCACACACAAAAGGTCATCGAATTTAAGTTCATGCAAGTGTGTGCTCATAGACTTGGTTTTATTTTCATCAGATTCGGTGGACAAACCTTTGGAAGAGGGGCTTCCGAGCAAATGCTCCAAAGGAGAAGATGTATTTCAAGCACAACTCTCCACTAGCTTTTGCAGCCAAAGTATGGTACACATAATCTACGATTCAAAACAAACCATCACTATCAGCTATGCATCATCATCCTCCGTAGCTTCTAAGGAACTTAAGAGAAAGAATTACTCACCAGTGAGCAATCTAGATTCCTCTTCTGTAAGCACAGTTCCCTCCGAATGTGCACCAAATCTTGCACTTGTATACCGGTTTACAAGACCCGGACCCCAAGGACCTAATCCTCTGCACCAGAATCATATTTTGAGTGAACCTTAAGTATTCTGCCAACTGTTTTATCGTCGAACAAGTGTTCCCATGCTTAAAACAGGCTCATCAAATGGTTTCAGCTTAGTGCAATCAATTTGTACCAACGAAATGAGATCAGTCTGTTGGTGAACAAGAAAATACTATACGAGCATACCTAACCAGCTTCTGAGGAGTAAAATTCGACTCCAATAAATGATTTAGAACTGCGCCTTTCCATGTAGCTCTAAACTTAGTGAGCCGTTCCGATTTGGAATCTGATTCTGCTGAGAACCCAGCAGGTCCCACTAGAACTAAGTGTTGAAGATGCTCAGGATGCTGAAAGATCCAGACAAATGCCCCAATAAAAAGTCAGAAACCATGATCCAAATTGTCACCTTTTACTCATTGAGTTATACCACCACGAATGAAAATTCACCTTAAGAGCGTATTTAGCAGCAACATAACCTCCAAAAGAATGTCCTAGAAGAATAAAGTTACTGAGATTCTTGGATTTACGCCATTCCTCCAAGGAGTCGATAAACCATGCCTCTGTTTCTGTATAATTAAAGGACCATTTCAGTTTCATTACTAGTGTAGCAACTCCATATATCCAAGCCATTAAGAAAGTGTTCCAATGAAATTTTAGCCACTAGTCATTAAGAGTAGAGGGAATGTATACCTTCTGTGCTTTTACACGTAAAATCAGGCCTACTTGATCCACCCCACCTATGAAGCAAAAGAGAGAACTACCTTGTTAATTAAAGGGCTGGAACATCATGGCTTTTGACTTTTAAGAAACTTAAAACCGACTTATGGCAAAAGCATGAATTCTTATTCACTTAAAGCAGCCAAAAGACCATATTGTGACTAAACAATTCAGGAAAAAAGGCGACTTGTGAATCATCTAAAACCCAACAACATGTGCATTGATAGCAAATTTGCTTACCCAAGTTGATCAATGGCAATGACCCTGAATCGACTGGCAAGAGCATCGAAGTTACGGAAGAAGAAACCTTGAGAAGCACCATATCCATGAACCATGACGAGAGTGGGAGCATCCTCCTTGGCATCAAAGGTAACAGTGTTGATGAATCGTGCCTCGTCGCTCGAAGACCGAAACCATCTGATTTTGGAACCTGGTGGTCCTGAACCAATATTCACTTGCTCTTGTACATAAGGCGTCCTGAGAAAATTGTTCCAGCTCAAAAGAGTTAAGAAGCAGCTCAGCTTATCGATCCACATCTCAGAACATAAAAACTAGATTGATTCTCCTTTCACATTTCGTGCTCTATGATCCAAATATAAATCTTCAAAACGAAAAATCCAGCGTCGAAATGCAACCCAAATAGAATATGATGTTCAAATTAAAATCCCAGAATCGGAATTCTGAAAACAAGCCAAGTCTTTGGTTTATCTCATCATGTATTACGAAGCAATGTCGCAGAAACAGAGTTATAAAAACTAAATCATAGAATCTCTGAGGATTTTCAAAATCCCTAAAGCTGTGTAATCGAGGGGGAGAGAGAAAGATGCGTACTTGAGGATGGAGAGAAGACGCTTCTCGGCGGCGATGATGAAATCGGTGGAGGTAGGGACCCAACGGAGGGAATTGGGCCACAAGATTTTCCATCTCGATTTCGCCGCATTTGTTGCAGCCGCCGCGGCGGCGGATGAATCGGCCACCGCAGCAGTAGAAGAAGAAGAAGAAGATCCGAGCTTGGTCTTTGAGATTTCCTCCGCCATTCTCAACCGAAAACGGTTCAAGCTCATACAATCACGGAACAAACAAACCCAACAAAAATCTAGCGCGGAGACATAAAAGTATCCCACGAATCAAGGAATCGAGATTTTTTCGGCTTACTATTTTTCTTATATATAATTTAAATCCAAATTTGTTCAAAGACGCGACGAGAGGTTTGGCTGCGAAGTCGCAAAGGGATATATGCTCTCTGCCTGATGACGACACACGTCGTTGCCTACGTCACGCCTCTTGCAAAGCAAGAAAGAAGCTTCCCGTGGCCAAAATTGGACCTCTCCGTTGAAAGAACTAAAAATAATTAGTCAAACAGTTTAGGATCAAACTAAGATTAGGATTGTAATATTAATAGAAAGTAATTCAGATAATTCATTTTTTGAGGTTTTTAACCATATGGCTCGTCATTTTTAACTCATTAAGCAATGACCATAAAGTGTCAACTCAATAAATAATAAGGTAATTCCTCCATTAGCATCATCATTAAATTAAAACTCGAACCTTACCCAACAAAGTATCATAGAAGAACAAAATTCAAAATGTGAAGAAGATGCCTCCGAAATGACCAAAACCGGTTTACTTAACCGGAACAAATGTTCGGAACCCATGATCCCGTTATTCTGATTTTATTAATCCAGTGTGCTTAATTACTTTGCTACCATAGTAATACTAGTGTTTTGTCTACGTTATGCGTGAGTTGTATAGTTATATTGTAGTTTTATAAAAGGTTGTCAATTAATTTTGTGTTTAATATTGTGATCAATTATAGAGTAGTATATTTGCATGTGATTCTTAGATATAATCGAGCGAAGTAAGTATCAGAAGGATGTATATATATATATATATATATGAAAAGATGATCGAAATTTTTGTATAATAATTTGAAAGTAGATTAATATACCTTTTGGCTTAGTTAAACTTTTTTTAAAGAGTTAATGCATCTATTTGCAAATATGAAGGGTAAAGTTTGACATTTTTGTATAATAATTTGATTTGTAATTTTGTTATATTTTTTGTTTATGTAAATAGTATCCACATGAACTATATATAATATGAGAAATATATTGTCTAAATTTGGACATCTTATGTTATAATACTATTTATTTAGTGAACACTATGAGTATTTTTTTATACTTTCAAAAATATTTTGCATAAGCTTCCCTTTCGCTTGATGCTTTTAAAAAGAAAAACTCAATCCTTACTCCATTTTTGTTTCATATTGTGTATTAGGATTTTGTTTTTAATTTTTATATAGTATGCATTTCTCTACTTATCAATTTTTTAAGATTCAGTATGTATATAGATGTTTTATAATTAGTTCATATATTCAACGAAGAAAACAAATGACAATTAATAATAAACATTTTTATTATATGAGTTTTTTATTGATTCATATAATATTTGTTTGATAGTTTAGCTAGCTCAATCATTTGCCAATATTGGTGAAGAGTGTGGAATTTATCGTTATATGTTATTTGAAAAAAAAAATCTTTTCAGTTTTATGTTTCATGAAATTTTGCAAATAAAAATTAAGAAACGGTGAGTAACTGTCTTTAATCACTGGTTCTTTAGTTAGGTTTTTACTTTAGTTTTTTTACAATATCAGATTACAACGAACAATATGGAACTCTATATCAGCTTTGGAAACTTGAAATCTGTTATAAGTCAAATGTTACAATTGTATAAATTAATTTTCTCTAGACGAAAGAAAACTGAGTCGCGCCTTAAGTTTTACTTTTGACGAGAAAGACGTTTTCCAGTTCCAACAATACTATGATTCAGACTCATTCTACTTGATTCACATTATAAATATAAATGTAAAACAGTTGTGAGATTGTATTTTTATGTTGCTTACAATAATCTCAAGCATGAGACACATTAAACTTCATTTGTAATAAAATTGTGTATTATTTATATTATATGTGGCTCATCGCTATGTCTTTTTTTTTTGACATCCTCATTGCTATGTCTTTTGGATTTCCAAATATTTATATCCACTTATTTAAGTTTTATTGTTTATCACCAATTTGGTTGTCATTAATTAATAAGTAAAATTTGTGTTTAGTGACAGCTGATTCTGTTTCTGGTGAGTTAGATGTGAGATGATTAGAAACTGAGAAGACGATGACTCCATAAAATAAGCTTTTGTTTAAGCTTTATAATTGAGTTTTAGTGTAATTCGTTTTTAGTTTTTTTAGCTTTATTTTTTTATTGATAATTTAAGAATTATAAAAGTCTTTTAGGTAAAATTTGAAAAAAATTTGATTAATAAATTATTTAATAAAATAACTTTAAATTATTAGTTGGAGAAAATGATATAGCAGTTTTGAAATCTAACATTAGTTAATTATTTTTGCTGATGTTATTTTAATTGGTTAATGTTTTTATAATTTAATGATATAGCAATTTGTTATATTTTTATTGGCTGATTATTTTTACCTATTATCTTTTTTATATAAAGAAGATTACAAACTCGATTTCCAGCGGTTGAAGTAAACCGATATTTCAAACCGATAGAGTAGTGTTGTTTTAGCTTCTGCAAAATCCAACCGCAACAAAAGCTAAAAGGTTTCACGGTTTGACAAACAAATCACTGAGGACGATTTTTTTTTTTTTTTAATCTGAAAGATAGTTTTGATTTTCTAATCACTAAACCGGTTTTCGACTTGTAAAAACAACACAACTCAAGTCATTTTTATTTTAGCTTGAGCTTCTGCTGCAGCTACTAGTAGTAGTACTAGTGCTTGGGTTGTTGTTGGAGACACCAAGACACAGTGCTTCAGCCAATGGACCACCTGGTGTTGTTGAACAGAGCCACGATGGTCTTTCGTGGCTAATCCACTGGTGCTGGTTTGTTCCCTCGGCTTCCTCCATCGCTCCTCCAGCCATTGACAGTGTCAGAGAGCTTCCCATTGCTTCATCTTGATCCCCTTCTACGAAAAACCGCCTCGTCTCTTGGCTACGTGGTGTCTGGTTTGGACTCAACAGACCCTGCAATACTCCAAAGCTCTGGTCTACTAATGGCTCCTTCTGCCTGAAATTCAGATCGTAATCGAATCCGCGTTTCAGCTCTCTGCTTGATCCAACCTTCAGCTGTGCAGGTTCATGAATCCCCGGGCTTAAAGCTGTTGCTACGGCGTCTTTTTCTTTCATAAACCACCTGATTTCTCTTCACATGTCAACCAATAAGTTTCAATCTTTCAAATGACTTCAAAAAGAGATGGATTTTTGATGATTTTGACAAGAATGGTTAGTGAAAATTCACCTGTTGTGATCATATGGAGAGGTGGGAGACGGAAGAGCAGAAGGCAGAGAGAACTGGCTTACGGGTTGTCCGTAAAACTGGGGATAACTTCTAGCAAACAGGTTAGTATCGTTCTTAGAGGGACGAGTGTCACTGTGGTGAGATGATGATTCCACATGCTTTCTTGAACGAGGACGGCTCTTGTGTGTGTGCCTCTCACAGTATTTCTGATCAGGAATCACGTTTCTAGAGCATCTCCATTTCTTCCCGTCCGTTCTCTTGCACCTCCATGGCTCCATATCACCTGAGTTGTTGCTTGCGTTTGAAGCAATCCCCAGCTTCAATGAACCTCCTTTAGCCACTGCCACTGTCACTGTCAACCACATAGAACACAGCAGATTCTTGAATTCAGTATAAGTACCAAACATTCCATTCCTATGCATCCACTATTACCATCATATTTCGTTGCATCAAACATGATAACAAGAGATCAAGACCACATGTAACCAAGAAACTGACAATAACAGGAATCTGAAGAAGCTGCTCAAGTGAGAAAGCTAGGGAGATCTTACCATCTTGATTGTTAGTGTTTGGCATGTTCTTGGGAAAGGGTGTGAGAAGCTCAGATGGAACAGGAACAGAAGCCATCATGTACTTATATATATTCCTCTGCCTCTCAAGCTCCTGCCATTGAGCTTCACTGAAAGCTGCACCTTCCTTTTCACTCATACTTCTTGCCATCTCTCCTGGATTTTATCCACCAATTTCACATTAAAACCAACAAATGAAAAATTCCGATTTATTTTGAAAGCTCATATAAGACATAGAAAGGTGAGAACTTGAAAACCTGAAGAGCTCAAGGTGAAGTAAGGATCTGCAAGTGAAACAGCAGCAGAGTTAGAACCGGCGAGTGAGAACATTTCACCGAGAGAGGAAGTGTATCCCTGATTGCTTGAAGCAGAGAAGATGGGATCGCCAACACCAGCAGAGCAGTAACAGAAGGAAGAAGAGGAAGGCGATGGGTATGATGGGTAATGATGATTATTGGGTAGTACCATAGCGTCTCGATGCGAGTGTTCCACAACTCCAAATCCCAACCCACCACCACCAACAAAATCTTCCTTATTACGCTCTGCTCTTGTTCCCATTAAAACTAAAACACACACAATCTCTCTCTCTCTCTCTGTAATTTCAACTCAAAAAGGTCTCAACTTTTACCAGAAACACCACCTCTGTAGAACCTTGAACCCCGATTAAAAAGCACAACAACACACAAAAATAGAAAAAGAAACTCGGATACCCTTTTGTGTTATGCTTTGTCTCTGCAGTGGAAACCTTAGAGATAATCAAAAGCTTTATCCTTCAAAACAGAAACAAAACCCAAAAATCCAAGAAAAAAAAGAAAAGGCAGAGGAGAAACAGAGAAAAGGCTGGTCTCTTTAGACTGAAGTCGGAAACATAGAAAAAGAAGAAGAAGAAAACCTTAAAAACACCCACAAGAACAAAACAAAGGCTCACTCTATTTTGTCTCTCTCTCTCTCTATCTATCTCTCTCTCTCAGTGCCACTTAAAAGATGAGGATGGGGAGAAGAATTAGGGATTTAGGTTAAAAAGAGTTGAGAGGAGCGGTGCCGCTATTTGAGAGCCTCATGAGCCACAAAGCTTTTTTTGTTTCCTTAGTCTCCAACATTCGACCTTGTTTCAGAATACAGACAAAAATCTTCATTAACTGTCAGCTACTACTACTCTCTCTCCTCTCTCTTCACCCTGACACAGACAGTAGCATCCCACGTTGTCGTTTTCTTCTTCACTAAACGCCGTTAACTCTTCTTCACACACACACCGCCTCTACCGTCTTTTCTTCGACCTTAGGTAACGTCTCTTCTTTGTCTTCTTCTCGAACTACATCGTACCATTTTGCAAGTTTTTTTTAAAGGAAAAAGAGTTTTAGTTTTAGATGAGGATGGATAAAGATTCCGTTAAGTAACGGCGTTGAAGAGGAGGGTGGTGCTTGGAGATGTGTGTTAGGAAATGGGACCCACACTCTCGTTTCCGTGAGAGCTTCTCATAGGGGACCAGAGGGATGTGATGCTCTAACTAATTTACCCCTCTCTCTCTCTCTTTTTATTTCCATCTTCGGTTCGCTTTCTTAGATTTTACTAAATTTCCACCCTATTTCTTTTCTTCTTTCTCTTTTCGACCCCACTACTTTCTTGTCTCTATTACTCGTCTAAATTTTTCTGATTTTAGCCAAATTTATTCCCTCCTTCATAGTTGATAGATCAATCGAAGGATTATTGTTAAGGGAAGAAGGGAAATCAATTATTGGGCGGAAAGTAGATGATTTATTGAACAAAAATGCATTAGGCTAATTCTAGTTGTTTTTTATTTTGTCGTATAGGCTAATTCTAGTTAATGAAATTTATAGGACCACTCACTAATGTTTCAAATGTCATTCATTGTTCGCAAGTGATATAATCGGTGGTTATAGTCCTTAGTCCCTTACATAAACATGTTCTCTTACTAAAAAGAGGATCATTTTTTTAAAGAATCCAAAGTGAGCCCCATTTTTATTAAGAACTATGAGAATCATTCATGGAGGTTTATGTTAGGATTTGGCTTATGACAAACATGTTGAAAACTATATTTCCCCGAGACTACCAATTCTATACAGATTCAGTCATTTGGAAGAAACTTTGAGAAGTGACTTTCTTGTTACCAAAGAATGAGAATAGAACCTATCTAAGGGATAAAAAAAAATAAAGAATTCCTCTGTTTTCAGCGTGGGTCTAACCTGTTTCAAGCAGATCTTGGCATCGAGTAGATTACAGAGACAATCTATTCTACGTGTGCTCAGCATGTAGATGTTGCGAAGACGTACCAATCTGAAACAAGCACATCCGTTAACCATATGATATAATTAATGTTACTTGCTTGACACATCTCACTCTCTTTTATGCGAATTGACTTGTCTTTTCAAAGTAGTCCGATCTTTCAGTTCCAAAGTATCCGTAAAGCTTCAAAACAAAATATCATCACTCTTTCAACTCGTACACAGACGCCAATGGAATCTAGGCATATAAAAAAAGCAGCAATAACTTACTCGGAAGAAAATAACAAAGTCATATTAAGGTAAACAGACATTTAATCAAACAAGTTGAGGGCAAGACTACAAAAGAAAAAAAATGGTAATAATAATGGATAGAGGAGGAGAAAGCACATAAAAGCGACAAAAGTGCGATAAGGTCGGAGATGATCTGAGACGCGACGGACATTTCGGCTCCAAACCCATCTCCGGTTAGTCACGTCGTCACATATTCCCTTCCGATCTTCCAACTTCCGGCCGTTGAACATGTTGGTATATCAGTCCATGCCTTTACATGTGTGCAAGTATACACGTGTTAAAACCTCAAATGGGCTACTAGTATATTAGCTCAATTATATATGGCCCATTAAAGTCTATATTTACCCATACTGGCCTTACTTTACGTGCAAAGTATAGTACATCATGTTTTGTCATGAGTTTACTCTTTGTCAGGATTCTACATGGTTTCAAAATTTCAATTATCATTTCTAATGCTTGTTCGAAATATAAAAATGTGGTATACGACGTTACACCTTTTAAATTATATAGTTATTCAAACAATAACAATTCTGTTCATGAGCCAAGATATTTTCCGGTTGTACACTTGTACTCTACAAAACTCTGAGACGTCTTAGTCATGGAACATGTAATCGTGGAACAATAACTAATCAAATGTAATATCAATTTTTGTGTCATGGCATGAAAAACTAGATAGCCCGACTTTGCTACCTCTATATTCGTTTTTTTAAAAAACCATAAAGAGTAACATTTTATTCATAAAAATAGATAAACCATTTCTCTTGTCCTTGCAATTACACAAAATCATAGCCGTATCATATTAGACCGATAAGTTGCGAAAAAATGGACGGACACTCACAAATTAAATGAATTATGTTTGTAGTATTAATTATAAAGGTTTGTAACGTCCACATAAATGTGTAAGCTAGCATCTACCCAATAAATTTTAGCAAGTCTTTAATTTGGTCTAACATCGAAACACGGTAGTAATTTTGTTTACTTATCTGGACAAGATAATTACTAATTGTTAATTTTTCTCAGAAACACGAAAAGTGGTTTAATTGTCAATAGAAATCACTGAAAATGTGTCTACTTTTTTAATAGGAGGCTTGGAATTTACGTTTGAGGGAGTTGTTTAGATTAACAGGCTTTTCTTACAAAGTTTTCAACTCTTTCCTTTTAGTATTTTGGTAAAAATCAGTGAGCATACAGAACCAAGGACAGTATATTTAACCATGCATATGTACGCCGTCAACAATCATTTGTTTGTATGCATCGAATCAACATTTAATGGGAGAGGAAAAGATGAATATTGGATGCCATTATTACCTAACAGTACATACATAACATATCTATCTGAACAGCAGAACAATGTTTGAACTTTGAAGCAGAACAATGTTTGAACTTTGAAGCATGAATAACAGATGCCAAGCATATCCAATTGTACGGATCCTAGAACTTAACTAATCGATGTTCAACCTGACAATTTGGCATATGAATCATTGTAATTTGTAAACCAGCCAAGTGGTTTAACTTCTACACTATTCAGTTTTGCGACCAGCCGTGTGGTCTTCTCATCTGAGGATTCTCATGTGTCATTTTTTGGTTTTCTGATTAGGTCATCAAAGAGTTTTTTTGGAAGACAGTTACAGCATGATTTTCCACATTTACCTATTCTTGAATGGGTATTATCAGAAAAGTCATACCAAATTTTCTATACTTTAATTTTGTCTTTAAAAATTGATGTGAATGAACCATGGTGGTCAAGTGGCTGACACGTTCACAACAACAAAAGTTAAAATATTAGAGTTTGAGTGTTTTCATTGCGATTTCAGTTATGGTTAGTGATTAGTCACTATAAATATCTTCGTGACCCAAAAAAATTTGGCTCTTTGACATGCTGCAAAAATATTTGACTCTTTTACAAGCCATTAATTAAAGAATAAAGTGAATGTGATTTATGTATCGTACGTAATAAGTAAGTTAGACTAGAAGATGAGTTATTTTGTAAAATCAGTTAATATCTACTACCTAGATTAGATTTTCATTTATTGGTTACTAAAATCAGGTGGTTCGAATCTTTCACGTCCACAAGTGGCATTGGGAAAAAAAAAGAAAAAACAGAGGTGATATTGTTTATTGCAACCTCTATACGTTGGTCTGAAAATAAACATATTTGCGTGTCATGAAACAATCGAAAAGAAGTTGCCACGAGTTAGATAAGAAAAAAATTGGATTAGCAAGTTTTAGAGGAACAAGAAATGATTATTGAAATGGAAAATCATGTGACGTATATAAAAGAGAAGGCTTATTGAAATGCGGATTTCTGCATGATCATATGATAAAAGCCAAGTCATGGACTTGTTCTGCTGTTTCACAGGATGGTTCAACCACCTCGCACCTCTTTTTCTTTGGGCGTTTAATGACACAACCCACATTTCTCTTTTTATATCCTTTTTTATTTAATTTTATTTGGTTATCTATTTCTTTTACCCTTTTTCTCATTATCTTAATCTTCTCCGTAGAAAGTATTTTGTTCACCTAAAGAATTTTGCAACTTCACACATTAATTTAAGAGTTTCTGCATTATGTATTTATATTTGATAAACCCCATTTATTTGTAGAATAATATATATATATATATATATATGAGGTACAATTATTTGAATTGGTATATGCATATAGAATAAAAAAATCCACAATTTCGACACTCCTAACTTCCTTCATTCGCAATTTAACAAACTACACATATATAGAGATACGCTCGACTATAGAAACTTCGAAATTTACTTCCAGCAAAAGGCCAATGTCTTTCCACTTCTCTCATTTATTTTGTTCTTTCTTTATGTAGTTTGTTTATTTCATGTCTTTCAATATGAAAATATGGTTAATTGCACACTGAAGTCACCATATTCTTATCAATATACATAGAATTTACGACAAACACGTTTAAGAATTGTTTAACTCACAGCCACATGTTATTTAGCCAGTGTTTTTAATACCGGACCGGTCAAACCGGTGGATCCGTGATCCATAAGTCATTTTCGAGTGTATTGAACAACATCTCACCTTATGACACCATATTATATATTAATCACGTATCATCAATAGATTATACGCATTTACATTTCACACAACCCTCAGATTCTTGTTTCTCTCAATATACTCCTCTTCTCAACTCCCAAATAGAGAGAGAGAGAGAGAGAGAGAGAGAGAGAGAGAGAGAGAGAGAGAGAGAGAGAGAGAGAGAGAGAGATAGAGAGATAAAAGAAAGAGACAGGCAGAGAGAGGTTAATCTATTATATAAACACATTACACAACTATACAACACAAGTTGGATTCATCCATGGATCTCTCTTCTTAAACGCTCAAAAGATACAAGAGAGTTGTGGATAAATATTAAAAGTTGCTAAACATCTCTAAGCTTTGTTGACTCATGGCTATGATGAAGACAAGAAGAGCAGCGACCGTAGCTGGGACATGGCTCAACGAAGCCGTTAGCTTCGTTGTGTTCTGTCTCTTAGACATCGTCGATTCATTGCTTTGTCTAATCTACAAAGTAGCAGACTATCTCTTCGAATCCGAATGGAAGCCTTGCTATTGCTTGTCAGCCAAGGAACCCATTACGGCTACTCGAGGAAAGATCCTCTTGTCTCACAATAATGGGGAATCCAAGATTCTCACTCTATCTCCGCTTCAAGAAGTCAGGTATTCTTTGTATTTATGTTTATGTTACTTAATGCAAAAAAATGTATCAACATATCAAAATTGTGCAAAATGTATTGATTTACAAAAGAAAGAAAAAACATAAATAGCTTTTATTTTAATTTATTAACCTCAATATGTCAAGAGACAATAATGAATATTTTTCCTTCCAATACAAATTTATAATTGTGGTTACATCATTACATGTGATGTACCCGCTTTACCCAAATGAAAACCCGTACCATTTTTTCATACTTACTATAAACTTTTACGTGAATTTTAAACTATAATTGCGTACCATTTTTCTTAACTGACTCATGATATATGCCTTTACTTTGTATCTAATTTAAACCAGTACCTTAAGCCAAATTTTTCCTTAGGAGTTGAAATTTTCAAACTTAGTTCGGTTTAATGACTAAACCGGCTGGTATGATATTCCCTTTTTGGGTTGTTTGTAGCGGACGTTCCAAGATCGAGCTGGAGGATATCTCGGAAACCCTTTACACACGTCCTTCTCTTCTATCCGACCTATCTAACATTTCGGTTAACGAGCTTAATAAACGGCTCGTTAAGGATACTCGGTCTGAAACCGAGTGTAGGGACCATCATGCGAAGACTAAGATCAACCGAAGGAGATCAGTAACGAAGTCAAGCTTGACGGTGAACTTCACGGTCGTTGAGATGCTTCGGGGAAAGATCAGACCGCAGAATTTGAGCCACGATTCTCGATGGTCGGATTGTGATTGTGGGTTTTGTACATCTTGGGCCTCTACTTCCGACATTAAAGATCATTCCCTCTATGTCAAAACTCAAATTCCAAATGGTATAATGTTCACATCTTTATTTGAGTAAATATAAACTACGAAAGATATATTAGTACGTCGGAATTTTTGTTGTCTGCCTTTTACATAAAATTCCAATGTTTGATATAAAACATGGATTAAATATTTAATACGTAAACGCTTAATAATTTTTTTTTTTTTTTTTGCATTTTAAAACAATTGGATCCGTTGCAACAGCGGTAACAACGGAAGATGATGTTCTGTTCATACATGGTTTCATATCTTCATCAGCCTTTTGGACGGAGACGGTGTTTCCAAGCTTGTCGACGTCCTCCTCCGCTTATAGACTCTTCGCTGTGGATCTTTTAGGATTCGGAAAGAGTCCTAAGCCAGCTGATTCACTCTACACGTTGAGAGAACACGTAGAGATGATTGAGAAATCTGTCTTACAAAAACACAATGTAAAGTCTTTCCACATCGTGGCTCACTCTTTGGGATGCATTTTGGCGCTCGACCTTGCGGCTAGACATGGAGGCTTAATCAAGTCGCTCACACTCCTCGCTCCGGTGAGTTAGCTAGTTTTAATTAATTATCATATTTGGACCGTACGTCTTTATTGGTTTCTAAGCATGCAGAATACTAAATCCACATGATATATAGATTGTTTCAAAAAAGGTATAATAACTATAGGTTCCTAATCTTCATTACATATATATGTGAAAAAGTCTTGGAACAATGTGACTATATATTGCCATATTGGCACGACTGTGGTATGACAATATATAGTCACTTATATAGTGGTTTATCCTGAGAGAATAAGTTGCTCAAAGTAAAATATAACTCAATAGTTATAAAAACCTGACTTTGGAAAAAAAAAACAATCAGTCAAACTATATAAGTTGATAATTATTAAATAAGTCGATTAACATAGTAACATAATAAAAAGTTGACCATTATAAGATTTTAGTCGACATTTCAAAAAAATCAACCTAATAAAAAAGTCAACAAAAAATAATATAGGTTATAATATAAGTCTACTATGAGAAAATAAGTCGAAGAAATTAAAATTTATATGTCAATAATTCAGAATTAAGTCAATAATTATAACAAATTAACTTTGTAAAAAATTCAACCAAACAAAATATAAATCGTTTGTTTTAAAATAAGTGACCAACTATAATAAATCAACTTAATAAAAAACTCATTAATTTTTTTCTATAAATAATTATTTATTTTATTAAAAATAAAATTAATAATAAAATTAAATACGAATTTGAGTTTTTATAATTTTAATATATTTATGAGTTAAATAAAAAGTAATGGTATTTTAATGTATATTTTTCAAATAGCAAAAAATTCAATGTTTATGTCAAATTTCTTACAAATTTTAGGATATTTACCAGAATTCCCTTTTTTAAGAACTAAAAAAAAATATAATCTTGGCTTGACACAATGAATGGTGTAAACAAGTAATGTGACTAATAGAAACGTGTGCATGTGTACGTGTGGCAGCCGTACTATCCAGTACCGGCGGGAGAGCCGGAGCCGAGGCAGTTCGTGATGAAGAAGGTGGCGCCGAGGAAAGTTTGGCCACCCATAGCTTTAGGAGCGTCGATGGCTTGTTGGTACGAACACATTAGCCGTACCATTTGTCTTCTCATCTGCAAAAACCACCGTATTTGGCAATTCCTGGCCAATCTACTCACCCGTAATAACAGGTATATGTTTTTATCAAAAATATTTCTCATTTCACTAATTTTAATCAATCCCCGCGTCTTACCAAACTCGAATAGAACTATATCTAGAGAAGGTATACATTTGTTAAAAAATCCGCTCTAGACAAAGTTCTATATACAAACTATTATAGGCTTAAAATTTCATGGATACAAATTTATTAAAAAAATTCTCCTACTTAAATAGTGGAGCGTTTACGATCGAACCGTAGCCGCAAGCATTTTGATACGTGCGAGTCAAAAAAACATTGGTGATTTTGTATTGGTTTGTTTGGAATTTTGAAAAAAAATAGTGATTTAAAAAGTTAGGTTAAGTATAAAGTTAGATGCTTCTTTTCTGTTTAAAGTTTATCAGCTTAATTATAAATTTAGAATCATATTCAATTGTTAGGAAACAACTGAGGGTTGATGTAGCTAGTTGGTTGCTGTCATCAGTTACCAAACCACCTCCAATGTAACTAAATCTACTTGCTAATTTAATTCGTAGCCGTATCTGGTCGCTGGCTAGTTAGTGTCCACGCACTTTACGATCATTAACCTTACTCGCCAAAATAACTTACATATTTAGATAAAGTACAACTTTACGTGATGTTAGCATGATCTACAAGCTAAATCAGATAACCAGATATAGAGAGCCACGTGTTTTGAAATGCCACTAGTATAGCTCTACGACCAATGGAGACTTAGGCAACCTAACTAAATTCTAGTGTTATGCTAAATATTATGTTCCAACCTAAGTACTTATGACTATTTGCACTTGGAGCAGTTGAAATTGATTATACTTCTGAAATGTCTAGGTTGGTTGATCGGCCTATTTTAATGATTTTTCTATATAGATTTCACTGTTATGTTTTATTTTAGTGACATTTCTAGGCTAATTAGATATGACGAGGTTACAATTTCCATGCAAATTCTATGATTCTTAAATTTTTCTGTATCTATTGTACTAATAATTAATTGTCTCTATCCAGGACAGTAAACTTTTTAATAGAAGGTTTCATGTGTCACACGCACAACGCAGCGTGGCACACTCTACACAACATTATCTGTGGTACAGGAAGCAGACTCGATACGTATCTAGACATTGTACGAGATAAGCTAAAGTGTAACGTCACCATTTTCCACGGAGGAGACGACGAGCTCATCCCCGTTGAGTGTAGCTACAACGTTAAACAGCGAATTCCTCGGGCACGAGTTAAGGTGATTGAGAACAAAGATCATATCACCATGGTTGTTGGGAGACAGGATGAGTTTGCCCGAGAGCTCCAAGAGATTTGGAAGAATTCATCTTGCTAAATTATGTTTGATGAAAAACTCGTGTATTATTTATCAGTTGATCTATCATCTATGTATAATTGGTTGGTAATTCAAATGTTCTTAAAAGCTTTATCGTTATAATAATAATTTAAGGAAACCGTTATGTACTTATCCATGAGAAAAAAACCCAGAGAATGGTGTATCAAATAATAAGTTTCGTATTTATGTCTTTTGTTGTTTTATCATTCAACATGTGTGAGTAGACTATTTGTTAAATCAGTTAGTTATGAATCATGAGAGATGAAGGCGTTGTTGGATTTTGATGTTTATGGTCAAATTAGTCTTGGTGGATCCTTCAGTTCAATTGCTAATCTCAAAAACATATTACTCTTATGTTTTTTTTTCTAAATATGTTTTTGCAATGGTATACATTTGCATGTGAACGATTAGGCGATGATGCACAGTACTGGTAGGTCAGATTGGTTGAACAAATTTACCACCAATATTAATGAATGTCTTGGACCCACCCAACCATATCATTCTGCTACTTGGGAGCGTTACATGCATATCCTTAATCATAGTAAATGTGATTCAGTTTAAAAGTTAATGCGATGATTGAAGGCACTCGTCCTATCCGTAACCGACGTTGAGTCCTTCACTTTTCAACAGAAATTAAATTATTGAGTTCCTCTTTTTCGGTGTTTTTTTTTTTTTTTTTTTTTTGCTAAAGGGTTAAGTGTTAAACATCACGCAGTTTTGATATAAATAACTTACAAATCTGCAATTTCACTTAGAATATTTTAGACTTCTATAAAAATGAATCACTATTTTCTTAGATTTCTCTTTATGTGAATAAGTTTTTTCCGTTAGTTTGCGAATTCCTAACATTGTGCTCACGTCACTGTCCACTATTGTGAGTCCACTCAGAAAAAAATAGTTCCGAGTTATTATCTAATCTTCGAAACATTTACTTTATCGATTTCAATTATAAGTTATCCTTCACTTTATAATTATTGAAATAAAAATTCAGCGCAATGGCGTAGAAGCAACCTTACAATGGTAAAAATAGGAAAACAAAAACAAAAGCAACCCAAGACATAATAATAATCATAAGAAGAACCTATTAATGATTATTAAAAATGGGGTTATTTTTTATTTTTCATCATTTTAATTTCATTTCTTGGGATTCTCCAAGTCAAAGTTGCGTTTCTCTTCCTCGTCCATGAATGCGGTAACGTCAAAAGACTTGCCGAGTCCCATAGGAGTCTTAAAGTAAATCTTCTTGCTCTTTGGCTCCTCCATACTCATCTCAACAATCGGTACCCACAAAAACATCTGCTTACTCTTCACTCCTATTACACGTCCACACACAAATACATATACATAAATGATTTAAATGCCATATATCAATAAAAAAAAACTAAAAGAAGTAGTACCTGTCATCTTCTTCATACAGCACTTGTCGACATAGGCGGTGACCTCGAGACCGTAAGAAACGCGAGTGTTGGTGGCTTCGAAGAAATGCTCGTAAGGAGTGTCTTGCTTCATCCACACGAAACCCGTGGATCTAACTCTTCCACACTCCACGAGATTCTTCAAAGGCATCACTCCTTTTGGGAACCCTAGCTCCTGTAGAAGCTCCACCGATTGCTTGTAACACTCCTCAGCTCCGTACACGATCTCGGCCCCTTCTCTCTCCCCTCCGGCCACCACGACTTCCTGGCTTGCCATTTAACCACAAAATTATAGAATTCTACAGACAAATAGTTTTGTGTTTTCTTCAAATATGAAGAGGAGGAACTAGTATAATGTTGTGGAGACTGGAGACACTTTTGGAAGATATAAATAATTTTAAACGAAATATAAAGAAGAAGTGGAGATATTAGAAGAGAGGGTAGGTGGTTGAACGGTGGGTTATGTGAGTCATTTATTTGTTTTTTTTCCCTAATTCTCTCTCTTGTTACTTTCGTGTGGTTTTTGTTTGGTTACCTAATTGCTCATAAATATTGTTTTTTTTTTTTTGTTGTTAAAAGGCATTTTAATTGAATCCATCACTGATTTCTTTCTATTTATCACCGATTTCTTTCTATACCCGTTATTTTTGGTCTTTTTTGTTGTTTCTATATAATTTATATATTTGGTGTTTTATAATGTAAATATTATTTCTTTGACTTCTCTGCTTTTGCTGTAAAAGGTGCCGTTACTGATTAGACACACAGATCTTATTCCTATTTTGATAAAGATGACCAAAAGAAAATTGGTATTTAGGATGATATTATTCCTAATTTTCTATATATTCAATAAATCCCCTCTGGATACATCCCACTTATTTTCAAATCCATATACTAAAAAATCATCTAAATCCATTGGATTACAAAAATGTTTTAAAATACATAAACCTTCTATATGTAGTATACGTACATGTTCCATCCTACTTGAATGGTTGAGAAAGGATATACAAAGTATGTTTCCACTACATGGGCTTATTAATTTCAAATGCCCGGTCCATACATACAAAAATTTGAGGTTTTGTAAAGATTTATATAGTTTCAACTTTTCTAATCATTTAAAAATAATGAGTTATCATGATACGAAACTTCGAAAGTAGATGGACACAAAGGTTCTTAAATATATGGGCCAAGCACAGAACTAATTCAGATGCACAGGCCAATAAGTGTGCTGATAACTGGAAATCGAACATAGCAAAATCTATTACGAAAACAAAAACGTATCTTGATTAAAACACTCCATGGAAGCTGGTTGACAAAATAAAAAGAAGTACATTTTACTCTAACTCCTACCGAAAAGAAAAAAAGAGATGTTCTTGTTCACAAGTCTTTTATTATACTAAGAATTAGGATGATTATAACATCCGTGACTTCTTCTAACTTCATAACTGCTCTAACTTCATGAATCATAAGTCTTATTTTTTTCTCTTTAACTAATCCTATGAAGCTAAAAACTTCATGCATATTGGAGGTTTTACTCCAGCGAGTGCAAGTATAGCCGCCGGTAAAGTCCAAAGCCCTTCGCCGCAAATTAGCCCTGAGGCGACCGCCGGAACCATAACCTCTGCTTTCTTCCGATTCATCTTCTCCCAAACAAACACAACCAAAGTCCCAACACACATGTCAATGGCGAAATAAGCTCCGACCAGAAATGGAACCGCCATTGCCGTCGGAAGCGGCATGAACCTCCCCACCTTCGCCGGAGTAAGGTCCCTAACAACGTTGACCAAAACAGCAAACCCGAAAAACCCGTAACACATCTGGAGACAGTGAAGAGGCAGAGCAGAGAAGCCTTGCACCCCAAGAATCGCCATGTTTCTGTAAATCAAAGCGTAAGGAGCCTTGAACTCGCCGTTAGGGTTTCCAACGTCGAACGCTCGGTAGAACAAGAAGAAACTCAGCGGCGTCACGATGCATCCAACGATCGTTCCGATCATTTGGCTAACAAACATAGCCTTAGGCGAAGTCATCGTGTAATGAGCCGTCTTGAAATCTTGCATCAAAATACAAGAAACCGATACAACCGATTTGATCAGTCCACATCCGGCTAGTCCGGCAACAACTCCGTCCTCTCTTCCCGTCACAGCCGCGAGAACGAACAGACCGATTTTCCCATAGTTATAAGCCATGTTGATGTCTGTAAGTCCAGCTCCATATGCGTTACAGAAAGCAAGAGATGGCGCGAAAATGTAAGCTACAATAACGTAATACCATTTGAGCTGAGGAAATATCAGAGGAACCACGACGGTTGAGACCGCAGCGAAGGTAAGATATCCGGCGACTCCAATCCACATCGGGATTTTATCTCTGAGGAAATTCTCGTCTTCCTTAAGAAATTTCCGTTCTTTCTTGTCATCCACGCCATCAAGATCATTAGGTTTGTTCTTCAGTCTCGTGTTGATACTGACGATGGTGACAAAGAGGATCTTGACGAAAGTGTAGAGACCATCGCCGAGGATTAGAGCTACGGATAAGAAGACTTTGTAACCGTATATGCTCTTCATGTTGTGTTCGTCGAGATTCTCAGGGAACCAAGAGCCTTTGACTTTATCAAGAAGAGGCCACATTAAGCCATAAGAGAGGATAGCTCCTAAAAGCAAAGAAAGGTTAACCAAATGTGAACAGATCATTCCAGCTCCTACAAATGTCATGCTGAAATCAAAGAAGAACCTGCAGAACAAAGGATTTTCAGTTTAATGATTCAAGAACTCGATTAACTGAAAAAAAAAAATGTTTGTTTCTTCGGTATGAATTGATGCTTACGTTTGTTTCCAAGCTTTCAAGCCAAAGGTTGGGAATTGAGAAAACCCACAACCTTCTATGCCAGAGAAGAACCACTGGAAAAACCCCCACAAGAAACTAAATGAGAAGTATTTCATGAAACCGCGTACTTGTTTCCTGCGAATCGATTCCATTTAGAGATTAGGAAACTTAAGTAACAATCAATTCTTGTAGAGTAGGCTAACTCACTTACTTGGCCTGTGCATCTCCTTGTGTGTGGAAGCCATTGATGAGAACTGCAGTAGCTAAACCACTTGGATATGTCAACTTAAGGTCAACAATCATAACCTTTCGGAGAGGGATTAAGACGAAAAGACCGATGAAACAGACGGCAAAGAGATAAGCAGTCATCCAACCAAGGCCCGGTTCTTTCACACTCTTCTCTGAGTTACCTTCCATGTTTGCACCAGATAACTCATAGGTCTTATGATTTAACCCCAGAAGATATGAAGCAAACCCACCTGAAATTTTTTAAAACACCAGAAAAAGCCCCAATCTTTAATTATGATCAAAATTCTACAATTTGATTTTATATTTTATACACCCCTAAAAGAAAAAACAACATCAGCCCTTTTGTTGTGACTCAAGAAACCCAAAAGTTTTCATAAAGTTAATATTTTAAAAAATATGTTTCAAACTGTTTTATAGATATCCTTTTAACCGAATCTTAGCTTGTAACCCAAGACAAAGAAACTATTAAGGAAAACAAACAAGAAGAAAATTCTGTTCTTAACCCACCTCCGACAGCAATGCCATAACAAGCAACAGCAGATGTCTGGATCATTGTATTCTCTTGTCTTGTGAATGGCTTTGCGACAAATCCTGATTTCTTGAGAATCTTAGTCCATGTCTGGACAAAGACAAAAGCCAGTAAAGCTGCAGAGCTGTTGAGATTTGGAACAATCCCTGTCGTGAGATTTAGCTTCTGAGCTATCACACTGAACACAACTCCGATCACTATGCTCACTAACACCCCCCTCACTGTCACCTGCTTCGTCCACGGTTCGATCGTCCTCCCAGACTTCTCTTCCTCTGTTTCTTGTTCTTCTTCTTGTAGTGACGGTTGATTGTTGTCATCTTGTTCCGTCTCCTCTTTCTTCATGATCTTTCTCTGCTCTATTTCCATGGAAAGTACGTACTGAAGAAAAAAGACTAGAGCTTTGCAAATGAAAATTCTTTTACGATTAGATGTATCTTTGATAATTATATATACCAGAATTTTTAAGAATATATATGAAACTCTGCTTTCACTTGTGTGTACAAAAAAATACTTTTTTTTTTGTTTGAAGAGAAGAATGAAAAGAAAGCTAAAGAACCCATTGTATCTACCTTCTTAAGTGCGCATGTTCGACACGCGCATTGTCCAACGTAGACAAATCTGTCAAACTTCAAACGCAAAAGTAGCAAACGCAAATTGTGTGAATATAAAAAAGGTAAAGAGTTGGGAGATATTTGGTACACGAGTCAAGTGGCCGAGTAGATTGTTGTTGGCATCTTGTTCGGTTGTTCCCAATGACATTTTATGATATATTTCACTTATTTTTTGTTAGAATCTTTGAATTTTTATTTACGGCCAAATTAAAATGTGTGGTTCGTGTGGGTGTAATGATTTTAATTGTCCTTTTTAATCAAAGGTTTGAAAAGACAAATTAGGCAAGCACATCGCCATAATTATAATGTCTCGTACTGTATTTACGTGTAGAATTCCCACTCTCACTGAATTTGAAAATTTCAAAGAAAGCCATTATAGGTATATTTGACTTTTGAGTACAAACTCTCTCGACCAGACCTAGGTTTGAGTCATGCAAATAGCCACTGATTACATAGATAGGATATTGAGGAAAGATTGTTCATTTGGATGCAAATTCGATGGTTCTTAACAAAGCAAGACTAGTTACTCAGTTTCCAAATTAAGAGTGTAAGAAATATATTTGTCAAGTAGAAGTTATTATTCAACTATCAAAAAAATTATAGGTAGATATGTAGTAGCTTTGTATCCGAAATACTTTGAGCTTTTAGGTCCATATTCTCTTAAAGCCGGACACAATAATAGGTTGTTAAATTAATCTTTTTCCGGCGCCTGTATCAAAGCTCATGATTTTTGAAAACTCTCCCTATGTAGCTTAATTGTTTCTGTAAAATATATATGGAATCAGAGTTAATATAAACTGTAAAAACATACTTGGAATTAATATGAACGGTAAAAACTCAAAATACCTTCATGATCAATCAAAAGAAATTTGACGATTATTTTAAAGTCCAAATTCTGAATTAAACATGAGGATGTTTTACACTGTTTAGAAAAACTATATAATATAGCATACATATGCCTGCCAATAACCTTAAAACATATTCGACATTTGCTATTTGTTTAAGAGAATTACAAAGTTTTATGATCAAGACGATCACATGAATATCCAAAACCCAACATAATCAAAAAGGAAATATATATATATATATATGCTATAATCGTCTATAGATGTGAATATGATGAAAGTAGTGATATTCTAAATGAGTGTGGGCTCAATGGACCATAAGACCGATACTACCACATATCACGACAAAGACAATGCACTTTCTTCCTCTTTTTTCGTTTTTCTTTCTACGCAATCCTTGTCTCAATTATTCTACAAAATTCATTTATATATTTCCGCAGTATTTAGCGATATTTTCACGAGAAGATTTCAAGCTTTGATGGAATTATATTATGAATTTTTGTAAATACTAATGACGTAGTTGATCTTACACGGTAACGATTTTTCAAATGAATAAATGTAGGTGATAACAAATTATGTTACAATGCTTCACCAATTATATATTACAATAGCCCTTTTTATTAAAACAAAATTTACATATTACAACGTTTTTTTTTCGATTTAAGATCAACAAATAATATTTTCACGTTTCATTTGAAAGTTGAACATACCATTACTAAAAAAAGAACGATACACAAAATAAACTTGGTATTAAAGCCTAAGAGTGGGTTTAAACTGAAACCAAAACACTTTAAAACTTTTCAACGATCATGTTGCTTTCTAACTGAAGTAATATGCTTGTGGTACATAGGGATTAGGCCTAGTAGGGATTAGATTCGCCGAGTTATTATCTGAAATTTATGGGGAAAAAAACATATTAATATGAATAGAGTGGGGATATTGATAGATGGATGGAGACGAAAGAAGAAAAAATGAATACTACTCCTTGACACCATTCATTTGAAAGAGAATCTCATTCACTCTTAAAGTCACAACTTATCCTCCTATATCCCTACATTGACCCCAAACTACGACAACGACGTTTTAGTCTTTTTGCTAAAAATCTTTTTCGTTTTCCCTCAAACTTCTGCGTTTGCGTCCAAACCGCTTATATATACAGCATTTATAAACGAGTACTATATTCTTTACTTTCATTGTCATGTTACCCTAACTTTCTGTTCGTTGGAAAGGCTACCATTAGTTATAATTTTAGTAACTAGTTGCGAAAAAAAAAAGAGAGGATGAAGTTAAATTTAGTAACATGCCCATGTTACCTAAGTTAATTTATCACTATCATCAATCCATATAATGATAATGAAGTTAAAATATCAGTCACATGCGTTTAGTTTCTAGTAGCTGATGAGTTCTTTATTTGGTAAAAAATTGAAGTTTTATGTCGGTGTTTAAATCCTATTATATATAATGTTTTAAAATTTAAGACGAAGCGACGGCCTATCTACTTTGGTTTATTGTTTCAGTTTTTGTAGTGTTCGAAACAGACGATATCAAAACTAAAATCATAGAGTCGAATGTTTTAAATTCTGTAGTGTACCATATGAGATGCCAGCCTGTTTTTGGTTTAGTGTTGGTTAATTTTTGGGTTCAAAAGTATTCGGTTCATGGGCTGAATATTTTTTTGTTTGCCTCAATAAAAAATATTTCTTCAAATAAGGTTTGGTGGTTTATCCCGGATCCAATCCGGTAAAATAGAAGAAACAATTGCATCATAACCAAAAATAGAATACATGTTGAAGGAAAATGTTCAAATAATCTCTTCCATTTACTAAAGTCCTTGCAATCAAAAGCGAAAGTCACTGTGGAAAAGGCCAATAACGAAATTGAGGAAGCAGCCCAAATAAACGTTTCTGCTTCTGCTTGAGATTTACGAACCAAGTCTCATATCGAAAAGCCCAGCCCATTAAGGAGAATCCTACATATTACTATTTAATCATTTATATTTATGTGTTAAAAGCAATTTCGCATTTAAGGCGCAAGAGAAGAGAAGCGTGAGTTGAAAAGAGAACCCCAAAACCAGCGGCTGAAGAATCTTGTGGACCTCAATCTCTATGCGTAAAAAATATCTTGCAAGAAACAAAAAAAAAAGTCAACATACATTCATGTATGATGTATTATGATGGTGTATCGTGAAATTCATTTACTAAATGTATTATATCATTTCATTTGTTTGGTTTATAAGCTATATAGTTTGGTCATATCTTATCAACGATGGTCAAACAATTAACAATCAATTAACCACATATATTACTTAGTTTACGTAGATAAAAACTGCCAAATTAATCTTAACTAGAGACCTCCAATCTGACTTCCGATCTATGTTGAATAAGTTTTGAATCATAAACCACTGTTGAAATTAAAAATGATATGTTTGTACATTTCTAGAATTAGCACGGGAATGACAAATTAACTTGGGTTTATAGTATGTTATGATTCGTGAGTGGAGTCGAAGACAAAAACCAGTGTCTGCAAACAATTGTGCAACTCAAGAGAAACCACGTTCAGGCTAAAACTGCTAGCTGTTGATATTTTAGACAATGCGAATCATGCAACCGTAATGAAAAAGCCATACGTCTACATCAATCATGTTGATCACACCACAAAAAAAATAATAAACAACCAAAAAAGAAGATATTTCGTCGAGACGTCCACGTCAGCAGCCAAACCGCGTGCCAGCCACCCCTAGAATCTAAACAAAACCGAAGTCGCAAGTCGCCACCTTCCTCTCTCTGTTTCCCTCTAAAAAAGGCCGAAACTTTCAATTCAAAGTACAAAGATAATTAGAAGGAAAAGAAAAAAAGTAAGAGACTTTTCGAAGAACCCAACAACAGAGAGAAATGTGTAGATCGACGGATTTCGAGCGTTACGTTGAGAAAGAGAGCTTAAAGGTTAAAGCTTTCTTCGTCCGGTTCACGGATTTAACCACCCGAGAATTCTTACCCGATTCTCTCACTCTCCTATACCCACCGCGAATCAACGAAGCTGCTTTCGAGCTCGAAGGGTCCAAGATCCGACCCGATTCCCCGGCGTTCGTGACGCTCCACAGGGTCGTCAAGGGAGATGACGCGATTTACGGGTCTAGGGAACGGGTTCGGGTCTGGGAAGGGATCCGGTTCGAGGTGTACATGAGTGAGGAGAGGGTCATCAAAGGCATTTTCAGAAAAGACGAAGGAGACAAGTGGAAACTCGAGTGCGAGTGTGAGATGGAAGAGGAAGGAGCGGCTGAGGTAGTTGTAGCGGCGGAGGGACACGTCGCAACCTCGACAATGGCGAGGAAACACAGACGGAGGAGGAAGCAAAGGATGGGGTTTGAGTGTTTGGAGGAGATACCGGAAGGGAGAGAGGAAGGGAGGGAATCGGACGGCGGCGTGTGTTTTTGCACGTGCAGCGGCGGCGAATCCGACGAAGGAGAGGGGGAGTGGGAGACGGTGGAATGGACGGCTGATATGGAGTCAGAGAAGGAAGGAATGGGGTGGGCCGTTGATTTGGGGATTTGGGTTATGTGTTTGGGTGTGGGTTATTTGGTGTCTAAAGCCTCTACCAAAACCTTGAGAAGTAGAAGAAGACGAAGAACAACAACTTTCTTTTAAATGTACGTAATAATCATTAAATCAACCAGTTTAATTGTTCAATAACGTTCTAATCTTAGTACAAAAGCTAAAAAAACCATGATTTTGATTCCTAGAGTCATGAGTTACTTTTTATTTGAACATAGAACAATCAACTTTCTAGTTTGATTGAATCCCTGAACTTGTGAAATCAAGGCGAGTACGTCAAACATATCGCATTTACAAATTAAATACACAAAGGGTTCAAAAGAATGCTTCCTCCTTTCTCTCATTAACAATAATTATACACCAAAAAATAAAAATGTGTGATATAATTTAAAGTGAATAAGCAAATGGGGTATGAGACTCCAAAAGAGCTTTCTTCTCATTTTCTTATTACGTATACGTTTCTGCTGTCTTCAACTATTAGTTTACATCAGAAGCAGACGCTGCTTGTTTTGCTGTTGTCGTCGTCATCATCAGTCGTCTGAGACACACAGAACCTAACTGGAGATATTGCTATGCTTTTGCTTCACAGCCTCTTAAGTTTTGTTTGAACATTATCTGGTTTTCAGCGGTTACAAGAAGAGACTTCACTCGCTCTCCTACAGGTTCTGTGCGGCTCAGTGTTCTCGCCGTAGCTTTCGCTCCCGCTTACACTTGTTCGCGACCAGTGAATGCTTTCAGTTTCTGCTGTAGCTGAATACAACAATAAACAAAAAAACTCCATGATGGCTCATCAAGCGGCTATTGCATTTTAACGAGTTGAAAAAGTGTTAAACTTACTTGGCTGTATTTTGATTTCTCTGTATCGAGTTCCTCCGTTAAGTCGTTCAGCCTGAAAATTTTGGCAGTTAAGAGTTTGCAGCGAGATGCACTTACAAAAATTAATAAATTATTCTCCAGAAACATAAGCTTTGCTCTACGAAGAGGACAAACCTAGCCCGGAGCTCAAAGATACTGCTAAGTAGTAACCTCTCCTTCTCAGAAGCCACGGGCTCGACCTGTAATCCAGAGAAAATGAAGGGACAAAATCACATAGCCGCAAGAAATATCTCTGACTAAAACTAGAGCTCTCCGTTTGAGAAATCAACTTACGGTTCCATTACTGTCTGAGCGAGGCAATGGTGGTAACTTTCCGGATTGAGAACCTATAAGAAGGATGAATGTACCGTTACTGAATAGATTTCATCACTAGTTATAACGTCACAACCGAATGAAGAAAAATTCTCTCTCTTACCATCTGTCGTCTCTGTGGGTTGTACACTATTCAGTAAGTTCATAATAAGATCCTGAAAGTGATATAGTAAAAATTGCGATAGTTAATATCCTGCTAATAAACAAGATAAGTCTCATGTCTTTATGGATGTTCCTAGACTTATTTTCACCTGTTGTACTGAGTTTTGCTGGAACATATGTTGAAGTTGAGGCATGATTAGTGCCGGCGACATAGGTTGGCTACTTAACTCCTGGATGGTCTGAGGCTGAACTGTTGGCTGCAGGATAGAAAACAAGATCAAGAATAAGATTAAGAAACAGAAATCCCGTCGAGTAAATAAAAAAATACAAACGGATGACTTAAAGGAAACTGTGTGGTGGAAAACTGACCATCTTAGGCTCAAGAATCCAGTTACCGACACTCGCAGATTTCCTCAGAGGGGACGACTGGAAATTAAGTGTATGGTTTTTCAAGTATATAAGTCAGATGAAGAGATATCATCAGTCAACTCAAATAAACAGATAACAGAAACCAACCTGTGGAGATCGACGAGGGACAATACTTAAGGGAACATCCTATAGTGTAGACTGTATGGTTAGTTGCCGTCAAAAAAATAGGAAAACAAATACCAGTAAATTAAATTCCCACCTTTACAAGATCTAGATTTCCTGATGTTACTGAAAATCGACCTTTCTGAACCAGATTAGCCTTTGACTTCTCATCCAAAGAATCACGGAATCCTATTCAAGATGGACAAAACACTCTTTCAAAACAACTGCAAGGGAACCAATAAAACCACTAAGCTGCACGAAGATTGCCAATGACACTTGCTCACCTCCTGAGTATTTAATAGGAGCTGACAAACTGTTTGCAGAGGCACGGTTTGGAAGATTTAAAGGACCACTAAAGCTTGGTGCTCTTCGGACTGACGATGCCGTCTGGTGTTCACTCTCGGATCTAGCAGATAGAAGTTATAAGTTGGATTGTTTGAAAGTTTTTCTACATAAAGGACAAGCAGATCTGAAGTGTAATCTCAAACAGCAATTAGCAAATGCCGAACCTTTCAAAGATAGGACCTCTTTCTGAAGCCGAGTGGCTTAAAACGGCCCTGTTTGTAAGTGGTCCACTCTGACTTTGGCGTCTTACTGGCTTATCCTTGGCCTCGGGAATGTCATGCTCTGAATTTTGTGTCACTTGATCTATAGAAGATGCGCTTGTAATGAAAGTGAATTTCTCTTCAGAGGTTGGTTCTTCCACCTCAGTATTGGAAACCTTGTTCCTATTTTCGTATAGTAGGGGACTATCAAATACTTGCCCTCTGTCATTCACCTGCAGTGGTTTTTTAAAAGTTCAGGCCACCAGAATCATATACCAAGGAAGTGAAGTTTTATAGATGCCTTATTCTGAATGTTATCCACAGATTACTCGCCTTCTTATGAAACTGTGCACGGTACATTTCTTCATCCTCCTTACTTTCTTCTAGATCATCGTCATCAATTAGCTATTACACAAACAAAGAATATAGAATAGGGCTTATGTGATGGAACCTATGACCATAATTAAGGATAGTGCAATCACAGACCACAAGCGAAAATTGACTCACCAAAGATGCTTGTGTTTTCAAGTCTTTGACGTCAAAGTTCCAAGCGCTCACTCCTCTTTGGTATTCACTCTGACATTAAATATATTGTTTTATGTCCACTCTGCATTTCGACTCATAAAGTTTTTAAAGGTAATAATGTCAAACTAAGGCGTTTGTCACCTTTGATATAGCTTCCTCGTCCGAAGTGGCCATTCTCTTTAAGGCAAGCTGTGCAGCATCCTTGGCCTGTCAAACAACAACGCAATCAATAACGTACGATCATGATAAATTCAACAAAGAAGCTGAAACACAAAAAGGGCATGGCTAACCTGAAGAGATTTTACACGTGACCAAAGAGGTGGTAAGTCAGCGAATAACGTTTTCACAGAAAGTTCAGGAGCCTTCGTGTTTTTGAAACAGGAGTGTTTCAGCAGTTTTTCAGCGGTTGGCCTTTTTGTTTGATCTTTCACCAAACACATTGCAACCATTTCTTTAAAGGACTGGGCACAACTGAAAGTACTCTAATTAGTTTCGTAAAAATATAAATTGTAAAATGAAAAAAAAAAAAAAAAAAACGTCAGAGAATCCAACAAAACTAGAACAACATAAGAGAATACACCTAGAAAGAACACGAGTACCTTAGAAAATTTCTTATCACGATCATAATCAAGGCCGGGAGGTGCATTTTGAATAGTCATTAGGAGTACCTGTAACCAGAAAAGAAAAGTATCAGAACTGTTTTTAATAGATGCAAACACAGACATAAGCCAAAAAGGGATATATTGAACACCTTCATGGGGGGATATTTTGAGAAAGGTGCATGACCATGGGCCAATTCAAGCGCTGTTATACCAAATGACCAGATATCAGCCCTGTTAAGAAATAGCAGAAGAGCAACGAACCAATAAGCTACTATTGCATTTCTTGAAACTGTATGCATCACCAAGCATATATGACTACATTCGAACTAAAGGCAGACTGGTTTGACAAGTTGTCTTAACATGCATACCAAAGTGAGCTACTTTCTATATTACATTTTGCAAATATAAACTCACTTGGAATTGTATCCATTTCCCGGCTGCAAGACTTCCGGTGCCATCCTACAAACAGAAACAAGAGTTTAGATGTAAACCGTTGAATACAGAGTGATGGTAAAGTACAAAGAGAAAGAACTAGAATCACCGACCAGCAAGGAGTACCAACAAATGTGTTTCTTGCACGTTGCCTATCACCGTTGTCAAACAAGCAAGCAGAGACGCCAAAATCACCAAGCTTAATCTCCCCATTGTCATCAAGAAGTATGTTTCCAGCCTAGGATGACAGAAACAACAAGAATTTGGATATACATTATACGGATGGCTGATAATATAAAAATCCAGTGAACTAAGCTAATAAGGTTTTACAATTTACCAACCTTAACATCCCGATGGATGTGACCTTGTCTATGAAGATAATCAAGAGCCTTAAGAGTTTCTTTCAGTACACAGCATATAGCCGACTCTTCAAACCCATCTGAGTATGCAGTCTTCATAAGATGCAAGCAGGAGCCTTGTGCCATGAATGGCATGACGACCCAAAGACTATGGTCGACAGAAAATGAACAAAACGACTTTATAACATTGGGATGGTCTATCAAACTCATAGTCTGAGATTCCCTCCTAATATCATCCTAAGAAACCAAATACGAATTACATTAATTCATAAAATGAGAGGTCTAAGACAAAGATAGGTAGAAAATCACAAATCTACACATAAACGCAGAGAATCGTTGACAAACAAATTTCCACCGATGTCAATGAAACAAGCTAGAGTCTCTCGAGATTGACCTAAAATTTATAACCAATAACAAAAGATCGAGGAAGACGAACCAGGTTGCTGTTGCATCGATCGAGATCCAAACACTTGATGGCGACGACTTCGTTAGCCGGGAGATAGATCGCTCGATAGACGACGGCGCTAGCTCCATGGCCGACTTCTTCCAGAAGCTTGTAGTCCTTTGGATTTAAGGAGAAGCCTCTCTGTTTACTACTACCACTACCACTACCACCACCACGAGGTCCACGAACAACAGAACCACTACCTCCCGCCATCTTCTTCCTTGGCTTTTTACCGAAAACCGCCCTGAATACCACCAAATCAAAATCGGTAATCCTCCTTCAGATACAGTCACGGGGAAAAAGAGATTGAATCAAAGGAATTACAGAAAATGAAGACAAATTATAAAAAAAAAAAAAAAAAAAAAAATCTGGAGCGGGAGAGAGACTAGTAGTTTACTCGAGAGAAAGTCGAAACCCCATTGAAATTGAATACTAATTTTTTTAATTTTTGATTATAAATTTTTATTAGCTCTCCCCTCTTTCTCTTCTATTTTTGTTTTCACTTTCGCTGCTATATTTTCTGATCAGTTGACCGCCACGACAAGCGCGATTTGAGAGCGAAAGGGGGAGAGAAAGAAGAGCTGTTGTGCTGACGTGGTAAATTGGTAAGTATTTCAGATTATTACACGTGGACGTTGTATAAAATGAATGGTTGGGAATGAGCTTGGTCCCATCTACCTCTTTGGCTAAGTTCACGAGTGACTTTCCTGATTAAATATTTATAGCAAAGTTCATCTTTTTTTGCAATCATCCCAAAACCGTAAAAATAAAACTGATTCACTTTTTTTGTCCGGACAATTTATGGTTCATTATCAAAGGAAGAATCCGTTTTGATTTGAGGCCGATCACTTTCTTACTCCATCATTCTAGATAAAAAAAGTTATTTATGATCAGATGTAAAAAATTAAATCATGATGATATCGTAAATATTCTTTATGATCAGATGTATTTCTGTTTATGCATACATTTAAACCAATTAACATTTAACAAATACATAAAGTCTTCAAAGAACAATATAAAAAAAAAAAAAAAAAACATTTATACATTTTTTAATCGATGGTCTTCTACATTTGAGCAGAGCTGGGAAATGGTCTTAAGAGCTTCATCTTGAAACAGAAGTCCAAACCTACAGACGCAAACGCAAATATCAAGACGCTCTGAGACACCAAAACGGCGCCGTCTATTCCATGAGAAGCCAAGCTTTCCCAGCTCAGCTCCAATGGCGGTCCTCTGCTCAACATACCAAGTCCTATAACACACCAAAAAAACAAAACAGATTACTTATTTTCTTAACAATAGACAGATCCAAAATAATACAGGTCAGAGACTGATAATCAACTCATCAATTATTTATTTAAGTAAGAAACTATTCTAAAAATAAATCAAAAAAGTTGATTACTGGCAAATTATAATTTAAACAACAAAAGTCCAGACAGCGATGGGATTATCCAGCTCACATTTGTACACAATATAACAAGACAAAAGAAAGTCTTTTCTTTTACTCATTCATCTCCTTAAGCTTGTGCAAAACATACAATTCAACCGCAAACGCAAAAACGTTTTGACAAATTCTAAGAAGTTAAGATCCAAGCAGCAATCAAAAGTGTTAATACCTTTGACAAACCCAAATGCGGCAACGGCTCCGGATTTGAGATGACTATCATCCAAGTCTCTTCTGACTGCATACCTGAATGTAACTCCAAACAAAGCACAGCTTGCAAACGCTACTCCCAGGGGAAGAACAAGCTGCTCGATGCTCGAGACCTGAGAAAGAGCAAACGGGATTTCTGCAATGGTGCCAACCGCAGCTGCAACCGCTGCCGCTTTCGCTGATTCTAGTCTCTCCTTGTCTTTATCAATCGTATAGCTGATTTCTGAAGCTCCGGTTGCCTCGGTCTCTGCCAAGGACAGGGAACGTTCTGCTTCCTCAACCATTGATCTTGCTGCTACAATCTCCTGCTGGCATTCTGCGATCTTGAATCCAGATATTGAATCAGATGAGCAGTGTTCTGTCTCTCTTGTTATATAGAAACAAAAACATAGTTTCTTTTCAAGGAATTTGACGGTAGCAAAACCTAAACTTCCACTGTCTACTGAAAACAAACTAAAGACTTTGTCTGGCAACCAAAGAAAACAAGAATCAAAACTCAAAAATGCTACCAAGTTCATGTTTTTAGTGAACTTATCTAATGAATAATCTTCACACAAACTAAGAGAAAACCCCATTTCCAGGTTTCAAGCATAGAAGCAACACCATTAATAGTGATTGAAAGTCTGGAACAACTTGAACCTCTCATCAGCAAACAGTGCAACATTAACTATTCCATTGAAATATAACCAGAGAGGCTCATGTATATCCATGGAATTGAACAAATGTAATTCCGTCATTTTTAATGTAATCCTAATGCATACTCCACAAAGCATATTACTGGCAAATCCCAGTAATACAATGTAAACCCAAAATCTCATATTTCAAGCCCAAAATACTCAAATGTTTCATCATTTCATATCTACACGGTTACTTATGAAAAAATATCTTACCTCTGAGGCTCTTGCTTCGAGCTTATTAACATAATCCTGAAGCAATCTCGCTTCGATTTCTTGTCTCTCTATCTCCGCGAGCTCTCTCTTCGCTATCTCCACCCTCATCGAAGCTTTTTCCAGACCATCAAGCAAATTCTTGTTCTCTCCTCTGCTCAATAGCTCCTCCACTTGATTTCCGACAATACCGGACAGAGACTTCTTCAAATCTCCGCCTACACTCGAATTTGCTGCATTCTCTTCCAGTGAACTTCTAATTTTCCAGTTTCGCGTTCTGCGATACGGGGAACTCAGGGAAGGCACTTGAAAGTTCAGTGGTTTGGGATTCAAAACAAAAACTTCAGATAAAATCACTGGATTTGATTTCCATTGAAGCGATTGTAGAGATAAATATTGCATTTTGAACAATCTTCGGCTTCTCTCTATCTGGTTGATCCGATGTGAAAAATGGGCCACTAAAACGGCACGTGAAGAAACGGCAGGCTTTTTTTAAAAAGACAACGACAGTACTTTAGGTCCTGAAGTGTCTGAACGACATGCATTCTAATTTTTGTAACCAGTGCATCCGACTTTTGTTATGGTTTGCAGTTGAATGGGCAAACGGTATCTCTCAAGCTGATGATGTCTAGATGTGTCGCGACGCGTTAAGTATGTTGATACCTATCTTATCATTAATTAACCCAAGTTTATTTAAAAGTGAACTCTAACAATGAATTTTTCAGTCTGTCCCAAATTGTCAACGGTTTAGTGAAGATGAAACTAATTAGCACTGTTTGTAGTGGGATGGATCAAATTTCGCCTCAAATTCTTTTGAGGTTTAACCAATGATGATGTTATGAATCAAAGACCAAAGCTACAAGTTAAGTTCAATGGGTTAAAAACGCTATCTTATTATACACTTAAAACTTGTGACTTGAAATTTTTGACGTCATCAACCACTGCCTTCTTAAACAAAGGCACGTCAGTAGCACCAAGAATCATGTGATATCCACGTGACCTGAGATCCACCGGTTTGTCCTGAGCCGTGGCCATCCCCGCCAAGTAAGCTCCGCCGTTTGACGGATCCGAAGCTAGCACCGCCGTCTCAGCTTTCATCATGACGGACTTCACCTTCGGGTTTCCTGGGTCGTGAAGGAGCCCCATACTCGCGCTCAGATCCCTCGGCCCCATCATCACGCAATCCATCCCATCAACGGCTACGATGTCCTTCACTTTCTTCACACCTTCCTCGGACTCTATCTGTATTCAAGAAAAAACACATAAAAAGTCGTCTATATTAGCAAACAATTCATCTTACATTAGTATATTTTAAGTTTCTAGTCAATCACAGAAAATATATAGCAACACGTTGCATATGATCAGGAGCAGCAAAAAAAAAAGACCTGGCACATGATGAGAAGCTGATCTGAGTAATTACGTAAATACTCCTCGTCGAACCCGAACCTCGAATCTCTGACAATGGTGTAAGCACAACCGCGGAGTCCATCAGGTCGATACCGGCAGTACGAGACAGCATCCGAAGCTGCTTTTCCGGTCTCGATCATAGGGAACATAATGCCGTCCGGGCCGAGATCCAGAGCCTTCTTGGTCCATGCTTGACAATTATCCGGAACACGGAGTACGGTGGAGGATCCTGCTGCCTCAACCGCGCGAATACAATTAAGCGCCTCCCGGATTCCGCCGGCACCGTGCTCCAGGTCAATGACGATGAAGTCGTAACCGGCGAATGCAGCGATCTCCGCCATCTCCGGCGAGAATGAAAGGAGAAATAAGCCATAAAGATTTTCTCCTTCTCTGAGGCGTGTTTTTAGAGATCTCTGAGAAGAGAAGAAGGCCATGGAGGGTACTGATTTACTTGGTAATGCATTACCGTGTGGTTGTACCCCATGAAGCATAGAAGTCCGATTCAGATTTGAAATCATGGACGTACTAGGGAAGCGCCTGAAAATCCGGGAAAACATTTTTCCAAGAGAATTGAAACAGAGACGAAGAAGATTATTTCAGAAAAAGAAATTAACAGAAGAAGAGAAACAAGACAAGTAGGTGCGGCTGTAGCTGAGAGAAATAGTGACGATTAGGGCTGACGATGATGAGGGTTACTTTGCTTTTAAATAGAGTTGCTCGTGATTCTCTTCTTACCATAAAAACTTAAGTTGTCTTTTTTTTATCGCTGTACAAACATAAGATTTGGAACTTTGGAAAAAAACAGAATTTTTATGTAATACTCTAATCCATGTTTCTATTTTATTTTATAATTGAGAAATGGAATATGTAAATTAAACTGTTTAACGTCCGGTCGTGGGAACCGGCCAAGACCAAATTGATTTATAGCGCACCATCAACAAATTTGACGCATCCCGATTCACCAAAACCATGCATAACATATATAAACCAAACCTTTGACCGACAAAGAGCCAATAACATAGTAGACACTGCAACTAGGAAGTTTAAAACAAGGTTTGAAGAATCACAACTAATCCAACTAAACTAATAAAAAAGACTGATGAGGAAAACAAACACCAAAAAAATCTGCCATAAGTAGACTCCTTCGACATTGAAACCGAAAACCGTTGATTTCAAATCAGAGACAGAAAAACATGGACGGTCTTAGAAGACGAAAACACACCTTACCTTGGAAAAGAGTGGACACCAGAAGAGAAGGGTTTATTTTAAACAAAATTTCGTTAATATAGCTTTTAGAAACTGTTTCTATACGTAATTTATAATTCTTCTGTTTCAAAAAAAGTGTCATTTTAAGGTTTAATTTTTGTTTTTAAAAAATTGTCATTTTACATATTCAATACCAAATTTAAAATAAAATTCCAGTTTTGACTTTGCTAATTTAATGTTTTAGTTAAAAAAAAAACTGTTATTTTATGTATGAACAAAAAGTAAAACAGAATTTTTAATAATTTTTTTAATTTATATAACATATGTTAAAATGACACTTTTTTATAAGATGGAGGAAATCTAAAATTATTATATATTAATATGTTGTTCAGAAACATATTAGTTTGTATGTAGTTTGTTTTCCTTATAAAACATATCAATCTATTGTTCAAATAAATCTATATATGAATTTGAGTCTCGATGGAGTAGTAGGAATGTGCTGCTTTGCTAGAGAAGTAAGCTAGGCAAACAGCATAGGCCACTAAAAAGAAAGGATGGGGTAATCCAGCACAAGGTCTTTAATTTCTTTTCCGCAGACGTTTTCAGTTTTTCTGGTTTCGCATTAATTGACGTCATAATGCAATTCGAAATTACTCATAAAAGAACATCATATAGAATAAAAAATGGAAGATCAAGGAAACCAGCCACTATGTCATATAATATGTGGCAGTCACTAATCACAAAAAAACACAAAATTATACTTAGTGGAAACCAATAGAAAAAGAATTAAAGTTATTCAATATACATGCATGCATTCCCAACGTCCCTAAATCCAAATTAACCCCATGTTTAGAAAGGAAAAAAAAAACCCGATAATTATATCGTGGGTCTACGCCGTGGTTCACTCTCCGCGTGGCGTGAACATGGATAAACCGAGTGAAGATGTGTTTGCTCGAGCGCTTGTGCTACCTGATGATCATGGGATCAGTCCAAATGTAACTCCATAGATATCTTCGCGGTTGGTCCAGAGATTGTTTTGGTTGGAGGCTGACCAACAAAGGTGTCGATGTTTGACACCCTGTCTTCAGTTCTTCGCCAAGTTCCTGACATGTCGATGGTACTAAAGTACCGAAAAGTAGGACTAGTAGGCGACAAACTGTACGTGTTCGTGTTCGTGCCCGCAGATCCATACACAGCTCAAGTTTTCGGTGAACGTTATCGTACTTAGGAGGTAACGTTCAACTTTCAGACGCAAACATGGACTGCCCCCGTCCCAACACGAATGAAGGGTTCGTTGTTAACGGTATCAAGAGGTTTTATATGTTTCGTGGCAATGATCCGAGAACTAATTTTCTACAACACAGCTAGGGCTGTCAAAACGGGTGGATCGCCCATGAGATATTCATGTCCACAATATTATAGACCGGTTATGGACAAATCCATATATGAAGCAGGCTAAATTAGGTTTTGTCCAACTTCACCATAAACAAAACATGTTGGATATGATGGACACTGATTAGCTTAAAATATTTTAAAAGCTAAGTTAAAATTAATTTGATTAAAATTATAATATCTTATTTTTTTATTTAATCTATAAAATTTCATTTTTTCGTGACAATCATAAAATTCAGTTATAATTATAAAATTCAGTTTTTTCGTCAAAACGGTAAAATCTCATTTTTCTGTCAAAATCACATAATTTCATTTTTCCACCAAAATCGTAGAATTTTATTCTTTTCTTCAGAGCCAAAAAATCATAATTACATAAATAAAATAAATTAATTGATATAATATTTATCACATATTTGATCGTAGTTTTCATGATTTTAGGCGCCTTTTAGTGGTGATGTTTGTGATGGTCACCTACCAGGACTTGTGTGATGGACAACGTCATTTACACCTATGACTATGGCAACACGACATATATGTGGAATTTCATTTCTGGTCCAATGCTCGATGACATTACTGACAAGCAGATCGGGCCATATATCGGATGGGTTGTCTTGAGAGAGTACTACGGCCATTTGGTTCCCATCTGGGCCAGTAGCGATACTAGTTATGATTATTCTTTTTATTCCAACGGGTAAAATCGAGGTAAAGTGTATTATGATCTGTGTTCAAAAGAGTGGAAGAGGTATTCATGGCGAAGTTGGGCCAATCCAAGTTCTAGATACGCTACCTGACGAGTATTACTAGCGTTGTTTATGTGCTTCTTTTTGTGGTTTAGGTGATTGATGTAAAAACATGGAACCGTTTGTCTTTCTTTGATTGAATGTAAACGGCTTGTGTTGTTCTTTGTGATAAGTTGATGTAAAAACATGGAACAGTTAATATTTCTCTTTGTGGTTGATTGATTGATGAAAGGGTCCCCATTTATCTTTTGGAATCAATCTTACAAGAGCTGGGGAATTTAGTTTTACTAAAAAATTATTAGTGTTATATATTTTTTTTTCGATTTTACGTTGGATTAGATATACTCAAATGTACTGTTTAATAAATATTCTATATAGCTAACAAATAAAATACATAATTTAAATCGCATGTATATACATCTCTTACTAAATTCAGTTACGATCAGTATCTCATTTTTTGGGGAGAGAATCCTAATCTGTGAAAATGGAATATAATGGCTAATGAAAGTCAAACTAACATATTGAAAATACGGCTATAAGTCAACTGAGATTTAGCAGGAAGAATTCAAAATTGCGTTGGAAGTTTGAAACAACGTTCTTTGACCAAGACAGTCCTGGACCGGAAGTCCGGCACAGATAAAAGAATCCTGGTTTGATCCGGTTCACAAAACCCTCCACATTTGGCGTTGGTTTGGTAGTTACTCTTCAGATCTAAATTAGACACCTGGTTCCACAAAGCTTATCAATGGGCCCAACAGGTTTTACGCCCACCAAATGGATGGGCCAGATTTGCTGGACCACGGGATCCGAACCCGGATTAGACGCGTCATCATCATAGTGGGGGCGGACCCACGATATAATCATCGGGGGACCCTTATACTAAGTATTAAGACTTTCTCCGTAAAGACTTTCTCTATTAGTCTTAAGCGATTGCGCTTCTAGCAGTGAGCTTCTCTTTTTTTTATTTGTTTTATATTCTTCCTGGACTTGGGCTTTTACGAGATACATTTCTTTTTTTGTTTGTTTTATATCCTTCATGGACTTGGGCTTTTACGACATACATTTCTCAATTTCAAGCCTGAAAACTAGTTAACTATGTAAAGTGATAATGTTAAAGATTGTCTTGTGACGCTAGACAATCTTTTGATTACCTATATGATTGTGAGTTGTGTGACACTAGATTGTAAAGAACAGAAACAACTCTCCCAAGCAAACATGTTAAATAGTAATTTTAAAATGCGTTGTTTTAAAAACAAACTAAATAAGTAGATAACACAAAATCCAAGCATAGTTCAAAGAAATAAGCTTTTCTATGCAAAAGCTAGTTAGTTGTCTTTAGGGTTGGGCATTTTATCCAGGTTCGTATCCAGCAAAAATTCCACATGGAAGCAATGTTCATTAGAATTCGGATATCAGGTATTAACCGTTCTAATCAAAGATTGGAATAAGTATCTAAATGATCTGATCCCAAAATTGAAATGTCTAACACCTTTGCATGTTGAGCTTTCTTTTTCCAATTGTTACTCTTTTGAACATAGAAAGTTACCAAATTTCATATCTAAAAACTTTGGAATTTCAAATCTAAAAATTTGAACATAGAAAGATTTTATGTGGTTTATTGTAAGCGATTGTTTTGACTTTGGTTTTGTGTTCTTTGTACTTATTTCCTTTGATTTAGTTATAAGTTCTGTACAAAGTTGAATTTAGAACAATTTGAATTTTTAATTTAGTTTTGGATGTTAAGTTTGATTTAATCTTCAGATGTTCGATAATTTTTAAGAGTTACTTAGGTGTTCTCTAATTCTATAATCCAAAAAAATAGAAAATATATCGTAAAAATAAAGTAAAAATAAAGCAAAAATAACATTATAATTTTTCAAAAAAAAAAAAATTGCTACATTGAATTTTGGTTGGCAATAACATAAACACGTAAAGAGATTGTTTAGAATCTCACATTTTTGTTTTAACAAAAATTTTGTTTTTATTTTAGAAAAATATAATATTTTTAGTCTTAGGCAAATAAAAGAACATTGAATGACCATTAAGTTGTAACCAGCAAAAAATGCGATCTCCGCAAGTGTTAGCGATGGGAGAAAAGGAGCATGCCTTTCAGCTTCTCGTCGTGCCTCAAACGGCTCTTCAAGGATGGTGCACAACTTATTGCTGCTTGTCGGGTCTTACTTGACATGGAGTGAGAATTTTTTGGTCGAAATGGTTGAAGAGCAAACAGAGCACAGAGGGAGAGCCATTTTTGCCAAAGAGAAGGGTTTGAGTGAATCACAAATAATTTAGATCTTGGTTTAACACCACATTGTTTCATATAGAGAAATG